TCCTCGCTTGCGCCTTCGCTTGATGAAGGTTGAGGATGGAGTTTGCGATGGCAAAATCATGTGGCACGACTTCATTAAGAAATCCGAGAAGGAGATGCGGAAATTGGATCAGAGCTGGGACGTTCGGAGGAAGGAGAAGGAGCAGAGAAAGAAGCTGCAGAAGGCGAACATTGAGCGGAAGAAGCAGGAGAAAGCCAAGGCTAAGGCTAGTGGCAAAGAAGTGGCCGAGGATGATGACGATGAGGATATGGATGATGAAGATTGGCTCAGCGATGATGACTTTGACAAGGACGCTGAGGGTGAGGGTGAAGCGGCAGATGACGACTCTGACGCTGATTCGGACGAGTCTATGGAGGAGTAAGTGGCTATCTGAAGTCTTCACAAGACACCTTCTCGAACACTTCTACTTGGTCACTTGATGAACGAGCCGGCGCTTGAACAAATGACAATTCAACTCGTACCGACTTCTTCATCACACTGGTGGACTGTATTAAAATGACCCCGTCTTCACCTCTTATATCCATGTCATATGGACCAAAATTTCTGTCACTGTCACATACCCGATAGGCATCTAGGCGTTTTTCAGGTTTTATCTTCCTATAGTTGCAGTCTTGCAAATCAAATTCATCTTTCATCCTTAAATTGAACATAGTCTCTGGAGGTGGCATTGCAGATGTTACCTTGAAGATGTTACCTCGAAGACATTACATGTACTGATGTCCTGTAGGGATAATTGACCGTATGTATAATTATATATATATGATGTTGTCGTAGGAACGGTATCATTTAGAGTCGTTTTGACTATTAAGTCTACTATATCTGTTTGATCTTCACATGTAGCTTTATCTGAATTGACTTTGATCTAGGAGCTACGCTTAGATAATTGAGACAACCCTTTTGACTGCTTTGCGAGGGCGAGAAGGAGGAGATATCGAGTCTCAACCTTCAATAAAAACACAGACCCTCAACAGAAGGATATTTAATAACTTGAAGACTTACTTGCACCCATTTGCTCGCTCTGGCCTTTCTCTGCTTGGAACCAATCGCAATTCTAAACGTATCTCTTTTATTTGCTATAATCAAAGGGGAAATTATCTTTCGAAATGTACCGATTAGTTCATTAGGACATAGAATGCCGATATGATACATTTTACCTTGCATTTACCGAATATTGCAATGGCTTTGAGTGGCAAATATTCGTTATTCATAACTCTGATCTATTTCTTGAGCCTTTCATCGACGATCCTGTTCACCATCTTCTCCAAGATAGCGAAATCTCCACCGGAGGTACCAGCAAAGTACCCCTGCACACTCTTCTCAACATACTTGCCTACAATATCGATCTCAACATTGACAAGGTCACCAGGCTTTTTCGCCGCAGTGACCACCTTCTCCTGCGTGTAGGCAATAAGCATAACCTCCCAGTATCCGTTCTGCCCATCGACGACCTTGGTGACAGTCAAGCTAGCACCATCGAGGGTCACATAGCCCTTTTCCACGACATAGCGCAGAATGTCTCTATCGCGTGGCTGCAGACGGAACACCAACGAGTTTCCATCCGGCGTGATAGACAGAATCTCCGCAACGGTATCGACATGACCCTGCACAAAATGTCCTCCCATCCGGGTATCGGCCGAGACGGCGCGCTCGAGGTTCACGGGGGAATTCGCCTGCAAGGAACCCAGGTTGGTGCGTCGCAACGTCTCCGGCGCACAGCCAACCTTGAACCAGGTCTTATCGAAGGCAGTGACCGTAAGACATGTTCCTTAAGCCTGATTTTAGACAATATCCCACGTATTATAAACAATTCAAGAGCAAGATACCATTCACTGCGATACTATCGCCCAGGTGCGCGTCAGTAAGGATCTCCTCACAATCGGAGATGGTGAGCGACGTTCCCCCGCCCCCGCTCGATGAGGTATCGATGGGCTCTAAGGCCGTGACAGCTAGTAAAACCACATTAGTCATCGAATCACTTTAAGAAAGAAAGATATACACACTCCCAATCGTTTCAACAAGACCTGTGAACATAGCTGTGGTTGATGATCTACAAGGAAAATGCCCCCGCGGTGTGGCTTCGGCAACAGCCCCTCCGAGCGGTGTCGGCGTCGGCGTTTTGGCGGAGATTCGCCGGTTTCCCCAGATCTCATTTAATGGGAGATTCTTGCTGATTGGGCTTTTGTTCAAGCTTCATTTTTTTTTGTTTCGCTACGCTCGTACATATAATAATGACGGTTGCGCTCAGGTTCCAGGTTGTTGCTCGTCGATCGGGCTTGTCCTGGGGTAGCAATGCTTCGCGGCGCACGGTACCAGGACGGAGCTACTCCAGTACAGTTTCAGCTGATGGATCGCTGCCTTTGGCTGGTATCCGGGTGCTTGATATGACACGCGTTTTGGCTGGTGTGAGTACATCGCTCGAGGTACTACTGTGTGTCTGCAATCTAAATTGACTTTGCTCTAGCCTTATTGTACTCAAATTCTGGGTGACCTAGGGTATGTGCTAAGCTTCCGAGCTATAAAACAGCTCCAATGGGTAATTTTTATAATATTAACAAGACGAAATATAGAGCGGACGTTATCAAGGTCGAACATCCTGTGCGCGGTGACGATACTCGTGCTTGGGGTCCGCCATATGCGAAGTACGAAGATGCTTCTAGAAAGGGTCCTGGCGAGAGCGCCTACTACCTAGCTGTACGAGACTTTTCTTGAAGTTATGAAACAAGTTATCATAATACTCATGATGGATCCAGGTCAACCGAAATAAAAAATCCCTCGGACTATCCTTCCAACACAAGTCAGGCGTCGAGATTCTACACAAGCTTGCGAAGGAATGCGACGTCTTGGTCGAGAACTATCTCCCCGGGGCTCTCAAAAAATACGGCATGGACTATGAAACATTGCGGGAAATCAACCCGAAGTTGATCTATGCCAGTATTACTGGATATGGCCAGACAGGCCCATATAGCAACCGTGCAGGCTACGACGTCATGGTGGAAGCCGAGATGGGGCTGATGCACATCACCGGCGCTCGGGATGGTGCACCAGTGAAGGTTGGTGTTGCCGTTACCGATCTAACCACCGGACTATACACATCAAATGCCATCATGGCGGCTTTGATTGCTCGGGGTCGGACTGGTAGAGGTCAGCATATCGATGCCTGTTTAAGTGATTGCCAGGTCGCTACGTTATCCAATCTGGCTAGCTCTGCACTTATCAGTGGGCAAAAAGACTCCGGCCGTTGGGGCACAGCACACCGTAAGTAACAGTCTCTTATGTCGGGCATAGTATCAAACGAACTGACACCTCCCAGCATCTATTGTACCCTATCGGAGCTACAAGACCAGCGACGGAGATATTCTCTTCGGCGGTGGCAATGATAGACTTTTTGGCGTGTTGTGTGATCGACTAGGCTTCTCTGAGTGGAAGACGGACGCTCGCTTCGTCACTAACAGTGACCGAGTGCAGCATCGGGCGGAGATTGACGGTATGATTGAAAGCACCACTATGCAGAAGACCACGCAAGAGTGGTTGGATATATTTGAGGGAAGCGGTATGCCCTACGCGGCCGTCAATGACATTCAGGGAACACTGAATCACAAGCATGGTAAGTCTACCTATTTTCTTTTTATATAATAAAAAGAGAAATTCGTACTGACCCTACCAACAGTTCTCGCACGAGGGATGGTGACAGAAGTTGACCACCCTGCATGTGGTCCCATCAAGATGGTTAACACGCCTATCAAGTACTCCGAAGCGACACCAGGTATTCGCACGCCTCCCCCAACTTTGGGCCAGCATACCGATGAGATCTTGGGCAGTGTTCTCGATTATGAGGAGGCGGATATTGCTCGCTTGAAGGAAGAGGGAGTCGTATCCTGAACCTTGAACTATTTATGAGAAACATGAACGACATATCTAGAGATCTGTATACAAGCAAATTAAAAACTTACAGCCATTTAAAATGGCTCCTCGGGTTTTCTAGCATCTTTTGGCCCCTTTGGAGCATCTTCTTTCCGTCCCATAAGCTCTTGGACCTAGGCATATCATCAAGCATAATACCTGGGAAATCCGTATTTTGTAGGAAGCATAATTTTTGCTGGACATCCCACAAATAATATATAAAGGACACCAAAGAAGAAATCGTACAATTATAATTGTAGTACTTGTTTGCTGTGTCTTAAGGATCAGGCCTTCCTTTGGCTGTAGTACTATTTAGAGATAACGATTCCTACTCTATACAGAATTAACCGCCCTTATTTTCTCTGTTTATCAGTCATCTTGTCTGATCTCTATTGTCATTTTAAGCCCATTGTATATATATGTATGTATTCAGATCCAAGATATTCTTCCAATGGATTCCTGTATATACCAATTAGAATAATTCCAACCTTGAAAATTCTGAGTAACATCTCGTGAAATATTTATGTTAAACTAAGTTGGGTAGTACTCTATAGCTAGCTATTCAACTAGAGTATCGTAGTCTCCATAAAACATGGTTAGTTCTGACTTACATGTATGTATAGTGCCGAAGCAGTACTATCTAAGGGGTGATCTAATGAAGTACAAGATAACTGTGCACCAGATCCACACAGAAATAAACGAAACATTCAGAATTTACCAAATTATAAAGACCCTCAAATTAGTACAATACTGTAGTCAACAACTAAAGAAAGCCATGTAAGGTTGCATTGGGATATCACGTGACTGGTATACAAAGGTCTTTCATGGGACGACTTCACTCCAACCCTCCTTCTAGTTGAAGAATTGAGAAGAGCCAACCATGTTGGACTACCCGCCCAGCAAAAAGCCTAGTGTCTATTGTGATATGCATCAGGCTGAAAGACTCGCACTGCCCTAGAAGAAGAAGACAAATGGTGCCTTTTTTCCTCGCTGTCATCTGTTGCTTTGTTCTCTTCTTTCACACAAAAATTCGACTAGTTTTCCCAAAGAACCTTGCCCAGTCCTCTTTTTGAAAACAAATATCCACAAGAAAATTCACCATGAGGGTCTCAGCGACATTCATGGATCTCCCCGCCCCTGATATCAACCCGGGTTTCCCCCAGAACGTCCATGAGGGCAATATATTTGACTACGAGGGTCTCTCCGAGGAGATTCAACCACTATCACCCCACTTGGAGCTTGTGGCTGACAATATACCCTGGGAAAACTGGGGATCACCGGCACCGCCTCAGGAAGAGGCAATTTGGACAACAGCTGAGGCTGTGGAAACGGGTCAGCAAAATGCCAGTACTGCCCTGGCTTCAAATCGAACTCGATCTAGCCGTCGTATTACTCAGCCAGCTTCTCTAAGAGCTAAGCCTGTGATAACAAAAGGGCCACCTGTCAAAGCGGCAGCAAAAAAGCGGAAGCGTCTGAACCGTCAGGTGAATATAGTTTGCACTGGCTGCTACCGAGGACACAGCCCCTCCAACAATTTAATTGTTCTATGTGATTCATGTGATGCTCCTTGGCATCAGAAATGTCACAACCCGAATATTGGTAATGAGGTTATTGAGATCCAGGAGATGAGTTGGTTTTGCATCAAGTGTAAACCCGAACAAGGTCAGACAGCCCAGACCAAATCTCGAAAGAAGGCTGTAAAAAATGTGAAAAAGGTCGGACGCCCGAAGAAGCAGGCTGTGTCCGAAGCTCAAATTGGTGGAAATTATTATTCAGAAGAAGAACGACGGGCTTATCTGTCATCTCTTTCGCATGATGCGATAGTCCAGCTTGTAATGAAAGTCTCAAACGAGTGGCCGTCGGTTCCAATATTTCCCCCCAACATGCAAACCGTGAAAGAATTCACTCTATCCCCCTCTGCAACGCCACACAATTATCGAGCTTCCAAACCTACACCAAAGAAAGACGCCAATTTTACATTAATTGATTGGGAAACTTTGGAGACCCCGTCTGAAAACGCCAAGGCGATGGATCCAAACCAGCGGATCGGCACGGCGCCTGATACCACAGCTCCTGACGCTACTGCCCTGGATGCTGATAAAGTCTTTGCTACAATGGCCTCCGACCTTGCTTCCGACCCTGCTCCCCCAGTGGCTCTTGGTGGCATCACTACGGACCAAAATGTCGCCGGAACTCCTCACGCTCGTGTTCCCACCACTGCTCTCCAGCCCTCTACCACCACAGCTTCGCAGACTCCTTCTAGGGCCACGCGCAGATTTACATCTCAAGCTGCGCCTGCAACTACACATGCTCGCAAGACATCTTTCGTTTCTTCGAACTCTGACCTGCTCACCGACGACGAGTCATCATACTCCGAATCCCGACTACAATCTCCCACTCCATCTGCGTCTCAGGCTTCACAAGTCGGATCCGAACATGAATCGGATTATGACTCTGAAGATTACCGTGCTTACCCCGAAGCTGGTCAGGGCTTCCAGGTGCCATCGACCCCAAGCGATCTCGACATTATGGCCGAGGATAAGGATTGCCCTACCTTCAGTCATTCTATCCGAGGTTCGCCTAAGGGGGCTCAGGTTAAGAAGCCTTATTCACCACTGGGTCAGCGCAATTAGTGGTGATTGATCCGTGATATTGTTCTTTTTTTAGATCAACGAGGAATGCACCGCCCGGGGGGCGGGGGGGAGCAAGTTTAGTGAATTTATGCTGGTCTTTTCCCTTAAACAATAGGGAGAAAGAGGGATACTTGGTATGATCAAATGGGTTTCGTGGATCGGATTTTCTTTTTCATGCTTTATGTCTTTTCTCATATCTTCAGCTACAACGATTTTGTCCTTATGATATGGATTTCACAGCTTCTGTGTTGTTTTCTTCCTTCATATTTTCACATCTAGATGGGGTAGATACTTGACGATAGCTCAGTCGGCTATTGTTTCTCTGCATGTTTTCTATTCTAATCTTTTCTTCTTTCTTTTTGGCTTGCCTTGATTAACTGGCTAGGGGGCAGCAGTATAGGTGTTCTTGTTCTTTCAGCTACTAGCAAAATTAGAAAGACAGTACAATTCCGAAAGAACTAATTGCGAAAAGAGGCACAGAATACATAGTTTACGACTCGCACCGCTGCAATCAGGTGCCTTCCCGTTTGGACTCGTCACCCACCTATGCAGTTTCCCAAACGCCTTGAGCCACTAGGTTCCTTCCTTTTTGGGTAACTCGTCACCCACCCCTATCGCCCTCAGCCACTGGGCAAATATAAATACCTGGCCCCTCCCATTTCTCTCTCTCCTTCTTTCTTCATCCTTCAACCACTCCGGGTCCACTCTGTGGTTCCTGTTGGGTATCATTTGATTTTTTTGACCGGTTGATCAGCTCCAATACATATTCAAGATATGTCTATATAGTCCGATGAAAGGTTGTCCTGAGGACTCTGGCGGGCATCCTATGGAAGCTCAGGCTAAACTGCGAGTGCACCAGGCATGTCTATGCAGGCTCCCAACTGGCTGCCTTTGCGATGACCTCTGCGGATTATCCTGTACGTCTGGGCACTGTAGGTGTTCGCCGGGGGCGCTGAATCAACCTTAGAAGGGGCTCTGCTCTCATCTCCTTCGACCCAATTTTTGGAACCTGTATTACAGAGATAGCTCTCTGTTGTCTGGTGAAGAATTTTCTGAGGACACTTCATTTATTTCAAGGTTCCTTTTCATTCATGTCATGGGCTCTTATGGAGGATGGGTACTGAAGCTCTTGGGGTATATACATACTCTTTATCAATTACCTTATGAATCATGTAAGGCCTGACAGCCCCCACGAACATGTATCTAGATCAAGTTAGAATGAAGCATTTCTGAATGCTAGCCTGCCGGTACCACATATTTTTGTTATAGGCCAGTGAGTGTTGTAGATGAATTCAGCTTGAATAATGAATATCTAGACTAATACTCCGTAGAGCTGAGTCCTTAGACATTTCTTCCGACTTATTCTTATTGCTTTAAGATAGACATCGAAATTTGATTCAATTGGAAGTGAAATAACTGAGATATTGCAAAATAACGGTCGACAAAGCCCAATTTTCTACAGTGAGCTTGTTTTATAGATCGTGTTATCTTATCAGCCCCGCAAAACCAAGCGCGTCTCGAATCTCTCGAGATTCTCACTCCTCACTGTACATCTCTGACATCCAATATACAGGATCCAGAGTCAAATTCAAGGCAGACATTGAAATGTCGTCCTCAAACCCCCAGTTTCTAAAAACAACAGCTAAACCACCCAACCTGACCCCCAGCCCAACCAATCCACGCACCAACCTCCTGACAATCGACATCCTAATAAGCATCCTCTCCAAATCCCTCCTCCACCCCTTCATAGCCTGGATTCTCGTCCTCTGCCTGCGTGCCCAAGTAACTCCATCAACAGACCCGGCCTGGATCATCAGCGTGAGTTATGCAACGGCCCTGACAGTCCTCTCCATCGCGCGGGTTATCAACCAGCGCGCCGCCTACGGTTGCCCACGCACAGTCGATTTCGAGAATGAGGTCGTGGTCATCACAGGTGGGGCGAGTGGGTTGGGTCTGTTGATTGCGCAGATGTATAGCATGCGCGGGGCGAGTGTCGCAGTGCTAGATATTAAGGTTGTTCCGGAAAATAGCCGCGAGGAGGTCTTTGGGGAGGGTGTTTTGTATGTTACATGTGATGTCGCGGAGAGAGGCGCGTTGGAGAATGCGAGGGAGAGGATTTCACAAGAGGTAGGTTTGTTTATTTGCTTTTGTTTTCGTTGTGTGTCCATATCATTCTGCTAGTACTACGGTTCTGGGGATTTAAATGGTTAAACAAGTTATTTTTTTATTGCGCGCTATGGCTTGCTTCAATTGGGGTCTGATTCGCTAAACGTTTTGCAGTTAGGGACACCGACGATCGTTATCAACTGTGCCGCGGCCAGGATCAACGGCCTCTCGCTACTTGATCTGCCAGCGGACGCATTCGAAAAGACCATCCGCACTAATCTCCTGGCGGCTTTCCATCTGTACCAAGTCTTCTTGCCTGGGATCATCGCAGCAGAGAGTGGAGGAACCCTTGTCACAGTCAGTTCCGTATTGGGCCAACTGAGTGCTGCGGGACTGTCAGACTATGCAGCAAGCAAAGCCGGACTTAGCGCGCTGCACCGAACAATAGAAGCGGAACTCCAGGGTAATCCGTTGATCAAGACATTGCTAGTGGAAATTGGGCAGATGTCTACGCCGTTGTTCGACTGGGTGCGCGCACCGAGCCATTTCTTTGCGCCAGTCTTGGAACCGGTCGAAGTTGCCCGGGAGATGGTGGCGGTAATTGATAGCGGTCGAGGTGGTGTGATCAGATTGCCTATTTATGCAACGCTCGTGAATTGGTATGCCGTGCTACCCGCTACGGTGCAGCGGGTTGCGAGATATATGAGTGGAATAGATGCTGCTGTGACTCAAAGCCAGCAGGCATCTGGGAAGACATATTGATAGGTGGCACGAATGGAGCCGAGCGGTGTATATTGGCATAAATCATGAAAAAGGGCCCCTGTATGAGTCCAACCAAGATGTATTATAAAGCAGAGCGATCTGCTTCATTGAACATATTCCCCATTCGACCATGGTTCCGATTGCAAGTCTTGCGCCCGAGTCTGGTCAATGAAAAGTGAGAAACTAAGAGGATCGATTTATTGCTCGCTGGCCAAAATCATCTTCTCGCGCTCATGGGTTCTCGGCGCCAGGTTGCTCTTCTTAGTATGCTTGCGCACATTCTCCTCACGTCTCTTAATAGCATTGAGCTCCTCGCGCTTGATTTCGCCAGCCTTCTTGATAGGCTTGGGCACATGACGCTGGCGCTTGATGCGGCGAATCTGGGGCATGTGGGAGTACCGTTTGATCAGAGCTTGATCATACTCTAGCTTGGAGCGTTGGCGGGCAGTCTTAACTCCACTGCGGTCCGATGCCTTGGCACGCCAGAGACGAACATTGCCATCGTCCGATCCTGTCAAGACATACTTGTTGTCAGGCGTGAATGTTGCCGAGAAGACACGTTGCATCCGCTTTGTGTGGTAGATGTCACGCGAGTGACCAGTTGATCTGTTCCATAGGCGGATTGTCCGATCATATGAGGCAGTGACCAACTCCTCACCCGTAGGGCTGAAATCAACATCCATAACAGCAGCCACATGGTCCTTCAGGACGTTGAGAGCACGGTCCATCTTTCTCATATCAAAGATGTAGGCGTTGTGATCCTCATTGGCCACAGCGAAGTTGAACGCTTCCATTGGGTTCCAAGAGATGGCATTAGATGCCAGCCTCAATATTGTTTTGTGCACAGGCTGGGAAGTACGCAGGTCATACATGATAACTGAGCGGTCCATGGCGGTCGAAGCCAGAATAGAAGTCTCAGTCTGGTTGAATGCAACGGATGTGATAGTGTCAACGCTGGTCGGCCAGTGCAGAGTCTGTGATGGTGTGGAGGAAGGCCGGGAAAGGTCATAAATAGAAATGACACCAGAAGCAGCAGCAAAAGAAGGGAGGCTTCGGTGATGCGTGACACTTGTGAAGGCACTATTTCCAAGATAGGTTGCCATCGGTGGGGCCTCAGATGATGAGTTGTAAGGATCCCACAATTTGATCGTCTTGTCACTCGCGCATGACAAAAGCTTTCGCTCCGGCGTCCAGCACAGACCCTTGACCATATTTTCGTGACCTTGGGTATTCCAAACTTCACCCTGTGTCGTAAGATCCCACACCTTCACCACACCATCGCCACTGCCACTTGCAAAGCGTTCAAGCGAGCCGGGATCCTTTGCCATGGAGTAAACACCGTCAACGTGTCCGTTACCCATCTGGGCTAGAAAAGGAGCAGCAAACATGCGCTCCATCTTGATCGCATTGAGGGCTCGAGTGTATTCACGGGCCCGCTCAAAAGGATGCTGGGTCGGGTCGAGATTCCGCGACTGGCGAACGACAGCGGACCCGGGGGCCTGCTGTGACGCTGTGGAGCGGGAGAGTGCTTTGATTTTCTATAGTTGATTAGCATGGCTATCCAATAAACAAATTTTCAAGGAAAAATACTCACCATGGTGCTGTTATGAAAACGATGTAGAGAGGAAAAGAAAAACGCCAAGATGGAACTTTTTTTCTGTTTGATTTGCCAAGCGGGCGGTGAGACGACGATGAGCTGCCGCCAGCTTCGAGCTCCCCATTCGATCTGGTCATCAACCTCTCTTCAAACCACCATCTTCTCTTGTTCTCCTTCTCTTTAATTCCCCATCCCTCTCGCTCGCCATTTGCCGTCTTTAATCATGTCGTCCAAGGTCTCGCCACGGATCCAAGAAGTTCGAGATCTGGTGAAGGAGGATCCCTCGAAAGCAGCAACCAGTTACCAGAACATCCTCTCAGAGGGCCCCGGGTCTACAGAGGCCTCTTCACGGGACTATGAACAAGCCTTGATTGGGTTGGGCGAGTTGCATCGGGATGCGAAGAAGCCACAGGAGATTGCGGACCTCATCAAGACTAGCCGTGACACCTTCTCGTCATTCGCCAAAGCGAAGACGGCCAAGCTGGGTAAGTTGCGCGCTGGATCACTTTTATAGAAACCAGCTAACTGTGATTTTTTAGTCCGTCAACTTCTGGACCTGATTAGCGAAATCCCCAACACACTCGAACTCCAAGGCAACGTCATCCAATCATGCATAGAATGGGCTATTGCCGAGCGACGATCGTTCCTTCGCCAGGCCCTCCAAGCCCGACTTGTTGCCATCTATATGCAAAAGCAATCCTATTACGATGCGCTCACTCTTATCAACTCTCTTCTCCGTGAGCTGAAGCGTCTGGATGATAAGCTTATGCTAGTGGAGGTACAGCTGCTTGAGTCGCGTGTGTACCACGCTCTAGGCAACCAGGCCAAGGCACGCGCTGCTCTGACCGCAGCACGAACGTCAGCCGCGTCCGTTTACACGCCGCCCAACCTACAGGCCGGTCTGGATATGCAGAGCGGCATGCTACATGCCGAAGACAAGGACTTCACCACTTCATACTCCTATTTCATTGAGGCACTTGAGGGTTACAGCTCGCTCGATGAGGGTGACCTGGCCACGGCGACATTGCAGTACATGCTCCTGTGCAAGATCATGTTAAACCTGGTGGATGATGTCACACAGCTGCAGGGCTCGAAACAAGCGCAAAAGTATGCCAGTCCACGACTGGAGGCAATGAAGGCCGTGGCACGGGCCCACGCCAACCGGTCTCTGGAGGAGTACGAGAAGGCCCTTTCGGACTACAGATACGAACTTGGCAGCGATGTATTCATTCGAAATCACCTCCGTCGTCTTTACGATGCCATGCTGGAACAAAACTTGATCAAGGTTATTGAGCCCTTCAGCCGGGTCGAGCTGGACCACATTGCGAAGATGGTTGGTTTGGACACACAGCAGGTTGAAAGGAAGTTGTCCCAAATGATCTTGGACAAGGTGATCATCGGTGTATTGGACCAGGGCTCAGGGTGTCTAATTGTGTACGATGAGACAGAACGGGATCAGGCTTACGATGCCGCACTGGAGACAATTGAAAAGCTCGGCAATGTGGTGGAAGGGCTGTATACTAACCAGGCATCTCTTCTGGAATAGAAAGGATGGATATGTCCAATGCAGTTGAGACGGATGACTTGATAGGAAATAATCGAGACAATGCACGATCACACTCTATACCCATTAGATCTGCACATACTTAGTATTAAACATGTAGACTGCCTTTCGATATTTAGCTTCTAGTGATTCACAAAATCCAAGTAGGATAGGTAAGTAGTACAATGAGTTTTGTTCCCTCAACGGTGTTGTTCGCGATCATCCCAAAAGGGTAAAGCGCGACGGGCAAAAGAATCGCGACCTCGCATCTCCAACATCTCGCATCCTTCCCCCCATCTGTCATCCTCCCACCACCGTTTCGGTGCTTAATTTCTCCATAATGCAAGCTCCAATGCAGCAACATTATGCTCGGGCCATGCCCCCAAATGCACAGCGATCTCCAGCCGCCCCCCGTCGCCCCCCAGGGCCAGGTATGTCCCCTTTGATCGGTCTCCACCCATTCGTCTCGGCTCTAATCCTAACATCTCTATAGGTGGCGCAATGCCTGTTTCGATGCCACAGCACGCTGTTGCTCAACAGTACATGCCTTCACGGCCCATGCCACACCCCAACGATGCTGCCCTTCGGCGCAGCCGCAAGCCGACCGACAAAAATCTCCCCGATAGTATTGAAGACGTGATCATTGGCGAGGGTGTTCAGCAATATAAGAACCTTCGCGACTTGGAAAAGCGATTGGATGCCGCTGTTGTGCGGAAGAGGCTGGATATCCAAGACTCCATCAACAAGACCGTCAAGAAATATCGGACTATGCGCATCTGGATCTCTAATACTGTCGAAAACCAGCCATGGCAAGGTCCGGGTAACAATCCAGGCTCCGGCCGCTACAAAGTGCGCATTGAAGGACGGTTGCTGGACGATGAGACCGACCCTACGGTTCCCAATGATGACGAAAAAGACGAAGATGAGATGGACTATGACGAAACCGAAGACAAGGCGAAGAAAGCCGAATCCAAGAGCCAGTCCCAGCGTTTCTCGCATTTCTTCAAGGCTATCACCATCGACTTTGACAAACCTGTCTCGGCAATCCCCGAGGAGGTCAAGCCGGTTAACTGGTCTAAACCAAACACACTCGCCAATACACCAGCGCCCCCGGGTGTTGAATTTGATAGTCTGCAGTTCTCCCGAGCCTCACAGGACAATCTGAATGTCACTATCAGCCTTGTCCGGGACGAAATTCCAGAGCGATACAAGCTGAGCAAGGAGCTAGCCGAGGTTCTGGATGTCGAAGAGGAAACTCGGAGTGGAATTGTTCTCGGAATCTGGGATTACATCCGCGCCATGGAGTTGCAGGAAGACGAGGAGAAGCGCCAAGTGCGCTGTGATCACCGTCTACGCTCAGTATGTGCTTCGAATATATGGTCTTTCTCCACCCCGCTAACAAGTTCTACAGATCTTCGGCCGGGAGCAAATGTTCTTCCCCCAGATCCCTGAAAGCGTCGGTCCTCACACCAGCCCAATGGAACCAATTAAGCTTCCCTACACCATTCGTGTCGATGAAGAGTTCCACGCTGACCCGACGCCAACAATCTACGATATCCAGGTCGCAGTTGAAGACCCGCTGCGCACCAAGATGATGGCTCTCACTCAGAACCCGGCGTACACAACTAGCCTACGCCAGATCTCCTCGCTTGATGACCAAGTTGCTTTGATTGTGCAGGCCCTTACACACTCCCGTGCCCGCCACTCATTCTACACTGCTCTGAGCAAGGACCCAGCCAACTTTGTTCGTCGCTGGATCAGCTCTCAGCGCCGCGACCTCGAGACTATCATGGGTGAAGCCACTCGTGGAGGCGGTGAGGATGGTAGCGGACCTGAATTCCGTTATGGCGGCGTTGATGGCCCTTGGGACTCTGAAGTTGCCAAGGAAGCTGTGCGGTACATGCTGGCTAAACCCGAAGCTGCGGCTGCTCGGTAGATTTTCCAGCTTGTCTTTTCGTTTTAACTCGCATCTCCACACTGCCAACCATTATGCAAGGGAGATGGATTGATGTATTCTTTTTTTTTTCTCTATCTGATACAGGGCGCTTGTGTGGTGTTCGGACTGGTGTAGCCGGGATATGACAGGCAGGATTGAATTATTTTGAGATCCATATTCCAAGAATTTGATACGATGCAGATTCCGGATTTGTTTGAATAATTTTGTTCCTTCTATAACCCAGTAGAGCTGGTTGTCTATTATCAACATGACCGAAAGGCCTCTCAAATTGCATGGACCTTGGCCCAAATAAAGAACTAGTTAGGTGTGCCTTGTAAACTTGTACACATTTCAGATTCTGAAAGCCATCACGCCACGCGCTGTATCTCTGCCCCCAGTGTAAAGGGTCCAAGAGCTCAACAAAACCAATGTGCACTGAAGCTAGCCAACATAACTTCAAGGGAAAGCAACATAGAGAGGATTCACAAATAACCCAATCAATCAATCATCAAGCAAAAACGCACGAAATGGAGAGAACTTAACAGCCCTCAAAATACTAGATTATAATGATAATCTAAACTCACCCTCAACCCTCAAGCACCAGGCAAAGGAACCTTTGCAACAAGCTCTGACCTCCGTTTCCGCAACTCGTCACCAAGACCCGAGTCGACACCTGAGGAGACCTGTGCCTGCAGCGATGAAAGATCACCCTGCATGATGGCAGTCTCCTCCTGCTCCAGTTTAGAAGCCGCCTCAAGGACAACATCACGCACAATATCCTCTTTGAGCTGTGCAGCCTTCTCTGCGCTGATCCCTTTCTCACCAGCAGCAGCAGTCTCAGCTGGAGTGCGGAAACGCTTGAGAACAGTCTCAACCATCTTGGAGAACCAGAAAAAGTTCAGACAGTTCAAGATAATGTTCGATCCGACGTAGGTCAACACCAGCCACGTCGGTACACCTCCTGCAGTGTAGTCCTTAAATTTGGTGAGCTCGGCGTTAGCGAGCGTGCAGGCTTCGTTGGCACACAGGCTGCCATCGCGGATTGGGGAGAAGACATTTGCATTGACACTCGCGGCTTCAGAGAGTGGGGCTGCGGCTGCAGTCCAGGTTTGCTGGAGCGCGTTCCACATGTCCCCGTACACCACGACGGTTTGCCAAGTGCCCCAGACGAGACGGCAGGCAAAAAAGCTGGAGAGAAGAGCCATGCCGTTGTACCATTGGGCGCGGCTGCCGGTCATGTTGACTTTGTCGAGGAACCAGTGGATATTGAGGAATGGGCTGGAGAGCTCATAGAGAATGAAGGTCGGGGCGAAGTAGTTTAGGAATGGTCTCTGCGGAAACTATGTTAGATGTGTCTCGAGTTCGAAAAGAAAAAGACTTAAATGCTGATGATCTTCGTTATACCGAATGTATCGAGAGCAGGTATATCCGAGAGGCAACTTACAAAGCCTAGACTAAACACCCACAAGGCGCTGATAGCATGGAAAAGCATACCGATGCCGAACATGCGGACGTGTATAATGCTAACAATCAGGTCGTATACAAAGTATCCCACGGCCAAAGCTTGAATGAGACCACAGGCACCTGTATATGCGAAGACTCGCTCGCCGGAGGTCATGGAGCTACGCTCCTTGTCGAAGTACATGACCCACAGGGCGAAAGCATTAATGACAATGCTCTGAACAAAAGAGACAACATGGATATCCCAGTTCAGCTTTGTCCGGGGAGTGAGCTTGTTGTAAGACTGAAAGAGGATTGGCGAGAGCCAAGGCGAGAGGACCGCATGGATGAACAGGTAGAAGGCGAACGCTGCAATAACCTCGTGAATATGGTGGGCAAGTGTCGGGCTGCTGAACCGGATGGCATAGGGCTCAGTGAAGCTCCGCAGCCATTCCGGAGGCGGTGGGAAGGGATCCAACATCGTGGGAGTTCCCCTCAACTAGCTGTGATCACCCGATGTGGGGGAAAGCTCGTTGGGGTTCGGATATCGGGGGAATGTAGATCTATATGCAGTTGAGAGGGCACCCTATCCTGTCTATCATGGAGAAAAGAAAAAGGAAAAGGAAACAAAGAAAACCCAAGGAACTAGAAATAGGAGCGAAATATGTAGTTCTAATCGAAAATGGAGTTGAAGGTGACCAGGTAAACCTGCCCAGGTGGCCTCGCATGGCCTCAGGCAGCAATGAATTGTTGGGGTCACATGATCACTTGCCTTGTTAGACTTGGTGGCTTGCAGATGTGTGTTGTAGGTTGGGGAAAAAGAACATGGGGGTCTACATGGACGAGTCATTACAGGGAACATTCCAATAAGTCCAAAAAAAAGATTTATTACTTGTGATTCAAAAAGATATCTGTGAATAGCCTGGTGACCTTTACCACATGTACATATATATGTACAATCTTACTACCACATCACATGAGAATGTTCTAGGATTTAGGAGGATTTAGGAGAGTAAAAAGAAAATCATCATTAAGCAATACACATCTCTGGTTACAAACGAAAGTCATCCAAGTCATCCAAGCGCAAAAACACAACAAGAGTGGTATATGAAAAAGAAAGAAAACATCAATGGTGCTTGCACCAAAGTTCAAACTCCATCCCCATCCAAAACGAAAAATTTCAATCAAACTGCAACATCAGTGCCAAGTCCACTATCGCTTGAGGGAGCCAACAGTTTTAGAACTTCAGCTTCCGCAGCCTCATTGGCCTCCCTAATCTGGCGGGATATTTCGTGATGCTCATTCTGGTGCTCATTCCCAGAATGCTCTGCATCCTCTCGTGCTGTTTGTGCATCGTCTTCTGACTCGGACCCATCAATAGAGATATCATCGTGACGGTCCTCATGGTCATGCTCTGCGATTGAACTTTCTGCCACATTGTACGACTCGGTGGAGCTCACTCCGCTAACCCGACGCTGATCTGTGGCATCTGTAACCACGCTGCCCATGGTGCTGCCGGAGTAGCTTGTCTTGCGCTCCGTGCCTACATTGCTTGCTGCGTAGCTTGTTCGCCGATCAGTGCCAGCGTTGCTTTGGGCATAGTTGCGTTCTGTTTCAGTGCCAATATCGGATTCTGCGTAGCTTGTCTTACGGTCGGTAGGTGCGTTGCTTTGTGCGTAACTGGTCTTCCGTTGTGGACCAGCATATTCTGCTTCGCTGGCAAGCTCGTCCTCTTCGTGGAATGGTTCGTTCTCTTTGTCGGCAACAGAAGTTGGGCCAGCCCAAGAAGTTTTGCGAAGGGAGGTCGATTTGACAGAGTGGCTGCGCTTCAAGTTCGTGATACCAGATTTAGCACTCGTCTGTCGGTCCATACCGCGGTTGCCTGTGACGTGACTTAAGCTAAGAATCCGACGCTCTTTTCCGATGTTGGGCTGCACAGCGATTGTGCCAGCGTGAAGCGAGGTCGGCATTCTTTTCAAAGCCATCCCGACACCATTGCCGAGTAGACTGCGGCTGTCCTTGGGCTCTTTGGCAGTACTGGCAGTGCTCGCCACGCTAGGACTGCGGGCGCCTGTGCGTGAGGAACGGGTACTCCGCGTGCTGCGGTTCCTCTTCAGGCTCATGGCCTGCGAGCTGCTGGACCGGCCAAGGAGGACGGCACGAGCATGGTCGAGCACACCCTCTAGAATTCGTTTCTCAAGGCCATCTGCACGGTCCTCCATTTGTCGCATCTCCTCGTGGCGTATTTCTAGGGCTGTTTCAAGACCGGACAGATCCTTGCTGAGCTTGTTATTTTGCTTGATGAGGTCTTCTTTCTCTGCTCTTAGGCGATGGATCATGTTCAGCGTAGAATCCTTTTCTTCATTCAAAACAACAAGCTCCGCTTCCACTTGTTCACGCTGCAGAACTCTTCGTTCAAGGGCGATTGCAGCCTCCTCAGCTTCACGCCGCTTTCGCTCGGTATCTTCAGCGACCAGCAATGACTGGGCAGCGAACATCTCATTCATTCTACGAGAGTTTTCCATGATGTCCCTGTGCATCTCATCAAGCTTCGTCATCTGGGCAATAGAATGATCGGATTCCGGCGGGTTCAGAGGACGGCTGAGCAATTCGTCCAGTTTCTCGTGAACAGGAGCATTTCCATTGGTGACGTGATCTAGTAGCTCATCAAGTTTCGTCATCTGGGCAATAGAACGATCAGATTCCGGCGGATTCAAAGGACGGCTGAGCAATGTGTCCAGTTTCTCGTGAACAGGAGCATTTCCATTGGTGACGTGATTTAGCAGTTCATCAAGCTTTCTCGTCTGGGCAACAGAATGATCGGGTTCCGGCGGATTGAGAGGACGGCCGAGCAATGCATCGAGTTTCTCGTGAACAGGAGCATTTCCATTGGTGGCATGGTCTAGCAGCTCATCAAGCTTTCTCGTCTGGGCAAGAGAATGATCCGGTTCCGGCGGGTTGAGAAGACGGCTGAGCAATTCATCCAGTTTCTCATGGACAGGGCCACTGCCATTGGTGGCGTGATCCAGCAGCTCATTCAGCCTCTCATATATTTGATTATTCGAACCTGACCCTTGCTCCAGAGCACGATCAAGCTTTTCGTGGAGCTGGTCATTCTTCGAGTGGTCAAGAAGAGTGCTCAAAACCTCGTGAACCTTGTTGTTCTTGGCATGTTCCAAAAGATCGTCAATTTTGCTGTGTAGCGGAGTATCCTCTATGGCAAGTGTACGGTTCGATTCTGGTGGAGGCGGGGCAGGTAGCATCGCTGGGATAGTCGAGGGCAATGCTGACAGTTCTGACTTGAAGTCCTCTGCTGACTTCTGGGAGTGATCGTAGTGCTGGCTGACAATTGTCAATATCTCCTGCACAGACTCCAAAATACGAGGGTGGAAGTCGAGGAGCTTGCTCTCCACTCGGTCAGTGGCAGCCACGGCCATTTCGTTTTCTATTTGAGACTGCTCCTGGTGCGACCTCACATCGTTGTGCATGTCGTCCATTTTCTGGCGGGACTGATCGACTTGTTCCATGAGAGCCTTCGTGTCCACACTTAACCGCTCACAGGTCTCATTAACAGTATCACCCATAGCACCAATGACAAGCTTGATGTCCTCAGCAAGGCTTCGTGTACTTGTCAAAGATTCGGTGTGTGCTAGGTCTCTCTCTTCGGTTTCTGAGAACTTCGAGTGGAGGGAGGTGTGCGCATCCTCGTACTTGGCCAGGACTTCGGAAATCTTTTCGTCAATCTTTGTCCCAAGGTCCACGATGATGGCGGCCCGCGTCTCGTCGTGTTTGACCATTGTAGCGGCATCCCGCTCCTCCTTTTCGACCTTGATCGCATCTTCCTCGCCCCGAGAACGTTCGAACTCTCGGTTAATAAGGTCGGTGAGCTCCTTGATGTTGTCGATGGTGGTGAAGCTCTCTGCAGTGACTGCTAGTCCTTCCAGAAGCTGTTTAAGCTCACTAAGCCCTTCGTTGCTGCCGTCAAGCTTGCTCTTGAGTTCGTCCCCAAGCTCGCCGACGACAAACTTAGCCTCGTCAATTTTATCCGCAAGACCACCGTGTTCAATCTTACGGGCATCGAAACCTTGGGCGGTTAATTCGTTATTACTCTCCATTTTCTCTCGGAAATCACAGACAAGTGTTGATAGCTCCTGGATCTCCGCCTTGGTGGGGAGAGTATCCACATCGGGAAGCTTAAGCTCGTCGACTTGAGTCTTGACCTCAAAGATCATGGCTTCAACCGTTTGGAGATCAGACTTGAGTAGTTTCTCCGGATCTTCTTGTTCTTCGCCATCCTTGGTTTTGGTCTTCATTTCATCTAGGATAACCCAAATATCTTTGATAAGACCCTCCAAAGTGCCGATCTCAGACTTTGTGGGAGCCTCGGCTTCGACGCGACTAGAGAACTCGGCAATCGAGTCCTTGGCCTCTCGGATCATGGTCTCCAAAGTTCCAATATGCTCAGGAGTGGCCACCTGATCCGGCGAAGGGAAGACAAGCTCATCAAGCTGGGTCTTAGTGCTCAAGATTAACTGCTCGAGAATATCTGTATCCTGCTTTCGAGCGGGGTCGTGATTCTCGGTACTTTGTTGAGCACTCATCTCGCCCATGGCGAGCTGAACTTCGTGAAGCGCTAGAAGGACTTCATCGAGGTGTGAGCGCTTCAGGGCATCCTCAGCAGGCTCTGCCGCATGAGGGGCGGTTTCAATGGCCTCGATCTTTTCTTGCAGCTGAATGATGAGCACTTTCAAGCCATCAATATCAGGTGCGATGCTCGGCTCACTTGCCAGCATGAGTTCGCCGCCGCGGGCAGTACTGGCATCATCCAGTTCTTTGCTAGATTCACGGAGGGAATCCATTTCAAGCTTCAGGTCCGCAAGACCATCTTTAATAGTATGGATAATCTCAGAACTGTCAAACTCGGCTGGCTTCTCCAATAGTTTTTTCAGATCGTCACGGATCGAGTCAACACCATGTGTGAATGCATCGTGGAGCTCACTTGTCGCGGACAACGTACTTTCGCTACCATCTCTTCGCGAGGCCTCTTCGCGCAGGATATCGAAATGCTCGCGGAGTGCCGAAATGATTTCCTCTTTCTCGGCAGCAGGTTCCGCACGAACGACACTCATCTCCATGCGCTCACGAAGACTCTCAAACTCCTGCTTGATGGTGTTGACCACATCTTTTTCGCTGCCGTCTTTGAGTGAGATCTCCTCGCGCAGGGTGTCGAAATGCTCGCGGAGTGCCGAAATGATTTCGTCGTTCTCGGAAGCAGGCTCCGTCGTACGAACAATACTCATCTCCATATGCTCTCGAAGACTCTCAAGTTCTTGTTTGATAGTGTTAACAACATCCTTTTCGTTACCATCCTTGAGCGAGGTCTCCTCGCGTAGAGTGTCGAAATGCTCACGAAGTGCGGTTATGATTTCGTCTTTCTCGGCACCAGGCTCCGCACGAACGACACTCATCTCCATGCGCTCTCGAAGAGTCTCGAATTCCTGCTTGATGGTATTGACAACGTCACCACTGGCATCATTCTTGTGGCGCTCAGCAGCCTCTCGAATAGCATCCAAGATCTCATCTTTGTCTTCGGTGACATTGCTGCGTAAAAGAAGAGTTGTGATTGTTCCCCGTAGATGCTCGAACTCTTTTTCCATGGCATCCAGGAGCTCGGGCGTATCAGGAATATTTCGCGAGGCATTCGAAAGCGATGTATCAGTAATAGTTTTCTCCATATCGGCTTGAAGAAGTCTGAAGCCTTCTTTGACTGTGTGAATTACTTCATCCTTGCCGGAAAGATCGGCAGCAGTAACCACGTAAGTTTCAATCTCCTTGTGGATGACATCGAGGCCATCCTTGATTGCGTCAAGGACCTGCTCAGTGTCTCTTCCACCGGCGGCCGAGTACTGCTTGAATTCCTCCTTCATGCCTTCGAATAAAGTCTGGAGTCGTTCCGTCATCTCGCCGCCAACATTGGTATTTGCGGTACTGATGGCCTCATTAAGACCGGAGGTGATTGCCTCCATGAGGTCGCCCTGGTTCAACTCAATCTCGTGAGTGATCGAGTTGCCATTTTGAATGCCTTCTGTGATGGCAGACAAAATCTCCTCCCGTGAAATGGACGGCTCTTGGACGTTGGTGCTGAGCGCTGACTGTTGGCTGCTTGTTGAGGCCTCAATGCCCTCAGCGATAGCACTCATGATATCCTCTTTGGAGACTCCTAGCTGACCGTTTATGTCGAGCGAAGCATGAGAGTGCTGAATACCATCGACGATTGCAGTGAAAATTTCCTCCCGAGAGGGAGTGGAGTGCTGATCTTCACCCTCATGCTCAGTGGATGTGAGAGCGCGCGAAGAAGAGCTGTTCGACTTCTCAATACCGTCAGCAATAGCGTTTAAGATCTCGTCTCTGGAGATATTCGATTCCTGGCGGTTTGATGAGTGCTCTATGCCCTCCAAAATGGCACCGAGGATCTCGTCTCGAGAAATACCAGTGTCCCCATTGTTGCTAAGAGAAGGTCGCGAGTGTTCGATGGCATCTACGATGGCGCTGAAAATCTCTTCGCGAGACACAGTCTGGTGAACGTTGGTACTGAGGGCTGATTGCTGGACATTCATTGACTTTTCCATACCATCGGCAATGGCATTCAATATTTCATCGCGAGAGATGTTTGTGTGAGGAACAGTAAGAGCTGATTGTTGAGCACCAAAGGCTTCATTGACAGCGTTCATAACATCATGGCGGGAAATTCTTGGCTCATCCATCTCCTTGGCCGCAGTGAAATGGGCTTCGAGGCCATCGGAGACAGCACTCACAATTTCATCTCGACCAAGGCCAGAGTCGTATGAATCCTTGCTCAGCGTGCTTTGTGCCATGGAACCGGCCAACGCGCCAAGGATCTCGTCTCGGATGGAATTTAGATGGCCGATGTTGTCTTCATCCAAAGACCTGGAGGTGCCGTGGTTTGCCATTGCTCCAGTCACAGCTTCAATGATCTCATCGCGGATGGCGTAGAGGTGGGTGACGTGGTCGTCGTCTAAAGTCTTCGGCCCTGTGTTATTGACTGCCATCGTTCCAGTAACCGCCTCCAGAATCTCGTCACGAATTGAATACAAGTGACGGACATGGTCTTCGTCCAACTCCCTTGGGCCTGTGCTGTTCGTAGTCATTGCTCCAGCAACTGCTTGAAGGATTTCGTCCCGGAGAGAAGTAAGATGACTCGCATGGTTTTCGTCGATAGATTTGGAACTAGCGGCATGGTTTGCCACCACCCCAGTGACAGCTCCAATGATCTCATCGCGAATAAGGTATAGTTGATTGACATGTTCCTCGTCCAAAGACTTGTGTTGTGTATTGTTGGCTGCCATCGTCTCAGTGACCGCGTCGAGAATTTCATCGCGGACTGAGTAGAGGTGATTGACATGTTCCTCGTCCAGAGACCTCGCACCTTCGTTATGACTCGCCATCGTTTTCGAAACAGCATCCAGGATCTCATCACGCATCGAGTGAAGATGGCCGACGTGCTCCTCGTCAAGAGATCTAGAGATAGGCTCGGGCTGCTTCTCCAAGCATTCACGGATGGTCAAGATGATCTCGTCCCGAGATATGCTTGGCGGATGTTCGATTTGCGGAGGCATGAACCTCTGCATGCCATCCTCAACGGCTGCAAGAACCTGATCGTAGGTGACTGCCTGTTCGTGCTGGGGCTTGTACGACTTGAGCCCTTCTTCAAGACATGCGAGGATTTCGTCTCGTTCCAAGCCAAAGTTGTTGAACTCGATTTCGGGCTTGTAGGTCTCCCAGGCTTCACGAACAGTCTCAAGGATGTCTTCTCTGTCCATTTCAGCACCTCGTGATACGGCTTGAGGTTGAGGAAGTTCCAGCTCATCGAGAGCCTTTTTAACAACAGAGTAGATTGCGGCACTGTTCATAGTCGATCGGAACTCGGACAAGTCGGACGATTGCTGCCGACTCTCGTTAATAGTAGCAGCCAGCTGCTCTTTGAGGTCGTCCAGGCTGCGGTTGACAATGGCGGAAATCTCTTCGGGGCCGGCAGCCCTTGGCTGCTCCTTGGGCTCGTCATTGGCACTGGAAGTCTCGATCTCGTCTAGTCGTCGACCGAGTTCTCGGCCCATACCGAGAACCTCGCCTCGCAATTCGCGTACCAAGGACTTCACATTGTTGGTCATCCCACCTCCCTCGACGACGCTATTCTTGACACTTCTGAGAATTGCCAACACTTCATCGGAGTTGGATGAAGAGCCATCTCCCTTGACAGATTTAGAAAGGTCTAGTGCACGTACAGTTTCAGGATCCACAGGGCCCATTGACTGAGATCGGGTTGCCTCGGGGGAAGAATTTCCAGATTGGACATTATCAAGACTGTAAGATCGGACGAGGGCTTTGCTCGCGGGATCCTCTTTGACGAGGTTGAGGATTTCTTCGAGCATGACAGTGACCTTGTTATCCGCATCTTTGTCCGAAGCAGTAGCTGCGGGTCGAGATCTAATTTCTTCAACGAGCTCCAAGAGCCTTTCCTCACCTTCCTTGGTTGCCATCTCACGCAATACCTTTTCGAGCAAAGCGAGGGCTGCGGAGCCGTCGGAAATCGGTGCAGGTGAGACACAAGAGTCCCGGTCAAAGGCGAATGGATTGGGGCTAGGCATGCGAGGCACGGAGTAGCTCCTCTTCGAGACGGGACTATCCGGATCCTTGGGGTTAGACCCATCACCACCTTTGAAAAGATTACTGAAACCAAACCTTGTAGCATCAGCATCCAGATACTTCGTTGTAAGATGAGAAGACAGGTCCTTAAGACTCTTGCGAATGTCTTCATCGCGTGCGTTTGTCGCTGCCTTAAGGCTGACTAGGTCGGTGGCATTGTCTTTGCTGCGTCGACTCAAATTCATCATTTCGCGCTGCAAGCTGCTTGCAATGTCCGTGAGACTGTGGATTTGACTCGAGAGGGAATCCATGCTCGTATTCTTCATGGGATGAGCTTGAGGCTCAAACGGCGCAGCAATCAATTTTGGCGGTTTGGAAGGTGATGGAGGGTCAGGTTCTAATGGTAGCTGCATGTTTTGCAGGGCTAACATTGTAGCTGACGGCGGAGTACTTTCTCCCAATATTGGCTTAGACAAGTACCGACTCGATAGAGAGTAGGTCATCTCTCGGTCCACGTCTTGACGGAGCGCTGGTGAACTAATGGACTTTGTAGGATCGCGTGGCTTGGCCGCCTCAATGATTGTTGCACGAAGAGGGCGCTCTGGGGATCTGTTCTCAAGGTAATTCATAAAGTCGCTGCGCGTATCTTGTCGGGTATCTTCAGGTTGTAGTGACTGCATGCGCTTGTGGTGGTGGCCTTTGACCAACGACCTCTCCGGAGAAGATGACTTGAGTGGCATGGGATTTGTTGTGTAAGAGCTTGGTGCATGTTCGCTGGGTCTTTCTGTAAATTTTGCAGCCACTGCCTGAATGTTGGGAGAGACATTCGACCTCGTCGCAGGGCTCATTGGGCTCATTGAACGAGGATTCATTGGTAGCGGCGGAGGCGCACGCTCGGGATCAGAACTATCCCACCTGCGTAGGCCGCGTTTTAGCATTTGTTTGAAATCATCCATGAGACCAGTCAAAACAAGAATTGGGAAACATTAGTTGCACAACCTACATTGGAACTTTAGACTCGGAGTATGTCATTGAATGCCGGACCAATTCCCGGTCACGGGGAGCGTCCTTCTCTTGGGATGGCATCTTCATGAATGGATTGTCAAGATATCTCAGAGAGGTATCGACAATATGGATGGAATGTATGTAGGGTATGTGTAGAAAGGTTAAAAGTAGAAACAGAAGCAAGGTCATCAAGGCATATCAACACAAGGGAGGAAACGCTGGAAGAATAAAGCAAAAGCTAACAATCAGAACTCGGTGGAGAGAGAAAATCACCGGGAGATCAGCTTAATAAGAGGAAAACAAGTGGAGATGACTGTTGACTGGAGAAAGAGAGGAGCTATGCACTTGGGCAGCCTTGTACACATCACCACACGGCCATAGCAACCGGGGCAACTACGATCGTCATGTAAACAAAACCTGAGTCAGCAGCAATAAGGCGGTGAGCGGGGCTGGGCATTTAGGTAGGTGGGCCCGGCCCGATACATCGATTATGTCATCACTTAATCCGGGCCCAATGGGGAAACTATCCCTAAATAGGCTAGTCGCCATCTGTCGGTAAGTCGACCAATCAACCCACAGCACACAAATCGCTACTGTGCCCTGAAACCCTCTACCTCACATCCGCAAAAACGAACACTTCGATCTTGACCGTTCCGTATCTCGACAACCACCCATCCTCGCCGCCCCCGGGACCTTCAAAATGAAGTGTACGTCTTCACTATTCAATTCCCCTTGCGATCTATATGCTGACGGATATGTTACAGTCATGAAAGTGGGCCGTGTGGCCATTATCACCCGTGGCCGCTACGCCGGTAAGAAGGTACGACAATATCCTGATCCTCCCCGAACTGAGCACGAGCATGGAAAAAGGCGAACGACCTGCAGACGGAATATTGGAGATTTGAAAGAGCACAACGCAATATGGAGGAACCACGCGACAATTGAAAAAATTTCGGAGTGCTAATCAGGCGTTTTGTTCGAATTTACAGGTCGTCATTGTCCAGCCCGTTGATGCTGGCTCCAAGTCGCACCCCTTCTCCTACGCCATTGTCGCCGGTATCGAGCGTTACCCCCTTAAGGTGACCCGTGGTATGGGCAAGAAGCTCGTCGACCGCCGCAGCCGCATCAAGCCTTTCATCAAGGTCGTCAACTACAACCACTTGATGCCCACCCGTTACACTCTCGAGCTTGAGGGCCTTAAGGGTACCGTCACCAACGACACCTTCAAGGAGGTCTCCCAGCGCGAGGACGCCAAGAAGACCATCAAGAAGGCCCTTGAGGACCGTTACACCAGCGGAAAGAACCGTTGGTTCTTCACTGCCCTGCGTACGTTTGGCCCAGGATATACACACATACACTTTGGAATTCGACACTAATACTCCAGAACAGGTTTCTAAACGGTTTACTTGGGCGTTTTGTCTTTTTGAGCGCACGGGTCTAGGTGAAGGCGAGGTCGAAAAACCATCGAGCACATTCGGTCCCTGCGAGCATGGAATGGGAAAACATACACCATGACTGGAAACAGATTCGTGAATGTATCGATGAACTCCAGTTTTAACGGGGGCGCCACTTCCATACCTGGTGTCCGTCTGAATGAAATGGAAAATGAACAATTATTTCAAAATCAATGTTGTCTATTACCTGAAAACTGGTCGACATCTTCCTCCTTCACATAGAGGCCTGGGACAATTTTGGTCTGTCATCTCAATGCAGATAATTCCCACCTGGATGGTCTTGTAGCTATATGGTTTGTCCCAGGTATTCAATTCCATGGTGCCATTGCTACGATTGATGTATCCATGCCCATCTGTAATGCGCAATCGTAGTTCTCAAAGAACAGTTGCTTTTATCTTGGCTGATAACGCTAGATGTTCTCTTTCCTAACTACATGTGTAGTTTAGTCCCGAACCCCACCACCGTTTTGAAAGAAGACTCCATCCTTGAACCTCGAGGAAGATATGTAAAGGAAATCCCCAAAGGCCTAGGTCCTCATTTCCATGCTTGAAGATGCAATTATAGATTCTCTTCCTCCACAGTCTATGTACATAACACATGGGAACCCCCCACACCCGCCAAGATATATATATCATTCCTCCGCATGTTGGATGGGCGTAAACCCTCGCAAATATCTTAATACCAGCAGAATTGGATTTGAACTCATATCCAACATGTGCAGCATTGGCGCTTGTGCTGCTATCTTGCTGACCTTGAAGTTTTCGGCCATGGAGCCCAACAGTCTTCTCATCTACAAGGTATGTAATCAAGCAAAGAGCCCGGGGCGGCTTTGATTTTAGTGGACGACTGACACTCCCTGGTCCTACTCTCGCTAGTCAAGAGGACAATGGCCTTTGAATGATATCCCCGACGTGTTCTTCGAGATAACAGAAACGAATTCTTTATTTTCATTGTCTTCTTTTTATCTTGATCCCTATGACTTTATATTATGATATAGTATTTAATAGACCATCTTCCTCGATAATTCTTCATCGGCTTCACCATAACATCTAGTCATCACTGAGCTGTTCTCTCAATCACTTACCCGAACGCACGCTTAACGGTATATACCAAATTGCAAGCCAATATATCACTGGCCATCCTATTTCCGCAACCATGCCTTTCCCTCTCAAAACTATATACGAGGATCCTCGTGAGGAATGGGCAGACGACGAGATCCATTGGCACTACAACATGCCAATGATAGTCGTGCGAGCCAGGCCCCATGTTCTGATGCGTTGCAACGTGTGCTGCGATACTGCTTCAGTTCTAAAGACATCGGTCAGTATCAATAAGTGGATTAACGCCGAATATTTCATATGGCAGATATCCGCGGCGCTAGCTGACACCGGCGTAGACCCACAGTGGACGGAGCTTTTCGAAGAACAATACAATGAAACGTGGGTGCAGATCCAGCAAGAGTTTGATAGCATAGCCGATCTGCCCGAAAGATTCCTTCGCGAGGTTCCGGCTCCGCCCTTCCAGATTGCAGAGGTGAGAATCCAGACTAGCGAATTCCCTTGTTACTGGCAGCTCTGTGCGAACACAGGCCGACACATGATCCACACGAGCTTCTGGGATCTTTGGAAGTTGATTCTCCAGCAGAGCTCGCCCGCTGTTGGGACCTTTGATGTTATTCTCAAAGCACCCTCGCACACTGCTTCCGGTGAGGATCTTATTGATCCTTGGAATATGTCTTTATCAAGCAATCACACTAGTGTTATCAGTCATGAGGATGTTTCCTATCTCGGCTGGGAGCACGTACACAATGATTTCGCTCCGACCAATTTCACGTGTCTCCCTGAGGGAGAGCAGCGAGATAATATCGCTCCAGCTAGCCGCGGCCGATCACGATCACGGTCACAATTCCGGTCACAATCATAGTCACGATCACATTCTAGCTCAGCTATTATGGACCTGTCGCAACGCATGCGAGATCGTATTTTTTTGAGAAGATAGTGTGGGGCAAGTCCACTGCGGTGCCCTAACACTTGCGAAATATCTTTTAGTTCCCGAAAAGGTGGATAATAACTACCGTAGATAGGAGATGTTATTTTATGAGCACACGATAGGTTTTGTTCTGCCCTTGTTTTTTTCCCCCTGGGCTAATGTACGTTCTTCTTTTCAAACATACATCCACCTTAAATGCACTCTGTCGTTTTGCTAATCTTTCTCAAAACGCAATATATAAGACGTAAAGAGCAGAACCGATGTCTGGAATATCGCAGTTGTTAGATATACATGATTCACGCAAGATGCCAAGATGGAGACTACTAAAGCCATCTCAACATTATCATGTTGAAAGCGGGAATATAGAGTAAAAGATCACATGCCGAGTCAATGAATACTTATGTAACTGTTATGTACCGATCACATAGTTATGCAATGGCCGATTTTGGCTTCAAGTTGCAACTAGGAGTCCTTACGGGCGCGGTCTAGACAACAAAGCGACAACAAAACACACACACTAATGCATGGCATCATCTTCGACAGCTAATACCCTTGGCACACCTGTTGACGTGGTACTCTCATTCAGGGCTAATGTGGCTAACAACTGCCAAGCCAAGGGCAAAGCGCTTCAAGAAAATTGAAGCCTTATTCGTCTGATTTCATGTGACCATCCCGAGTTGACCAATTGATCAAGGCAACGAAATCGAACCCTTGATATCGAGAGCGCCAACGCCAAATGACACCTTAGTTTCGCATGTGAAATGGATATTTTCTCACTGGACTAACAGCGGATCACGGACCCCCGCGACGCTAGATGTTTATAAGGCTCTAACCGAGACGCCACCTTCCACCTGGAGAGGTATTTCAAGTCCGCCACCCGGAGTACCTTGGGAGGCCATATTCTCACGATTAGATTTGTCGATTCGATTATAAGTCAAAAGTACAAAGGGAGTGGCGTGCTTGCCATAGTGTGAACCAGGAAGGGGTTTTCCACTGCGCAAATTTATAATGTAACAGCTCCGAGAGGTGATAGGTTGAATACTAATAATATAGTTTCTGGAGGGGGAGGAGGGGGGATAAAACAGGGGTTGTACTTTAGATGCTGAGACAACCGATGCTGGTCAAGACCCACGATATACAGGGATCTGCATAGTAGCTTAACTGAGTGGATTGTCAGTCGATCGCAGCGATCCCGTTTGGCCAAGTAAAAGAGAGAGAAAAAAAAATTCGTTTTCCTTCGGCTTCAAATTTCAATTCTTATGACATATTTAGCTCCATATAACATCTTCAGTTTTGCATGTGCTGACTACAAGGTTGGGAAATCTGGCCACCTCTCGGCTTACCCTGATAGTCGTGTGGAATATCTAGCCGAATATGAACCTTGATTCAATAGGAACACAAGTTCTGGATATGTACAAAGTACGAAGATACCTTCTAGCTCTCACATCAACCACCCGGGCTAATAAATATACTACGGCCATAGTATTATGGTCCTATCGAACGCGACCGTTTCATACTCACATCAAGCGCCGAGATTCGGATGAATCTAGAAATCTACGACCAATCACTTGGCCCGGTGCATGCCCGGGGGCCGGGAGAACGACCTTCAAGCTAGGAAAGGACTTTGCGCAATGACTTGCTCCTCCTATATTTGGACCGGAAGTCGTTACGTATTCCCGGCGAGAGTACAAGGGGAGAGGTTCGGGGAGGGGTGTGACGCTCAGGCCAATGTACATCACTAGCATCAGTAATGTAGGCGCAGACGGCCTAGACTCGCATAAGCTAGAAGCCGAAGTGTCATATTCTAGCAAGCTAACAGCGGCCATTTACGGCCACTGTCTAGGCGGTTTTATTATAGGGTGCAGATAAGCAGTTTTGTCCAACGAGTAACGGTGAAACGGATGAACAAGGTTTATCATGCGAAGCCACCCCTCATTTGAATCAAATCTGGGGGGATATCAAACCCTTGGAAGAATCTTGGAGTTTAATAGTAAAAGTGCTTTTAGAGACAGAATACATCGATCATCGATATCGATAGAGATCATACAAGTGGAACCACACGGCGTTTTTGCATACCCGCAATCACATGCAAAAGCAGCTTATCAAAAATTCATAGTATTTTTTTCAACTTTTCCAACTTTTTGTTTTGCCATCAAAACAAGTATATTTTAGTATGAAATAGAATATATACAATACCTAGCCGTAATTAGCAGTTAATTAGCAGTAGGCAGAAGGGTTCAATTGCCCTAAGTCTGCAGTGCATGGTGCCCAAAGTCAATGGCGCATTGGCGTGGGGGGGGGGGGGGGGGGGGGGGGGGCATCACATGGAACCTGAGGCTGTTAGACACTTTTCACAAAAGAACAGACAGAAAAAAAAAAGAAAAGGAAAATCTACATATGTCTAGATGTAAAGCAGACTGAAATAGCGAACCAAAATAACCAGCCGAGAATACATCATGTACGATATGTATTGCAAAGATGATACGATTGCGGTAGGACCCATTGCAGCGCAATCACATGTGAAAATCCTACTTTTCTATACAACCCAGTTTATTCCTCTCGCTCTCTCTCTTTTTTTTTTTTTCTCTCTGGATTCTTATTATACTACATCATACTCAGATTACTATCTTTATGCCCCACACAGAAGCCAAAATGGGTGAACCCGTCGTCAACGGCGAGAAACACTACTCTCAGTTCCTTGACGTATGTATCACAACCCCCGCTACAACACCAAAACGCATAATTAGCGCCAAAATTAGCCAATACTAACTAAACACTCTCAAATTCAGCATCTAATTTCCTACCCGATCATCTCCGACTCCATCTCTTACTACAAGGGCAACCCCTACGGAGCCAAGTCCCTCGAATATGCCGACCAGGGCTACACTCGTCTCGCCAAGCCCGTTCTACCCTACTTCTCCACTCCCTATAGCTATGTCGCTCCCTACCTAGCTCGCGCCGACTCCCTCGGTGATAAGGGTCTGACTCAGATCGACACCCGTTTCCCTATCTTCAAGGAGGACACCCAAAAGCTGCGCGGCTCTATCTACAACAGTGCATCGCTGCCTGTCCGTGTCGCTGGTGATGTCAAGCACCATGTCTTCGATATCTATGGCTCTGAGTACAAAAAGTGCGGTGGCGATGGTGTCCTTGCTTCGAGCAAGGCTGTTGTCACTACCAGCTTGGTTCTGTCACAGGAATCACTGGCTTGGGTTAGCGCTTTCCTCCAGGCTAAGAAGGAAGAAGCGAAGGAGGTTGTCAATGAGAAGAACAGTCACTGATTTTAGATCTCTTTGAACTTTTGGAGCGTTCTTCTTTTTTCCTTCCTTCTTTCTTCTTTTTTTTTTAGAGAAAATAATACCTCATCGCGGCTCTGTGTGTGTTGCTTTGCCCTCGTTGTATTTAGTTAGCTTCTCCCAGGTCTATCGATGTATGTTGTACCTCAACACTTTATTGGATTTAATAAGCATATAACCCTCTATATATGTGGACATTGCAGAGCATATTCTTTCATTAATAAATGATCAAAGAAATTCTTTGAAAATATTCCTAAAATAAGACAACTGACCTCGCAGTTGCTGAAACAAAGAACCATTGATAAGGGCCACGCACAGACCAGCCCCCGATTGGGTAAAATCGTTCTATCGCGTCGCGTCTCCCCAAACCCATCTACAACCCACCACCATACCTACATAATAAAAATGCCATCAACTCGTAAAAGACGGGTACGCAACCTTGAATCCGCTCGGGTTATACACCAACTAACCTCCACCCCCAGAACAACGCAGGATCCGACACCGAGTCAACTCCAATTGCGCGTCGGCGCAGAAGACAAAGCGAAGAACCCGACTCATCATCCGCACCAAACAGCGACGATGACGGGCCAAGCGCACCGACAAGCACCGATGCAATGGTCAAGAAAATGGTGCGGCTCGCCATAGCAAGCGAGTACTCGCGGCTCCCGATCCGGCGCAACGACATCAGCGCCAAGGTGCTGGGCGAGCAGGGCTCGCGGCAGTTCAAGTTAGTCTTTGACCAGGCGCAGCGGGAATTGAAGCAGCGCTTTGGTATGGAGATGAGCGAGTTACCGGTGCGAGAGAAAGTCACCATTACCCAGCGACGAGGTGAGTTCGATTTTACATTTTGCTTTTCTTTGTTGCGGATTCACGCTGTGTCTAAGTAATCACCACTGACATCCCATACAATAGCTGCGCAGAAAACCGAAAAGCCTTCCTCGGCTAATAAGTCCTGGATCGTTACTAGCACATTGCCCCCCGCATACCGTTCCTCTGATATCCTCATTCCAACTAAAGCACCCTCCCTCTACACTGAAAGTACATACACGGGCATATACAGCTTTATCATAGCGGTGATTATGCTGAATGGCGGTTCGCTGGCTGAGCAGAAGCTTGATCGGTATCTGGCGCGCACAAATGCTGAGGTTGCTACGCCGGTCGACCGCACGGATAAACTGCTGCAGCGACTATGCAAGGAGGGGTATATTATCAAGACAAGGGAGATGGATGGCGGTGAGGAAGTGATTGAGTATGTCCTTGGCCCGCGGGGTAAAATTGAGGTTGGAACTAGTGGTGTGGCGGGTCTTGTGCGAACTGTTTATGGGAAGGAGAAGGGTGATCATGCAGGCTTGACTCCATTTCAGCGGGAAGAGCTGGAGGACTTTGAGGGCAAGCTTGGGAGGAGTCTTGGAATTGAGCCGGCGCCCGTACGAGCTAGTGGGGTGAATGGTGCTACAGACGTGGATGGGGGTGCTCAAGTTAATGGGAACGGGGAGGAACGCGAGGCGCCGCAGAGCTCGGGACCTAGACGGTCTACGAGGCGTGGTCCTGCTCAAGAAGAGGAGGAAGACTCCGGTTCTGAGGAGTATGAGGAAGAGTGATTGATTCATCTTTGATTCGCACGCCGTGATAACATGGATACATACTACATGTACATATGTAGGTATCTACAACAACTTGATACCCAAGATACGATAGGCCATTTACGTACATTTGACCAATATTTGCCTTATGGCCCTTTACTTATAGTTCGAAAATCGGGACTATGCATTGTAGACTCTTGAAAATGTCCAAGTCCGTGGGCGCTTAGCTTAAAATTGAAGAAATCATCGAAACCAGACGTTCTAATTTGTCCATTTATTCCAGCTTCGCGCAGTCCTACAATAAAGCCGCATTGTAAGAATCGCAAATTTTAGCTATGTAGTAAGTGCTTTGTTCCAGTTGCTTGGTTTATTTATTTTCTTCAATCACCAAGCCGTCCATCACTGTTCGTGTTTTGAGAGAAAATGACGAAGTCATTACTAACACTATTTAGATAAATAGATCCATACATGTAGAACCCAAAAACACAAATGGTCTAAAAGATCGGCATCTCTACGATTGAAATAAGGTTCCGAGGCTGCAATTGACTTTTATAGATCTTCATGCATTATGTACTGTGGCAGATGAGCAATTTGACCTAAATTTTTGATCAGACTCACTCAAAAGGCTATTAACCTCTTTAGTTAACCCTGAAAGCCTAGATTGAATCCGAGATTATACCACAACGCTAATAATACCTAAATCTTAGCCATCCCAATGTCCTACAATGTAGGTAGTGTTCAGTGCTCAGCAGTCAGGAGTTCGGCTCATCATGCTTAATGGCAAATTCTTCCGTACTTAGAACACATTCTTCATTGTGAAAAATGATACTAGAAAGCGTCATATACCCGTGCTTTGGAAGGAAGAAAAATTTATCCATAGGAACATCAGTCTGTTCGGTATCCGCGTACACAAATAATATCTGCTTTGCTCGTGACGACTAGAAAGGCGGAAGGATACCAGCTCAGCTCCCCACTTGCCCCTGCATCATCACGAGGTTTTTCTTTCCTTATTTCTATTGGTATGTGTTGCGACGATATCATTGAGGCTCTTCCCCACAAAGTTGTTCGAAGGCGCTAGGCAGACGAGATGTGGTCCTTTACTGCCATATTTTCCATTCATTCCTTATCTAGTGAAGAAGCAATGCATTCAAGATCACTGGCGGAGATATCAATTAGGGTGTATAACACGAAGATTGCGGAATCCAAGTTTTTATCGCTAAAATCCCCAAGCTCCGGGGAGTGGGAAGGCAGGGAAAGGTCGAGATTTGAATCCATGACCAATAAAATACATAGTTTGTGACCAGTATTCAATAGAAAAGGAAATACGAGGCCTTTGATCAAGTAAGATAGTCAAGGTATGGATTTGAAAAATAATAAAAAAACGAACCTTTTGTAAGTTCGCTTTTTCAACGTCCTTCCTAAGCGAAATAACTTCGCTGTGATCTCTGGAAAGTACCTTATACCTCGTAGTTGGCGGCTCCACGGCCGAATATATGGTAGACGCGTGGAGTAGGGAGTCTTTGACCTCCTGGTCAGAGATCTTCACCCCGACAGATTGATTTGACCGGAACTAAGATGGCTAGATTAGGGCCAGAGGCAACAGAAGCACGGGCAAATCCAACTTCGATAATGAACCACTAGTCTACCGCGTGTGATACTTTGACTACGAAATGCATTTAGTCGAACACCATCACAATGCCCACCTCTGCTAAAACAACTTCTACCACAACATTTCTGGCAGTTACCTACATATGTACTCGACTACATTGTCTTTCTACCCTCACCGTTGACTATGAACTCCTCAAACACGTCAAACACGATAACCTCCCCTATCATTATAACCACAGCAACTCAACCATACGTTGACACAAGTCCGTATATTTGTATTGAGTGGAAGAGACACAAGAGGGAAGAAACAAGAAACAAGAGACAAGAGACAAGAGACAAGAGAGAACAGGCACTGGACTATATATATGAACTATCGCGCGTACATAAATGACAGATATACAACATACATATATTCCCGGTTGATCATATGTCTGGTGATTAAGTCATAGTCGATTCTACAGAGAAAAGTCTAGAGTAGTCCTACGAATCAGGATGGAAATTATATGTGGTTGGGTTCCAGGATATGGTGCTAGTCTTTGCTTGATATCTTTGATATGAAGCAGATTCGAGGATTATGGATAATCCTTGAATGGGTTTACTTTACAAACATGGGAATATGAAGATCAAGTCAAATGATAGATTGTATGTATGGGTAGTAGAAAGAAATAAATACCTTGAAAAAAGTATTGTTCGCAGTCTAGACAAGAGGTACAGGGTGTATGATATAGTACTGTGTACATGCAAGTCTATCAACAGTAGGCAGGCAGCACACGCTGTAGAGCTCTAGATCAAGTCACCGAGGGTGGGATAATCATACCATCCAATGGATGATTATTCTACAGACTATTATCTATGTCATTACAAGCTTATGAGGAAAAGAAGAAAAGAAGACATTTGAGTCATAAAAATGTGGGTAGTTATTTTGAGCAACTACACAGCAAATCTACCTTGATCCCATAACTGTTTTTGAAAAGAAAAAAAATCATCACGGCATAATGAGCATCATCCGAGAATCATTTATTTCTTACCAGCCTTGGCAGCGGCCTTGGTGACCTTGCCAGCGCCACCAGCGTTCTTCTCAACGGACTTGATGACACCGACGGCAACGGTCTGACGCATATCACGGACGGCGAAACGACCGAGAGGGGGGTAGTCGGTGAAGGCCTCAACACACATGGGCTTGGAGGGAACCATCTTGACGATAGCGGCATCACCAGACTTGATGAACTTGGGGTTGGCCTCAGTAGCCTTACCGGTACGACGATCGATCTTCTCGAGGAGCTCGGCGAACTTGCAGGCAATGTGGGCAGTGTGGCAATCGAGGACTGGGGCGTAACCAGCACCGACCTGACCGGGGTGGTTCAGGACAATGACCTGGGCGTTGAAGGAGTCACAGGCAGCGGCGGGGTCGTTCTTGGAGTCGGAAGCGACGTTACCACGGCGAACCTCCTTGACGGAGACGTTCTTGACGTTGAAGCCGACGTTGTCACCGGGGTTACCGGCCTTGAGCTGCTGGTGGTGCATCTCAACGGACTTGACTTCAGTGGTGACGTTGGCGGGGGCGAAGGTGACGATCATGCCGGGGGTAATGATACCAGTCTCGACACGACCGACGGGAACTGTGCCAATACCGGAGATCTTGTACACATCCTGGAGGGGAAGACGGAGGGGCTTGTTGGAGGGACGGACGGGGTTCTCAATGGCGTCAATGGCCTCGAGAAGGGTCTTTCCGGTGGTCTTGCCAGCCTTGGTCTCCTTCTCCCAACCCTTGTACCAGGGGCAGTTGGTGGAAACCTCAAGCATGTTGTCGCCGTTGAATCCGGAGATGGGGACGAAGGGAACGGACTTGGGGTTGTAGCCGACCTTCTTGATGAAGTTGGAGGTCTCCTTGACAATCTCGTTGTAACGCTCCTCGGACCACTTGCAGGTGTCCATCTTGTTGAGGGCAACGATGAGCTGCTTAACACCGAGGGTGAAGGCAAGCAGAGCGTGCTCACGGGTCTGGCCATCCTTGGAGATACCAGCCTCGAACTCACCAGTGCCGGAGGCGATGATGAGAATAGCGCAATCGGCCTGGGAAGTACCAGTGATCATGTTCTTGATGAAATCACGGTGACCGGGGGCATCTGTAATGAAATTTATTAATACATTTGTACAACAGGCTGAATTGGGTGAATTGTCTCTTACCGATGACGGTGACCTCGTACTTGGCGGTCTGGAACTTCCAGAGGGCAATATCGATGGTGATACCACGCTCACGCTCAGCCTTGAGTTTGTCAAGAACCCAGGCGTACTTGAAGGAACCCTTTCCGAGCTCAGCAGCCTCCTTCTCGAACTTCTCGATGGTACGCTGGTCAATACCACCACACTTGTAGATCATGTGACCAGTGGTGGTGGACTTGCCGGAATCGACATGGCCGATAACGACGATGTTGATGTGGTTACGCTCTTCCTTACTGTTGTCAAGTCAGTCTCAGTTCTCCTGAAAAGAGAATCACACAATTCACATACCCCATGATGACGGTTGGAAACTTTTTGTAGTTCTTTGTAAGATACTAGAAAAAATCTGTGGGAAAAATTGCTCAGAGACTACGGCAGAACGCGTAGAGGTACTGAGCAAAAGTAATCAGTAAGAGTTGGCAAGAGGGAAAGCTTTAGAGCAGTAGGGGGGCAGGGAAAAACTCACTGTAGCAGACGAGAGGAAGAAAGAAAAGTCTGTGGGAGGGGGGAGGAGGGGAAATCCTTATATGGAGGGGCAAGCGAGCGAGGCGAGTCAGCAGGTGGGGTCAAGCCCTCTTCGGCTAGGGCTTCTGATTGGTTGTAACCCTGGCCCATACACGCAGATTTTGCAAAGTGGGCTGGTGGGATGATGTACATGTACTTCTTGTAATATGCTTTTACTCATACTTTCTCAAGTACCGTCTACTTCTATGCTTGAAACACCTCTCCCTTTCCCTGGTTGTGTCCTGCCATGGCACTCCACTCGGTGCGAATTTTTTTTTCCATCGGCTCCTTCCCAACCCACTCTTGTGGCTCTAAACGCTTGAACTGGGCAGCAACGCAGAGTGGTTGGGTGAGAAACTTCCAGGTTTGCATTGTTTACTTTGCGCATTTCCCATTTTTTTCGGGCCTTGTACTGTGGCGATATTACTTGCCTCAAATCAAATTTTCATCTTTTTTTTTTTCACTTTCATCTTTTTGTAAGAACCCCGCGGATGAGGGGCAACACTCTCACCGCCAACTCATCCCACCAACAATGACATGCATAGACTTTTTTTTTTGCTTCTTTCTTTTTGGCATATAATATGATTCATATATAGAAGTCCTAGGCAACCAATGTCGGGCTCTATATCTGTACTAGACCAATTTATAGCGAATAATATCACAGCTGAACAATTAATTTAAAAGCCATAATAAATATGATATAAAATAGAAATGCATAAACATGCTAGCTCTATGTCCTTAGCCCGAAAAAAAAATGTGTCCGCTGATCACAAAATAATAATCTGTACTGAATGTGATGTCGATCAATTTGGGTATTTGGTATCAACTTGATAGTTTTTTTTGGCTACATTTAACGCCCCATTAAAACATTTGATAAATGCGCCATTTGCACCTCGCTGTAATAAACATAGAAAAAGAAAGTAAAAAGAAAGTAAAAAGAAACGCAAGTGACTTGTTCCCAGTGTTGCTCATCTCTAATTTTCTCTCCACCGAGCACCGCACGAGGTACACTAGAACTGTCAGACACGGGTACCTCACGTTGGACGTAAGGAAACTTACTTTCAAGAATGTAGTCATCGGTTCGTCTGCACTACGAATCTGCAGCTGGAAGAAGTACGCACGTTCCCCATTGCAGGCTTCGGCGGGGCATTGAGCTGCAAGGAAAAGGAAGAGTATGTCAGCTCTGTATATCTCGACGGACACGTAAATTCTGAGAGAAGATAGTAGAAAGAACTTACTGCCAACACTGTCGGCATTGGCAAACTCCTCCTTGCCACCGAAGACATCGTCCACTTCCTTTTGTTTCATATCTTTCTTCTCGAAATAGTTCTTCTCGAGCGGGGCTTCGTAGGGGCAGACGCGGCATTCAAATCGGTTCACACCGGCGGGAAATCTTGTGCTTGATTCAGCTTTGGAAATGGTGAGCGCATTGCTGCAGTTGGGGCAGACTGGAGAGAGGAGTTAGTAAGGCTCATTCCTAGACTGTCGCTGGACACCAACTCGGAGATAGCACATACAAACTAGCATCTTGATGCTCTGGTTGGAGGATGCAGTGGGTAAAACCAAGAAAGTAACACACAGCTAGACTAGGTGGTAGTTAGGTTCTCAGCACCTGCACGATGTAGTCGTCGTTAATCACCGTCGATAAGAGATCTAGACGCGCGGCTAAATCCAAGCGGAACTCGGAGTATCATATGTCCGAGCGGCCCGCGTGTGGGATGTCCCTGGGGAACAACTCCGATAACCTGTATTATTATTTGCCAGGAACTTGAATGCCTATTTGATCCTACAGTCCAGCTTGTACATACATATCCCACTTCATTTCCCTGTGGAAGATCCATTCTGACCAGCAAAATACCCATACAAAGCACTTGGCTCTTGGTACAGCTAGCTTCTCGTGTTACATTACAACTGAGCACCAATTCCTGTACTACCGACTTCACTCTCGGGTATTCCGGACTCTGTGAACCCATATACAGGAATGGCTGACGAGGTGAATACTGCTTACCAGACCCTTGCTAAAGATTGACGCTAATGCAGCTATTATTTAGGGCGCATCACCCCGCGAGCTGATCGTGGAGGCCTGCCGCCGGGACCAACCCCACCTAATTGAGCAAGTGCTGAACGAAATGGAAAGCAAGACAAATGAGCAAGTGGCACAATTCTTCAATGAGGTGACAGACTCTATGGGAAACCACGCATTGCACATCTGTGCCCAGTACGGCAGCTGTACGTGTTTACTTTGCCACATGCACTACCTTGATGCCCAGCTCTTATAGAAGCTAACTCTCACTTTTTGTATTAGATGATACAATGGATGCACTGTTTGACATCCAATTCTTTGAATGTGACCCGTTGACCCGTCTTGACAAGGACACGCCGTTGCACATTGCAGTGCGGTACGCCAACGATAAAGACGCAGAACTTGGTGAGGCCATGATCAAGATGATGTGTGAGGCTGGCTGTGATCCTCGAGTGCGCAATAAGCATGGTCAGAAGCCTGCTGAGCTAGTCTTCAACAATAGTGAGATTAAGAAGACCCTTCAGCAAACCGAGTATATCATGGCTGAGGGTATTCAAAATACCGGCGATGGAGCTGACTCGGATGGTGGAGAGGCCAGTGATAGCGATTAAAAGATGAAATTCATGGCATTCGCATTCTCATCCATTATATTGCAGGCATTCTCTGTTTCTGGTTAGAAGGCCCGAGATGCTCTAGTTGAGATGTCTGTTTCCATACACGAGTCTTAGACTTGGCCACATCTTCTATTTCTATCTTACGATTATTACGAATTAAGTACAGTCTTCAAAGGCTGTTATCATAGAATTGACTTCTTGTTTAAGTGAACTAAACCAAATAGAAATACTATTCATCTATTTCTAGGGGGATATCACAAAGCTGGACTTTCGACGCCTTAACAAGTTTTTCTACTTGATCCAGCCACTTGCGGGAGAACTCCTCTGCGGTGAACCGTTGAGCTGAGCGACGAGCCCGCTGCCGCATAGCGAGTTTTTCTGCCTCTGGAAGAGCGAGGGCGGCCTCGAACGAAGCAGCAAACTGTTCTTCTGTTTCAGCTCGGAACCCAGTTGCACCATCGCCCAGATCAACGACGATGTCCTCGCGTGGACCACCCGAGTCATGTGTCACGCAGATAAGACCAGCGGCTTGGTACTCCACGACACAAATACCAAAGTGCTCGTTCCACATAGCATTGACGCCAACCGAGGCAGTACTAAGATGTGACAGCATGGCAGGCCAGCTGGCGTCGCACAAGAAGGTGGTATAGTCACGGATGCGGAGTTCATGCGCCAAGAGACGCAGGTTGTAGATGTGGGTTTCATCAGGACTGGAATGGCGCACGGATCCAATGAGCACAAGACGTGGAGGGGGTGACCTTCGTAGGCTGGGTTGTTTGCTCGTTCTTGTAAGAATCGCGCAAAGGAGCGCAAGACTAGCGGGTGGTTCTTTTCTGGCCGGAATTGGGCGATGTAAAGTAGAACGGGCTGGCGAGTCTTCTCGCTCTCCTCGTCAACTGCAATGGTTGATTGCAGCTCAGTGACTGCTGTTGGAGGGAACACCACCGCTGGCGATGATGGGCTTCCATCACCGCTGCTGTTGCTGCTTTTCTTGTCAGTGCCCCAGAGCGTGCGAATGTGTGCTGCTGTCCATGACGAGTTGCACATCACTACATCGATCTGTCGACCGACCCAGCCATACAGCTTGGCAAATAGCTCCCAGTACCGACGCTTGATTTTCCCTTTCCACCCCTTCCCTGCGCCAGAATTGATCCCTTGCACTCCGCTCTTGTCGTCAAGAGAGGCGAGCATGTCGGTTGATATGGTCGGGTAATGAACATAGGCACCAACAGGCACCGTCGGGAAAAGCCATTTGCACAGAGCAAGCGTGAAGGCATAGCCCATAGTGTCAACAAAAACATCCGGTACAAGCAGCGTAAAAGCATCATAGGCGACAACCAATGACCCCAGCGACTGTCCCAGCAGCGTCATGTAAGGGTATGAGCTACTAACAACGTACTTGCGGGTCGTCAAATATAAGAGCACCACGGTTGGCGCGTGTAGGTGGATATTGAACCGATTCTCCACCCTCTCCAGCATCGTGGCTTTATTGACTTCGTGGTCACCTGTGTATATAGCGCAGATTGCCTTCGGCCAGCGCTTCTGTGTTGCACATATTGCTTCCCATAAGACTCGTTCGCCACCTCCGCCGGCATTGCTATAGCACCTAGTCAGCGTTATGTATTGCAATAACATATAGGGAATGCATACCAGAATGGGTGGAAGAACCCAATAATCCCATCCCAGTCCTCTGAGCTCTGGTTACTTCCCTCGCCAGTACCACCACTACTTTCACTACCAGTTGCAGTCTGTACCCCACCTGTGCCTGAACTATCCACCTTCTCCCAGTCCTCATCTTCGGCGCCGTTCCGCGGTAGTGAAGTTGCTGAACCCTTCGGTTGTGAGGCGCGTAACTCTTCCTCTTCAGATCGCGCCCGCGCGATCACATATTCGCGGCGAGATCGCGTTCGTCGCCATATCAGCCAGCCCACTCCCCGAAACACTAGACCGAGGAAAACGGCTGTTAGCTTCGGAAGCAAGATAGCCGTGGCGGTGAGGGCTAGAATGGCCACAATGGCGTTTGATAAGACGGCCATGATGAAAAGGCAATAATTAAAGAGACCTCATCAGAAATCGCACATAGTAAGATAATTTGAAGTCAAATGAGAACAAGTCAGAAAATGCTCCCCCTCTCTTGCTGTCAACAAGTTGATCAGTCGGGCCAATGGAGTAACTCCATACGTGTCACATGATGATCTCCAAATATCCGATTTCCGTTCCGCAACTTCTATAGGCTCACTTTTTCTAGCCATTTTTAATTCTTTTTATCTTATTTAACCCCGCCAGCAGTGATGTTCGGCCTCCGCTCGGCACATGCTCTGCAATTAACGCGACGAGCCGTACAATTGCCTCGCTCGCAAGTTCGGCACTTCCACCCAACAAGACCAGCTTCATTCTCCATCATCGACCTTGCACTGGATAGCTCTACGGCATTTATTCACGGCGTCCACACTGTCTCATGTCTACCATGGGTTGCCTCAATCCCTTTGACGGCTCTACTTGTTCGTACATTTGTCGGGTTACCCATCCTGTTATATAGTCGAATTCATCGTCACCGCGAAAGAAAAATATCGCCAATTACACGCGCTTGGATGAAGAGATATAGAGAAAAGCATTCGGTACAGCACCACCGTGATACCTACGCTCGGTTGATACCCCCTGAGGTAAAGCGAAAAATCGTACTTGATACAAGAAAACGAACAGCCGAGCTTCATAAGCGTTGGGGAGTGTCCGGCAAGTACAAAGCAGTTGGCTTCCTGCAGATACCTGTTTTCATTGCGCTCATGGAGAGTTTGCGTGGGATGAGCGGCAACAACAACGGCATCATTGCCTGGCTGTCGTCCTTCATCGAGTCGTCGCAAGACCCTGCCTCCGCAGCCCAATCCCTGCATTTAACCATCGAGCCCACTCTTGCGAACGAGGGCGCCCTCTGGTTTCCGGACTTGCTAGCCGGCGATCCAACAGGTGTTCTGCCATTATTTTTGACTGCCTCGATATTGGGGAACCTTCTGAATGGATGGAAAGTCAAGCGTTGGAGTGATATCCAGTTCCTCCCAAAGATCGAGATGTACCAGCAGGTCTTTTTCTCTCTGGTTTGCGTGCTTTTGCTATAGTTTTCACATGCTATATTGGCTTCGCGAGCTGGATTCAAGAGATGCCAACTGCGCTTATGCTCTACTGGATCACCAGTACCAATATTGCTACGCTGCAGACTTGGGTACTGGACAATAAGGTGTTTTCACCAGTGACATCTGCCCGCTTCCAACCGAGATACATCGCTTTCAAGAAGCCGGGTGATAAGGATCCTTTCCAAATCAACAATTTGCGCTGATTCTCTCCGTGGAAAACGTTTCATTTGAAATTACATGTGTTCTTTCTCATGCCATGAATTGCTCGGCCACACTCCATTATAGAGCTGCGAACTTATACGCGCGCTGGCTCTAAATGAATTCCAGAGCTTCATCAAGATGGAGCCCACATTCACACCACAGCAATTCCATGTCAGACCTGATTCAACCCATGGCCTCTGGGTAGCTGGTACAGACTTGATGAGCTGGCTCGGATAGGATCAGTCATCACAGGAACCCTAGGGGTTGCGTGTCAACGTTCATGCTTTGGTCCAACTCCCCTTGCGAAATGACAATCCAGGATGCGTATAGTTCATCGACTGGTTTCGACATTCATTGTACAGCATCGTTTTCCTTGGCAACCTGCATTTATGTACAATGTTCTTTACTTCTCACAAGAATAGTCGGCCACATACGCGGGTCCCTAACATGAGGATAGATACCTGACCTGTTATATTTTCTATATACCCTTCTAATAAATTAATCATTGTATATCATCTATTAACCTGGAAATTTTTATCCTTCTAAGATAATGGGGGCACATCTAATCGAAATCCTAGTATAACACGTTAACTAAGAAAGCTAAATTTTGGGGAATGAGAATACGGAGTACGGAGTACATCGGTTATTGATACCTAAATATGCACGTACATATGCACATACATTATGTATACATCAGCTTTTAGGCTGTGCAACCTCTAGGGCTGCTTCCAAAGTTTCCATTTTCGTTTTAGTGCTCACCTCTTGCAGCTTTTTGACCTGATCTTCTGTTGTCCCTGGGTACAGGATTCTGTTCATGGGTGATTCCCCGGCTAAATTAGACGTCTGTAGTAGGATTCTTCGAGACAGAGTGATTTCTCGTATGATCCGAGCAATAATATCTTGCCATCTTTAGATGGAGAACTGGGGCTTCATGAAGTGCTCGACAAATAACCGTTATACCGTTGGAATGGACCGTGGAGCACGAAAGACTCAATCTCATCAATCTAATTCTAGCGCTAACGCGAACTACACTATTCCCCAGGAACATCAGCCCCAAAGTTTGGCTTTGCGGAAGTCTAATACCTAGTTTTACGAGGTTCGGACTCGCATTTAGGTATTATTTTGATTTATTACAGAGAGCAAGTAGAATGAAGAACGATAGACTGATTTTGTCGAACTGGGATATGAGATGGTCTCCAGGGCTTATCTAAAGATCAACAAATAAGCATCCCACCGCCTTTTTCTGCCGCTAACCTATAAAACTGTGGGAGAATACATCCAAAGGAAAAGACGTCTAAAAAGAATATATAAGGAGAACATCGAAAAGACTGCCAAAAGGACATCATAAGGCCGCATAAGCATATGTACATAATCTGTCGGTAGAAAGGCGGTAGCCTAATTAGCGTAAATCTGCACCGTTGCCATCTTCCGCCTGTTGAATACCAGAAGTAGAATCAGTTCAGAAAATTGTGGACAAAAACAGAGAAATGATAAACAGGGGGATTAGGCTCAAGAACCTAGAACAGAGAGGAGTTCGGCATTTGCCCCTTAGTAAATGTGATCTGAATTCTAGGTACCATGTTCTATCAAGTGACAAAACATAGCATATAAGCATATAAATATCTATTCCGTAGAGCATATACCCCAATTCCATGTTTAAATGGAGATTGCTAGGAGTAGTGGATTTATCAATTCTCCTCAATATCGGGCCATGAGCTATATAGATAGAGATAGATCCAATATATCCCATCCACTTGAGAATCAGAAGAACTACTTCGTAGTATAGGAAGATGATACAAACCCAACTCCGGATCTATAATCACAAGAAATTATTCCATTTTAGCCGGGCTGAAACTACTAGGCTACTAGTGAGCTTGTAGTGAAGGCTAAATTGGCCCTCGCCTGTCATATGTTGCAGGCATTCGAAGCGAGGTAAGCTCTTTGCCATACTTCAGGCTAAATATTACTTCATGAACTCCTCAAAATCTCTCAATTGCCTCCGTGATCTTTTTATTCGAGATCGACATGGCTCTTGCAATTTTTAACACGGCTTATCCATCTCGACATGAAGTTTTGCGGCATGACTGGGGTGTAGCGTCAAGATGGCACAAAAACATCTCCTTTCGTCTCACATGTTGCATTCTTGGCATAACCAATCAAGCAGTTCTGTAAAAACCAGCAAGCTGCCTATGAAAATATATAAAGGCCACTCAATTTGCCTCTCGGTCTCACTCGCAAGCTCATCAACTCATCAGACTATCAATCCAAGGACTTCTAGCCCTAAAATTCCAGCCATCTCAATTTCACAATGAAGGCCACTTTGATCCTCACTCTAGCCGCTGCTGTCTCTGCTCAGCAGATCTGTGACCAGTATGGCTCCTACAACAAGGGCATCTACACCGTCAACAACAACATGTGGGGCATGGACTCGGGCAGCGGCTGGCAGTGCACCACCGTTGACAGCATCTCTGACAGCGGTGTTTCCTGGCACACCCAGTGGTCCTGGTATGGTGGCGAAAACTCAGTCAAGACCTTCCCGAACTCGGGCGTGAAACTTGACTTCAAGCTTGTTAGCGAGCTTACGAGCATCAAAACCTCCGCCAAATGGAGTTACGACAAGACCAATATCAATGCCGACGTTGCCTACGATCTCTTCACCGCAGCTGATAAAAACCACGTCACTTATAGCGGTGACTATGAGCTGATGATTTGGTGAGATCTCTTCGATTGAATCTCTATATAATAGTGTCTTTTTGGCTGACTGTTGGTCTCACCCAAGGCTCGCCCGCTATGGAAGCATCAGCCCTATTGGCACTAAGGTTCAAACAGTTAATGTCGGTGGACACACCTGGGAGCTCTGGAACGGCTGGAACGGCAATATGAACGTCTACAGCTTCGTTGCTGCGAGCCCCATCACCTCCTTTACCACTGACATCAAAGATTTCTTCAACCTCTTGGTCAATAGCTACTCGTACCCTGCTCACTCCCAGTACCTAATCAGTATGTTCCTCTATCAATCCCTTGCCTCGTATATTGTTTACTAATGTTGAAAATCTTAGACTTGCAATTTGGCACTGAGCCCTTCACTGGTGATGCCACTCTCACTGTCTCCCACTGGGATGCTAGTGCCGTTTAAATAGGAGGCGCCGCTAGGTTCAGGACTTTGTGGATATTCTGAACTAGGGGCGATAGATATATCTGAAAACTTCATTTACACTCGTTTGTCACCACGGGGATTTAGGTAGTTTGAACTCACTTTGGAAAGATAGCGTGGTATTTGAGCCACAAACTTGGTCAATCATGCAATGTTATTCTCTTATCGTTTTCTTTGAAGAAATAAAAGATTGCACTTGTTTTATAATCAGATCATTTGATGGATATTTTCAGCCTATGGTTGTGTATGTATAGTCACGAATAAAGAAACTCTACAATGCTGAAACATTTGCTGTTAACATCTCCAGGACTTGATTCAAATACGCGCGCGGGCCATCCTCCAGCCCCGAGATTACTCGGCCTGAGCTACTTACGGAACACCCTTGTTTACGGAGTGATATATCCGAAACACACTACTTACTATGCAAATCAGACGACAAATTCAATCCAAATTCTGGGTTCCTTTCCCAGTTCCTAGAACTAAAGCCATGATATGGTGCGCAGTGCTAGAATTGACTAAAAGTGAGCTACTATCCCTTCTATAAGTTCACCTAGCTTACTGAGTTTAGTACTTTAGGTATCGATCAACTACATATGTACATACCAATGTAGATAGTTTCATGTACTAATATAACCAATAACCTTATTTGCCTTTAAATAAATGATTGACGCAAGAATAGCGGTACAGAGTAAACAACCCTGTATACGGAGGCGGCAAAGGGACAGACCAGTTTTCTATGACCACCTGGGTAGGGACATTGCAAATAATTTGTCAGATTAGAGAAACTATTCCCTGTTATCTTGTCACGGCTTTGCGATAAATCCAGTAGCAACAACCCGCTGGAGAAAGTAGACTGCAAAATGTATCAAAAAAAAGCCCGCCACCCTTCAAAATGCTTTGGGAATGTCACGAAATAAAAATAAGACAAAACTCAAAACTTATACCTAAAGCTTCGACTTGACAGGCTGTTCTGAGGCACTCGCTTCCTGGTTGACTTCCACAGTGCGTGAATCAGGGCCTTGACCAAAGAAGATGACCTCAACAGTAACATCGTCACTAAGAAAGATTAGCAAACCCTCCAAGATAAATTTGTGAAATAAAAAGGATATTCATACCGGTATCGGCGAGAGTAGGGACTGGGTAGCGTCAACAACGCACACACCATATCCTTGTCCTTTCCGCCCATTGCGTTCCGCACAAGATGCGTTGCTGCGTTCTTATCCTCAACAGTGAATCGAGTAGCCGCGCCAGAGATATCATATTGCTGCTGGCGGATGGGACGCCGTTGGCCTTCAGCCGATCCGTCGGTTGCGGTTTCCACTGGCAGTGTCTTCTGACTATCGAACTTGAACCAGCTCTGTAGCCAAGCTTTGCTACCAGTGCTTGCGGCGGCAGATTGCTGTTGCTCAACCCACTGACCAACCAGGCCGACGACTTCTTCGTTGCTTAGCATCTCCCACAGACCATCGGTCGCCATGACGACAAAGTCGCCCTTGGAGGGATCAATCTTTGTGGTGGTAATGATAGGCTCAGCGGTGACATATGGGGGTGTCTTCAGCATAGGATGAGGAGTGCGTCCAAAGAACTTCGCCTTTATCGTATCTTGAACGTCCCGGCTCCACTTGTAGAAAGCATCACCGAAAGCACGACTGGGTTCAAGCTGGCCGAGGATTCGGCCATTCTTGGTGACATATGGCTCGCCGGGGTGCTCCTCACGCAAACGTTTCATTTCAGATGGGGTGCCACCAGTCTGGTCCTCGGAAAGAGCAGTAGCGGTCCATTTCCCGCTAGGCCCGCGACGACCCAGAACCGCACGAGAGTCTCCGGTAACAGCAACCTTAAGGTCCTTGGACTGGGAGTCATAGAAGCTGAGAAGAGCACATGATCCTGAGAGAGCAGGAGCAAGGAGCTCGGCGGCAACCCGTCGTGATTTAGACTTCATGACTTCTTTGAAACTCTCATGTACGATGTCATTGTCGAGTCGGACGAAGCCCTTCTTGATGGCGGCATCAATAGCCTCGGATGTTGGCACGAGAAGAGATGGATCAGCAGAGGCAGCTTTGTAGGTTGTGTTCAGTTCACGGGCCACATATGATATCAAAACATTGCGCAATTTGGCGGATGTGGTCCAGCCCCTAATTTGTAGTTAGTATTCGCATGATAAGTATTCACCCTTGATAAAACGTACGAGTGGCCGTCAAAAACACCCCAGAACATCCAATCACTGCTTGGCTCACCATTGCTGACAGCAGCCACGGATGCTGGAATCTCCACTATCTTCTCCGCATGGTCGTCCTCAATTGGGGAATTGCTGGGAACCTGAACCACATCATAACGAACAACACCCTTACCGCGATTGACCAGGTATGACTCTTCGTTCTTGCGAAGCTTCTGGGTCGCTTGCTCGGGGGTCAACATCTCTAGGACTTGGCGATCTGAATCGTCTGTATGCTTGGCAAGAGGCTGGTCTCCGGAGAGCGTCGCGGTGTAGAATTGATCGCCGCTGACCAACAATGCACGTCGCGTGGACTCTGAGGGTCCTTCTGCGTAGGCGGAGTTGAGAGCACTCGATGCAAAGCCTCGGATCTGGGTTGCTGCCGATTTAACGGTGTCACCCTGATAAGCATACCATGCCCCAGAGGCTACAACGGTCGAGATAACAGCGAGGGAGAGTTTGCGGCGATGCATCGATGATTGAGGAGCTACTGGAGTGTTGGATGAGCGTCTGCCACCAGAATATGGCCGAATACCTCGCAGCTGGTTGAAGGTCAAAGAGCACGGCCGTTTAGCGGCAATGTTCCATACTGGTACACGCCGAGCAGTACGGCAGGCCTGAACAGTCGCCCGACGCATCGGTCCAGCAGTAAATATGATAGCTGATAATCTTATGTACTTTTTGCAAGGCAGATAACAGCTATGAGAAAGTATGTAGATGAGGTTTCAAGCTTGTCCAGGAGCTGAGCCTCTTCGAGATGGAAGTCACGTGCTAATGTTATCCAAAATAACGCTAGTCCGGATTGGTCTCTGTCGTCATTCCCCGCGGTTTTGTTTCAGTGCGTTCTTTTTTTGTTTCCACTTTCGCAGACAGCTTTTATTCCATACGTTCAAAGGCTTTTGCCTCAGTGCGGAGGATGTCATCACGAGCAATCCGAAAGCTGCAAAAGCTGCGTGAACAAGAACAGCAGCGAGAATCCGACAAGCAATATGAGTCAAGCGAAGACGAATCCCCACGCCCCGCGAAACCGAAATTCAATGCCTTCGATTTGTTGAACGTTGAAAACGAAGATGAGGAGGAAGACGAAGAGGAAGTAGAGGAGGAACCTCGCGTGCAGACACCAGAGCCTGAATCAACCCCTACAAAGCCCAAAAAGAGCAACAAGAAAAAGAAGAAGAAGAAGAAGGCAGCTAAAACCTTCGATCCCGCCAATACCCCGCCTTTAAAATCCAATGAAGCAGATCTGGATGAAATTGATCGAGCGTTGAAAGAGCTATCAACAGGTGGGCACCCGTCAGTTGGCACAAGTCTATCTACCAAACACACTCCCGAGGCCTCTTTTCCAAAGACAACGAGCGAATTGCTCGGCATCGAGCCCAAATTTCTCAATGCAACGAACGAAATGCGCAAGTTGTTTGGAAATGTTGTTCTGGAAAACTTTGATCAACCAGCAGATAATGGAACAGGCCGCCGTCGAGATCGCAATCGACAAATGATTGACCTTGCTCAGGCCTTGACGGGAAGATATAGTCCAGCTAGCCGAGGTCAAAGTCTGGCTGGAGTTACATTGCGACGCAATATCCTTATGCAAGGCAAGGATGAGTGGCCTCGTGCTCCAAGTGGAGGGCTAGGCATGGAGACGGTGGAGAAGCTTCCTTCTGGGCAGACTCTGTACCGCTTAGTGCACAACACCGCCTACCAAGATGTACAACGGCAGTTCGAGCTCTGTGTTGAATCTATGGACCCACAGAGACTCATCGGGCACCTCCAATACAACCCTTACCATATTTCTACGCTTCTCCAAGTGTCAGAGATCGCCAAACATCAAGGTGATCATGCCGTATCTGCCGATCTAATGGAAAGAGCCTTATTCAATATCGGACGCTCAGTACACTCTTCGTTTGCCAATCGCCTTAAGGAAGGCGAGGCCAGACTTGATTTCATACATGCGGAGAACCGAGAGCTCTGGCTTGTTGGGTGGAGGTACATCACCAACCTAGCAATGAAGGGCACATGGAGAACCGCTTATGAATGGGCCAAGCTCTTGCTCAGTCTGGATGACAGCGATCCTTACTGCATGAGACTGCTCATCGACCACCTCGCGCTCCGAGGTAGAGAGTATGCACAATTCGTGCAGCTGTGCACCCAGACACGCTTTAGTCGTGACTGGGCCAATCTCCCCAACATTCAATGCTCGCTGGTAATGGCATACCTCCGCCTGAACAAACCTCAAGAATGTCGTCGACAGCTGCAGCTCGCCATGTCCCGCTACCCGTGGATATTCAGCAGGCTAGCACAGGAACTTGATGTGCAGCACGTTCCCAAGCAAATATGGGGCAAGATGCCTCCTGCAGGTGCTCATGAGCTGTTTACCGAACTCTATATCTCCCGTGCAAAGGATCTTTGGAATACTCCCGAGGCTATTTCTCTCATTATGGAAGTCGCAGATTCTATCTCTGGCGAGGAGCCTAATGATGCACCAGAGATCACTTTGGACATCGCTCGTCATGTGGTTTTGTCCGATATAGCTCAAGTAACAACCCATCTTCCAAACCACTTTGTGGCTGGTCGGTTGTCCTCCTCCGACCCTCTTCCCCCCTATGAATCCGAAGCCTACAAGCAACAATCCGACCCTACTCCCATCTATGCAGCCCCTGCTGGAGGTGGTGGAAATTGGCTACAGGATCTCCTTGGCCAGATCAACCACGACGCCCGCCCTCCCAATGTCCCATCGGATGACGAGGAGCCATTTGGTTTTGAGAATGAGCCCGAAGACACAGAGCATTTCGATATCCCACAGTCTCGCCCACCACTCAGAGATCCGGCAGCCCTTGAAGGGTGGCTCACGCGAGAGGGATTGCAAACTCTTCGTATTTTCCTTTCGCAATATGGAGTCGATAGAGGCAATTGGAGCGAAGTGGTTGTGGATTATGCACCTTTGACCAACTATCTAGAGGCCATGGCGGCAATCTCAGATACAGCCCGCCAACGATTGTTGGACGGCACTATCACGGACTCTCTTGGAGATTTTGCAGTCAGCATGCTCGAAGACGAACTCGCGATTATGCGAGGGGAATGATTCAGTTTCATGATTAGCATGAACTCTGTATTATTCTGAGTACAATAGAAAATAATTGAATGGTTCCATGTACAAATTCTATGTACAATAATCTTGAGATTGTGGCAACAGTTATATATAGCACAGTCTTGGGTTATCTTGGGAATTCCAGTGGACTAAAAAGCCTGCACGTAGAGTTAGGTATTTTTTTTTAGTAGACTCGACATATATCTTATAGCCAAAAAGAGAATTCTTCAATTTTCCATCTAGGCTTTTCTAAATTTTCTAGCACATATAGATCGTTGTCTCGGTAAAGATTTATACAATCAAAGTATATATTTTGTACAACATTCGGGGAATTTTAAAGAAAATTATATCCTATAAGATATTCACATATCTTGATCATAGCAGTACAGAGTACAGATGTAGACATGTACATATGTAGCACATATTGCACTTTAAACTGCATGACTATCATGAAGTGTATCATTGGCTGTGAAAATCCTCTAATGCTTGGCTGATGCATATCATCCCGCACTGACAGATAGTCAATAAACATATTTGTGATTTAAACCTGGAAAGTATCCGTACAGTCCAATATAGACATTTTCAATTCTATAGCATATTAACATACCATCTTTCCAAGTTTTTCCCTACATGCTTTTGGACCCTTGAAAGCTTGGACATAGCGGGACTGCCCAGCCCCGAGTAGATTGTGTCATAGCCTTATCTCCCGCGCAATTTTCTTTCACTCAAACACACATTCGTTGGAGAACATCGAAAGCATGGACCAAGGCCCTATACCTCTAACAGCCCGTGAGGCTGCCTCTGGCCTCTTGGGATCAGTCTCTATGACATGTTGGTTTTTCCTCTTGGTATGTCTGACGCGCAATAAACCAGACTTACACCTTGAAACACAAAAAAACGGATCCGTAGCTAACACAGTTAGGTACCTCAACTAATTGAGAACTATCGCAATGGTAACTCAGAAGCCATTTCTCTCCTCTTCATCTCTGTCTGGCTCATCGGCGATATCGCAAACCTCGCCGGCGGCCTACTATCCGGCCTCGTGCCCGTGATAATTGCGATCGCGGTATACTTCTGCATCGCAGACGGCGTGCTGATCACACAGTGTGTGTACTATAAAGTGCGCAACTCACGCCGCGAGCCTTTCCACCGCCGACGCTCGTCTACAGAGACCCCGGATCCGACTACCCCGTTGCTGGGGCGGCGATTCAGCGACTCCCTCCCGTCTTCTCAGTCGCGGCGTCGGTCTTCGGGCTCACTGCGCGGCTATCAGGCTGATGGTCGACGTGAGAGCGAGGTCGAGGATACCCTGGCCAAGATTGTTGAGGAGAATGATTATGGCCGTAAGGCATGGGTTAAGAATCTTGGTAGTATTGCTGGGATTTTCCTCATTGGTATGGCGGGTTGGACCGTGGCTTGGCAAACTGGAATGTGGGCGCCGGCGCCATTGGACAATAGCAATGGCTCTGAGGAGGCTATTGGGGGGCTAGTGCTCGGGTATTTCAGTGCTGTGTGCTATCTGGGGTGAGTATATTTTTTTCATTGGGGTCACAAGTTTTGATATTGACTTTTGACTGCAGAGCAAGATTGCCTCAGATCTACAAAAACTACAGTGAGAAGTCGTGCGAAGGTATGTATTTGCTGCCCTCCGATAATGCATATGTGAGACTGATGTTGACATTTATCCAGGATTGTCGCTTTTGTTCTTTATTCTCTCTCTCCTAGGAAACTTGACCTATGGTGCAGGGGTGAGTAATACTGCAAGTCGTACCCTGAACTGGACACAAGCTAACGGCATGGATATAGATTCTTTGCCATTCTACAGATAAAGAATATTTCCTCACCAATCTTCCATGGTTGATTGGATCGCTGGGCACCATGGTTGAGGATGTGATCATCTTCATCCAATTCCGGATCTATGCCGTTCAGGAGCCTCGTCTCTCGGCCATCTCCTAAATATTGACATTTGGTCTTTTATCTAGAGTAATGATACCTGGCTATATACCGTTGAATGTGTACTTCGGGTTTAAGCTGAATCTTGGACGAGAGATGATTTGCATGCGTTTGTTGGTTGGTGATGCTGGACATCAGAAAAGTTTGGAATAGCATAGCGTGCTTTGATAGTAAAATGACTGGAGCCCAATATATATGGTCGTTAGTGTCAATGTACATATGGCGCAGTAGGGGCGTGTTGCTCGCAATAGCGAAATGGGTAGTAGTGTACATCACATCACTAATACTATAGATGCAATCATAAGTCCAAGGTAGCATCGTCCTAAACTCTATGCATGAATGTTGTACTTCGTACCGTCAATGAGGACTCCATGCTGTTGAGGGATACCCACAAGGGCCCAGTGCGCTCGACCAAAGACCACCTCGAGATCAAAAAGATCAATGTGAGAGACATCCAACACAACAATCAGCCCTACAGCACTACGTCACATGGCCTACGAACAAGTACCCCATGTAAGAATCAAACGACATTCGTTGTTGGTTCATGGTCGCATGATAGACGTAACATGAGGACCGAGCAAACTAAGCTGGCTGATCCACGTGGAGGGCGAGAAAACGAATCATACATCTACTCGCCAGATCAAAGTAGAACTTTGATCATGGTCAAATCAAGAAGTGTGCCAAACGTCTTCAATTCCCCTAAATCCAGGAAGCAACAATAGTTTCGGAATCGCAGCGGTATCCGATCCAGTCTACCTCGGCCACATTATGACGCGGAGGCACACCGAGCACCCAGTCTCCATTGAATGTCCGTGTCCGTTTGAATTCTTTTGCTAATTTTCTTTTTTTCTTCCCCGGGTTCTAGGTCGTAGTGGGGGTCGTGGAGTATCGAGTACAATAGAGAATCGTCGAAGGAGCCGCCATGCGGCAGCGGGAAAAGAGGTTGAGGAATAGAGAAAAAAGGAAACGAGTTTTTAAATTCGATATGGAGATAAGACGCTTAGTCGAAGAGACCGAAGCCCATGTCCTCATCGGACTCCTCCTTATCTGTAGTGGGGATTAGTACCGTGACTCGCAAACCAGAGGTGTATATCAAAACTTACCCTCCTCCTTCTCCTCAGCCTTCTCCTCAGCGGGGGCAGCAGCGGAAGCGGCACCACCAGCGGGGGCAGCGGCAGCGGGGCCAGCGGAACCGACGTTGGTCAGGAGATCCTTGATGTCCTTACCCTCGAGGGCCTGTGTTGAAAATCGAATTAGTTATCGGATTCTTAAATTGTCGCGCGCGGCCATGTTCTGTTGTTTCGATATTGGCGCATGTTGTGGAATGGGGTCAGGTATTTACCCGGGCGAAGATGGAGGCCCAGATGGGCTCAACCTCCTGGACCTTAGCGGCAGTGATGAGGGTCTGGATCTTGTCGGCCTGAATGAAGATTGAAGGTCAGTCACAGGTTTCGTGTAAAAGTTGCTTGATATCAGTGGCTTTGCAGCAGCTTTGTTGTGTTTTTCCCAAAGCTCAAATTCACACATAAAATAAAGCTTCAAGTGCGATCTTCAAGCCTCCACTATTCCACCAACATCAAGGAATTTTGGATACGTACGGAGACCTCAATACCGTCATCGGCCAGGATGAGGGCGGCGTAAGAGCAGGCGAGCTCGGCGGTAGACATGTCGACGGGTGGTGTTGACCGGACTGGGTGTCTTGAAGAGAGTTGGGGATGGGAAAGAAGAAGAGAGGAGAACGCCAATGATAGACACCCGAACAGGGCAAACGCGCCGTGTGTGGGAAAAAGCCCTCGCTTAGGGCTCGGACTAATCGGGTTTAGACTCTTCCCCTCCTCGTGACTTTGCGCTAAGCCGTAACCGGATATCAACTAGATGACATAATTACATAGATGACATAATCCCCCATTAAACCGCCCACCTGCGCGGGGCCGTGCAGTCTAGTCGTATCTGCATGATCTCCCTATCAATTGATCCATTTATTAATTGCCATCACATCTCAGTGGGCTTCAAACGTACGATCGGTTTTTCTTATCTTCACCACTAAAGGAACCTATACCTTCTATCCAATCCGTTCTCGACTTTGCTTTTTCTAAAGTGCCTACTTATTGCATTCTCCAACCATGGAGTCCCCCGCCATCTCGGTCCCGCTGGATCCGCGGGAGCAGCCCATCCTTGAAAGCCTTCTTCGAACCCGCGATGCACTGCTCCTAATCAAACAGGACAAATCCTCATACATAAAGTCCCGTGATGTCCTACCACTTTATGAGGAAGTGATCGCAGAAGTTGAGAAGCTCAATTTGGTCCGTAAAGAGCAAGATCGCCGCTTGGTTCACAATCGCCGTGAGTTCAGTAGATCGCACGCTCGACTTGGAGGGGACTGACACTCGATGATAGTGGATTATGTCTTGGATGATTGCTTCCAGTTGATTTCTCTGCTGTTTTTGACAGTTGGGAGGAACAACGAAGCTCCCGCAGTGTGAGTGACAATGCCCTTACCCCGCCATCCTATGACCGTGACTGACATTTTGCCAGATACTCCTTGGCGACTACTATTCAGGTATCTAGTCCTATGATGACTTCTTCCAGCTGTTCTTGCTAGATTGGTGCTCTGGAAACTGACATTTTTGCAGCGCTTGCTCGACCACCTGGAAGAGGCTGGATTTTATAGCTCGAAGGATTTGAACTCGATCACCAAGACACTAGAGACTACACGGGAGACCCTAGAGCGTGGTCGAAACACATACTCACCGGCTCTTCTCACATTCTTGGAAACCCGTCTAGAACAATGTGAACAGTCACTGGCGAGGTTGCAGAAGGGTCTTGCCGCACTAGCTCCTCCCTTGGCACATACACACGAGACACTGGTTTCAATTTTGCGGTCAACATCAGCTGTTAACACTCGATCAAAAGTATGACATCGAATAATTGGTTGATTTATCTGATTAGCACTAACCGATGGTTAATCTGTTAGTTCTCGGCCTCGGAAGTCAACGCTCTTCGAGAACAGCTCAAGAAAATTGAAAAAACAACAAAAGACGGCAACTTTGTGGATGACGAGGGAAATGTTCCTGCAGGGCAGGACGAACTCAAGTCTTTAATGCACAGGTGCTGGCGGTGGACTGAAATGGTGCTCGAGCGGTATGTTCTAGGCTGCCAACGGGATGATCGGACATCAACTGATCCAGATACAGAGAGGGCAAAATTGATGAGCGGTTCCGAGATCAATACGAACGATTGTTGGACATCCGCAACCAACTGGATCGTTTGTCTGTAACACAAGCTTGGTCGTTGCGCGAGACCGATCTCTTCGGATACCAGCGAAAACTCGACCGAATTGATGAGGCACGGATTAATGGAAATTTTGTCGACGCCGAGGGCCAACCAGCAGACCTTCATGCGCAGCGGGTAAGAATTTCTTTTCAGGTATTGTTTAATGGATCTGGCTAATATGCGCTCAGACGCTCCTATACCTCATTCGTCGCAGCTATGCATACATCTATGCGCTTTTGATTTCATCGGAACCTGTATCTGAAGCTCTACTCCCAGTCTATAACCAACTTCAGACTCTCCGCCGGTGCTTGATTGAGGTCAAGGAGTCTGGAGGCGTTGCAAATTCGCGCGAACTTTACCCATACAGCATGAAGGTTTGTGACCATCCACACTGCTTGCGTACAAAAACTGACCGAAGCAGCTCAACTCAATTGACAACATGCGAGTGGATGGCAAATTCTACGTGGGTCCAGATATCCCGGAGGGCCAAGGCAGTGTCAACAACCTGCTAGCCGAATGTTACGATTTGGTTTGGGAACTCCGAGCCGCAGTGGTTGACGACGATGAAGAGTCTTAAATCAAGAGGCTTTATAGACCAATGCCTTTTTTTTTTTTTTTCTTTCTTTACCTATGTGTTTTATTTCCACCGATGTTGATGAATAATTGGCCATGGAATGTCTTTGGCATACACTGGTCTTTGATTGTATGATCAGAGTCTTACCTTTTTTCTCTTCTTTTTTTTTACGTGACGATAGGCGTTTGAGATGGTACAGTTATGGCATTGGCATTTGTCTTGGGAACAGGGGCACTTAGGTGTGCTCTGGTGGTTTTAGTGCTTCAAGTTTAATGGAATTTCCCCGTTCATAAATGATTTTAGGAAATCGGTGTTCCTTCCCTCTAAGGTTGTTTCAGATGCTTTGAACCAAGGAAACACAAAGAAGACACATATATTCAATACTGGACGGGTGTGCTATTCTAGGTACACTTCCAATCTTTGCGAGCGAAGACAAAGCAATGAATACCCAGAAAACCTCACACATCAAGCATCAAGTCGCCAGGTTGCTTGAAAAGCCGATTAGCTAGATTATTCCATTTAGCACCCGTGGGCATGGCTCAACTTGACCGAGCAATATGTTCAGTATAAGCAAAACTCCTGGTCTGGGTTGACTTGCATTCCATACCGTTCAAATAGAAGATATATCCCTTGAGCAGTCGCAGAGTGTGGTGGTCGTCGGTTGTTGTGAAGTGAATCTCATCCACGTCTTTCATTTCCAGGTCTTCACCGTCGATCCCATGAACCTCAAGGCAACAACCGCATGCTGTGGTACAGTGGTCTTGATCACGAACCCCATCTATATTGCCACCAGTTATTCGTGACCTTTCGCGACATCCACATTTGCGTCCACAGCAGCCTCCCCGTTTTGCGCAGTCTTCACGGAGTACAGCCGAGAGATACCAATCCGCATGTTTTTTCTGCCTTCTTATTGCTCGTCTCGCTGTCTTGCTGCATATATTGTCTGACTTGATCCATTGTTCCCTGTGAGTATCCCAGTATCTTGAGTTGAGGGATTTGATTTGCTTTTCATTGGCCTCGAGCTGATGTAAATCCGAGGGTGGTATGTGGTTTTTCTTTTGCTCAAACCATATTCTGCGTTGGAGAATCCATCGTAAGGTGATATCCAGCTCAATGAGTTCTTTGCACCAGTCTCGGTTCGATGCTGCAGTGAGCAAATGGTAACGGTAGGCTACCATTTGAGCAAGCTCGTCATAGTTTGCATTTTCAAGCCGATCTTCAAGGTCCGGAGTTGTTATTCCAATGCCTCCATCACCCGTAAAGACTATATCTGGAGCCTGCTCGATGAGCTTTTGTTTTTCATCGATGCTCAACTTGTCTGACAATAATGGCTCTAGCAGTTCCGCAGGGACCTTGACGTTTAGTACTTCATTTGTGAACCTCTTCATCGCATTCTGCGTACTCTCTTCGTATGTTGGTGGTGCTTGTAGATATGACATTTTGCGTGGCGGAAACTCGGCTCTGGTATTGTCGGACTTTGCAGACTTGAGAAGCTTCATATTATATTAGTGTCATATTATATTAGTGTTTTTGTTGCCCATAGGAGAAAATTGAATGGTCAGATTGCAGTAAACAAGCTAGAACCTTGAAATATCACATCGTAATAGAACAAGCCAAGCCTAAATTATTGTCGGCCAGTTGAATTTTGAGTTTAGTTCTCTCCATAGACATATATGGACAAAGAACCATCTAGAATCTACAAAGTGAACATGTTTAGGGAATAAATCGTTTGTGTCCTGACAAAGCTAATAAATCCAAAGTCTCCCACATCAAAATGAAGCAATTTATGCCACCAAGCAAAAAAAAACAAACACCCCCAGTCCTCAATGCTCTCTGTATTTATTTCAAATAAAAAACATAACCCTTCAGTAGACGTAAAGTATGAGAGTCCGACCATCGACCGACTGGAGTATCAAAGTAAAGATCTTGCAGATCTGTGATCTCATCTCCAAGATAATTGCCATCGAGCTCGTGGGCGTTCAAACAACAGGAGCATGCTGAAGTACAGTGGCCTCGGTTATGCATCCCTTCCATGTTAAGCCCAGAGATCGTTCGTGGTCTTTCGCAACATCCGCAGGTCCGCCCACAGCAACCTCCTCGCCTCGCGCAATCTTCGCGTAATTCTGCAGAAAGATACCAGTCGATATATGTTCTTTGCCTTGCGAGTCCTCGTATTGCCGATCTACTCCTAATGGTGTCTCCTGCGATCCATAACTTTCTATGGGCTCTCCAGTACTTCAAGCCTAGCATGTTGAGGCTTGCTGTCTTTCGTATGTGTTCAAATTGATGAATCCAGATCATCCGTTGGACAATCCATCGTACTTCAATATCAGCTTCAATCAGTGCTTTACACCAGTTTTTGTCACTTGAGCCGTGTGCGATGTTATAATAATAGGACACTGACTGAGCAAGCTTATGAGAGCCCTGAAGCCAAAGTGCATCTTCAAGTAATATAGTATTTTTCTCGTGGTCGATGGCTCGGATTTTATCTGCCTTTTCCATAGCTTTGCATTTGTAGTCGGGGCTTAATCCATTATCTGACAAGAGGACATGTAGCAAGCCCTTGTAATCCGGTGCCTTTTCAAGTTGACTGATGAATATTTTTTCGATGGCCTTGGAGCTTTGCGTGGTCTCTTCATAACTTGGGGGGTTTTCCGACTGCATTTTGCTCAGCTGAGAGTCGATAGCCAGGTTCTCTTCTTGATATAGATTTGAGAATCGAACAAAGCCAAAGCCAAGGAAGGAGTTCAGATTCCAATACTTCATCATGTTGTAAAGTTTCATATCTGAAAAGGTTGTCGGCCAAAAAAAGTCAATAATTTCAACGGCTGACGGTCAAGACAACCGCTTTGGGTTGCAGCTCCTGGAGTACATCTGTACTTCTGACTGTTGGGCTGACTCATTTGTGATAAGTTGGCATATGCTCAATGATACCCGTGGACGTTCCGTATATCAAGCCATATCGGACTATCTATATTCTACCTATTATATTCCTATTCTAATCTCAAACTCTTCAATCCGAAGCGTGATGAATAAGAACAAAGTAGTAGCTTTCCTCTTGATCTTTCGTTTAAAGTAAGTCAGGTGAAGTACATTTGCGCTTAAGGGAAAAAAAAAAAGATGTTTTACATTTACTTCTGTTAAAGGAAGCCTCTCTGTAGACATCTAGATGGGCATTGCAAATCATATAACAAAATAAAGCGCCCATGGGTTCAGATCAGGCTTACCTGATGCAATTGCTTGATTAAGGAGTTGCCATTAAACTTGATAGACAGCGGCAATCAAACAATTCAATTTGGTTGAAAGCAGGTGGACAAAAGGTCTTCACGCTTCCGGGCTTTTTGTATTTCGTTTTTTTCATTTACCCATCATTTTTTCCCTTACAAGACCTTTCGGTTTCTTCGTAAGTTGAGAGTTTCTCGGAGGTTTGCATCTCGCTTGTCTGAGTCTCGGTGACTGTGTTCTTAGTGACAGTGCTCTCAGCCATATTGTTCTCGGCCGTGGTACTCTCGGCCCTCTCGATGACTTTGCTCTCGACTGTGTCTTTGATAGACTTGAAATGTCGAAAAATGTTGAACTTGGTACCCATCGTAAGTAGTAGAGAAATGAATAATACCAAAACCAGAGGAAGGGTGGGCATGATGGAGACGAAGTTTTGGATTAGAAAATGCGTATTCGGTCCGTCGTATGTCGAAAATCAGCCTTTAGCCCCAAATAGATGTCGGCCACAAGATATCTAACTACCGTTCTTTTACATTTTAAAGAGACAATACCTATGCAAGTACGCTGATGGCATGCATACATCATAGGACGCTGTATCCTTTACTATTCTTTACGGCCTAAAGGTGTTAACAGATCTTCTCCCGCGGACTGGGATACTCCAATCCTCGACGACATTTGACTTGTCAGGTTCTGGCAAAGTTAGCATGGAATCATGGAATATTGCTGCACGTTTGAGGCAAAGAACCCATCAGCGCCGATTCCTAGGAATTCCTTGTGCATGTTACGAATTCTATAGACGCCAGCTGAACTGACCTTCGCTTCAACGTAGCCGATAAATAGAGACTTACATAGTAGCGCATAAAATATAAAAATTGTGGTGAGAAGTTATCTGTAGTATATAAAGCCTATTTCCCCACATAATAGAGACCTGGGTTCCGAAATCGGCGCAATTGCCGTCCAATCAGAGCGAAGACAAATAACAACGGAGGGAAAAAAAACGGGAACATCCTCTCCTCCCCCAGTTTATCCTCCAAACTTGACATTAGTGAAGATGGTGAGCCAGCTTGTTTGGCAGAGGGTTTCTGCCTCTCGTGGGGTAAGTAAGCATTGAAGATAACCCAATTGGACAAACTAACACCTTATAGATGGCCACACGGCTCTCCTCGCAACGGCTCTTCGCCCGTGGCCTAGCCACCGAGGCCTCCTCCTCCCGCATGCCCCCATATCCCAAGCTCGTCCGCAATCTCGAGCAGGTCCGCCGAGTCCTCGGCTCCGACCGCGCCCTCACCCTTGCCGAGAAGATCCTCTACGCCCATCTGGACAATGCCGAGGAGTCATTGCTCACCGGAACTAACAACGGCCGCGATGTTCGAGGCAAGGCCAACTTGAAGCTGAAGCCTGACCGCGTTGCCATGCAGGATGCTTCAGCCCAGATGGCTCTGCTCCAATTCATGTCCTGCGGTCTTCCCTCCACCGCTGTCCCGGCTAGTATCCACTGTGACCATATGATCGTCGGTGAACGCGGTGCCGATACCGATCTGCCAGCCTCGATCAAGGGTAACAGCGAGGTGTTCGACTTCCTGGAGAGTGCTGCCAAGCGCTACGGTATTGAGTTCTGGCCCCCCGGTGCCGGTATCATCCACCAGAGCGTGCTGGAGAACTACGCCGCCCCCGGATTGATGATGCTCGGTACTGACAGCCACACTCCTAACGGAGGTGGTCTTGGTGCTATTGCTATCGGTGTCGGTGGTGCCGATGCTGTCGATGCGCTCGTCGACGCCCCCTGGGAGCTGAAGGCTCCTAAGATTCTCGGCGTTCGCCTCGAGGGCAAGCTCAGCGGATGGGCTTCGCCTAAGGATATCATCCTGTCCCTGGCTGGTAAGCTGACTGTCCGAGGTGGCACTGGCTATGTTGTTGAGTATCACGGCCCTGGTGTCGAGACTCTGAGTTGCACAGGTATGGCTACCTGCTGTAACATGGGTGCTGAGGTTGGCGCTACCACCTCTATCTTCCCCTTCTCGCCTAGTATGATTCCCTACTTGCAGTCGACCCACCGCGGTCACATCGCAGAGGCCGCTGCCGAGGTTGCCGCCGCCGGCCCCTCGAGCCTGCTGAGCGCCGATACCAAGGCCGAGTATGACCAGGTGGTGACCATCAACCTGTCCGAGCTCGAGCCGCATATCAACGGACCCTTCACCCCCGACTTCTCTGTCCCTCTGTCCAAGTTTGCCGACACCGTCCGCGAGAAGAAGTGGCCCCAGACCTTTGGCGCTGGCCTCATCGGCAGCTGCACTAATTCCTCATACGAAGACATGACCCGTGCCGAGGATCTCGTCAAGCAGGCCACTGCAGCAGGCCTCAAGCCCAAGGCCGATTTCTTCATCACTCCCGGCAGTGAACAGATTCGCGCCACTCTCGACCGCGATCAGACCCTAAACACCTTCTCCGAAGCCGGTGGCATCGTCCTCGCTAACGCCTGTGGCCCCTGTATCGGCCAATGGAACCGCACTGACGGCGTCCCCAAGGGCGAAGACAACGCCATCTTCACCTCCTACAACCGCAATTTCCCCGGCCGCAACGACGGCAACCGCCAAACAATGAACTTCCTCGCCTCGCCGGAACTCGTCACCGCGCTCGCCTACTCCGGCAGCACAACCTTCAACCCCATGACCGACTCCCTGACCACACCAGACGGCTCAACCTTCAAGTTCCAGCCCCCCACCGGCTTCGACCTCCCCAGTGCCGGTTTCGAAGAGGGTAACCCCAACTTCCTGCCCACAGCCGCCGTCCCAGACCCAAGCAGCGAAGTCATCGTCTCACCTACCTCTGACCGCCTCGCTCTCCTCGAGCCCTTCGCCCCCTTCCCCAAGGGCGATCTCTCGGGTCTCCAGGTCCTGTACAAAGTCAAGGGCCAGTGCACCACCGACACGATCTCGGCTGCAGGCCCGTGGTTGAAGTACAAGGGCCACCTGCCCAACATCTCGGCGAACACTCTGATCGGCGCCGTCAACGCCGCAACCGGCGAGACGAACGTCGCCTACGACGAAGCCGGCAAGCAGTACGGGATCCCCGAGCTTGCAGAGTCGTGGAAGGAGCGCGGAATTTCGTGGCTCGTTGTTGCGGAGGATAACTACGGTGAGGGCTCTGCCCGCGAGCACGCTGCCCTGCAGCCTCGCTACCTCGGCGGCCGTGTTATTGTTTCTAAGAGCTTTGCCCGTATCCACGAGACCAACCTTAAGAAGCAGGGTGTTGTGCCGCTTACATTTGCCAACCGTGAGGACTACGACCGTATCGATGCTTGTGATAAGGTCGATACTATTGGTCTTTATGATGTTCTGCAGGCTGGTGGAGAGGGTGAGGTCCAGCTGCGTGTTACCAAGCAGAAGACTGGAGAGGAGTTTACTATTCCTGTTAATCATACTTTCAGCAAGGACCAGTGTGGATTCATCCTTGCTGGTAGTGCTTTGAACTTGTTGGCTAAGAAGGCTCACGCTTAAAGAGAAAACGGAGCGGGTGGAGGTGGATTTTGGACTGTTTTGACACCATAAAAATGGGTTGGGTTCAATCTGGAGTTGATGATTTGGATGGCATTATAGTAGTCCCTCGCCTTGTATATGGTGAATTTTGGTGGTTTTAGATTTGTTTTGCCGACTAGATGATATCCAATGTGATCTGTATTCTACTATTTCGTGATTCACTAGAGTGCAAGTGGTGCAAGATGAAGTTGGTATAATAAATAAGTACTAGACTGAGAGGGCCAAGTTATTGTATGTCATGTTATATAGTTTTGAAGCTGTAGCATCAAAACGAGACAATACATGTATTCATAGATAGAAGAAAAGTAAGGGAAGAAGAAAAGCAGATGGGCATGAAATGAGCATGGGAATATCATAAAAAAAAAGCATCATAATGCCTGACACTTTCACAAGTAATGAGATGGACAGTAGAGCACCTCGAAGGGTAAGTCGAAAGACCAAGAGAATGAGAATGAGAATCAAACATGGCAAATAAACACCGATGTCTAGAAAAACCAAAAAGAAGAGAAAGAGAAAAAAGAAAACACCAAGACAATCATATGTCCTGATTGCCAAGCTTCGGAAATCCTCAGACATCCCCGAGAGCGTCCTGTATCTGAACGCCAACAAGCCTTTTCTATACAGGCTGAATTGAAAACAAAAGAACCGGCTATATGCAGATGGAATGCATCATGCAATATCCTTTTTGAAACCTGAAACAAGGAGAGAAGAAGGAAGAAAGAAAGAAAGAAGAAAAAATAAGGGAAAAAGGCAAAACATACCAAGTATCATCCAGTCCACTTCTGATCAGAGTACCCAGGGTCCCCAGGACTGACCCCCAACATCTGAGCAGAGTTGTGGACACTGTACATACCCCCCTGGTTACTATTATAACCACCACCCATCCCCGAATCATCCTCGTCAAAGCCATACTCCCCACCAGAGCTAGCATCAAAGCTACTCCGCCCACCAATATCACTCGGATCATCACCCACAGCGGAGATCTGGTCCCACTGCAAGTTCTGCAGAGCCGGGTATTGCGCCAGAAGGGCAGCAGGCAGAACGAAGTTGCCAGTCGATTGTCCGTCCATGCCGGGCATGTTAGGCATAACGAGCGGCTGGGGGATTGGCTGAAGATGGCTGGATGGCGATTGTTGCTGCTGCTGCTGCTCTAGCAAGACGCGGTCACGTTCTTGTGACTCCTCATCCAGTAGAGGTTTGATGCACACCCGACCGGCCTCGGAACGGAAATGACGGCCCAAAGCATCTGCACGGGCGAAGCGGCGGCCGCAGCCCCATTGTGCGCTTTGCGAGAGCTCGCCACGGCAGACGAATTTCTTTTCGCCAGAATGGAGGCCTTCGTGGCGTTTGCGGTCGTGCTGCCGTGCAAATGCTTTACCGCACACTGTGCACACGAATGGTCGTTCGTCGGTGTGGGTGCGGAGGTGGGATCGCAGATTGTATGCGCGGGTAAACCGTTTCGGACATAGGTTGCATTGGAAGGTAGCTGGGTGCTTCTGGACTCGTTTTGGCTCTCCAGGTGCTGCGCCAGGTCTTTGTGGATCGGCTAAATCTAGGATGTAGTTCCGGTTCTCGATTGATGAGGTGGAGAGGCGTCGGTTTGATCGTGAGGGCGAGACATCTCGCGAACCTGGGTTACTGCGCGAGTGAGAGCCAATCGGCCCAACAGGCGACAAGGACCGGGCGGTGGTAGGCGCCTGGGGCTCCAGGCAGGTCGCAGCTGAGGCTGCAGGAGAGCGTGGGCGGGAAGCAGGATGATAAGGATCAGATTTGCTACGAACGCGGGATCCTACGTTCTGGTTAGTACCGCGTCAATCAAATCGAATGTAAATTATCACTTACGCATAGCGGGAGGGCTTAACGAGTCGAAATCTGCCGTTGATTTGGATGGATCGAAGTTTGGATTCCGCAACGGCGGGGCAAACTCAACATTGATGGATGGAGGAGCCATTTGTGAAGCTTGACCAATGTCACCCGGGACATTGTTCAATTGGCCCATATTCATCATGTCCTGTTGGGGTATCCCGTACATGTCTGTCGGCGCCGAGGGGAACTGAGAGAGATACGCAGTATTCGGCACCATCTCATCTCCTTGCTGTGGCATCAACCGCGGAGAGATATACGGGCTGTGGAGGGGACTGATCCCCTGCTGATGCTGCTCTGACAAAGTGAATGATTCCATGCCTAGGCCATTGTCATAAAGGCTAGGATCATTTTGGGGAGCCAAAGAAGGCGACGCATTGTTCTCAATGCCATCGAATTCATGCTGAGACAGGTAGGGAGAGTGGTTGGCCGACGATACCTCGGATACCTCAGACGGTGCACGTCGATGGCCCTGGAAAGAAACGTTATTCATAACCGACTGCCAATCTGGACCTGACTGGGCGGACAAATACGCTGCAGTAGCTGGGTCAAGGGAAGTGTGTCGTGAATGCTGAGGGGTATAGTATGTACCCGGCGTGGATCCTGGAGGGGATAAAGGGCCTGGCGAGGAATGCTGCTGATCTTGCGATGACGGATGCGAAGTTGGTGAAGGGTTGGAGATAGGGCTAACCAGATCAGCGGGGTTGATCGCTTGATTGACTGACTGGCGCTGGTGCATTTGCGGGTCCAGCAACAACGAAGAGTCGTACTCGGGGGTGGAAACACTGTTGGGGCTGTGGCTCTGATAGAGAGCGAAGTCCAATTCTGGGTGATTGGAGTTGAGCATATTGGAGAAGTTTTCGTCCCCCTGCATCGATCTGAGTCCCGCTGAAGAGTGCTCGAGCTGGTTGACCAGGCTTGTCTCGAAGGACTGCGATATCGGAATGTTGTTGGTATTGATGGTTGGAGCATAGCCCTGGTCCGCCGCCGATGATAAGATTTGTGTCGAGGGCGTCCCGGCAAGATAGCTTGGGTATCCATATTCAGCACCACCGATGCTGCCGTCGGGGTTGTGAAAGGAGGGGGTTGTCGAATAAACAGCCATGGAGGGGTCAACTCCTAATCCACCAGAGTTTGGGTTGTGATATTGTTGGCCATGCGGCGAAGGGCTCACACTCCGATGCTTGATATCGCCCTGGCAATAAGCCGTGCCGTGATTCTGGTCATGCGAGGCCATATTTGCGAATGCGCGCGCGTCAGGGTTCTTGAACGAGCTCCAAGTTGGGGGCTGTTGTCAGAGACGAGGGACGGAGTAGGGATCGGGTATAGCGCGGAGGTTTGGCGACGGAGGCAGATTAGACGAGCAAATCTGTCAGGGTCGTAGACGCCTGGTGATGTAGGGAGAATGGGGTCTGATAATATGGTGGGATGTCATTCGCAAGGGTCCAGGGTTGGGTCCAGTACACGAATGAGCCTCTGGGCCAGTTGTCAGCGGTCGCCAATCTGCCTCGCCATCTCTGAGAGCAATGATACCTTAGATTTGACCAGAGGTCTGCAATGAGAGAGGATAAGGGAGGAAGTTGAAGATTAGGCGGTTTCACGTGCGCAAGGCGGTCTAGGTCGAACACGTCCGTGTATACTGACGTGTAGAGATATAGGGAATCTTATTTTAATATATAATCTCACATATTATTGTCATAATATTCTCTTGTGGGTGCCCTAAGCGTGTAAGGAGAAATGAGAAAAGAGTTTCCACCTCGAGTTCCTTGAAAAGAACCCCAAATGGGTCTCCCCACATTGGCATTATCAGTGTCCACTCTGATAACAGATATGCGAACACGAACTCGAGGGCTATTTTTATATATATACATTCTCATTCAAGGGAAAAAAAAGAAAATCGTTGCCTGTGGAATATACACATTTTAGGCCGTGAAGCACTTCATCTTCGATCTCCCGTGGAGGGGTTCAACGCTGAAGAGAACTTTGGGCTTAGCTTTTGCACAGCCACCCAGCTGAGGCCCATGGGAGCTAGTCCTATTTAGGTATAAAGAATATAAGCTATTGGGCAAGGCATACTTTGGACAGTCTGCCTTGTCTATACTTGTGTATGGAGTATTCGATCTTATATTTTGTTTGCTGCCTAACTTCACAGACCTCCTTACATGTACATATATGTAGATATCCGATTCGATCAAATCAGGTGACAGGGTTAAACCCTGCATACTTCATCACTTAGGTGAGATATGAGATACTTAGGTGAGATATTGATATACTTAGGTGAGATATTGATATACAACCTCTCACAGACTACCCAGCGTACTCAGGCTAGCTCTAGCCTGATCATTGGACCAAGCAAAGAGCACAGCATCATCGCAACTGCTCCCAAGTCCCGCATTATCAACCCAAGCAGGTTCCCAGTAATAAACTCCCAATCCACCCGCATCCTCTACAGCCTCTCCGAGCCTCTTAAGGAAAGTCTGTTGTCCAGCAACCGAGAATGGAATATCCTTAAGATCCGACGGGAACGCATATTCGGGGTTGGGACAAGCATACGGCCAGTTTGTCTCGACAACCAGCGTGTCCTTCCCGTATGTAGCCTGCAGGTTCACAAGACTCGTCTTCAGTGCAGCAAGTGTCGCTTTCTGGTTGTAGAAGGGATAGTAAGAAACGCCGATGTAGTCGAAGTCCGTGGAGAGGAGCGCAGACCCGGATGCAAGAACTTGGTTGTAGAAGTATGACTGAGAGCCCCAGTCCCAGCCGTTGTCGAGGTGGATCATGATTTTGGGAGTGGTTCTCAGAGCGGAGTCCTTCACACCCCACGCGGCGGAGTGTAGAAGTCGGGCAATGTTGCTGTAGCTGCTTGTTCCACCTAGCGGCCAGAGTAGGCCGGCGCGGATTTCGTTGCCGATGGAGACAATGTCTACATCGAGGTTGTTTTCCGCAAACTTGTTGCATACATTCAGTGTGTAGTCGTACACTTGTCCAGCTAGGACTCCAATATCGGTTGTGGACCAGCCTGAGGGAGCAGTCTAAAGAAACAAGTACGTCAGTTATTAAATCAAACAGTCAGTCCTGTGGGAGGACGTTATTTCTTACCTGTGTGCTCGGATCCGCCCACGTATCACTGTAATGCAAGTCGAGGTACGTGCCCATACCCTGTGCCTGCACCCTCTTCGCAAGCTTAATGTTGTAGTCCAGATTGTACGATCCACTACTTGGGTTCACCCAGAAACGCTGGCGAACCGAGTTGACACCGCTGGCTGAAATGATAGTCTCTAGCTTTTGCGTTGTACCAGCAACATTCTTATAAGAGATGCCTGCAGCTTCTTCGACGAGGAGAGAAGAGATATCCGCACCCTTGTAGGTTAACGCGGCGGATGTTGAAACAAAGAGCTGTCCGGCAGCTAGAAGGAGGTAGGGAAGCATGATGGGCAACCGCTTATTAGAGCCGAATTAAACGCAATTCAGATGACTCCTGAGAAGAAGAGGGAAGTACTGTATTGTAGAGACTGGGCCGCCTTTTATCCTACCTACTTTCCTATGTACTTGGCATGTTTCTAGTGTATAGCCTGTAGTTTCAAATTTCTCCGAAAATTCCCCCCATGACAGCTCGCAGAGGAGTTGAAGGAGAATTATTCCTCCTGTTTACCCGTCTATTCAACCAAGAAGTAGATAATCGTCCGGACAAAGGCCATCTTTGGCTTAGTTCCCGCTGTGAAACAGGTGCGGAGACAAGAGACGACTAAATTAGTGAGATTTATGCTTACATACCTCTCAGCGTCGGTGGCGTATATCTCACACGTGAACACCCACAGACTGAAATTGTCTGTGTATTATACAATGTGGTAATAACAATCTACAGTGCTCTGGTATTATCATTGGTGGAAGGACAGAGCAAGCCCAACCAAACTCGGAATATTCATTCCCTAAGTACAGACGGAGTACCTTGCTAAGATTGCAAAGTGGGACAAGGGGCGTATAATGGGCGTATAGGGGGCGTATATAAGTCCACATGGAGCTCCACTAAAGGAATTAAGAATGACCAAATGTGGCATTTTAGACACCGGAAAGGTCTTCTATAATAATGTAAAAGGAAACAAGTTCATCTCAGGGGAAAGGGATAAAATCAGCAGTCCCAAAACCCCAAATATTTCATTTCTTCATACGCTGGACGTCTCGCCTGCCAGCATCATATATCAGTCATGTCGCAATTCCTCAAGGAATCCAAAATATTGCCCCAAAGCCAGCCCGATTTTGACAAAAGTCAACATTACATACAGTTAAAAGGAGAAGGGAAAAAAAAGCGATCTGGCCCCTTTACCCATGCATAAGACCAAGAAAGAAGGAAAAGAAAAAGAAAGAAAAAGAAACCCCTGAAATGCGCTGCGTGATTCTCTGCCTCCCCTCCATATTCACGCAACAGAATAAAACAAGAAACAGATATGCAGACGCGGCCGGTCGGAGGACACCGCAGAATTCTTCGCAAGGAGGCACCGATGGATGCTCATGCGAGTTTCGTGTATATGTACAGACCATGTAGAGTGTATGGAACAATTTCTAGGAACAATTTCCAGATATCAGCCTGCCGGGAACCGGAGTGGAAAGAGAATCAAAACGAAATTCGGTGATATACAACAACTTCGCTAGTTATAGGTAGGAAGCGTCGAGGGGCGGAAGAAGTGGCGATGGATAGATGTGAGTGTTTTAAAGGCGGTGTGGTGTGGTGAACGAGGTCAAACGTAAAAAGAGGTGGACTGATCAGGACCGGCCACATTTCAGTTCGATAGCTACGACGGAATATCCGACGCAGCAGCCTTGGGAGGCGGCTTGCGTTTTCCAATCACAAGGCCTTCATCTTCCGACTCATCTTCATCTTCATCCTCGTCATCGCAGTAGTACCTCGACTCGTCCACTTCAGACGACCGAGGCGAGCTAGGACGAGGAGGTTTGACCGTTTCACCGGTTCGGAGCATGGAGGGTACTTCGTTCGGGTTAGTATCCTTGGTCGAGTAACCATCGCCGGAAAGAGACGATGCGTTTGAGACGACCGATGGAATGCTGGGGTGGGAGGCACTCTGGGACATGCCGCTGGTGAAGTCGTCGGCAGAGGAGGAAGATATAGTGGGCGGGGTGGAAGTTGCCGGTCCATTGTTGGTGTTGTCGGCGGTACATCCTTGGTTGGTAGGTGGATTGATGGGCGGCAAGAGGAGCGATTCGGTAGAGTACATCGCGTAGTCAACTCTCAAAGTACCGCCTTCATTTGCCTCAATGTCGCTCCGTCTGCGGCGCAAGAGTGCATCCCTTGTAAGGTTGAATGATTCTGCAGGCGATGCCTCCTCAAGTTGCGAAAATCGCTTGTGCCGGTTTATATGGCTAGGGGCTAATTGCTCGACAGAAAGGTGCTCTTCCTCATGCCACAGGCCGGGATGGCGCACTTGACCAAGAGCAGACGCATTGCTGACAGCGATGCTAGGCTCAGCACTAGGTTCAGCAGCGCGACGTGCTCCCTCCCCATGTAGAGATCCTGACTCGCCAGATGGAGAAGTGCGCCGACTGCGACTACCTCGTGAGCCTCGTCGAGTTCCACTGAAAATACTACCGAAGTTGGTCTGTCCTAGGGCTTCAATGATGGAAGACGGTCGAACAGTTAATGGGACATCAAAACTGGATGGCTTGATCGTCTTCGAGGATTCTGCTGTAGACATCGAGGACTTTGCGCGACGAGGAGGACCAGGTCGGGGTGTTACGGTAGGGGGTGGAGTGGCAAACTTAGTCGTAGCAGCAAGCTTTGCTGCAGCTGGTTGTACGGCATCGAAATAAGACTGCCAATCACCTTCATCCACCGGGCTTGCAGTGACGCTTTGGGCGAGCGGATGTCCTTGACTGCCAAATTTGAGCGGCCGGAAGAATTCCTCGTCCCCTCGCAAACTAGACCGACGACTGTCACGGGAGGTTTTCCCGAATGTGCTGTTACTTGAAGCAGAGGACACGGTCTCGGTGGAGGGTGCTGTACTCGATGTGCGCTTGCGATGTTCCTTCTCCCGCGATCGACCGCTGCCGAACCATTTGGCGACATTAGACCGAACGCGTTGAATGAAGGGGACTTTGCTGACAGCGCTTGTAACCTCTTCATTCGAGACTTCAATTCGCTTGCCTTTGCTTTGGTAGCCAGGGTCGCTCTCCTCGATCCAAATTCGAGGGTTGGGAAGACCATGGAGTGTCCAAGGGTGGTGTTTGATCTCTTTCAAGGTGATTCTCTTGATCGGGTCTTTGGTCAAAAGACGCCTCAGTAGATCGTATAGTTCATCGTCGATATCCTCATAGACGAGCTCATCATCATTTCTCAGATTCCACTGATTGGAGTCGGACGCCTCATCCATCACGGGCACAAGGCGCTTCCGTGGAATGAAGACTTCCTTCCTAACGATGGTCTGGAACATGCTGTACTCATCATCCGAAACAAATGGTAGGCGACCAAAGATCATTCCGTATAATGTGACACCGAGCGACCAAACGTCGACAGCACCAGTGATCTTGGGGATTGACCCAATGGTTTCCACAAAGTCATCGCCAGTATAGCATAATTCGGGGGCATAGAAAGCTGGGGTACCAACAGTCTTGGACAATTCACGGGCATCGTCCAATTCTGTCGCATCGGTCTCGCCCACATGCTCTTCTTCCTCGTCCCGCATTGGGCGTCCTAGGTAGGAAACGCCGAAATCAGAGATCTTCACCCGATGAGTGCTGGTGACGAGTAAATTGGCCGGCTTGATATCCCGGTGGATGATACCCTGGTAGTGAAGATATTCCAAGCCAAGTACCGAGTCCCGGAATGCGCTGCGGGTTTCAGCAATAGTCAAGCAAGGGACGTATGCCATGTCATCACCCTCTACAGACCACTCGGGTTCGGATGGGGCGTAACCAAAGCTACTAGAGGTTGTGCTGGAACGTCGTTCGAACGGGTAGTCTGAATAGGCGCCGTACATGCTGCCTTCGACGGCAGCTAGAGACGGGTCCTGGGCGGAGGATGGGCTTGAGTCATCTGTTACTGCCACAGAACGGCTAGATGATCTCCTGATAGGAAGACCGGACTCATTATCCTCTTCATCTGAAGATTCAGCACCGTGCTCCAAACTCCAAGCGGGGATTGGTCCTTTCTGGGCATCGGCAGCCTGTGCTTCGATCCGCTCGCGAGCCCTTTCCCGTTGCCACCGCAGATGCTGAGCAGTTCGAATGAATTGATGGCTCTCTTCCAGGAATGCAGGAGTGTCTGGGATTCCACTCTTCTCCCGCTCAAGACGTAACTTATCGACGTGGACGATTTCTCGTAGACCTTTCTTGCGCCAGACAATCTCGCCGTTTTCAACATACTCCAGCACAATATATACCTTTTGTCGATTCGGATCGTCGATGACTTCGAGCAGGCTGACCACGTTTGGATGCCGCGCTTTCTTCAGAATAGCCACCTCCTTTTTCACTTTGTCTTCCGGATTTCCCAACTTGCCTAACCGACGGCGCGTGGAGTACCGCTGGACAATTTTGATGGCAACTTTCTGCTTAGTCGAAACATGCTGGCCTAGTTTCACTTTTCCATGTTCACCACGTCCAAGCTCTTCGAGAATCTCATACTGATTGATGGTTTTGTTTCCCGTGACCGTGTCGCGATCAACTTCGGCGGTGTGTGTTTCTTTGGGTGGTTGAAGATGTGAGGGATGAAGAAGCGAGCTTCCCACTGAGATGTCATCGTCAGACGCGGATGGGGTTCCTATACGAGGATGTCTCATGGAGAAGAGCCCTGGGCTCGATATCGGAGTGTTACCGGCGGTACGAACACCACGGGCATAGGAGTGTCTAGGTAGCGGATCTGGTTCCGTGAGGTGAGGTGGTTGCCAGGTGGGATGCACCTGAGACTGGAGGGAGGCATAGGATTGATCGGGGTAAACTGGTAATTGATCCGAATGTCTCGAGGCTCGTTTAGTGCTCCTTCCAATGCTTCCACTTTCCGATCGGACATCGACCACGGTGTCTTCGTTGAGGGCTTGTAGGGAACTCGATGACGAGCGATTCGAGGGGATTCGGGCACCGTAAAGGCCGGGAAAGGCCTGGCGGAAGGTTGCGGTGGCTTCCGACACATCGGTGATAATGGATGGTTGTTCCGCCGATGATTTGGATGGTGGACGAGAGTCGGTTTGGTCGTTCGACGCAGATGGTAGGTGCGATGACTCCTCAGACCGGCTCAGGTCCCGCTTGTGTTTTGTTGAGAGGCCATTCCGAGGCAGCTGATGCGGATCCTCCAGACCAGCTTGCGAGGACCGAATTTCTGTCATATTCCCTTCTTCCTTGGTGATATTATTTCAAAGGGATGGGGGCTGAGGCAGCTGTGCCGAAAGTGCAATTGAGCATCCTAGTTGAACATCCTCCAATTCGACTTGTTTCTTTTTTTCCTTTTTTTTTTTTTTTTGGTTTCGCTCGTAATAATTGATTCAAGGTGAGCTGACAAAAAGCTCGGTTGGCACGAACGAACACGTCGGCATTACTTTCGTGGAGTCAATATGGATGGCGACAACTATCCAACGGAAACCATGTACCGGACGGCGGGTTGTCGCCTTAGGGGGGAAGAACACGAGGAAGTAGACCTGCTACTGCACGAGGACTTGGACGATCCCACATCCACACGTGGGGATTTCAGTCAAAAAAAAAGGAGTGCCGTTGCAACAGATGCTATAAATAATTTGGGGTTAGGCTCATTTAGATGGCCAGTTCTCGGTGTGGAGGTGGGGGGGGGAGGGAGCGAGATCGGAATCAATCTGGAGCAAGAGATTCGAAAGTAACGTGCAAAGGAAAGGCACAACAGCCAAGAAGCTGTGAGAATTAAAAAAAAAAAAGGAAATAGCAAAAAGATGTAGGTAAAGGGAGACCAGAGGGGAGGATAGTTGAAGAGTCGAAGGGGGGAGGTTGGGTAATAGGGCAGAGCGATGATCGGGACGCCAAGAACCAAAATAAATTTACCAACACCAAGTCGATCCTCAAGGCCAAAATGGTATCAAAAAATAGATATAAGAAAAAAAAGGGTACAAAGCTATAAGTGTTAATTGATTTACTAAATTGAATATCTCAAATTTCACAGATTTTACCATACCTAGTGGGGCTGTCAGCTCTGAAATCTGTAATTATATATATATTCCTAATACTAGAGTATAGAGTATATGAGTTTAGACAATATGATTATATGTGTTTATATCAATGTCCTTTGTGGATTTGCCACGGGCTCTTACGTCGATGACTCCAGTACAGCCTATAATAACCTTGAAATATACAAAATCAACAATTCCCATGGATTCTAATAGAGATAGCAAGTATATACATAGAAGGAAACGAATAAATCGCCGACCATGGTTGCCCAACGTGTCATGATTCTGATTTCTATCGCTTTTATTTGCCTTGGACTTTGGCCTTGACTTTCGGCTCCGAGGGTATAGTTATTCTGCAATCTGAGGCATAAGACTTAGGTTATATGCCCTATATACGTATCATTTTGCCTCCAATGGTAGTCTGCTCAGCTCGGCATAACTTAACTTCTGCCCAAACTGCTGGGCCCCAATACCGTTTCTACATTTTGACCTTCAGGGGCTTTTCTTTTTCTTTTTCTTTTTCTTGCTAATGAGTGTTTCTGTTTTCTTATTTTTTGTAGTTTATGTCGACTAATATTGAAAAGGCAAAAGTATGTGGATGGACCTTCCATTCTTTTTTAGATATTCCGTATGCTCCACTTGTCTTTATATATTGGATATATTGTCTATACAACATAGATATAACTAAAATATATCTAAACTAGGTATATAAGTATATATGAATATAATGTCTATAATATATGCCTATATAATATAGCTGCATGAAGCTGTTTAGAGGAGAAAATGCTATCAGTGCGGATATCCGTGCACATATAACGTCATATTGGGGTCTAGCCCCCTAAATTAGTCTTCTTTACGGAGTACCAGTTTCAAAACTACATACAGCATACTCCATAGAGCATATCATCTTGGCACTCAAAGTCCGAAACAATTTGATTGGTACACAAAGCCGTCTTTTCTTGTGGCGTGTAAATCAGTATCATCGGTAATTTGCTTCATACTTTACATTCTTGACCATTGTAGCTACAAGAATTTATAAGAATCAGAGATGATATAGCTTATTCTCCACTTGAAAAAATCTCCACAAACCTATGGTGGTGCGGGGGATCACTCGACTGAAAAGGGGCTAAACAGACTAGACAAGGATAGTTGCGGGGGTTTAATGAGCATTGGTAGTCTATATACCGCACTACCTAGAACTAATATACTAGCCTATACCTCGCTATGGACATGTGCATCGATGTACTCATCCTAATTTAGGATATAGCCGGGTGGATTGGAGTACAACATAGACGCCCTCGCTGTATGTGGAGTGGGGAGATAGCTGATCGATGGTTATATCCCGCATTGTAAGCAATAATAGTCATCTTATAGTACAGGGAGTAGAGCATGCGACAATATCACCCTTCTACAATGGTGGTACGGTTGCATCCCCGCAGTGGAAGTTCGGCCTGAACATCCGAGACAGCACGCTCTGCAGCCATTTCCGGCGCCGATGCACACGATTCTAAACTAAGCTAATCCTATAGAAGACTTAAAGACGCAAGTATGGGCAATTTTTCGGGGGGTTGGCGACGCCTTGACCGTTTTAATAATGGTAATCTTATTCTGCATGATATCCTGATCCATGTTCAAATCATTGTTTTATTGTTCTCTACGCATGTACATACAGTACCTACAGTCCCCGAGCGCTTCCTGCATCAGCAAAGCGATCCAAGCACACGAAGCCGAGCATGGCCTATGCTCACCAGGCGCAATCCTAGTCCCGATTCTACATTCCACATCCAACTCGGGATCTGCGCTAATACTTATTGACGGAAATTGCTCGTGTTGATCCTGCTGTGTGACGAAAGCGGCAAGAGGGTTTTTCGCTCTTCGGTCTGATTGAGTGCCGGTCAACTGGGCGTGTGCCATGCTTTGGTCCCTTATTACTCTGTGTTAACGTCGAGCTGGGTTTGCAATCTGGCTGTGCTGAGCACCCGACATTAGACACCGGTGCACTAGGCGCTCTTGTGCACGGTGTCGGTGCGCAGGAACGGTGCATTGTGGTTTGATTTGTATTATTCTTCTCGGTTGATATCTACTCCTTTGGATTTGATTTTGGAGTTAGCACCACAGGTGTTTGGTATTTAATAATATATTGTACAGAAAAATAGAAGAGCCTTGTTGGTACCGCTGAAGTTCCTGATTTCCACATGTGATTGTATCCAAGTCCACAAGTGGCGACTCACTTGTCTTGGAACCCCGTTTATAGTCAACATGGAAGGCAAAGTACTGAGAAATGCCAAGTCACCCGTGCACTGATCCCATTTAGTTCTACAGATAAACTTGGCTGAAGTCGGCCAACTTTTCCACTTAGGCTTGCGTTTCCTTCGCCTCTTCGTACTCCTAAGACTCGGCATCCCCGGAAGCCGGTGACTGACGATGGTAGCCGCTGGGCCTGGGTAGTCTTTCGGGCATTCCATGCATGCGTCGCACGTTGGATGCCTTCAATAAGCGAGCTAATAATTTGCTTACATTGTCAGTTGCAGACTGTAGAACATAGTCTATGCTTAGAGTGGACCCCTCCGTTCACATTCAGACATGTATACACCCGTGGACTCAGTGCTCACACTTGACCTATAAAATTCTAGTCCTCCCAATAAAACTAGCCACCATTTTCGCATGTGCGGACTGGACACACAAAGAAGCTAATGTGAGCTCGGTTGTCCTGCCAACATTGGGGATCTATGATTTCATGGTGCTGTGTTGAGAGACGTTGTTTTTTTGACATGAGAACACATAGGTTGTAGACAAAGAGTACATTTAGAGGTGCAGTTGCCAATTTATATCAGTTTATGTCAGTTCATGTCAGTTAATGTCAAGGCGCTCTGAGACACATCTGATACCCTTTCTACTAAAGGCCCACTTGGAGAATCTTCAATGATAACGTCAGGAAAAGGATTCCCAGATTTCAGAGCCTCGGGATTTCAAGTTAATTAAACTAAGGAAATCAAGGAAACCAAGAAAATCAAGGAAATCAAGTTTAATGGCTACTGCCTGATGTAGATGGCTTGAATGGCTTAGTATGTACTATGCGTTGCATAGGGAATAACATGTAGTGTACCCTGAAAACACCACGAAAACACGCAACCACCCACCGTTGCCGGGCAACGAGGTTGATCCAACATTGCACTGGCTTTTGGCAATAGATTAAGTTCCCTCTTTCTTTGTTTAGCGCGACCGAATAAAGTCGGGTTAATGCAGGTGACTCTGGGTGATTGGTCTGGTAATATAGAGGGGAGGCGAGGCCCAGGATCTGATTGTCACTTGTTTACTGAAGCTCTACAATGCCACCCTTCAATATCTGTTTACCTTTTTATCTTTTTCATTACTGACGTTAACACCTGTAAATTTTAATATCTACACTGCACTGTCCGAAAATAGACCCTCTTCTTCGCGTGGCACGCCATGCTCGCCGATCCTGGAATGCATCCCTGCTTCTGATGTCTCAGATCGCAATCATGAAGCATCGAAAGGCAAAGAAAATCTTGCTTGCGCTTCTTGCGCTCATCGACCCCTCTACTGCAATTCCATACACACCGTCATCTGTCTTCCTTTCCCCGCAACACAATAACTCCCTTGCATACATCCTGCGCCCCAGCTCCACCGGCGAAACCGAGTTCGTCTCCCTCAACCTGTCCAGCAGTATCGATGCCGAGGATTTATCATACCAAACACTGCTGAAGAGCACGCCGTTCTACAGCTCTGATCAGAACTCGAGTTTTGTATCCGCCATCGATGACCAGGGGCTCATCACAGTCTACTCGGGCAACTGCCACAGCGCATCCGATAATCCGGTACTATGGCAGTTCCACCCAAACAATAAAAGCCCAATCGGCAATGGAACGTGGGATAGACTGCCAGTCATCGCCAGTGGCGCAAAAACCGCACCGAACTACCTGGCGGCGGGGTTCATGTATTCGTCATCCCGCAACGAAAATGAGAGCTCCATGTATGCTTTTGGTGGGATGTGCCCATTCGAGAACAGCACGGACGAAACATGGATATCGGCAGCCAACTATTCCCAATCGACGGTCGTGTTAGGGCCGAGTCCCTACTACAACACCAAGTTCACTGCTGCCACTACTGGCAAGCGCGCACCGCCCGTCGCTGAAGCTGGAATGGCCGTCGTGCCGCTTCAGCCTACCTATGCCTCTGGTTCTACGGGAAAACAACAGGACTTTTTGTTTATTGGTGGTCATACTAGACAGGCATTCCTGAACATGTCGCAACTTGCCGTTTTCTCGCTACCGCAGCAAAGTTGGAGCTTTGTTTCTGCAATCTCGGATTCAACGCCAAAGGCTGAGCTCACTGTTCGGGATACAGTTTCCATTGAGCCTCGCTCCGGTCACACTGCGGTTCTCTCGGAAGATGGCACCAAAGTGTTTGTATTTGGAGGTTGGGTGGGCGATATGTCTGTCCCTGCTGAGCCGCAATTTGCAGTTTTGGATCTTGCAGAAGGTTTCGGTGGAGCTACCGAATGGATTTGGACAGCACCCTCCTTCGAAGGATTAGGGATCGACGAGGGTGCTGGCATCTTCGGACATGGAGCGGCAATGCTTCCTGGAGGCGTGATGATGATTTCTGGGGGTTACAATATCCAAAAACCATCCTCGAAACGCGCCTTAACGACTGCACAATCCAACTCACGGGTCTATCTCTACAATGTTACTTCAAGCAGTTGGGTCACTTCGTACAGCAATCCTGCAACCAGTTCCCCGAAAGCCTCAGCTTCCTCCAGTCCCAGTAAGCTTTCATCATCGCAAAAGGCCGGCTTAGGGGTCGGACTGGGCATTGGATGCCCCGCTGCTATAGCTATTGTTTTATGTGGATGGAACTACCACCGAAAGCGCCGCGTAAAGGGCAAGCGAGACTCGCAGCTGCGGGAACTTGCTTTGGGGGCAGAACGAGCTCACTTTTGGGGTCGGGATTGTCCAACTCAAGCAAGCAGCATTCGGACTTCTGGAATGAGCGAAAAAAGAACACTACCGAACTGGAAAGATCAGGGCGAAGGCACGGCGGAGAGGACTGGGCTGCTGATGGACCCTACTAGTCTAACCAAGAATAACCGACCCCCTGTGGTACCTCCAGTGAACAATAGGCCATACTCATATCGAAACAGTGAATACCGACGCAGTGATGCTACTGGTGATATCCACCCTATTGACGAACGCGAGGAAGATGAAGCCATGCTCCGAGAACATCTTACGGCAACCATTCCAGCTGGAACAGGACCCACGGCCAAGACAACGGAGAACGAAGACCCCTTCTCAGACACCCCCTACGCAACTCCTCGAAGTACCATCTTTGGGGTTGGCCTAGGTCCTTTCTACAGCCGACGGAAGAATATTGAATCTTTGGATGCCGAGTCCCAGACAAAAAGCGAAAAAACAGCCACCAACCTGTCTGAAAACTCGGCCTTGTCCTTTGTGTCCTCCCAGCCTGTAGGCAAGGTCAACCAAGCGCGAGCCATGCTCGTCGATCGACCTATGAGCTGGGGCAGTGGGCGCCAATCACTGGAATACCTCGCCGCAGGCTCAACACACAGCGACCCAGACGGTGTAGCCCCCTCGGATAAATCAGTCTCAGCGGATTCCTACTCTACAGCCCAAACAAACCTGTCCCACCGCCAGTCAGAGAACGAGTCCCTCCTCTTCGAGTCCATAGATTCCACCACAGCTCCCCCATCCCCCTCAAAACTGCCCCGAGAATCCAAAACCAAAGCCTCCGACTGGGTAATGAGCACCATGCGCCGAGCCCTAACAATGAGCCGCCGCAGCCCCGATAGCCAGCTATACTCGGGCGCCAATACCACTAGTACAGCGCACCGCGCCTCCGGCATTGACCGCCGCAGCACGCTACTCGGAACCAGCCAGCAATCCACAAGCTCAGGACCCAGCACGCCGCGCCGAGCTGTCAGCGCTTCGGCAGAGTTGTTCCGCCGCAAGCAGGGCGCCAAAGACTGGAACGCGCGCAAGCGAGTCTCAGATGATGTGTTCAACACTGCCCGGTCTACACGCGATGATCTTTTCGTCGGCGCGCCAGGTTATCTGGGCGACGAGGCTGGCTTCGGCGATGATGAAGAAGATGTCTATGATTGGGATTTGGAGGGTGCTGCTGAGGGCCGACGAGTCCAGACGACTTTTACCGTTCCTCGAGAGAAACTCCGTGTTGTTAATGCTACCGCTGGCGATATTGATAATATGTCTGAGCGCTCGGTTAGTTGGGGCACTGGGAACAGGAGGGTTAGTACCTAGATCTGAGATCTGGGGCTTTTTTTCTCCTGTCTTGATTGTCTTGTTCTCTTTTTCTTTGTTTTCTTTTTTACATTCTCACTTGTACTTTTGCATGTGTCTTGTTTTTGTTAGGTGAGCCTGGTTGTGTCTGCATCTATGGAGGAGAGACACCTAGAGGAGGTGTGTGCTGTTGCATTGCATTGCGCCGTTTGTACACAACTTCTGTGTGCTCTCTCGCGTGGAGTCTTTATGTTTTTGTCGCGCTGTTTTTTTTGTGGGTGGCTGCTGTTTTCTGTCGTTTTGATATCCACAGCGATGTTTTGATGCCGTTCCGAGATGAGATGATTGTCCTGATGAATCGATGTCTCCCCTTTTTTGTGATTCTGAATGGCTCGTGTTGGATTAGATAGTGGGTCCAAAAATGATATCTTGCTTATTGATTCATTGGGCCTTTGGAAATAGCTACAATTCTTAGACAATTTTGTGCGCCGGACATTTTGTAGAAGACGAGGATGTAGGTTCTTCAAAATTGATAAATGCATGGATATGGCATCTATATAACGCTTTTGTAGCTCCGTGATACATCAAAGACATATATAGACACAGACATGACCTTTCTTAATGACGCTTGTGTATAACATTTTTAATATAACTTGACAGGTTTTCCTCTCACCTAAGACGAAGGAGCGGTAGTAGGCTTAGTAGGAATAGTCTGAGGTAGCTTGGGAAGCAAGTTTTTAGCACCCTCACGGGCATACTGAGCCATGAGAGCGTCCATGATAACCAGCGACGACATAGCCTCAACAATAGGGACAGCGCGGGGGGTAACACAAGGATCATGACGACCCTTAGCTTCCAGTACACCCTCCTCACCGTCGTAAGTAGTAGTGGTCTGGGCCTGACCGATAGTAGCAGCAGGCTTGAACGCGACGCGGAAGTAGATGGAGGCGCCGTTGGAAATACCACCCTGGATACCGCCAGAGTTGTTAGTCTTGGTAATGAGGCGGGGGCCACCGGCCTCGTTCTGGCTGGCGATGAAGGGGTCATTGTGGATTGAGCCGGGGACCTCGCAGCCGCCGAAACCGGAGCCGATTTCGAAGCCCTTAGTTGCGGGGATGCTGAGCATCGCGTGGCCGAGCTTGGCTTCAAGCTTGTCGAAGCAGGGCTCGCCCAATCCAACTGGTACATTGCGGATCACGCATGTTACGGTTCCACCAATGCTGTCGTGGTTGTCGCGGTACTTCTCAATGACTTTGGTCATACGCGCGGCCGCGGCGGTTTCCGGGCATCGGATAGGCGCGAAGGAGTCGACGGTTTCGCGGCTGATCGTATTGATCAGTCCAAGGAACTCCGGGTTCGTGGAGGCGGAGGGGTGTTCGGGGGTAGGGGGGAAAAGATGCTCGTTGCCGACGGAGGAGACGAAGGCGACAATTTCGATGTTATGCGCCAGGTTGAGGAATTTCTCGGCGATGGCACCGGCGGCGACACGGCCTATGGGGATTTGATTAGCCAGAGTGATCATTTCCGATGTTGGTGGTTACACATAACATACCAATGGTTTCACGGGCGCTACTGCGACCACCGCCGCTGCTGGCCTTCACGCCGTACTTCTCAAGATAGGTGAAGTCGGCATGGCTAGGGCGGGGGTACAGGTCCATTGTGCTGCCACCGTAGTCCTTAGGACGCTGGTCCTCATTGCGGACGACCATGGCAATTGGTGTGCCTAGGGTGACGCCGAACTCGGTGCCTGACTGGATCTCGACTCGGTCCTTCTCGTCTCGCGGGGTAGTGAGGGCGCTCTGGCCGGGACGGCGGCGGGTCATTTGGGGCTGGATATCGGCCTCGGTGAGTTGCATGCCCGGAGGACATCCATCGACGATGCAGCCGACGGAGCGGCAGTGAGACTCGCCATAGCTAAATCATGGGTGTCAGTAGCAATATGTGTGGTGGGGAGGGGGCAACTTACGTGGTGACACGGAAATATTGACCCCACGTCGACATGATGGGCGTTGAAAGATGATCGCAAGGTGTTGAATGAAGAGTTATAAGTTCAAAGACCCCGAGATCAATAAAAAGAGTAGAATTGGAAGAGAGAACAAAGGTGTTGGCTGATCGCAAGTAGAAAAAAAGCAAATAGAAAATCGACTCATCGTTCAGATTCCTATCTGGGACTAGCGCTACCGACTATCGGCCTGATAACTTGCACGATGAGATCGATAAGTTCGTCCACCCTTGCTCCAATGCTCGCCCTTCGAGGATATTCCTCGTCTTCGGCACTTTGGACTAACCCACTGAAGCACCAATGGATCCGCCATAATTCGTCATATCCCGCTCACCAATTCGCCGAGCTCGCGAGCCGTCCCTCGTCTCTACACCAGATCTACCAATCGCTATCAACAGACCCCTACGTGAATCTTTCGATCGAGCACTTCTTACTACAAAATGCCCCGGCAGAGTCCAGTATTTTGTTTCTTTATGCCAATCGACCATGTGTAGTCATTGGTCGCAACCAGAACCCATGGCTTGAGACAGATCTCCGCGCACTTCATAATGACCGCAGGAACGGCACGACTGGAGAAGACGAAGCTGCAGTATTCGTGCGACGGCGATCAGGTGGTGGGGCGGTCTTCCACGATGAAGGAAATCTAAATTACAGCGTTATATGCCCGCGTACCTCATTTACGCGCGACAAGCATGCTGAGATGGTGGTGCGCGCACTTCATCAGGTCGGCGCTACCAACACTAGTGTCAATGAGCGGCACGATATTGTGATGGCCCGAGCAGAGGAAATGCAAAATGATCCCAATGAGCCTCTGACACGCAAGGTCTCTGGCTCTGCGTTTAAGCTCACCCGACACCGAGCCCTCCATCACGGCACTTGCTTGCTCGATTCCCCGAATATTCATGATCTTGGCCGGTATCTGCGATCATCCGCCCGCCCATATATCCTGGCCAAGGGTGTTGAAAGCGTTCGTTCTCCAGTCGGGAATATTTCGGCTGCATTAGCCGACTCGTTCTTTTCCATGCAGGGCGTGATTCAGAGTGTGATCGAGGAGTTTGCTCGGCTCTACGAAGTACATCCTGATGCTGTTCTCAGGGCCCAGCGTGCTCATGCCAATGAGTCTGAAGTATTTGCTGGAGATACTTGGGTTGCTGGTACAGTGGGAGAAATCCAAGGCGAGCAGGTGCCTGCCATTGGGAAAGGAATTGCCGAGTTGCGCTCGTTGGAGTGGAAGTACACCCAAACACCGCGGTTCACTTTCTCAACGTACCCCACCGAGGAAGACCCTCGCGAACGGCCTCCATTGCCATCCTCGCTCCCCTCAGGTACTCGTGCATTCATCCGCCTGCAGCATGGCGCTATCGTCGAAAGCCACATCTCTGTCTCACCTGACGAGTCCACCGCATCTGACCAAGCTAGTCGCGTTCACTTAGTACTAAACGGACAGAAGCTGCACGAGATTACCTTGGCCCGGTGGACCGAGATTTTAAAGCAGGGTCTTGGTGAGACCGAAGGAGTGGATGATGCTCTTGTGAAAGAGCTGGCCCGATTTTTGGGGGGCCTTTTGGGGGGCTAGTTGTCCAAATGCATCGATGCCATGAAATTCGTGGCGTGTATGAACATTGAATGCTCTCGGGCCCTATGTACAATAATACTATGATATCCTATTTGACAAGAGCCACATTATTAGTTGCTTTGCCTGTTTCCTTCATTGGTGGACGATAATTTTTCCACTCATCAGATGCTCACAGCCTAGTTCGGACAGACTAGGCTTTTGTTACTGATGATCTCCCCACGTTACGTCCGGCTAAATCCAAGACCCATCAGTATTCCCCCAGAATTATGCACAGATCCCACTGACTGAATCGGCTTTCCCAGCGAAGTGCGATTCGTACCAAAATGGCGTATGGTCTCAGGTATTACTATACATCGGCATACAAGGTTATGCGAAAGCCGATATCCAATACCTATTAAGCAACTAATAATCGGCAATTAACCCGATGTTCATCTTTATAAATCCCATAGCCACCCTATCAATAACCTAAAGCTACCATAACAGCACAAACTCCTCATAACTTCCAGATCTACAGACTTACGATGTCTATACACGCTAACGGTCGAACCCCCTCACAGGCCTTCAGCAAGTCCCCCTTCCGCACCAGATCCGACCTACAAGAAGGATGCCGCGCTATTCTCGACCCGCTAGTGCCCCTCTTTACACCAGGCGGCACACGCGTTAAAGTAGGCACGTCCACGACGCGATTCGACGAAGGTGGCGCCCAAATCGAAGGATACGCCCGCCCGCTATGGGGTCTGGCCTCACTTCTCGGAGGTGGTTATGAATACGCTGAGGCCGAGCGCTGGCGCCAGGGAATCATCAATGGGACTGATCCCGAACACCCGGAGTTCTGGGGGGATATTGAGGATATGGATCAGCGCATGGTGGAGATGTGTCCGATTGGGTTTGCGCTTGCTGTTGCGCCCCATGTCTTTTGGGATCCATTGACGGAGAAGCAGAGGGAGAATGTTGGTAGTTGGTTGGCGAGTATTAATGCGCGCGAGATGCCGAATACGAATTGGTATGTTATGGCTCTGCGCATGATGGTCTTTTGCTGGTGTGGATTGAATGGGTCGGCTAATTATGATTGGGATGATTATAGGCTGTGGTTCCGTGTCTTTGCAAATTTAGGTCTGAGAAAGAATGGCGCTGAGTACTCTTTGTCTCGCATCGAGGCTGATATGGACCATTTGGATACCTTTCATGTTGGCGGGGGATGGAGCAATGATGGACCTAAGCGTCATCATCAGATGGATTACTATTCAGGCTCATTCGCCATTCAGTTCTTGCAGCTTCTTTATTCGAAGCTGGCGGATGACTTTGATCTTGAGCGTGCTGAGCGCTATCGTCAACGGGCACGGGAGTTTGCGAAGGATTTTGTGCACTACTTTGATCCTAACGGTATGTCCCGGGCGGTTCTTTCTGATATGCTTCTCTCTCTCTTCTTAGGATGTGCCTTGGTTCTGACTAGAACGACCATCAAATAGGCAGTGCAATCCCATTTGGACGCTCTATGACCTACCGATTTGCCATGGTTGGATTCTGGGGTGCATTGGGCTTCGCAGATGTTGAGCTACCGGAGCCGCTGACATGGGGCGTGGTGAGGGGAATTGTTCTTCGCCATTTCCGGTGGTGGTCTACGCAGACAGACATCTTCAACAACGATGGAACCTTAAGTCTCGGCTACTCATACGCTAACATGTACCTAACGGAGAACTACAATTCCCCCGGTTCACCATACTGGTGTTGTCTCTCGTTCACCCCATTGGCACTACCGGAGACACATCCCTTCTGGTCTGCGCAAGAGGAACCCTATCCAAGTTCCTCTTTGCCCGAAGTGGTGGCTCTGAAATACCCCAAACATATTGCCATCCGTCGTGGGGGACACTCGTTCCTGCTGTCGTCTGGCCAAGCATGCCACTACCCCCTCAAAGCGACACAGGCTAAGTATGGCAAGTTTGCATACAGTTCTGCCTTTGGTTACTCGGTTCCGACGGGCGGGTACCAGCTGGAACAGCATGCCCCAGACAGCATGCTTGCGTTATCAGACGACGGCGGCGATATCTGGCAGACTAGACGGCTGGCGCTCGATGCCCGTTTCGAGGAACCTGAGTCTAATGGCCAACCTATTCTTGTGTCTAGTTGGAAACCATGGCCAGATGTTGATATAGAGACCATTCTCATTCCACCGACGGAGGAAACTGAGAACTGGCATCTGCGCGCTCACCATGTGCGCACCGGCCGCGCTTTGCAGACCTCCGAAGGTGCCTTTGCTATTTATGGATGTCGCAGTGATAATGGCCGTACCCTGGGGCCTATGACTGGGGATGATTCTGAGGGGACGATGTATGACTACAGGAGTGGATTAGTGGTTTCATCGGCTGGTGCTGTTGGTATTGTAGAGCTCCGATCGGCTATTGAACGGGCTGGTCGGATCATCTTGGCTGATCCGAATTCTAATATCATTCATGGGCGCACACTTTTACCGTCGCTTTCGGTGGACTTGGCAGCCGGGCAGGATTGCTGGTTTGTCTCGGCAGTTTTTGCCGTGCCAGACCATCGACGAGATTGGAAAGCAGCTTGGGAGAAGAAGCCAGTCATTCCAGAGTGGCTACAGAAGAGGATGGAGAGTACAAATTAGAGTGGTAACATATTGTAATTCGATACATATTTGTGCAATACAATTCTGCCCTTACAGCTTTGAAAGAAACCGTGCTCATTTTAGGGGATGTTTTACTGCATTGGGATTAGCCCTAAGTTTGAGTTCCCCCGCAGTCTGGGGTAAGATCAACCACCGATAGACTAGTACACTCCGTACTTGATTCTCCGTCTTTTTCTCTTCCTGTCGGCTAAAATCCCCTTGATTCTGCTAGGGTTCTTTCTAGGATTCTAGTATTCGCCTCGGCAGCTCAAATCATCCTCGGGAACTCAGTTTCATACCTATTACCGTGTGTAACTTTACCCCCACACGCCTCCCGCCTATTTGGAGCTGCACGCGAATAAGCCGTATCTTGGACTCTTGGACTCTTGGGCGCTTGCACCCTTGCACCCTTGGACCCTTGTAACCTTAGACCCTTGTACCCTTGCACCAACCCCCAAAACACCCTAGCCATGTGAACAGTAGTAGCTTCCTGCAACCCGTGTCAGTCTTGCTTCGGATTCGTGGATCTTTTCGGCCATGTCTGCTCGCCTTGTTTAGTGCCACTGTTTTTGTCTCATAGGTCGCTCGGTGACTAGCCAAGATAACTGGGCTTGAGATTACATCTCCCATAGGCTTGGGGTCACAGCCTCTTTCCTTCTTTCCTACGTATATCAATAGCCGACGGCATCTCAAGTTGAGCATCGTCGTGAGCTAGGTCTCAGAGAATTACTTTTAAGCTGATCATTCCCCTTCTCGACTGGAGCTACTGGTATCAATCTTGACTTAAGCCTTTTGCTACTATCCAAGATGTCGTGGCTTCTAAAGAAGATCGTTCATAATGAGGCGATGAAAGAGGATCCCAAGGAGATCTATGGATGGAGGGTCTTCACGCTTGCTTGCTCGGTCAGTCTCTCCTTAACAATAACAATGTCGATAATGCTAGAATTGCATAGCTAATGCTTCCCAGGCCTGTTTCGGCGGAATGCTTTTTGGCATGGACTCCGGTATTATTGGTGGAGTTCTAACCATGCCGAGATTCAAGAAGTTAGTTCCCCCCCCACCCCCCTCCTCTGCTCCCTGTCATCTATCAATTCTAACCAGTGTCATTGATGCAGGACATACGGCCTAGAGGACATCTCCAAAGTTGCGGCAGCAAATTTATCGGCCAATATCGTCTCCACCCTCCAAGCAGGATGCTTCTTTGGAGCTCTAATTGCCTCCCCGATAGCAGAGAAATGGGGTAGACGGGTGTCCCTAATTGGTGCAGCGGTGGTGGCTATACTCGGAATTGTCATGCAAACTGCAGCCAGTGGCCATATCGAAGTCATGTACATCGGACGGTAAGACAGATATTCCCGCCTTCAGTCCTCCAACTACCAGTTCAAGCTAACATGTATACCTCTAGACTAATCACTGGCTTCGGAGTCGGCGCTGCATCCATGATCAACCCACTCTACGTTTCGGAGAACGCGCCACGCGCAATCCGTGGTGGTCTAACAGGTCTATACCAGCTCTTCATTACAATAGGGATCATGCTCGCATTCTGGATCAACTACGGCGCGCTTCTCAATATTGATGGCCCCGCAGTATACCTCGTTCCACTGGCAATGCAAGGTCTCCCCGCAGTGCTCTTGTTCTTCGGCATGTTGATGTGCAACGAGTCCCCCCGCTGGTTGGCCAAACAAGACCGGTGGGAGGAGGCCCGCGCGACTCTCTCCCGAGTGCGTAATCTACCCTCCGACCACCCATATGTGGAAGAGGAGTTCGGGGCTATTGCTACCCAGTTGGAACAGGAGCGCGCACTCGTCGCTGGGTCTAACTTCTGGGACTTGATGAAAGAGATGTGGCTCATTCCGGGCAATCGTAAGCGCGCGATTATCTCTATCGTCTTGATGGTTTGCCAGCAGATGACTGGAACTAATGCGATTAACTACTATGCGCCCCAAATCTGTATGTTATCCCCACTCCCAATATCGGGCCCGTTGAGAGACCCTCCAGCTAACAAGTCGCAGTCGAAAATGTGAGCTCGCACTTCCATCTCCAAGTCCCCCAAAGCGAAAAAAATCCACAATCAGATGCTAACTAAATCCCATCTCCAGCTCGGTATAACTGGCAACTCAACCGGCTTATTCGCAACCGGCGTTTACGGCATCGTAAAGATGGTGGCCTGTGGCGTGTTCCTAATCTTCGTAGCGGACTCGCTAGGCCGACGTCGCTCCCTCCTATGGACCTCGATCGCGCAAGGCTTGACAATGATGTACATTGGACTGTACGTGCGCATTGCGCCGCCAGTTGATGGCGCACCCGTCATCCCCGCTGGGTATGTTGCGCTGGTGTGCATTTTCCTGTTCGCAGCATTCTTCCAATTCGGATGGGGGCCCGTTTGCTGGATTTACGTCTCTGAAATCCCGACTGCCAGGCTGCGCTCCCTGAATGTTTCTTTTGGAGCTGCTACGCAGTGGTTATTTAACTTTGTTGTTGCTAGAGCTGTGCCGAATATGCTGGCTACTGTTGGTGCGAATGGTTATGGGTGAGTTTGGCTTGATGGTGCTTTGGATTGTGGGCTTGCTGACTTCGGGTGCAGAACGTACCTTATCTTCTCGTGCTTCTGTTTCTCCATGTTCGTGTTTGTGTGGTTCTTTATCCCAGAGACGAAGGGTGAGTCAAGTCTTCTAGTAGTATGATGGTGTCTTTTTGCTGACTATGGTGTTTCTATAGGGTTGTCCCTCGAGAGAATGGATGAGCTCTTTGGCGTTACGCAGCTGGTTGAGCATAAGAATGCCGACCCGGAGCGAGCCTCTATTGGCGATGGAGCGGACAAGTCGTCCCAGGTGCATGTTGAGAGGGTGAAGGAGTAGGGGGTTGCTAGTTTAGGTCTACATGGAATGTCAATGAACAAATGTTGAAAGCGATCAAATTCAAGAAATCAATATGTTGGCTTCAAGGATTATTCACATCTGTCATCGTAATTTCATGAACATCATCAAAGTACCCGGGCAGTCCAACCCTCTCGAAAGATACATATGTATGTACAGCGGTCCCAGCACCTCAGGGGACCGCCAAGCCCGTTCATAAGAACTAAAAGAAACATTCGCCGGCGCTATGAACCCACAACATTCGCTTGAATCAAACCCGGGAGACCGAAAGTCAAAAAAAAGGGGGAAAAAACCGACTGGCTCAATGTATCAACGCCGTAGTGAGTGCACATCAAATCTGCAAGTAACGATAACTAGAGGCTCACTTTGTCACTGAGCTAACAGAAAGCCATCTGATCAACAACGGATAGGGGGAGAGAATGGCCAGTGATGTACCGAACAAATAAAGCAAGTAATTTTAGAAAGAATTGAAAGAATACGAAAGGAAACACAAAATCATCGGATGTAGTTGGTCGGACGCCGACCAAGTAGCCCACGCTGGGTCTGGCTGCGAGTCATGCGGCGGGGAGTAGGATCATCATCCAAGCTCAAACCGCCTATGCCTGATCCGAGACCAGTTCGCCGGGGTGAGTAAAAGGGGTTGGGACCCAGACCGGGGTTATTCCCATACCGAATGTTGCGGTTAGTGAAATTTGTGGCAGCGGTTGTAGTTGTGGCTATAGTTTCGCTGTCTGAGTCTCGCTCATAATCAGACAAGGGATCGATTTGCTTTAACGATTCCATGGTGAAACTATGTGGGTTTCTGTTTTGATCGAAAGCGTTCTCATTGGCAGCAGGAAACGAGTGGACGATTCGGGACGAGTTAAGCTCATATTGTGGCACGGAAGGTAATGCTGAAGAGAAACTGGAAGCCGCATCGGTATCGCCAAATGAAAGTGGAGGAGCAGACGGCTGTGATCCAAATGACCGGTGCACATGCGGACTGCTGATTCGAGGTTCAGGTGTAGACTTAGATGAAGATTGACTTGCGGACCAGTCAAGGGGACTCAGTTGACTCTGATGCGGTGATTGTGGATGCGGCTGTGATGATACAGATCCTGAATGCTGCTGGCGTTCTAACCTGGCCTTATTGTAGAAGGAGAATACATTCATGGTTTCCTGTGCGGCCATGAAAATCAGGAGCAGTTTGCCGTAGCGATCGAAGTAGTCCCGATCAAGTGAAACTGTGGGCAAATGTGCCCCCATGTGAACAGCGACACCAAGTTCGGTGATAGAAATCAGAATCTCCATGCCATTCCACTGCACGAGAGGTCTTTTTACCATGGTGATCAGAGCGAAACCGGCAACAAGGCTTGCCGCGCCTAGGGCAGCGATCTCCACGTAATTCCCTGGAATCAAGACCTGGTGGTTCTGAGAGATCGTCCATGCGCTGATGAAGCTGACTAGCAGACCTAGTCGAAGATACCCATAAAAGAGATAACTTTGTGTCTCATCGAGGCGCGTGGGGCCTTGGTTCCGCGGTTGCTGAGACCCAGCATCAGACTGGAAATTGAAGGCACGGTCAAACAGTGTTTCCAGCCCGGTAGATGTATCATGATCATGAGGAGGAAAGAATTTTGGTTGCTTAAACACCGGCTCAGCATCAGCATGCCTTTGCTGCCATTGGCCTTGCGGTTGAGTAGGACTGCGGTGGAACGGATTAGGTTGAATCACTTGTTCGATGGGCTTTGTCAAAGTCTGGGTGCGAAGCTTCCACGCAGGAGGAATCGGGGCTGCTGGGATCTGCCCCTGAAACGGATTAGGACCATCGAGCACAGACGGCTGATCCCGCCGTGTCACAGTCGATCGGAGGTTATGGGTAATAGAAGGGGACCAGTCCATGCCATCAGTATCCGTAATATTGGAGGAAACCGTAAGTGACTGCTCAACGGATGGCCGAGGTTGAGGCTGGGCCAATTTGTCAATCGGAAAGCGCTGCTGGAATCCATCAATGGTCGCCTTCGGTGTTCCGCCAGATCTTGTGATTCGAGTCGACACTGGTGACTCAAGCAGTGTAGAAGAAGACGCCTTGGGACTTTCAAATTGAGTTTCCCAGCTGTTATCAGACCAATTGACGAGTGGACGACTAGTGTAGCTGACAACATATCGAGAGAGTAAAACCGACTACCATAGTTAGCGCATGGAAAGTTCAAGAGGAAAAGCACACTTACCACAATAGTGAAAAAAATCATAAAAGCATGGAAGGCCGGAATCAATTTGGGTTGTAGCGCACTGGCAGACGGATCCTTGACCACTGCCCAGAAAACACATCGTACTACCATGACGATGAGTTGAGCTTGGTAGTACTCTGCAAGACCTTGGAATTTACCGGGCATTCCGTTTATCTTCAGGCGTAGTTTTGGGTTCCACCAGAGCGAAAGTGCACCTGCAATCAATGCTATGCCGGCAGTTGGTGCTAGATCAGGCGAACATTCGCTGGGAATGCGCTTTAAGCGGATAGACTGGTTGATGCATGAAATCACAGAGTTGGGTGTCATGGGAGGTCGTCCGGTGTCGGGTAAATTATCAAAACTTTCTGAGGTCTGGGAGAGGGTGGCTACACTGATCAAGTTCCATGCTAGCTGACCAGCAATACTAGCCCAATATGCAAGCGCACCCACAAGAAGAAGCAAGCTTCTCCAACTCCGGTTCCTCGCCTGTCGTGATTCTCGGTTTGCTCGACTTTGATCCATCATGCGCCTGAGATGGTCCGATTTCGCTTCGTAGCCAGCTCTTCTGATGCGAGATTTGACAATGGGTTCACAGGACTCGCAAACCTGGGGGTATCGGTCCTCCAGGGTTCTGCGGAACTGCTCATATCCGCGTTCGTATTCAGCGTCGGTGGGATCATCGGAGGGGGAAAGTAGGAAGCCAGCGAGCTCGTAAATAAATGTTGATTCCGAGTACATGTGGTGCAAAATAACTGGGATCCACCGAAATCAGTCGATTCGAAGGGCGAGTCTGATGCGCCAGGCGCATAGGCTTCAGCGTTGGTGACCACAGCCGGTGGATCTGTAATTTCTCCTGTCTTTTTTGGGGTGGAAGGTTAGTATAAAGCAAGTAAACTCCAAGAAATAACGAACTTACCTCATCGAAGAAGTTGTCAGCCTCACAATGTTCACAGTGGAAATTGCGAACAGGACCGCGATGAGACCGAGCGGACCGCTGCCCACAATAAAAGCAGGTCAAACGCTTAGAAAATAGAGAAGCCATGACATAGTAGCATGGAAAGGAAACACACAAGTGAAAGGGTTGGTGTAAACAAGGGAGATGGTTCCGGATGCCAAAGGGAAAATAAAAGAGCTTGCACGTGCGGGGGACGTGTATGGAGTTACCACGACTCCAATTTATCCAAAGATCTACACTTGACTGCCTTGCAATTCATTGCTTTGCCATTGTTGTTAACATTATTTTTCATTCTTATCATTTTCTTATTGTTAATCTTCATTCCATTTTTATGATGATGATATTCTAAAATCCTCGGGTTATCTCATCAAACCTCCTGTTAATTGAGAGCGTACAACAGTGGTCTAAGATGTCTGCCTCTTCTTTATCCTTCTGGGACTTGCTCCTGTGGTGCGTTGTCCTGGCAATTACACTTGGGACCATCATTCTCCTTGTAAGTACCCTTTTCGCCCATACCATTGAATCAATCTAACTAGTCTATCTCAGGTTCTACTCATCTCCCTCACGATTTCCCAGAATACCATTCCCTCCAAATGTCGTCCAAGGGGATCTCCTATCCACTTGTTGGTAGTCCTTGGAAGCGGTGGTCACACAGCTGAGATGCTCTACATGCTTGAACGCATGAAATTCGACCCCCAAATCTACACGTATCGGACTTACCTCGTGAGCTCCGGAGATAACTTCAGCGCAGACAAAGCCAAGGAATTTGAGGCTCAACATGTACAGAACTCTCAGGGCCATGTCCATAGCAACAATTACACTATTGTCACGGTGCCGCGTGCCCGACGGGTCCATCAATCCTACCTCACTGCGCCATTCTCTACGCTTCAATGCTTCTGGGCTTGTCTCAATGTTCTTCGTGGGCTTCACCCGGACCAAAAGCTCCCAAAGGAATACAGCTCGCTTTACCCTGATTTGATCCTCACAAACGGACCTGCTACAGCACTCTGCGTTGTCGCAGGCGCAAAACTCATCCGTTTCTTTCTATATTTGGCCAAATACACTGTCTTGTGCCTCGGCCTGCAAAAAACTTCCACATTTGCATCGGCACCAAAGCTGCGTGCTATTTACATCGAATCATGGGCCCGGGTGAGCTCGCTCAGTACCTCTGGTGTCTTGCTGTTGCCTCTGGCCGACCGTTTTCTCGTTCAATGGCCTGCCCAGGCCGGACGGCGGGCTTGGTGGGGGATGAAGAGAACACAATACGCAGGATGGCTTGTGATTTAAGCGCTGTGCATTTACACTGGCTTAGTCTGCTTTAACAGTATGTTTGATATGATAGTTGCAGATATCACATGAAACAATGTTCTCACTAGGTATGTAAGTGGGTAAGAAATGAATTGATCGACAAGCAACAAAAATAATTGGCCGCTTATGTGGCCTTGTGTCTTTTTTTGGTGGTCTTCTTAGATGTTTTTTTTTTAGATATTTTCTCCCCCTTCTCAGTTTTATAGGCTGACGGCAGAAAAAGATGGAGAAAAGCATAAACTGCGCAGATGACTACCTACATAAGGTATCTAACCTTGGAATGTATACATGTAGTACTTTTTGATGATTGATGACTGATGTTGTCCACGGGTGAGATTTACCTAGTTCCGCACTGATTCCCTCTCCGTACACACTTAATGTAGGGATTTAGATCGATCTTTGCCATGTAGTATGTCTATAATTCATAGCCATATGTTTTGGGATCTCGGACTGTTGAATGTAGATCTATAAATCCCAATATAGACTGCCTTTCAGGTCTTGTACGTATAGTTATATGCAGAAAGGGCCAAACCCTTTGGGTCAGTCTAACAACTAAAAAAAAGCATCAGAGAATTAGTCGGTTTATTAAACAAACACTAGATAATATCCCTTAGAATGCAAACCAGCTTGATTTGCGAGGTGTATACCAGAACCATCCTGACCAATTTCTCCCCTTTCACCCCCTCTCAACTGGGGTTTGAATCCTTAGGGCCATACATCTTCGTAGATCCATGTTGGAACAGGACTGTTGGGCTTCGGGGACATAGGGCTATTTATTTTCCAGCTTGTTGGAATGGGATAAACTTCTTGTGTTAAGTGTTGCTTGATGAGTTTGTTAAATTTTTCCGTACAACCCATCTTGTGATTCGTTCACTACCTTATTATCCCATCCTTTTTTTTTAGTTAGTTATACGCAACACTGTTAGCTATATTTTAACATTCTCGTCTGATCTTTTTACTATGTTATTGCCGAAAGCGCTAGTCTTGCTGAAGGGACTGTGGTCATGAGCAGTGGTAATAAAGACCTCAGGTATGAAACGGCTTATCTGATCACCACCATCAGCGACGAGGCGATATGCAAGGCTCTCTTCGAACCGACACTGAGATTAACGTCAATTTCACCAACAATACTTGTGCAAATACCGAGTTGGTCTAACTATATCTCAATGATTATGGATGAGGTAGCGTGTTCACACGTAAAATCCTGAGTGATTTGTGAGCTTGACATGCAACGCCGGGCTCAACCATTTTAACTTTGAATCCAGCAACAATATGCAGGATACAACAATGTAGAGTATGGAGTATACTAGTCACGCTCCAGCTCCACTTGTCTAAATCTACAGGGTCCCTGAACCAGCAGTCTCTACTCCGTAGTGGATGGCTAGACCCACTTCTTTGTTGTGTTCAACCTGGTTCATACCCTGAAGGCATTCCTAGATTCCTACAGTCATACCGAGCACCCAAAGAAAAATTGTGAGAAGCTACCTAGGTAGTGTTATGACTATTACAAGCACAACTTCGACACCAAGTAGACTTTCCAAACTTTCCACCGTTACTAGGAGAGCAACGAGGGTTAATGGATTCGTCCATGAGCTGGCGCTGAGAGCGTGCCCGGGGGAGATTATCAGTCTTCCCTGGCGTTGTTTCTAACAAACTGAAAAGTGCTAGCACTATGCCTTCTTGGTTCAAGCCTAATAACGGAACTAGAAGAGAGGGATAGTGTTTTTGTTCATGCTATTATCGTTGTTGACGAAGACGATGGCACTTTCGTCCAAGACGTTGGAATCGATAAATATGTGTTAGTTAATGCATGATGCTAATCTAGATAATTCTGAGAAGAAAAAGATGTACCTCAGTCTTTAATCGTTGTGTGACAGGGATTGTCTGATGTGTTCTACGGACAGTGCCATTATATATACTGGAGTCATGTGTACTGAAATATCATAATTGATGACTTTTCATAACATTTTTGCATTCAATGTATCTTATGGCTGGAATCGATATATCACGGGCCAGATAGATCGTAACAAAGGGAAAATCAGCTGTGCAACGGTAGCAATCCATTCCTTGGCAATCCGAGCTGTCACCTTCCAATGAAGCCAAAGTAAAAATACAGTACAACATATAACCCTGAAATTGCTACAGGGATTCTTTGTCCTCGACACCTTAGTGGAATCCCCCTGGGACGGGATGACGGTCCAATGACTTGACCATACTCCCGTAGAAGGTTATGCAATGCAAGAATGGCACATTTGCTCCGTAGATGGCTATGTTATATGCAATCGTTACGAGAAAAAGCAAAAAATTAGAACAAAAGTCTGCCAAAGTGAGGCAGAACAAAGACGGGGAAGCTCACTCCCTGTCGAGCACGGACAGTATGACGGACCATGCCTAACGAAGATGGTATTCTCTATAAAAGAAAAATATCAAAGTGAAGAAGCGAAGAAGTGAGAAAATAAAAAAAAAGATATGAAAAATAGAAATAAAAAAGTAGAAGGAATAGCTTCAAATCTGCAAGTAATCTACAAGTTTCACTTGGGCAAGCTGAAGATTTACCCAGGTGTTGGGCAAAGTGTACATGTAGTAAGAGCCTCATGACTCCGACGGCGTTCCCGAGCTCACACGAATTTCTTCTTCCTCCATCTCTTCCTCATTTGCATTCCATCTTGAACTTCGGGGCTTTTTTCTCGCCTCTATAAGGATCTTGGCTTTGTTTCTTGATCGTCATTACTTTGATCCGCCTTTGTCACGAGTCACGACTATCCCCACTCTTCCTCTTCCCCCCCAATTAACCCTGGACCTCAATAATCACCCCGTTTGTCTATGCGCCCGGGTTGCCCTTAACATCATTTTCTAAAACCTCATGAAATAACGCCCCATTTTGCATACGCCCGACGCTAGACTTGCGCCCTCTGCCTCGGTTTTTTCATACGCCTTGCTCCGCTCGCCCCGCTAGCCCTCCCAACTCCTTCGCGCTCTTGCCAATCCACTTATTTGCCTCATCTCAGATTCAAATTGAACGTCCTTCAGAGTTTCTTCCGGCCATTAGACTCTCTGCCGCATCTCCGGGTCGGCCTCCACATCGTGGCGCCAGCACCCGAGACAGCAGAATCGACAACCACACGTTGCAGGTCCCCGGTCGCCCACACCATCCCATAATCATCGGTTCTTTTAATGCTGGACTGTTCTGAAATATCACCACACCCCAAGATACAGCTGGCTGCAACTTGACCAGGGTTGCCGTGGTGGCATTCGGCCAAGTCTGAGAGCAGCTATGCCGGCGCGGGACCGCAACCAACCCGACGACCGTCAAGGCTCAGAGAGCTCTGGAAAGAGCTGGATGTCTCAAGGTACCGTACGAAACTCTGAAGGCCAGTCTCGAGATCAAGACGAGGCCTCTGCAAGAGGTTACAATGCCGAGCCGTTTCTGGGTTCCTTGAAAATGGACTCCAAGTAAGCTTCTGTTTCTCCAAATGACCCGCTAACTTCGCTACGCGATCGTGGCGCGTCGAATACAAGGTCAAAAAGAAGAGGTGCTAAGATTTTTTTGCCAGGCCTGACTCAAAACCCCCTCGGATTGATTGGGGAAATTCCATGTGGTCATGGAACTCCCCCGACATTTCCCCCACTGAACAACGCAGAGGTTTCAGCAATCATCCCGATGCTTTGGTTGTCCCAAGCAACCGAGATAGTCCGTCTCAATCATCTGTCTCGAGTCCCCGACCTCCGCCCCTTCACCCATCTCGCCTCGATCCCGATGAGCTCGAGTCGATTGCCCCATGGTCCACAGCCCCCAGCAGTGGTCCGACAGATGCCAGTGGTACTTTTTATAACGATTACTCTGAGCACGAAGCCTCGCCTGCATCATTCACATTTCGTCCCACGACCGGACGGACATTCGCAAGCGAACCCGCTGAGTTGGAATATCATAGAGACAATCGCCGACCATCTGCTGCAAGCGCCACCACAGTCAGTAGCCAGGGGTCCAGGTCTAGTATCAGCCAGAAGTTTCGAAAGAAGCATTTAAAAGGTCTACTTGGGGATGACTATCATTCGCCTGGGGAGCTTCAAACCTATGACGATGGATCCCAGAACCCGTCGAGCAGGCGTGGGGGACCACTCGACCAGTTGAAGACGCGAGAGAGAGCGAACTCAGATGGTTCGCGCAATACACCCGATGACTCTAATTCCTCCCAACGTCCCCAAAGGCCACGGGAAAATACTACTTTGCCCTCTAGTGACATCACTCCGTGGGATTATCAGAGCTTCAATGACATCCCGCAGTATGGGGAGGCACCGGTGCGCCATGTACCTATCGCACCCGATGGGAAGCGTCTTCCATCTCTAGAAAATGGTACATCGGGCCAGAGGGAGCCAAGCCGACGGGGACCTGGCAAACATCGTCCTTCACGAAGCAAAGAAGAGAATCCGACTCTTGCTGGCGATCTGGCATGGTCCCAACCCCGACCTGCTACTGGCAGAGACGACATCGGAGTACGGCCGTTTAATGAGAACTACTTGCATTCAGTGACTGACATGAGTGACTCTACTGTATTTGGAGGCCGATCAACAAGTCCAACACCCAGTGTGCGTAGCACGTACCGAGACCATGATCGGAATTCACGGCATCCCGGAATCGGCGGGTTTGTTAAAAAGATCCTCGGGAAGTCGCATGACAAATCGAGAAACTCTTCCCCGCCGCGGCGCGATAGGCAAGGAAGCTTCGAAGGGAATACTCCCTCCAGATACCCAGAGTCGGTAGACTCGGACCGAAAGAAAGAGCCTGGGAAGGGTATGGCTGTCGGAAGAAAGCTTGGCGCCCGTCGTGTGTTCACTCATCAAGGTGGCGGCGACCCTTATAACCCTAACAAGGATGACAAAAACCAAGAGGAGAGCAAGCATTTCTTCCACCTTGACGTCGATATGGAAAACCTGAAAGGGATTGTCCGTCCACCTTCGCCAGGGCAAATGAAGCGTGCGAGGGATGGAACGATCACACCCGGCGACGATTCCAAAATCGAAAAGCCGTGGAATGCCCCTGAAAGTTGGCAGGTCAGGGGGCCCATTGACCCTACCTTAGAAGAACCTACTTTAGAAGAACCTGCCCCTGTTGGCCCTCGTGAACGTGAGGCTTCGTACTTTATTCGGATCTTCCGAATTGATTCTACTTTTGCCACACTATCAGCTGGCCTGAATGCTACCGTGTCCGAGATCCTCCTGATGCTTGGTCGGAAGTCTTTCTTGCAAGATCATCTCAACAATTATGAGATTGTTCTACGGAAAAATGATCTTTCACGGCAACTTGACCACAATGAGCGACCTATTCAAATGCAAAAGCGACTGCTGGAACAGGTTGGCTATACGCAAAATGACCGTATCGGAGATATTGGCCGCGAGGATCACAGTTATCTCTGTCGCTTTATCTTCTTGCCGACCAAACTTAGCGGTTACAGCAGTCTCGAGAGTGAACCAGGTTTTAACAAAGCACAAAAGTTCAGCCATGTGGATCTCCAAGGCCGCAGTCTTGTGACTATTCCAATTACGCTGTATGCAAAATCCTCCGAGATCATCTCACTGAACTTGTCAAGGAACTTGTCACTGGATGTTCCTAAAGACTTCATTCAAAGTTGCATTAATTTGCGAGAGATCAAGTTTATCGGGAATGAGGCTGCATTCCTCCCACAAAGCTTTGGTTTAGCCTCCCGATTGACCTATCTGGATGTGTCAAACAACTGCCTTGAGGACTTGGATCATGCAGGTCTTGATCGGCTGACTGGCCTTGTCAGCATCAAAATGGCAAACAATCAGCTAACCAAGCTTCCCAGCTCTTTCGGCAATTTCCAAAACCTGCGAAGCCTGAACATGTCGTCAAATGGTTTCAAGACCTTCCCTGATTTCCTTTACAACCTCAAGAGTCTGGTTGATCTGGATATCAGCTTCAATGGTATAGAAGAACTTCCCAATATTGGCCGCTTGGCCACTCTCGAACGCCTTTGGATGACAAACAATAATTTGAGCGGGCCTCTCGATGATTCCTTCGGGAAATTGGTGAATCTCAAGGAGTTTGATGGACGCTTCAATGCTATTACCAACATCGATGCTCTCTCTAGTCTTCCACGCCTAGAGCAGATATTCTTTGGTCACAATCTTCTATCACGTTTCAAGGGCTCATTTCCAAGGTTGCGGAGTTTACATCTGGACCACTGCCCTATGACGCAATTTGATGTTGACGCTCCTATGCCAACATTGACTTCTCTAAACCTCGCCTCTGGCAAGCTCTCCCAATTCAAGGATACCATTTTCGAGAATTGTCCGAATTTGACGAAGCTGGTCCTTGACAAAAATCACATTTCCTCTGTTTCGCCCCAGGTTGGCAAGTTGCGTCGACTGGAACACTTTAGTATGATCAAGAACCCACTGTCGTCTTTGCCTCCAACTCTGGGTTGCCTTGCGGAGCTCAAGCTTCTTAATCTGAGGGAGTGCAACTTGACATCTCTGCCAGCTGAAATCTGGCATTGTGCTAAGCTGGAAATACTTAACATCTCCTCAAACATTCTGTCGACCTTTCCAAAATGCGGTGCTCCGTACCCTCAAATGCCCGGTGAGCCTACAAACACACCTGGGGCCACACCGGGCATTGGTAAAAACCCTAGCTATGAGGATATGGGCCCACGGGATGAACCAAGTCTACGTCGACCTAGTCAACCATCGAATGGTGTTATGAATTCTGTATCATCAAACGGATATCGGAATCCTTCAACTACTCAATCCGGTAGGAAGGTATCGGCGACGTCGCGATCATATACAGATCCGAACTCGGTGTCTCGGAAGGACTCAAACTTCTCTCAGCAGATGGCAATGACGTTTGCGGCATCCCTTCGAACACTTTCGCTTGCCGACAACAGACTTGAAGATGATGTTTTCCGAGAACTATCCTTACTCCCAGAGCTGCGTATTGTCAACCTTTCCTATAATGACCTGACGGAACTACCCCAAGGGATTCTCAAAAGGTGGCCATTGATTTCTGAGCTGTACCTGTCCGGTAACGAGTTGACCTCTCTCCCATCGGATGACCTAGAAGAGGGAAGCAACCTGAAAGTTCTTCACATCAACGCCAACCGATTCCAAGTCTTGCCTGCAGAGCTTTGCAAGGTTAGCAAGCTTTCTATTCTGGATGTGGGAAGCAATGCGCTCAAGTACAACGTATCAAACTGGCCATATGATTGGAACTGGAACTGGAACCGTAATCTCAAGTATCTGAATTTTTCGGGCAACAAACGTCTGGAAATCAAGCCAAATATTGCGTCGTTGGGTCCTCCGGCCGCCAATGGCGCTGATCTGACTGACTTTAACTCCCTAACCCATCTCCGTGTTTTGGGACTGATGGATGTCACACTCACCATTCCCACCATCCCAGAAGAGACTGAAGATCGCCGTGTGAGAACATCTGCCTCCTTGGCTGGTACTCTCGCCTACGGTATGGCCGACTCTCTTGGCAAGACCGAGCATCTATCTATTATTGATATGATTGTTCCACGATTGAAGCCAGATAATGTGGAAACACTTGTGGGAATGTTTGACGGACAGACATTTTCCAGTGGTGGTTCTCGCGTCGCGAAGTACTTGCACGAGAATTTCACTTCTACTTTCTCGTTTGAGCTTAAGAAACTGCAGCGAGATCAGGGTGAAACACCATTAGATGCATTCCGACGGTCGTTCTTGGCATTGAACAAGAACATGGCAGGCTCTGCCTACAGATCCATCGATGAACGTGAGATCCGGCAGTACCATCGAGGATCGACTGCCGCCAAAATGCTCAATCAAGACGACATTCAGTCTGGAGGTGTTGCTACTGTCTTGTATCTGAACAACATGGATTTATATGCCGCCAATGTTGGTGACGCCCAGGCTATTTTGATTCGATCAGATGGTTCAATGCTTTCTTTGACACAAAATCATGACCCCGCGGAACCTAACGAGCGCGCACGCATTCGTGCAGCAGGAGGTTTTGTATCTCGCACCGGCAAGCTGAATGATGCCCTAACCGTGTCGAGGTGCTTCGGACACTTCCCTATGATGCCTGCTGTCATTGCGGCCCCTTCCACAATGCATGTTACCTTGACGGAACAAGATGAGATGGTCGTGTTAGCGTCAAAGGAACTCTGGGATTATGTTACTCCGGAAGTGGTGGTTGATATTACTAGGAGAGAACAGCCAGATTTGATGTTTGCAGCTCAAAAGCTGCGTGATTTGGCCATCTCCTTCGGCGCCACCAATAAGCTGATGGTGATGATTCTCGGCGTTGGGGAAATCCAAAGGAAGCAACAACGCCCAAAGCGTCGTCCTTCTCTCAACGACCCGTCTGAAGAGCAACCCATCGCACCTGTCAAGCGTGCCAAGAAGCGCGATGGTCCTGGAGATTCGCGACTCGCGCGCTTTGAAAATGTGGAGGCTCCCGACGGTGAACTGACTATCATGTTCACTGATATCAAGAAATCCACGGGTCTATGGGAGGTTTGCCCGGATGCAATGCGCTCTGCTATTCAAATTCACAATGACATACTACGCCGGCAACTTGCAATCTTCGGTGGCTACGAGGTCAAAACAGAAGGCGATGCTTTCATGGTGGCCTTCTCAACCACGACCGCTGCATTGCTGTGGTGTTTCAACTGTCAAAACCAACTCCTTGAAGCCGAATGGCCTACAGAGATTCTTGATCAACCCCAGTGCCGAACTGTCGTTGACATGGACAATAATATTATCTATCGTGGTCTATCTGTCCGTATGGGTGGTCATTGGGGTGAGCCTGTCTGCGCTAGGGATCCGGTCACAAGTCGAATGGACTATTTCGGTCCAATGGTGAATCGTGCGTCACGAATTTCTGCCGTCGCCGATGGAGGACAGATATTTGTTTCGTCAGACTTTATGACTGACATCCACCGCAACCTCGAGATTTTTGCGGATGCTGAGCGTTCTGCATCCACCAGCTCGATCGACAGCAACCACCCCCGTGGCGATAGCCTCGGTCACAACATTCGTAAAGAACTGCAACAGCTCAATAGTCAAGGTTTCATTATCAAGGATCAAGGTGAAAGGAAGTTGAAGGGTCTGGAAAATCCCGAACCTCTCTACCTTGTTTACCCCTCCGCGCTTTCTGGTCGCATGATATCTTCAGAAGAATCACAGGATCGTGACAGCTCCGCTGCAACTATGAGCCCAAACAACCAACTCGACATCCAAACAAACGTCATTTGGCGTCTCTGGGAAGTCACACTCCGTCTTGAACGACTTTGCAGTGCTTTGGAGCATCCAAATGAGTCAAGCCTCGGAGAGCCTAATGTTGCTCTCTTCAATATGGTCAAAAGACACGGAGGTGAGTTCAACGACTCGACTGTTCTCAGTTTGGTTGATCAACAAGTCACCCGCATCGAGGTCAGTATTACACAATTTCCCGTTCTTTTTACACTTTTTTATCTTCCAATCCTAACAAATTCCAGGTATGCATCAACACACTCTCCATACGCCACATGATGCGTCCCTTCAAACCAGGCGACACCCTCGGCGACCATGCCGTACCTATCGGCGAGGTACTTCAGCAACTACAAACACAATTCGCCGAATTCCAAGCTCTCAAGGAGCAAATGGCCGTTGGTGCTGCGGGCAACATCGGCGGTCTATCAACTCAGTATGGCAAAATTGGTCATTCAGACCTCAGCAGCGAGATTACCTCCTCCTCCTCATCATCTTTCCTCCACCTCCCTGGCGATGCCAATCGCTCTTCCGATTCCGGTCACGGTTTCCTCTAATTTCTGCCCTCTGCTTTATCGCACTAATTTCAATTCACTTTTGGTTCCCTTTGGCTTTTTTGGCCTTCTTATCTTTTTGTATCTGTCTAGCTTTGTTTTAGTGGGCGGCGTCCCACTGGCGGGAGGGCGGTCTGCAGATTGTGTTATATAAAGCATTATGGCATGGAGCCACGGTGATTGTTTCGGTATCTTCTTTATTATTGGCTTTGATCTACTTTGAATGTTAGGGCTGTAATTGGCTCGGACAGTGAATATATTACAGTCTATATGATACATACCTTTATAGGCTTTTTTCTTATCGTTTTGTTTGATTCTTGATCACATCCGAATGTTTCCACTCATTAACACCTGCCGCAGAGGTTCCCGGGGTATATTGGCTTTGTCGCAAGGACTTCGCGATAGATATGGACTTGGTCAGGACCACAAATGTGAGTATCGTACTAAACAAAAACATCAATTTCCGATAGAGATATATAAGATATATATATATATATCTGTCATCTAGGCTCTTTGCTCTTCTGAATCCGACTACATGCTTACCTAGGTGGTTGTCCTTGATATCAAGTACAAGGACGATCATACAGTAGTTACTGGCCTGAGGCGCCTAGGCATGAGGCCACAGGTCACGTGTAATTGTTTATGTGTACGTCATCGGGCAACCTGGTTTCTTTTTTCTTACCATGTAGGTAGTCTGCTCACCCCTTCATCTGGTAAACCGAATCCAAGCAACAAAAAAAAGCGCCATCTGTTTTTTGAGATTTTTCAACCCTACATTTACATCGAACAAATCGTTAGTACCAACTCGTACCAACGGTCGGCCATTTTTCTCGCCCCGCCTGTTGCCCTGACTACGAACTGAACGAATGATCGATCTGGGTCTGGCGTAATTAACAGCTCGACAAAAAAAAAACAACCCTTCTGCGACCCCAGTTAAAATTCGAAAAAGGGAGCGATCGCTGCCACTTCACTCGCATATTGCAATTTCGTCTAGCCACGCACCGTGCTGCAAGTTCGGTGTCTATCTTAACAAAAGTTCCCCTAGACTACGCCATCTCGGTCGGGGTGTTCGCACATTAATCAGGTCGCAACGTCACACATTGCACACCACACAAAATGGCAGATGAATTGGAATACCTCCATCCAGAGTTCGATCTGAACTCTCTCACTGTCCCTCGTCTCCGCTCCATCCTCGTCAGCCACGATATCCCCTACCCTGCATCCGCAAAGAAAGCTCAATTGATCAGCATCCTCGAAGATGAAGTCCTTCCTCAAGCTAGAAAGCTCCTGCGCGACCGCGATATGGTTCGACGAACTAGTATGGGGATCACAGACATGAGCAGTCGGTCGACGTCAGTGGATAGCGACACGAACGACAGAGAGTCGATGCCTCCTCCACCCACACCCTCAACAGTGGGATCCACAAGTAGAGGGCAGCGAGGCGCCTCACGACGCAGCACCCGTCACTCAACGGCAGATCCCGATGATGCTTTCGGCCCTGCCACGCCTGTCAGGAACACAAAGCGCGCAAGTGTTGCTCGCTCGGTGGGTAAACACGCTCGCACGTCTGACACAGAAACCGGCGATGACACGTTCGCGACTCCAGTCGCTGCTACTCGTCCTACGCCTCGCAAGTCTACAGCTAGAAAAGTCGGACGGACCGAAATCCTCCCCTCAACAGAAGTGGATGAACACACTCCTATCAAGACAGAATCACGTTATGAGAGCACATTTACGGATGACAATCCTTTCCAGAGCGGAAGCCCCGAAGCTCCTAAAAGCGCAAGGATGAGCTATGATGGCAAGCGGAAGAGTGTTTCGCGCTTATCCACCGACAGCCCAGCTCGGGGCCGCGGACTCAGGTCGCGGAAATCAGCAACCCCGTCCAGCCTTCAACAAGACGATGGTTTCCAGCCACCCAAGCGGGATTCATTTGATTTCGCCTCTCGGCTGATGCCTCCACAGGAGGAGCCTGAGGAGGAGTCAGAAGAATCCGATGAAGACGAAGAAAGCGAAATTGAAGCAGGTGAAGAATTCACGCCCGAGGAACAGCTCGCCATGTCTATGGAGAATGATCAGTACACGCCACAAATCCAGGCTAGGCGCCGGCCCCGAAAGCAAGGAACTCTTAGCCGCTTGGCCCCCTGGGTGGTCATCCTTTCAATGGCTGGCAGTTTTGGTGCCTGGTGGCGCAAAGAAAAGCTCGAAATCGGATACTGCGGCCTGGGAAAGCCTACCTGGTCTTTGGCGGAAACCAAAGTTCCCGAGTGGGCGAATGTTCTGGAGCCTCGGTGCGAGCCATGCCCAAGCCACGCCTTCTGCTATCCGAACTTTGAAGTGCGCTGCGAAAATGATTTCCTTTTGAGGCCGCATCCTCTTGCCCTTGGAGGCCTGGTACCGTTACCGCCAACATGTGAACCCGATAGTGAAAAGGAGCGCCGCGTGAAGGCTGTTGCTGATAAAGCCGTTGAAGAGCTTCGTGAGCGCCGGGCAAAGTGGGAATGCGGTCAGCTGAAGGAAGACGGAAAGGATGCCAGATCCCCAGACATCAGCGAGCCAGAGTTGAAGGAAGAGGTGGCCAAGAAACGCCGCAAGGGCTTGAGTGACACCGAATTTGACGAGCTTTGGAAGGGCGCTATTGGCGAGATCCTTAACAAAGATGAAGTTATTAGCAAAACCAAGCAGTAAGTTTCCTCCACCCTAGGAGGGATTTTCGTGTCTCCCTGGCTACGCTCATCGCTCTGGACTCCCACATCCAGCGGCATTTCTTATAAAGATCTGGTCTGACATTGTGTACCGGAACTGACAGAGGCGCGTTCGCAATTACAGAAATTCCGCCATCCTTATCCTCTCCTCTACCTCCATTGCACGGCTCCCACTCGCATGCGCCATCCGCCGCTACTTCCGACTCACTCTCCTCGCGTATCGACTCCCTATTTCACTTCTAATTGTGACCATTGGTCTCCTTGTGTACATTCGTGCGCGTGTCCTCGCACGTCGGTCCGACATTGCTCGCGTGCCTGAATTGGTAGCTACGACCCTTGACCGACTATCCACGCAGGCTGCACTATACGCCCGCGGCGATGCCAAAGAACCTCATATTGCCATCGGTCAGCTCCGTGATGACGTCCTCCGCTTTGAACTCCAAGGCAAACGTCGCGAGGAGCTCTGGCGACGGGTCCGCAACTTTGTCGAGGGCAACGCTAACGTCCGTGCTTCTGTGCGAGAAGGACGTAGCGGTGATGTTTCTCGAGTCTGGGAGTGGATCGGTGGGATCAACGCTGTTGGTGAGCCGGAGCATACTGGTCGCCGTGAGAGTGCACGATTCTCTATCCCTTCTCCGTCCGGTAACATCGTGACAAGCCCTCACACCCCTGCGGGCGAAAGTCAACCCGAGCCTCTTTCTAGCCCGAGAGAGTCTCGCCGCTGGGACGAGGGTCGTCCGATCTACTGATTCTCGACCTGTTGTCTGGAAGGTACTTTGGTACGTACCCACACACACAGCTCAACTGTGACTGTATTCTTTTTGATATCCCATCCGTTTTTCTTTTCTGATGAATGAGATATGGCTCTTGTTTCCCGGGTTTTCTTGTCTTTTTTTTTCACGCACTTTATTCCCTGTTCCCTTCGCCTACCTCGTCAGTACATATTCTTTGCTGTCCATATAAATTCTATTACCCATTCAATGAAAACTTAATTTTTTTTCTTTTGGACACATTCTTCGTGCTAGCGCTAGTTTGCGCACGATGTATAAAGCAATGTACGGAGTAGTCCAGCCATCATTCTCACGGATTTTGCCAGTGCCTGGTGTCAAGCTGAACCCTCTATCGATCCATCGCAGAGCAAGCATGGCACGTATGCAACACACCCCATCAGGTATTCAAGTCCGCCTAATATCCATGCATCAACTTGACAGTCCAGACGATTCCAGCCCATCCGTACCACCAGGATACCTGATAGAAAGCAAATATATCAACTTCCGGGGACCATTTCACTCCTTTCCGCATTGCAGAGCAGTTCAATTCCAGCCCAACCGCAATACCCATGGCATCTTTCTGTAGTGCATATGTACACATACTAGTCATATGTTCTTACCCACTGCCCCACTTACAATTTGACCCGGCAACCAACCCATGTTTTTTTTTCTCCTCCTACACCACCCACACTGCTTCAAATCTAATGAAAATAGGATCAAAAAATAGCAAATCGGCACAGCTCTCTACTGAGCAAAGAGCGGCTATTGTATATGCATACAGCAATGGTGCTACGCAGGTTCAATTAGCCAATGATTTTGGCTGTACCCGCAAGACTATTTTCAATACAATTAAACGCTACACAGAGGATGGAAAATTGGAGAATCGTGAGAAAACTGGCCGTACCCCTATGCTTACTGAACGAGCTTGTCATCAAATTCTTTTACAGGCCCGCCGGCATCCGTTTTGGACCTATAAACAGCTAAGTGCTACTATAGTTCAGCATCCATCACCCTCCACTATACGTCGAATTTTAAAGCGATACGGAGTCAGAAAACGCCGATCGAGACAGAAGATACCAATTAAGCCCTCTCTTGCAATAAAGAGGCTTAGATTCGCAAGGAAATGGCGCCGGGAGAGCTTTCAATCGTGGATCTTTTCGGACGAGTGTTCGGTGCAACGAACCTCGAACTTTGGACCACAATGGTGCTTCCGTATAACCTCGGAGGGCCTTAAAAAAGAACTTGTAAATGCGAAGGTTCACGTTAAAGATATTTCACAAATGGTTTGGGCTGGAATCTGGCTTGGTGGTCGAACAAAATTAGTTATTATGGAACGGGACGAGGACTCACCTTCTGGTCGAGGTTACACTGCAAATTCATATATTAAAGCGCTTGAAAAAGGTCTGTTACCAGTCTATATACCCGGTTTAGTATTTCAGCAAGATAACGCAAGGATTCATACAGCATTGGTGACGCGAGAGTGGTTTGAATCCCACGGGATATATATCGAGGACTGGCCCGCACACTCACCTGATTTAAACCCGATTGAACCAGTATGGCGCTGGTTAAAAGTGAAGCTTTTTGCACTTTTTCCAGAGCTTATTAATATGGGAAGAAGTGAGACTGATTGGCTTTATTTTAAAAAATGCCTAGGCGAAGCATGGGATGCATTAGATCAATCTAAGATAGATGCATTGATATTGAGTATGGGAAGACGTTTAAAGGCAGTACGGAGAGCCAAGGGTTATTATACAAAATATTAAGCGAGGAATTCATTGTGCGGATATTCAGCTTACTCATATTTTTTAATTGAATTAATTGAACCAAAAAATGGTGGTGTAGTGTAGTATATAGTAGATATATATATTTGGTGAGGAAGCCATAAAAAGTGGAGTGGGTAAGAACATATGGAAGGTGATGTATGTCGCTCGGTTAACCTTCAACCCAGATGGAGAAACAGGCATTAGTAAGCTCATCCTACCGTGTGATCAGTGCGAGGAGAATATTTGTACTACAAGGATTCCATGTAGATAAGAATAATAAAATAACGACTGGCATTCATACACTCGGTCAGTCACTTTATAGTCTGTCGGCATGTATGAAGTGAATCCGGATCTCGAAAAAAGGCGTGTCGCTCTCGCTCTCGCTCTTGACCGTCTCCATCCTTGATGCCCAACGTATTAAGCTGGCTGATCAATCAATCAATATCCCTGTCCCGGCGTCAATTTCAAACTCATCGCTAGTGCACGTGTTTTTGTTAAGATCACTAATGCGTTCTAGATACAGATTGAATACTAGGAATACTAGGAATATTAGAAAATAGTAAGTAGTCTAGAGTTCAAGTTAAGGATGTTCTTTGCTTCCAATTTTGTTTCTTGGTCTATGAGAATGTTGGTATTAACTAGTAGAAATTAGTATCGGAGTTGTCTGATATGAGCACCCAATGAAACCAGGGGATGGTAGTGTGATGGTTGAAGCTACTGTAAGCCACGCGAGTCTTGAATATGAAAGGTATAATAATTTGAAATACTACGATGTACGGAGTACGGGGAACCATAACCGGAGGAAAAAGTATGGAAGTTGATATATTACAACATAGAGACTTCGCACATGAGTGGCTAGTAGCGAATCACTACAGGTGACTCGAAGTATCATCTGCAGGTGCGCGATACTCAGTTTGAACTTCACTACATAAACAGATATTGCAGCAAAGGCCAATCAGGAAGAGAGAAACCTAGTGATCTCAGATCTGGCGGGAAAATGGAATTTGTTCTTGCCCAGCCATCCAGATCCAGCCAACCAGCTCTCAGATTTTTTCGGGGAAAAAGGTTCCCCGAGGAAGACGCAAGATGCTTTTGTGTGCCTGGTACGGATCTACCCTCGTACACATGTTGTGCCTGGAGAAGCACGAAAGTACTTTGTACCTAGAATGGTAAGGTAAGATAGCCCTAAACCAAGGGGACTGTAGCGAACCCCAATTTTGACCGCTTCTTGAGGGTCATTCTTGAGAAACGTCCTATCAAGGAGCACTGGGAGTAATGGAGTGGATACGGGCAATATTCGTACTCCATACTCCGTACGCTGTAACCAGTAGTATGGTCCTTGATTTTGTTATTTTTCCCCCTCGAAATTGGGACCTCATCTCTAGCCCCGCTCTTCTCAACGCCGAGATACAGCGAGTTAGGGCAATATGTAACGTTCTACGGAGTACTCTGTACTAGTTAGTGTTTTGTGGATGACTGCTTTAAAGCAACATTGGAAGATTTCTTCCTTGCATGGCTGCAGGTAGTCCTCCATACAGAGTAGGACAGCATTGCCTGAATGACTTCGAGTGGCCACGTAGCGCTGTGGCGCCGAAGATCGGTGAACGGGCGCGATAACTGTGTGCGTGGTAGAAGCACGGGGTGGTTGGGATAGTGGAGATGTTTGCAAAAAGGGGATGGGGAATGTGCCCAGGTGGTATTGAACATGGGTTAAGCAGAAATTGGAGCTATGCGTCTAGCGTATTTCGTATATTCATATATATCAAGTGAGCTCTGGAGTCTAATATATAGACGAGATTGGATGACCAGTGAATGATCATGCTCGTAACAATTCTTCACATTTCTGTAGTCGAAGACCATTCGCTCTACAAATTATATATGAATCACGGTTAAATTGGGAATACCTTGGAGCTTTGAAGATTTTATGCAAACGGGAAGCAAATCACATATGTATATGTATGGCGCGGAAGTATTCTCCCGGGGAATTAGCGGCCGTTGAAGTAGCAGTCATGTCCGAGTCCCTGTGACGGATTTTTATTTCTTTATCTTTTGGTTTTGTTATCTTTTCTTTTATTTTTTTTAAGAAAAAAAGAATTAAAAAAAAAGAGAGAAAGGGGGAAAGATGTTAGGGTTAAAAAGACCATGTCGTGCATACCAAACCCGATACGATGAAGTCTATACTAAGTTAGGAACAAGATGAGAGCATCGGAATCGCACTCATCTCAAAATGGCTCAAGGAACTCTTTCCCGACACCAGTCAGAGTGTTAGATTATGGCCCACCTGTCACCGGGAGGCTGTCGTACATTGGTTTAATCCTGGTCCGTTTAAAAATTAGTCTTACCTTGTCCTACTTCATCCTAGTGTTATATCCACAGTTGCCAAGTGCCAGTTGAGACATATATTTACTCGAGATCTCTATTAACTCCCGTATCTGGCACTTTAAGGGATATTCAATGTACGCATAATTGGGAGAACTCATAGACTTTATACAGGATAGAGTTGAGCCAGGGGACACATCACATCTCAAAGAATCTGTTAATAGTTGGCCCAAATAAACCGTGATAGAGCAAGCCCTAACCGTCGGAGATAGTACCTTGTACATATATATTGTTCCATATTCCTCTCAGCTTGAGAGATATTATTATATTGTTCTTTGTAGGGCGATCAGAGAGATGTTCACATCTTGTTGACATTATTGTTGGCATTATAAGGGGTTTCAATTCCAGAATCTTGTAGCAAGGAGGTCAGGAGGTATAGTTTAACTTGTATGTCGTACTACGGAGTATGAAGTAGAGTGAAATGATTTAACGACTCACGTGTACTGTGGCAAAAAAAAAAAAAGCCATACCTATAAAGTACAACACCATCCCTACTCCGTACTTTGTATATCCAACGTTGTGGGGGATTTGACAAGCCTTGACTTGTGTGGCAAAACAATTATAGTGGGTGGGGTCTGACAACCCTCTGGTGGGGCTTGCAACGACACAGCCTCTATACAGAGTACTTTACAGGTAAATGTTAGGTGAAATTTGTATTTGAATGACGTTTCACGAAGGGGTTAAAAATAACATATTTAACTATATTAGTGTATAGTAGGGGGAAACTAAAGGTCAACTTCCGGAACCTTGCGCATGAAGCCATACAAAGGAGGTTGTATATTCTTTGGAGAAAAGAGAGGCGGAAAAAAAATTGTATCAGACTCTAGATCTCCTGATCGACAAAGTGAATCAAGAATATTAGAGATCGACTTCTTCGATCGAAAATAGACCCGTTTTTTATTTCTATTTCTTTTAATTGAAGAAAAAGAAAAGAAAAATATAGGAACACAATCAATGATATTTAGATATCCATATGTATAACAATGTACACAATATTATACGATGTAAAGTATAGAGGATTTCATGTTGAAAGATCTTGGTTGGGCCTATCATTTACCCCGGAAATTAACTCCGGGTAAGTAAATTAGGGTTATGGATATTCGAGCGATTACGCCTATGAAATGAACAATATACCAATATACGATATACAACATATAGTTATATAGTTCTATACATATGTAGCTATATAGGTACATATGTAGTTATATCATGTACTATTAACTATAGACTAAAGTACTATATACTCCGTACATAGGGAATAAATTATCTTATACTATATTCGTATTTCGTACTTAATACACTATTAACTCCGATACCTCCTGTTTTACCCTTCAATAGGGTACTTGTACTAGTACGATGTACTCTATATAGAAGATCACAACTTTTGATATATATATATATATATATCTATATTGGATTAAATTATTTGGTTTCTAGAACTTCTTTAATATATATCTCATTAACATGTCCTATTAACTTGCTTATTTTTTTTGGCCAACAATTGCATCTTTCAAAGGCCCACATCCGCCACACAGCTCTCGATCCCTCCCTTTTTTTTTTTTTTTTTTTTTTTTTATTTCATACGTTATTTTCCTGTTATTCCCCCTGCTATTTCTTCCCTCATTTCCTTATTTCCTTGATTTTTTTTCCCTTATTTCCCTTTCCCCCCCACTTTGCCTTCATGCCCTTCTAATCTGGGCACACAGTGAAGTTATTAGGTCTAGCGGGGCCCCTCCTCTCTTTCTCCATTCTATAATTCTTTCTATGTGTCTGTCTTCCATGTGATTACCATGCTTTCAAATGGTGGTTTGGAAGACAGAAAGTTGTTCTGATTAGCTATTTGCTATTTTTATCTGCGCTTGATGAGTGAACAGACACCTCGAGGCTATAGGCCTCTTGCGCCTCGTACCAAACTACTCGGTGGAAGCGGAGGGGGAGAGGGACCAGCGATTCCAGCTGGCGGGAATGCACCAGAAGAAAAACGTATGAGACGAGCATCGACGGCTTGTACAGAGTGTCAAAAACGCCGGACTAGGGTACCCATTCACTGCGCTTCCTATTTTCCTAACCTTTCTTCCCTTTTATCTCACCTAATATTTGCTCCAATGGATCCATCTGACCTGCTCTTCTTTTCTCTTTCTTGTTGCTAGTGTACCGGCCCTCCTCATTGCACCGAATGCTCAACCCACGCCCGCGAGTGTGTCTTCGATGAAGCCGCCGACAGACGCCGCAAGGCCTCCGCCAAAAGAATTCAGGATCAATTGGACCATTTCCGATCATTTGTGGACGATCTAATCGGGCTCATCCGCGAAAGTGATGGTACAACGGTGCAATCAATCGTCAATACCATACGATCGGGAGCAACCCCTGGAGAGATTCGAGACTATCTCACCCGCCTCTTGGAAGATGATAATCAACCCGACCCCCGCAATTCAAGCATGCGCGACGCAAACCTGAACCTGAACATTACTCCCAACAATAACATGGGCAATTACTTCAACTCTTCTCGTTGAATTAATCCATTATCTCTCCTCGGCCAATATACGCATCCCTGTATGAAGATGTGCCAGCGCTACTCCGTTCTCTCCCGAATCCTCTCCGCCCAGTCTTCTCGATCCCAAATCCTCGACCGATTAAACGAACATGGTTGTTTGATGGCGTTTCCTTCATAGCTGTTACTCGTGTCACGTTTCCCCTGAGATGCAGCAAGTCATTCACAGAGCCGTCACATTATTCCTCATTCTAGCTGTGTGACCAGCTCCATAATTATGTTTGTTGCCATATCTCGAGACAGATTGAGATCTCGCAAAGAAACCAAACTGTTCTTATTCTCTTCCCCGAGCCCTAGCATTATATTTTCTTTTTGTTGCAACTATTCTTTGCCATCCCAGTACCCGGGGCTTAGAAGGTTACAAGATTGCGGAGAGACCCGATGTACCTTGACAACAATGATACCCAGAGATACCCAGTTCTAGCTTGTAATATTCAGACTTTGTTTCTCGGGTTGGAGTTACATGCCGGGGTGTTTGTGGATTCAGAGCAAGGATCTTTTTTTAATACAAATATCGACTTTCGCATCATACAGTCGAGCTATCAAAATTTCCGTTCATTATCGATCTTTTGGCTCCTGTGTAGACAACACTAGACAGTACTAGATATCCAATGACTATCGCCCAATTGAAGTTTGACGAGATATCCCGGATATGGAAGGCCGTACCTAGGAAGGTAGTATAATGCGTTGTCCATAAAGGTCTATCAATCTTGGAACAAGTAACTATTTTTACTTCATCTCAAATCACCGAACCCACACACTACATGCTCATTTGGCATATGATGCGCTTCAATTATCCTTTGCATATTGAGCTCTTTATCAGAGTTGGCAAATTGCATTTCAGTATGATGTTGAATCCCCAGGCAGATCACATTGTCTCTTCTGCTGACTCCTATTAATCCTAGGGATATGATGTTAGTTAAACAGCTAATATATACGAACCTACGGTAAACTTGCTTTACAGAGCTTGTATAAAATTTTCTCTCAATTTGTAGTTACAGAGAGCAAATGAGCAATTTCGTCAATGTCCGACTACACGAGCGTCACTTTCAGTGAACTGCCCTTTACCCGATGAAAATCCCACCATAAGGAGATGATCTTGCTTGGTAATTGTTACTCATGTAGATCAACCCTTACCTGTACCTAGGCACTTTCAATATTACCTGCTTTGTACATACATATAATGTCCACGGCCTCGGGGGTACTTGATAGTTAGGTAAGAATCCGGGGAGGTGGAGGTCCCCGTGCCGACCGGAGACTTCCCGAGATCTGTGCTTTTCCAATTTCCCCCTCTTCCCCGGATACTTCTCCTCTTGAACTCCGTACATACCTCTAGATTGTCTCCTTTCGAAAAAATTCCTCGGGAATTAATTCCCTTTTTACTCCGCTTGTTTTTGCCGATCTCGATATGACAACCACTAGTGTTGCCATGCAGTCCCCTCGGCCCGCGACCAAACTAAATAAAACAACTTCAACAGAATTACCGTCTAACAAGAGGAAAGCATCCGACACATTAAAAGATGGTGTAACACACCGCCAGAAAATTACTAGAGCCTGTGACTCATGCAAATTAAAGAAAACCAGGTGTACTGGTACTCTACCATGCACAAGATGTACACGACTGTCACTGTTGTGCAGATACAACGCTGCATACTCTCGAGGGCTACCACCAGACCCTCTCCCTGCATCACCGAGTCCGATTTTAACACCGACTGGGCGCCGTGCATTTGAGAATGTGGATGTACGCACGTCCAGCCCTAATCTTCAGCGCAATGGTCGGGACTCGACTATGACCGACGATCTACTTTCAACCCAAACCCAAAAGCACCACCAGCACCAGCATGTGGTATCATCGCGGAACTCGCCAGAGCCAGGGTCAACTGATTTTGAGGGTAATTACCTCGGTCCTTCATCCGGTGTGTCATTCATCAATCGCGTATGGAGCCGTCTGCATCAGGATGAAACCACGCACTATCCGAACGAACCCCAAAATGAGTCCTCGCGGAATACAGCTGTCTTCATGTTTGGCGATAAGCCTTACTCTAACTCGCAGGAGGCGGAGTTTACCCTCCCGTCTTTGGAAAAGGCGCTGGAGCTGGTGGGAATTTACTTCGATTACTCTATGGTGACTTATCGGTTTGTGCACAGGAGCAATGTGGAAGAGTGGACTAGACAAGTTTACCAAAATAACATCAGCCTCTCCAATCTCCCTGTGGGAAACATGGTGGCTCGGACCGCTATCGTTCTCATGATCATTGCTGTGAGTACTTTGTACGTGGAAATGAGGCCCGGGGGGATGCCTAGTGGGCGGGGTGAAAGGCTAGAAAGGTCAGTAATCTTTCAATGTAGTCCAAAAAAAAGTGGCCTAACTGAGGGGTTACAGTGAGCGCTGGTATGCAGCCTCGAAATACATGTCTTCTCTCGAGTCAGGGCCGCCGCGGCTGGAAACAATCCAGGCCCGGCTCGGCCAATGCCTATATCTGCTGTCATCGTCACGGGCCAACGAATGCTGGTACTCATTCGGCACGACAATGCAGATCGTGACCGCACTCGGATTACACAGGAAGCAACCAGCAAAACTCTCGAAGAACGGGTGTTCTTATCTAGAATTGGAGCTTCGCAGGCGCATCTTCTGGAGTGTATACACTCTAGACAAATATCTAAGCATTATGTTCGGAAGGCCTCGACTGCTCCACGACGAGGATATCGACCAAGAACTACCGGAGGAGACGAACGACCAAGATTTACTGGAAGAAGATCCGACGCGAAGAACAGGATCCACAGACAGTATGATGATTGCTTCTGTTCTTCACTACCGGTGAGTCCCTCATATCTACCCTGTGCCTATACTCATATACTATACCTGGGCATCTAATACGGACCCCAGACTTGGTCGTATCCTGGGTGATATATCCCGCCAATTATACAGCATAAACACCCTCCCTCGAGACTCACCCCTCGAGACCGCAATCCGCCTAACCTCAGAACTCGAAAAATGGAAAGAAACCGTCCCACCCTTATTCAACAGTGTACACCCAACTAGTTTAATCCCGCCCCTCTGCCGCCAAAGCCAAGTCCTCCAACTCGCCTACTCGCACGCTATGATCCACGTCACTCGCTCATTCCTCTTGAACGATTTCACAGACCTCAGCCGTAGACCAACAGTCCCGCACCCGATGGTCAGCTCATATGTCCAGAAATGCATACAGGCTGCCGAGGACATCATGACCATAACCGATGGTCTCGCACACCAAGGTGTGCTGATCCAGTCATTTTGGTTCACGCACTATGTGTGTTTCTGTGCTGTTTTGGTCATTTACATCCATACTATCCAGCAGCACCGTAAGTCATTGGGCGGATCTAGCTCAGCCTCTGTCTCTTCGGCCGGAAGTCCCAATGATCCAGATAAATTGCGTCAGCTTTTTTCTCTCGCTGAATCTTGTCAGCAACACCTTGCTGAAGCTACGCGCAAGAACTGTCCAAGTCGTCGCTACGGGATTATTCTGGAGGAATTGAGACAGGAAGTTCATCGGCAGATTGGATCCAATGGGGTCTCTGTTGAAACCCAGGCTCATTCTTCTAGTGTAAATGATACTTTATATGTCTCGGGGGAGAGTTCACAGAATGCGGATGTAAAATCGGTTCTCTTTGACGCCCAGCCGGTTGATTTTATGATACAGCCAGCTGATTTGGGGGTGAATACGGGAGACGATGTAGGCTTCCTTGAGAGCCTCGAAGGATCGATATGGTGGGCTCAACTTGACTCATGGGTATGTATTGGGCTTTTCTTGACGAGCGCAAGTAATATCGCTCGCCTTTACACACCTTTTGTTAACACTTTTCTTTTTTTCTAGGCCTTGTCTAATCTCCCTAATGACCCATCTACGTTTAGCTTATAAATGGGATGTAGCTTACGAGTCACAAAGTCAAAATCGCGTTCAATTTCAAATATCTCCAGAGTTCGTGTTCTGGCCATTCTTCCCCAGCCACAAACCTTGATTCAGTGGCGTTCAATACTGCATGAGACCACCGCGGTGAATATTCTCCAAGTAGTCATCGAATCTTGCAGATATCTCAATCACATCCTTAAGGTGATCATATCCGAGAACTTCTCCTTTCCACTTCGCGTACTGACGAGCAGTGGTGATGGCATTCCGAATTTGCCGACCATTCAACTTCTCCCTCGGAAGCACATCCAAGCTTCCCATAAGATTCTCAATATCAATAGCACCTTCATCAAACTTATCTAGCCGATTGATGAAAGTTTTCCAAATAATTCGTCTCTGCTCCTCGCCGAGAGGGGGGTAGTGCAGTGCCAGCTGGATGCGCGATTTAAACGCCTCATCGAATGTGCCTACCCGGTTGGTGGTCAAGATCAAGATTCCCTCAAAATACTCCACCACACGCAAGAATGCCGATACTAGCGCATTTCGGTTAAGATCTTCCATCCCGCGCTGCTCGAGGAAAACATCTGCTTCATCGAGCAGGACTACGCAGTTCCAGATCTTGCCCAGGTGTAGCACGGACTCGAGGTACTTCTCTACTTCCTCTGGCTTGGTGCCGACGTCGCCACATGTGACTCGGTAGAGGGGCCTCTCAGCTATTTCAGCCACACTCTCTGCGGTCAGTGTTTTGCCTGTTCCAGGCCCGCCGTGGAGAAGCAAGATCAGCCCGTTGCCTTTTCCGGTGATCAGATCGGCGGAGTATTCGGGCTCCACGTAGTTGGTCACCAGTGCTTCGATAAGGTCTCTGGATTTGGAGTCGATGGCTAGACTCTCAAAGGCATCTTTGTTCCACTCGACATGCGAGATGCGGTCGACTGAGAGATCGAACCATTTCTTGCGCCGGAGGTTGAAGCCAGTTATCCTCGGGGGCATCAGCATGCCGAACGGCTCTAGCGGGGGTTGCTCTCTGGCCACGACTCGGTCATCGATCATCTTTCTGCGTGGTTCGTCATTCCAATACCCGCTCGAGGTTGGGTGCAGTCTTTTGTATGTCTTCATGTCTATGATATATCGGTCGTCGGCCTAGTAGCAGTGATCAGTTCAGTTCATCATTGCAGGTTGACAATAAATATATACCATAGTCTGGAAATTTTCTTCCTCAGTCGCCTGATAGGACACATACTTCTGTGTGCGGAATGACCAGAAAATCTCCCCACGGCGCTGGAGCTTCCGGACAAGATGATCAGGAGCATACTTGATTGGGAATACCGCAAGTTCCGTAATATCACACTCATTGTCTGAGTCACCATGGGGTAGAGGAAGGCTAGAATTGTGCGACAAGTAATCCAGTTGAGGCGACTTTGGCATCTCCATGGCGTGCTGCGACTTTGGCATCTCAAAAGTGAGCTTAGTCCAATATTTACAAAACTCGCCATTGAACTCCAAGGTCTCGGCGCCGATTAACCAACAAGCATTGCTGGTGCCATGAATGTCTGAGCTTTGGGATGGCCAGCCCGTGGCTACATAACCTATATGCTCCTTATCCTTATTCGAAACCAGGACTTCATTGGGCTTGAACAGGTATTGAACGTATTCTGGGCGAATTTTACCTTTCTCCAAAAGTAGGTCTGCTGCAGTATACTCATCGCCGTATGCCTCTTGGACATAGCCCATGAAGAGTTCAAATTTCCTTTGCGCCTCAACACTCAGCCCTTGTTTGATTTCCGATTCTCCAACGCCCCGGTTATGGTAGACAAAAAGATAAGGCGACTGGATCTCCCCCACGGTCCGGTAGATGTTGTTCATGGATCGAAACTCTTTGCCACTGAGGAAAGCTGCGATCACGTTTTTGAGATCTTCCGAAACTGGAAGAATAGTCTCGCTAAATGGTTCTGGCTTGCCGTACATTACGTTTGATGACTGTCGCTCAGCCCTTCTTTTGTAGTTCCGGAAAACCACGAAAGCGATGTCTCTGTTGAGAGCGAGATACAACTCGAAGTTGGTCAGCGGATCATTGCAGCGCAGATATGGCGCACCCATGTTTCGCTGGATGAGCTCAGGGGGGTCGGTATAAATCCCCATCCATGGAGACCTGGACCTTGACCTTGACCTTGACCTTGACCTTGACCTGTGTGGTCTGGGCCTGGGACGACTGAATTCATCGTCACTATCGCCCATGCCGTAATTGTCACTCGGATAGGTGTCATTTTTCTCAATCCTCTCAATCCGATAAAGGATCTGATACTTTGAGGCTATGGGCAGGGCAGGTTTTCCTTCCAGCTCCCGGACCTTATCTCGAAGAGCCTCAATTTGGGCCTTGAGGTCATTAGCCTCTGATAGAGATATAATTCCCTGGCTCGGAGGAGTGTATGTGTCTGGGTGAAAGGCGGTTGAGAACTGCGCATTCATATCGTACGAGTCCACAGATTGTGGAATACGGTTCCTTACTGGAGCGTAAGGGGAATTGGTAGGATACACCAGACTTGGGGCATATTCATAAGAGACAGGACCCGGCGGAAAAGGGCCTGGCATGTTTTGGTTGTTGACTACCGGCGGCCCAAAAGGACGGAAAGGGATATCAGTCTCGACTGGTCTTTGATATGCGCTGCTCTGGGATGCAGCCAACTGGCTTCGCCGGGCGTTGTTCTGCTGTTCTAGCAGCATCAATCGGAATGAGTGATCCTGGTTATTACGATTTTCTTGCTGCGTTCTGGGATTTGGGATATAATATGTACCATCAAGAGGGGGGGAGGAGGAGGAGGATTTGGGGTATAATATGTACCACCAAGAGGGGGGAGGGAGGAGGAGGAGGAGAAGGAGAAGAAGAAAGAGGAGCTCTTCCTCTGAGCAAAGCAGGAACCGGTTGCTCCTGCGATGCATCTTTACTCAGATCTTCTGAGATGGTGTTGGTCATGTACAGCTCGTCACGAGGACGAGCTGGGTTTGGATGAGTATTCATTCCCACGGATCACAAAGATGATCTCCAAGATAAATTCAATGAAATGTTGTATTGTCCAGAGGGAGGGAAGAGCAGACAATCATTAAGTGCGATATGAAGAAGATTGCCATCTCAACCAACCCCGCGTACTGAGCCTCTAGATTATCATGTGGTGTGGCTGTGTGCATGTGCATGTTAGGCTACATAGGTATATCTCCATGCATAGGTACCTATCTTGTGGATATGAGTGCATTCCAGATATCCATGTCCATCGAGTCCATGAGGTCCTACAGAAAGTCGGGTGGTGCCTGCCTTCCTGCGTGGTTGCCAGCCCTAACACCATGAGTACTTGATACTTCGCCGAAAACACCTGAGCTTTATGCTTTATGCTTCATGCATCATGCATCTACTCAATATATTGTTAAAGTCCACACACATTTCATTCATCATTCATTGGCTATAAGAGACAAAGATGACTACTTCCAGCAAGAAAGATACAACTCGACGAAGTCTTTTCAATCTCTGGATCCCAACTAAAGTCATCGTCTCTGGAAAACCAGACACATCCCCAACTGACTCTGGCACAACAGAAAGCCCGGCATCAGAGCCAATTATTCCAGAGGCAGGAAAGGATCGGCTTAGGGTTCGGTTGACTCGTAGCGGCTCCAAGATTCTATTGTTGCTAGGCTTGCGTGGTTCATCCAAGAGTGAGTGGTGTCTTTCTTTTTATACCAGACCTTCCACTGATTTTCCATTGCAGGCAACAAAGGATTTAGTGTCAACACTGATTGCTCTGATTCCGTACAGGCCGGCGACGAAAGCCCAGGTCCCTCGAACTCATCCTCCCCAAGTGGCAATGGCAATGACAGCCCAGGATATCTGACTGCAGTTGAGTCCCCACAAAGTGAACCACTACCTGTCACTCCTTCGCTCAGCACCCCCACCGAAGGGGTTGAAACTTTGTCTGAGCCTCTTCCTGACCTACGACCATCACCCGATAGTCAGGGTGAATTGCCTGTTGTCGGCAACGTGCAGCAACATGCCACAGGTGGAGATCTCCCGCCAACTACTATCGCTGAGCAACCAAGTCAAACAAATTCAAAATTTGTCGATCGCTTTTCGCATAGGATTTCGCTAGCGTTTGGCCAGCCCACTGTCATACGACGTGCGCATCTTCGGTCAAGACCGAGTGTTATTCGCGTCAATTCTCCAGTATTAGACGAACTGGGCAAGCAGAGTGATGGTGCAAATGATAGCTCGGAACCATCAACCAGCCCCAGTAGTGGTGGGTCTCCTGCTGGTGGGCAGTCAAGTTCACTGACTCCGCCCACATCTGGCGAGCCATCTCCTTCCTCGGATAAAGAGAAACTGCACGATGGACACGAAAATGCGGTGGTGCGTTGGCCCTCTCTCTCCGAGATTAATGAAGCTGCCAACCCATCTGGTACCAATGCAGTCACAATATTGCCATCAATCAAAACGGTGGAAGCGACATCTGTGGCAAAAGTTTACTTGGAACTATACTTCAATTCCATTTTACAAAACAGAGATCCGCGCCAGCAACGTCAGCTTGAGTTGGAGCAGCATATCTATGCGTTTGATCTCACACCTGAAGAGCAGTTGATGACAAGACACAACTGGGTCTTGCGAGAGAACGATCATCTTCGACAGTGCCGTGTGCTCAAATCAAATCGATACTGCACTCGAAGCGAATGTGCCATGTCTGTCGCAGGTTACAAACCTATAAAGGTGCTCGGGAAGGGAAGCTTTGGTGTTGTGCGTCTTGTTCGACAGAACGACTCTGATTTGAAGAGTTCTCATGAAGATGACCCTCCAACTTCCAAAGACAACAATGGCCACTCCAGATCGAATCCACTCGGAGCTCTGATGTCTGCCGTGGAAGGTGCAAAACAAAGCCGCCGAAGGTACATGACTGGCGAAAAGAAGGAGGTATATGCCATGAAAGTCATTAAAAAGGCAGAGATGATCCGTAACTCCCAGGAAGGCCATATTCGAGCGGAAAGAGATTTCCTTGTTGCCTCTGAGACCTCTCGCTGGGTTGTTCCTTTGATTTCCAGCTTTCAAGATGCCAACAATCTGTATCTTGTGATGGATTACATGGTTGGTGGTGACTTTTTGGGGCTACTGATACGCAAAGATACACTCCGTGAGGACTGGGCACGTTTTTACATCGCCGAAATGATATTGTGCATTGAGGAGGCACATCGGCTTTTGTGGATCCATCGCGATGTCAAGCCTGATAACTTCCTCATCTCTGCGTCGGGTCATTTGAAAATTTCAGACTTCGGTCTGGCTTTTAATGGACATTGGTCGCATGATCAAGCTTATTATAATAGCCATCGCTACTCCTTGCTGGAGAAACTTGGCATTGATGTCAAGGGTGATTCCGAAGACCAGAAGAACGCCGCAGAAGCGAAAGAGCTTGCGCCTGATATAAAATTGCACAGTATGAATGGCCATACTCTTCATGGGCCAACCTCGACAAGTTTGTTGGAGTGGCGAGACAGCAAGGGGCGACGCAGATTCGCAAAAAGTGTTGTTGGAACCAGTCAATACATGGCACCTGAGGTTATTCGCGGTGAAATGTATGACGGACGATGCGACTGGTGGAGCTTGGGTATCATTCTATACGAGGTACGTCGCTCAGATTCCTGTTTTATGTGGATCAAGTTCTCATAGTGTTTCCAGTGTCTATATGGTTTCACGCCCTTTGCTTGTGAAAATCGCCACGATACAAAGATCAAGATCCTTGTAAGTAACTTCTCTGTTCCCTTGTTCTGGTGAACATTTCATTCTGAAATCTCCCCAGCAACACACCAGAACTCTGCGATTTCCGCGGGAGAAATCCACCGACAAGTTAGTCTCTCAGGATGCCATGGATCTGATTACCAGGATTCTCCAAGAGCGCGAATATCGCCTGTGCTCTCCGAAGTATCAAGCTAATGATATATTGAATGGACGTCCTGTCTCAACTCAAATGCTGTACTCCATGGACCCGCGGTATAGAAATATCGCGAGCTACTATGTATACCCGAATGATGCAGCAGACATCAAGATTCATCCATTCTTCCGAGGTATCCGATGGCAAGATCTCCACATGTGCCAGCCACCAGTGGTCCCTAGGGTTAGGAACTGGGAGGACACTAGATATTTTGACGACTGGAAGGTCGGCGACATTGCCGAGCATGCTGTTGGTAATGGCTCGGAGGATGCTGACCAAGAGCCTGACGAGATCACCCCTGGGAACCAAGAAAGAAGTTTAGCAGAGAACGCTGTTGGGCCACCAATTGCTGCGGCTACCACGCGCACAGCACAGGAGCAGGCAAAAGACGCCGAAACGAAAAAGGAGAAGAAGCGGCCACGCGATAAGATCCTTCGAGACAAACAGCTGAGCAAGACAGTCCTAGAAATTCGCAAAAAGGGCGCTTTTCTGGGATATACATACCGGCGACCCAATGACGTTGCTTTGGCTTTCAGCACAGAGCGAGGGCGTCAACCGCATACCAGAGGCCAATTGGCTGGCCTGTATGCATCTTGATTATACAAAGCAAAGTCGTGAAATGGAGATTTGACGCCCTACTCGACTTGGAGCAAACCGTCGGCTATTGTTATATTTCCCTTCATGCGACAAACATACATATCCATACAATCCACTCCCCATCTTGTATAGCGCCTCATTCCCTCATAGGGAACTGTTGACCCTCCTTGGTTTTTTACTCCACTCTCCCTCCTATTTATCATTAGGAATGAATATACATATGTATAACCCTGGAGGTCATTCCTGTCCATTTTCTCTCATGAGCTTCAAGTATAGCCCACTCATTTTGTTTCCTTTTCAGCCAGCCCTCTTCATGAACAAGCGTTTAATTACGGATAGAAGATGCTGGCCTACTCTGCATAAAAAGTACTGTCATCAGATTGATTACATCCTATTTCCTATGATACTTCATCAAAGATGAATGAAGTGCAACACACAAAAGCAACAGAAACAACGCTGGGAATTTCATACAAACAGCAGGGAGCAAGTGTCTATGTACGGTCTCAAATCACATCTGGTAGGTAGGAAACCCGGGTATCGGAGAGCAAATTCAGGATAGAGAATGGTTCAAGGGGTATCAAGTTCGGGGTAGATGGATATGAAGGGGGAAATCATTAAGGAGGTAGATGCGTAAGTGGCACAGAAAAAATGAACCGAGTTCACAGAACGGGCGCGCTCATAGAGAAAGCCGAATCCGTGACACGATCCTCAGGTTTCATAGTACCATTGAGCAGTGGACAGAGCTTCTTGTTTGTTTTGATGTGACCGACCTGGCCGCAGTTGGCACACTTGCGCTGAGTACCAGCAGGCTTGCCGTCCGGATCACCGGAACGAGGAATGCCTTTTTGCTTCTCGCGGGCGAAACGACGTTCCTTGTTACGGTTCAGACGGCCGAGCTCGGCCTCGATCAACTTTCTATTACGGGCGTCGACCTCTGGATCGCCCGTAGGCTGGAGAGATTCCAGCTTTGTGTGCATGGCTTCGTTGTGGTGACGGTGCTGGATATAGTGCCTGATCACTCGGGGATCGAAAACATGTTGTTCTTGCTCCACGATTTCGCCGTTTTCTTGCTTAATCTGGCGGGTGATGCGCAACACTTTGCCGCGCTGGCTGTTGAAACTCATTTTACTGAACTGACTTGTTGTCTCATCGTCACGACGATATGGCCCAGGTGTGGGCGCTTCGGATCGGGGCGTTGGTTTATTGAATTGGTATTCCTCTTCTTGATCCACGTCGCTTTCCTGGTCGGAATGCTCAATGGTGGAGGATAAGCTGCTTTTTTGAGCATCCCAAATCCGACGAATGGATGTTTCGTATGACCTTTGTTGGCGGGCAACATTGTAGCTGTGGCCACCAAGCTCCTTCAGCCGCTGCGCGTCCAGTTTATCTTCAACACTTTCGCCGATAGCCTTGAACCCACCCTTCATGCTTGTTTTGATGAAGTTATAGCCCTCACCACGGCCAGTTGGGTCTCCTTCGCCATGAAGTTTCAGCATAGCCTTGCCTTGGGAGGCCAACAAAAAGTTGCGAGTTGCCTTCCAGGGAGCCATCTGCTGCTCGAAGCTCTCGAATTCTTCATCTTCTTCGTTTTCGCCGCCAGTCTCGGCATCATTACCATAACCGGTGTCGTGGAGATGCTGCTGTCCAATCTGCATGGATTCCAGAAGACAAACATCTTCGGGCTGGACCCACGAGCGGATTGTGTCTTGGTCAGGGAGAACCGGATCCAGTGGCTTCCAATATTTAGTGTCTTTATCGTGTTGAAGGAAATCCTTGACCTTCTGTCGGTTCTGCATATCCGTTGTGTTTGGTATGTGAGCTGTAACATCGCTGATTGCAAGTCGCTCATCCGGGCTCTTCTTCAATAAACGATACACCAACATCTTCATACGATTCTTGGCAACAGTTGTCACCTTGCGCGAATGTGGCCCAGGGATGTCAACCGATGGGAATTGCTGTCCGGCAACGTAGAAATTTTCGATGTTACGCAGGAAATAGTCACTGCCATCGACTCCAGTGGTGCTACGGACCACGAGGAAGTCCGTAGATTTGGGTTGGTGCTGGAATAGCGGTGCTCGATACATGGAGTTTGAGATTGCGGGGGAAATTTCACCAGGGTCAACATGGCCAAAGATTGAGTAGGGACTCTTGTCTTGGGGCAAGAGAACAACTGTTTCACCAATATCTGCCCTTGGGCGAGTGGGATCATCAATATTCTTTCGCCGGTAATAATTGATGAAACGGTTGCACATTCCAAAGTTAGCTAGTGTCATGGGCAGCTCCTCAGAGTACTCCACCAGCAAGACATTCGAGTTGTCTCCCATGGACAATGACTTTGTAGAGTCATAGACAGTTTTCGCATCTTTGCCACGCAAATGTCTGCGTTTCATCTGAGCAGGGTTTTTGAACCAAACCGTTTGCCCAGGCCGGAAAGCCAAAGCAGGTCGGTGGAACGATCTAGCTTCAGCCTTGGCTAACTCAGTCTTGTAGTAGGGCCACTGCAAACGCAGCGCTGGCAGGGCGTGCTCAAGTGTCACGTTGCCAAGAGTACTGCGGATCTTGTTCTGATGGTTCTGTTTGAGCATGTCGTATGCTTGATCATTTGAAATGTTGTATCGCTGAGTGAGACGGCGCGTTAGATTCAGGTCCACTTCATCCCTGGTGCGAGGAGCGGTGTGTTTCGGCTTGTTTGCTACGGCATCCACTCTTAATTCGTCGACAAGAATGTTCGGATCATTGAGATCAATTGTGACTCTCTTTGCGATTTTCATTGTCGCTTGTTCCGGGTCATCCAATAATGGGATATCAATATGTGACAGAGCAATGACATCCATCGGAGTCGGGCCGGTCTTTCGTTTCTTGTTCGGAAGCTCAGTTTCCATGAGCCAATCTGCTTCATCCTCGTCAAAAAAAACATCTTTTCTTTGTGCCAATGGAGTATCTTCCGGGTCAATGCTGGAGACGTCATCCTTAACATCCCAGTCCACGCAAATCGTTCGAAGATCCTGCATGGTGAAGCCACCGGGTAGTACTTCATCCTCCGCGTCATCCATGTCAATATCATCCTTTGAATCCTCATCCGCCTCTTCTCCTTCGTCTTCGCGGTCCGACTGTGTGATCATCACCAAGCCAAGAGTTTCATGATCAAGGCCACGCTTGAGGGGTTGACCGGTTCTGAATGAACGCTCATGGTCAGCTGCCAGTTCGATATTCACTTTCGTGGGCAAGACAGGTTTGGGCGGCTTGGCCGGCTGTTTTCCAATGAATATGGCCTTCTTGTGCGGAATCAACTCGAGCCAACGTGGAAGAGTGTTGCGGTCGAACGAGGGAAACAAGGAATGCAGAAGCTCTTCGTGGTTCTCAGGCGGCGCGGGTGGGTTTTCGACGCCTGACATAGCGAACAACTGCTGCTGAAGTTTCCAAGCGCGAAGCTCGACAGGATTCATATCTTCCGACAGGATACTGTCATCATCTGGGAATTCATCTTCCTCCATCATCGGTGGCTCTGGCTGCGGTTTAGAGGTCAATGGGATGGGTGGTAGGTCAACTGGCGCATCTGTTAAGGGCATTTCTTCGTCTTCGAAAAGGCCACGGGTAGAATCATCCTGTCCAGCAGGAGGCGGCGAAAAAGAACCTTCGCCAAAAAGGTCATCGAGATTGTCATCCTGAGTCTGAGTGCCCTCCCCCTGGTCACCAAAGAGATCGTCGCCGTTTCCGAAAAGAGCGGCGTCGTCTGAGCCCAGGTTCGCGAAAGGATCTTGGTTGTCATCCACCGCAGGCAGGGCTGGGGTTGGGCCTCCCACGACCTCTTCCTCCGGAAGTTCATCGTCATCGAAGTCCTCGTAGTCGATCGCATCGTCGGCTTTTTCGCCAACTTCCAGATCACGCGACAAGAAATCTAGAGAGGGGCCGTTATCTTCGTAGTTGTTCAGTTGTCGCATCACATCGTCGAAATCGGCATCTACCTCGCCCTCCGGGACCTTCGGTGTTGCGTGAGGCATGATAGGTAGGTACGCTTGTGTTCAAGGTGAGAGGAGTGTTGTAAATGAAGAAATCGTTAGATTCAACAAGTTGGTGAGAGAAATCGTAGGTTAAGAATGTAAGCGCGAGCCAGACAGGCGACGACGCGATTCAGAATATGCACATCTGGGTATTATACGAGTCTTCGATTTAGACGTGGGTTTTGCCGTGGCTTTATTCGCGCATGGGAGAGAAGAAGAGGGGTGTGTCCAAGAGGTGGTCGTAGAGAGAGAAAACGGGTTTCCAGGATAATGCGCAAGGGACGGGTTACGCTAACCCGATAAGGCAATCAGCTGCCTGAAATTCAATATGTTTTCGAAATGGCTCAATAGGATCTTTTCAAAAAAAAAAAAAGACAATGAACAAGAGGAAAAAAAAAAAAAAAAACTTGATTGGAAGTAAAAATACATTTCATGAAATTATTGTCAGATGAATAGCAACCATAAGTCATGACACATTGAAATCCCCATAGAAAATACACAGCGCCTTACTTGCACCCTCCATGCAATAGTGCATTACTGTAGCCTTGTCACCGTCAGGAACCAGCTTTGCAATTTGTTTCAAATCAGATGTCCTTGGGATGTAAAGAACCATGTGCTTGCTGAATGCTGAGTATTCATCATACAATCTTTGGAGGGAATATGGCTCCATGGTCTTCAGGTTGAATACCTGATCTGAACGATATCCTGGGCCTGTTACATTTAGTTCATGTCACAGAAATAAAGACTTGGTAACACTTACCTCCCCACGGTGGGCTGGCAAAGATGACACTGTACGGCGCCAGTTCTTTAAGTTGATTCTTTAGAATCTCGAAACAATCGCCTTCAAACCAAGTGATCTTGTCCTCCACCCCATAGATTTTCGCATTATGCTTTGCGCACTTAAGGACAGCAGGATTTTTCTCAATCGCGTAGATTCGTTTCCATTTTCCGGTCAGGGCAAATGCAATGGTGTTTCCGCCTGCGCCAGCGAAGGCGTCCACGAGAATCCTGCGCCCAGCAGGCGCTGATTCGGCAATCTGTGAAGCTATTTGGCTAAATGAAGGTTAGCAGAAAGTCCGATGTAACAGAAAAGAGTCACGAACTTGGCGACTGGTTCTGGTGTGACGCCAAACCAAGCATCATCGGTCAACCATACACCATCGTCGTACTTGGAAAAGATCCGGTAGCGTTGTGCCCAGTAGCTTGTGATTGGGTTAGCATTGGTATTTTTCGGTGACAATGACACTTACTTTTGGATGTCCCAAGGCACTTCGTGCAAACTGCTGTAGTGATGCACCTCTGGAGGCGCGTCTTCGTCTGCCATGATACAGTGCGGCGATAAAGCAAGATGATCGATTCTCGATAACTAACTGATAAAGATGGGTGGTGTTTGCATGGTTTGCACCTATGTATCTGGCCAGCTCTCATGCCCGAGGTAAACACACCTCCAGAGCTAACCATAGCTTCTTTACTTACTCTCATCCGATCGTCTCTCGCAATCTGAGTTATAACAGAGAATTATGTTCGGCGCATTAAATCGCTTCATAGGCCGGCTAGATGGGGAGCCTGGCCAACAGCCTCGAAACGGCCCCAGTGACAACGCATTCGGTTTCCAGGTCCTCCGCAACAAAGACCCGGAACTGCCTCTAGAGCCGTGGTTTGACTTTATTGTGGGCATAAATGGCCATACAATTGTGAGTACAAAGGATCATTCTACTTCCCGGCATTATAGCATCGCTCACACTGACATACAGGAAGATCCAGATCCGAACCTCTTTGCGACAGAATGCCGAAATTGCGCTGGGGGAAGCTTGACACTTGAAGTGTGGAGTGCTAAGGTAAATGACACTAGGATTCTACGTATATATTTCAGCTAAATTAATATCCTATCAGGGTCAACGATCGCACACAATCACTCATCCTATACCACCAACGAACCCCTCCCTCGGCCTCGCACTGCAGCTTGCTCCCCTCTCTTCTACGCAACACATCTGGCATGTTATTGCAATTCCATCACCTCTCAGCCCCGCATACCGAGCTGGGTTGCTTCCTTACTCAGACTATATCATTGGAACCCCCAGCGGGACGTTAAGAGGGGAGTCGGCACTTGGGGAGTTGGTTGAAGATCATCTAAATCGCACGCTGGTCCTATGGGTTTACAATAGCGAATTTGATGTAGTTCGCGAGGTCGAGCTCGTTCCTACCAGGGGCTGGGGTGGTGAGGGCGCCCTTGGTGCAGAGCTAGGATACGGTGCTCTTCACCGACTACCCATTGGGATTGGAGAAGAGGTTGAGGGACCAGGAGAGGTTGTGTTCGAGACACGCGAGGATGGCACTGCTATCCCGGTTGGTGGCCCTGCAAGCGTTGTCCCTGGCATAGCAGCTTCGCCGAGTAACTTCCTGATCCCAGCAAACCTTGCAGCGCCGCCGCCCCTGGCCTCCGCTCAAGCAAGAGCTGCTTCGCCGCTAGAGAGCAGATCACCCGCCAGCCGTCGTGCAGGTAAATCACGGCCAGCAGCATCGTCCAACAGAGCCTTTGATGATTACTTTGCGGAGGGTGAAGAGAAAAGTCGGGCGCAAGACTATGCGCCGTCACGGCATGGAACTCCTCTACCTCCGCCGCCGAAGTTAGGAGTCTCGCCTTCTCACTCGGGTAGCCCTGCGCCGGAAGGATCACTAGGACCTGCGCAGGAAGAATGAATGGATTAGACAAATCAGAAATCAATTTAATGTATAGAGTATGACGACATCAAATTATGTCGATCATCGCAAGCTACCTATTCCCATTTGCAAGCGTACGCTCACGAGCTCTTGCTAGGCCACCTGTTTTTATGACTGAACGATTCAAACAAAAGGAATCAATCCGGTTATGTCTTCGGATCCACGAGTTCTAAGCGTACATGTGCAACAAATAAATCCGCTCTATAGCCCCAAATAGCCTGGCTATATTTAGTGGCCCTTGCTCACCAGCTCTTCCAACTTCTTCCGGGTGTCACCAATTTTCTCCTCCATCATCTGGCGTGCCATTCCACTGTGCGCAATGCCGGTGTACCAGATGTGCTCCGCACGCTCACGGACAGCCAAGTGCTTCTCCGCAACAGCAGGGACCTTCTTCTCGTACTCCCAAACCAAGTCTCCGACATTCCGCATCGTCACGGGCAGGAGGGTGTAGGCGGCGGCAGTACCGAAAGCGAGGGGCGATGCAGTGCGAAGGAAGATACCACGGTTACGCGAGACAATCGAGCCGGCCATGGCCGCAACGACGACGTAGACACCGCCGGGCAAGAGACGCTCACCAGACTCGGCAGAAGGTGCGAGTGAGGCAACGGTGTTGGTGAAGCAGTTTTCGATGTTGAGGGCCCGAGACAGGAAGCTATTGAAGCCCTGCTCTGCGGCAAGGGAGTGTGAGTAGAGGAAGAGGCGAGCTTGTCGGACCTGGGCGGTCAGGATGTCTGTCGGGGTGGGAGAAGAGGGAGCTGGTTGCGCAGCGGGCGCAGAGACCAACTTGGAAGTGACAGGAGCAGCAAGCTGGGAGGGTTTGGAGGGTTCAGGGATGTCGGCTGGGGAGTCATCATAGATAGGTTTCCGCTATATTAGGAAGGCAGTCGTGCGTCAGACCAAGCCTTTCAGACATTCAATAGAGCTAGGAACAGATCTGGCCATACCATGTCTCGGGGCTCTTCTGCGAATGCGGTCTTCTTAGGGTACAAGGCAATACCTCCTGCGAGGAGAGTGGCTGCGATCGGAGCCACAGCCCGCTGGACAGAGATCAGCATGGAAACGGGGGATGAGGGAATCAATTGCATCCAAATTGTGAGGAAGCGATTATTCAAATGCATACCTGTTGCAACATCGGCCGGAATGACATCCTGAGGGTGTGGGGGGAGGGGAAGGGGGGAAGCTGGTAGTGAGGATGAAGCAAAGTCGTGTTGGAGCAGGACGGGAATTCTTCGGCTCGGCGGAACCTCCAGAAAACTCCGTCATTGCCCGTTCTCCTTGACTCTGTGTTTCTTTCAATAGGAGATTTGTGAATTTACAATTTCCGATGGTTTTAATCTGCTTTTAATACAGTATCTACAATGCTTCGCCCTTTGCGACGAACATGGACATGTCGCAAATGCCTACATCTGCGCCCCCAATCTCGAGCCTTCGAGAGCGCCGCATATTCTCCGTCAACGCCGTTTGAGTACATTCCAGCAGATAACAGTACACCAAGAAAGAAGACCGATGACCATACTCTACGCAGCGTTTTTGATTCCCAACCATTCTGGAATGAGTTCTCCCAGCAGCGCACCACGACGGTCCCCAGGCGAGCCGGATTGGTCCAAAATCAATACCTGACAAGCCCCGAGGGCTTCAGGACATTCGCGAATGTCTCGCTGCAAAGATGCCAGGCTATTGTAGCCAAGGTGCTTGCTGCCTCAACGGTTGAAGAATACAGAGCCTTAGCACGCGACCTTGACCAGCTGAGCGATCTCCTGTGTCGCGTTATTGATCTGTCCGACTTCATTCGAACTATTCACCCCGACCCGCGGATACAAGAAGCAGCCACGCAGGCGTGGGCTCTTATGTTTGAATATATGAACGTTCTGAACACAACCACAGGGCTTCATGAACAGCTCAATAAGGCCTTAAACAACCCCGAGGTGACATCACACTGGACCGAGGCAGAACGGATTGTGGCACAGATCCTCAACAAGGATTTCTCAAACTCTGCAATTCATATGCCGCCCAATGTGAGGCAGCGGTTTGTAAATCTCTCGAATGATGTGAGCCAGTTAGGTTCCGATTTCATGAATGGTGCGGAGCCTGCAAGGTCCCAGGTGGTCTTTGGTGCCAACAGCCTCCAAGGATTGGATCCTATGGTAATCTCCAAAATCAAGCGGTGGAATAAGAAAGCGCCAGTTCCGACGATGGGAATTGTCCCTCGACTTGCTCTGCGGTCGGTGCATGATGAAGATGTTCGCAAAGACATCTATCTCGCCACTCGAACATCCAGCAAGCGCCAAATTCAAAGACTAGAGGAACTTCTAATGAAGAGGGCAGAGTTAGCACAACTTACGGGCTACAATAGCTTTGCGCACATGACTCTCGGCGACAAAATGGCCAAGACACCCGAAGCAGTATCGAATTTCTTAACTTCACTTGTGTCAAGCAACCAAGGTCCAGTCCGGGAAGAACTATCTAAGCTACAGGACTTGAAGGGAAGCTCTTCCCTGCAGCCCTGGGACCATGCATACTACGTTCATAAGCGCGTTCTAGAATATTCTCAAGCTCGTCGCTCTCGTCACATGGGTGTTATCAATGAGTTCTTTTCTTTGGGAACGGTGATGCAAGGTCTCTCTCGACTCTTTGACCGTTTGTATGGTGTGCGTCTAGTCCCTCATGAAGCATCTCCCGGCGAGACTTGGCATCCAGACGTTCGTCGATTGGATGTAGTGGACGAATCAGAGAATCATATTGCCGTCGTCTACTGTGACTTGTTTACACGGCCGAGCAAACACCCAAATCCGGCTCACTTTACTCTGCGCTGCTCGCGTGAAATTTCCCCAGAGGAGATCGCCGAGTGTGCATCTATGAACCAATCTGCGCACCCGAACGACGGTATGGCCACTGGTGTAGATCCGCAAACTAAAACTCTACGTCAACTCCCAACTATTGCCCTCGTGTGTGATTTCCAGGAACCTCAGGCCAATGGCAGCGGCCAGCCAACACTCTTAAGTGAGCAGAGTGTGCGCACATTATTCCATGAGATGGGTCATGCTGTCCACTCTATCCTGGGCCAAACGCCTCTGCAGTCCATTTCTGGTACTCGGTGCGCCACGGACTTCGCCGAACTTCCATCCGTATTGATGGAGAGCTTTGCGACTGCGCCAGAGGTGCTGAGACTCTACGCACGACACTGGAAGACCGATGAGCCTCTATCTGAGAGCATGATGCAAAGCATGGAACTAGACCGCACTGCGCATGGGTCCATCTATGGTGCCGTCGAGAATGAAGCACAGATCCTCATGGCGCTCGTTGATCAGGCATATCATTCGATCCCAGCTGAAGTCAGCTCAGCTGGCATTGATTCCACTGATATCTATCACCGGGTCTTTTCTCAGTATTCCAGTCTGCCCGACCCAAACAATGTTCAGCCGCGTACCTCTTGGCAGGGCTTCTTTGGTCACTTGTATGGTTACGGTGCCACGTATTACAGCTATATCTTTGACCGTGCGATCGCGAACAAACTCTGGCAGGATGTCTTCCAGTCTGGTCAGGCGGCAACTGATCGTGCCGCCGGCGAGCGTTACAAGAACGAAGTCCTCCGCTGGGGTGGTGGCCGCAATGGCTGGCAATGTGTAGCTGGTGTCCTGGGAAACAGCAACCCCTCCAATGCCAATGGACGGCTGGCTGAAGGTGGTGATGAGGCCATGCGAGAGGTTGGTCGCTGGGGGCTCGGGCGTGAAGGCGTGTCTGGATAATATGACACGAGTGTACTTTTAATGCCTTCTGATATATCTTAGATATACTTGCCTCAAAGGGCTTTGTAAATTAAATAAACATAGGTTCATGATATGATTGGTCTTGTGACCTTTTTCAATTAAACTCTCAAGGCTTGTACTGGATTTCGCCGTGAACAAATGATAATCAGTATATTGGATACGTCCAGTCGCACGGATAGCATGGCCACATATTATTTCCACATGTGAACCGTATCCAATAGGAGTCCAGTCCGGCAATCCAGTGATCTCCGGTGTGCATTGGATGCAATCTCCCAGACTAGGCTACTGCTAAGCGCCACCGTTATTGAATTGATGGCGGGGGTGACTTAGAATGTCTCACTGCCCCTTTGTCTTGGTGTATTACGTACTTGGTTTGGAATCACCTTGTTTATTATTTGCCTTATTACCTTGATATGCTTGGGGAGTCTTCACAGACAAATGAAAACGAATAAATAGGATTTTCCATGTAGGAAAAGGCAAATTATGGCTTTCCCACAACCACCACGACACCTTATCACACATTTACACCCTGTTGTCTAAGTGCCTCTGACGTCCTTTCACTTTCGATGTGCATGGTGGCTTGCGGTAGTAGTACACCCTGGTACCCCCCAACGATAACAGGCAAAGCGCGGACCGATCTTGCAGCTGTATTGCCTAGGCAATTCACATGCTCTTTGTGTGGATTTTGAGGGTATAGGGTAGTACTCTCTACTGCAAGTAACCCAATCCCCTGAAAAAAAATATATATATAAATAGTTTAAATAGCAGATCTGTCCAACCTGGGATCTAACATATGTGTACTAACGGGCTTATCTTCTTTCAAGGCTGACAGATATCTGCAATCTTGGAATCTTGGAATGATAAGTACTGGAGTACTCCCCATGTACAGCATACTTCATGGGATATTGTAATTTCGACTTCCAACCCCTACGCAACCAAACTAAATACCGTTTGCTCGGAAAATTTATTTATGTCCAGCCTAGCCTTCAATCTTCTTTCGCACTTTAGACCAGTCTATCAAAATGCTTGATATCCTCATTGTCAATGACAATGCTTCCTTCGCTTCAAGTGATACCTTCTCTACTCAAGATTCGATACAACAACCACAACATCCACTCCGTCGAAAAAACACAGTTTCCCAGCTCACAAGACGGGTGTCTACAAAAATTTCTCAAAAAATGCTCGGAGCCGGGGTTCAAGAACTGAGCGAAAAGAACCTCAAGGATCACAACAAGGCAGCAGATATCGGTTCACACAACCTATCCTCGCCAGCACATCAGGTTCATGAGGTTACAATGTACGACTCTATTCACGAAGAGATCGAGGAGGAATGCCCTGTCTTTGACGCAGAAGCTGCGAGAGAGATGCGTCTTCATCAGTCATACGCTACATTCTGTGAAAACTTTACATTATCAGGGATAAAAAGGGCCAGTAAGAACTTCGACTTATCAACGGAGATGGAACGGGCAGAGGAACATACACAATCCTCTCACACGGATCAGACTGTCAAAGACAACGACACGTCTGAATTTTCGGGTTCTCATGCCTATCCCGAGCACATAACGGTCCATTCAAGGCCCAGACAAAACACAGTCACATTCCCAATATCATGTCCAACTACAGATCTTGAGGATATACCCATACCGCACTCAGCAACTGTCGAGAAGCCCTCTTCAGCATGGCTAGCCACAGACACGCCAAGGGTCGAAGAAGATTTCAACAGGATCAGTTCAAGTTTTGAGATAACGCCCGACTCCAACCACCTCCAACCACCACCTCTCATCATCACTCCAACCGTCTGGATGGACATGCAGCGCAATGAGAGAGAACAGAAAGCAGCTCAACGGCAGAAACTCCTAAACCCATTTCGGTCATGGTTTATGACAAGTCGGCCCTTGTGGGGGCAGCGATATGAAGTTGCTGAATAACGGGTTCTGGGGTCAGACAAAGCAAAGCAGGAAATATTGGGTGGCTTTCAAATTTGCTAGTTGTATTTTGAATGAAATTCTATGTTAATCAAACACTCTATACTTGCTTTTTGCTTTGAAACATGTTAATATCACATACCTAGAACCCGCATGGGCGATCTCATCTTGCATGTGTACTAATCTGGAAAATGGCCATCTTTTGGCGTCTCTGTGTGTGTGGTCTGGCCCCACGAGGCTTATCATCATGTATTATACGGTGTGATTGAGACATCCACTCATTTTGAATACGAGTCTACTGAAGCCATGAACTTTGAGGGGCAAAGTACATGCTACCTATTCCGTACATAGGTACTCATACGTTTCTGGAGTCATTCACCGTGACTTTTACTAAAATAAGTCTTGTTGATATCAAAGAAACATGTATTCAGCGATTCATTGGTTTAATTGATTCATTAGAGGGGCCAACATACGCCACTATAAGATAAGACAGTCGTAATCACTGTGCTTACATAGAAACCCTGAACCCTGAACGCCACCATCTAAACCTTCGAACAATTCGAGGCGGCTTACCTTTCACCTCGGAGTGTCGGACTCTACAGCCAGCCCGAGATCACACGACAGCAATTGGTCACTTTCACGATGCAGATCTCATCACATAGAGTAACTTGTGAATTCATGCGAGTATACTCCGTGGAGAGTACAGATTTCTTCTGGGGCCACAGATGGAAAGTAAATGCAGTAAGAAGATCAGTCGGCACTATACCAGTTTTCTACGCCAGCCCGATTTGTAATATTAACGGTTATCCAACGGCTATCTACGGAGTACTAGTCGATATCCACATATGTACTCCGTGCATAGAGACGAATGCAGCTTTACATGATACCGATTGGGTTGTCAAGGTTTGAATTATCTTCTACTCATCCTTGCTCATAGCCTCTACTCCACTGGTTTGAAAAGTAGAACCATCTCAACCCTATGAATTATCCTGATAGCTTTTTCCCAAACAGTAGAACTAACATGTATATACATGTATGCTAGAGCTAGCAATGGAGAGCAGGATGGTACATAAGTACCTCTCAATATCTTAGGGCGTCGAGAGTTACTAGCTCACTGTTGAATATTGAGCAAGTCAACCGGAGGGTCAAGGTTGGGAGAATCCGGCTTTTTCCAAAGGCTATACCCTTTTTTTTTGGGCAAACTATGATAATGCAGTCGGGCAATGAATGGGAATGCTCGGACTAAACCTCTATTAGAAATAAAATCAAACTAAAAAAATAACGTTATAATAGTATAATTGCGAATTGTAGAAATATCAAAGAATACTCCGTATATATATACCAATTAGCAGGGGGGTCAAAATATATAATCGGCCAAGATATCAAACAGGAAACCCCAAACTACAATCTACACTAAAAAGATGCATGCAATCAGAAAGAAACCCAACAAGGTAAAGTTAATCAAATGACACTGAAAGCATGGAAATGTAGATATCGGGAGCTAATGGGCACAAAGTACCTACTCCGTACATATACTAAGGTGTAGGCTAGCAAACCTTGTAAGACAAAGGCCAAAGGTATCCCTGTATGAAAACCCGACCTTGCTATAGACAGAAAGGCATCAAAGGTCTAAGCTTAGTTCGACAAATGAAGACATTAAAAACAAGATCTTCAAAGAGGATGTAAATCAAAACCAAAAAACCAGAATCCTAAAAAAAATGGACTTGCAGGGAATCGAACCCTGGACCACTCCCATGCTAAGGGAGTATTATACCACTAAACCACAAGCCCAATTTGATGAAAGATGCGGCACTTTAGTGATATATGAAGGAAACTAGATTTATAGCAGAAAATATACTCACCTTGTATCCATCATGTGAAAGGGTGACGATTCTTCTATACCTCCCCGTCAAATAACATATAGTAATACTAATGTGCAGTAGACTATAAACCTTGAGTTAAATGATTAAATGCCAAGCTCCCCACACAAAAATGACACTCTTAGATCATAAACTGGAATACTAATCCTACCATGAAAGTCTGATGTAAAGAGGTAGATCTCAATGTTGAAGCCCTGTAGTGTACTAGAAGATTGAACCAAATATTCACAGTCTGCTACCAAAGAGAATTTTCATACGGTATATGTACTAGTCAATCGAAAGTCAAAATGACAATGCGTGAGTTGGGTAGTATGTACATAACGTAGAGGAAGAAATAACCTACAAGACAGGTTCTCGCAAAAGGCTAAATAAGTCTCAATTCTCCGTCAATTCTCCGTCGCATGGAGTAGAAGTCACTCAGAACAAGGGGGTATGGCGTAATGGAAAAATCACAAAGGGAAAGAAAAAAAAGTTGTCCAAGCTGCTGAACCGCTAAAACCGACAGATGAAGCATAGTGTGTGAGACACACCTCGAAAACAAAGGGAAAGAAGGCCCGTTTTATGCAAATAAAAATTGATATGGCAATTCTTGTCATGCGCTGCTTCCAAATCGGTTCGTAAACCAACTGGTGAATCCTCCACTGTTACCCTCACTTCGGCTAGACCGTCGGTTGCTAGATTCGTCTCCCTCTGGCGTAGGGGACCGAAGGGGGGAAGTTCGGGGGGATATTCGGTTCTGCAATGAAGATAAGGAGGATTGACCGCTGCGAATGGTGCGAGCAGAACTGTGACGCCGATGGGATCTCGGCTGCTCAGGACTATCCTGGATCACTACCGGATCTTCACAGGTGCCTTCTCCGCCTCTGTGGAATATGCCATCAGCCTAAAATTCTCAGTTCATACACAGAATCCACATAGACTTACGCTGTGTTTGAATTGATGCTGCGCCGACAATGTGGGCAAGTATTATGTTGGGTCAGCCATGCATGGATGCAGTTGAAATGAAACCAGTGTGTGCATGGTAACACAGTGACTTCCAAGCCCAAATCAACGTTATCCATACAAATCGAACACACTGCTTTTCCTTCAGATCCCATCATCTCTTCATTAATTTTTTTCTTTGGCAAGGCTTGGACAGCAGCGTCCGATGCTGGCGGTGCCGCAGTGCTGGTCCCTCCAGTATTCTCCATCAGTTGCATGATGACTCGGTCGAGCTCTTGTTGCGAATATACTGCATCCCCGCTTCGACCCATGTTGAGAATGGCCGACAATATCGAAAGAGCCTGTGGGCTTGTCGCGCTACGAGCGCCACGTGCGCGTTGGGTGGTTTGTATCCCAATGTCAGCGCGAATTGCTTCCATGATTCTAGATTCTGATTAGCTTGCTAACAATTAAAACAGATAGAACTATCCCGTACTCAGCTAAGTCCGTCGGATTGTGGTTGGGGGGTTGCGGCGCATCTGCATTGCGGGGAGATAGGCCTGGGTGATGGCCTGTGAGGTGGTCGTCCTCGAGCCAGTCGGGAGAGGTAGAGGATTGAGGATGGAAGGGATCCTCTCCGAATCCCCTGTATCCACGAGGATTTGGCTCCATTAAATTTTGTAAAAGTGTGTCAAAGCTTTGCATCATCATCGGAACCATAGGGTTCGGGCCGTCGTTGCGCTGACCAGAAGGAAATCTGGAATCAACCGTCGTGCTGCTGAATGAGAAACGTCCGTCGGGCGATCTATATGTGCGCGAGAAGGTGTACGGAGGAGTGCCACTTCCAAAAAGCCCAGGACCTTGTTGTTCTTGTGTGTCTTGTTCCCATGGGTTGTGATCTATCCATGGGTTGACGCGTGAAGGCGACGAGGAGTTGGCACGGTGTGAAGGGGAATCTTCGGAAGCTTGTTCTGGGGGAATCTCAATCTAGAGGAAAAAAGAAAGTTAGAATAAAAAAAACGAAGAGAGCAGGCATTCACTGTACTATTTCTGTGAACTCAGATTCACAATGCGGACACGTTAAACCACCATCCTTAGGCCAAACCCCGCCACAGGCATGACAGAACATGCGGTCGCCGCTGTCCATATCGCGATGCAGACCGATAATTACCCAGAGAGTTATGAGATGCTGTACAACGCAGATGTTGAGATTAAAGCTGATAGAATCGATAAGCGCCAGAACAGTCACGAGTCATGGTCTTATCTGCGGGGAGAAGTCACAGTTGGTTAGATGGCCATAGTTTCATTGGATGAAAAAAGAACAGAAAGAGATGGGGGGCAATGTATCACAAACGTGGCAAGCCAACGTGTTAGAAAGAAGGATGATTGGAGTGTGATTAATCGATTTAGGAGCCCTGGGAGTTTGGCTGTTGGAAAGAGGCAATGACGTTGGTTCAACAATCGCCTCCATAGCACCCCAAAAAAAGGCTAAGGGAACCACTTATACCTGAGACTAAATGTGTGAAACAAAGAAACACCGTTTTGTGTAGACAAAAATAGAAAATTATCTGGGCATGCATCAGGCAGCCTTATTATTACCTCTTGTTTAACATACGATTTGATATCAGGGAATTTGCGACGCAAGGACAGGGAGATGAGGTATGTATACAGCCCGATACTACAATTTTTTTTTTGAATGTAGATGTCTCTTTTCACGCTGGAGTATAGAATAGGACTCAATCATATGATCAATTCATAAAGAAACTAGTACAAAGTATATAATAAACAGCAATAAATGGCCACTTTTTCCATGCAGGGATACAAATTCCTTGCGATCATTTCATTCCTGCCAAATGCAGTGGGGAGTGAACTGAAAAAAGAGACAGCAATGGATATCACAGGAATGATGCAATTGAACCGGTACCCTCATAACACCCCGATGAAAAGACGGTTGACAATGTCGAGTAGTTTACTTGATCTCGAGGAGCTTGACGTCGAAGATAAGCTTAGAGTTGGCGGGGATGCCGGGGAGAGCCTTCCGGCCATATGCGAGAGAAGGAGGAATGGAGATGCGACGCTCACCACCGACGGCCATGCCGGCGACACCGATGTCCCAACCCTTGATGACCTCGCCCTTTCCGAGCTTGAAGGTGAAAGGCTTGCCCTTCTTGTTGGAGTCGAAAACCTTGCCGTCCTCGAGCTTACCGATGTAGCGCATAGCAACAGTGCTGCCGCTCTTGGCAGCAACACCCTTTCCAAGCTTCTTGTCGTCAATCTTGACTCCACGGATCTCCTTAACGCCGAGAGTGCCAGTGGGCTTGTCGCCAGAGGGGGTAGGGCCCTGTTCGAGGTTCTTGGCGAACTGGACCTTCTTGTCGGTCTTGGCCTCCTTCTTGTCCTCCTTCTTCTCCTCCTTCTTGGCCTCCTTGGTCTCCTTAGGCTCAACAGCGGCGGCATCACCGTTGTTCTTCTTGAGCTTCTTCTGCTGGGCCTTGGTCAAGGCAGGCTCCTCAGCCTTGGTCGACTTAGCCTTGTTGGCCTTAGCCATCAGATCATCAAGGGTGACTTCATCCTCAGCGGCGCGCTTGTTCTTGCCCTTCTTGGCCTCAACAAGCTTAGGAGCCTCCTCTTCGCTCTCAATTTCGGTGACTCTGGGGTCCTCAAGGTCGTCAAGGTCATCGCTCTCATCACCATCCTGCATGGCGATGAGGTCCTCCATGCTGAGCTCATCCTCATCGGGAGACAGGTCGTAGTCATCCTCGTCCTCATCATCATGGTCATGGTCGTGGTCGTGATCGTGATCGTGACCCTCATCGAGACCAATGACGTAGTTACCGGTGAGGAAGACGGTGTGGTTACCAGTGACCTTGAAGAACACGGGCTCACCCTCGCAAACAGTGATATCCAGAGGCTGTTGGTAGTTCTGTGGGGAATGTCAATATAAAACATATTGTGAAACTCAAGAGGGCATTGGCCTTACCTGGCTGGGGCTGAGGGTGCAGATAACGTTTTCGTCGAGCTCAAGGCCCTCCTCGGACTCGGAGTCCTCATCGTCAAGGGCAGGGCCCTTGCCCTTGATGAGCTTAGAGATGGCAGCCTTCAGGTCGAAATCCTCATCATCATCCTCGTCATCATCATCTTCCTCCATGGCGTCCTCGAGGTCCTTGAGGGCAGCAGCGGCCTTAAGCTTGCGGGCCTTCTCCTTGTCGCTAGGGCCGCCGTTCGACTCCTCCTCGTCGGATTCCTCTTCATCCTCATCACTGTAGTCCTCATCATCCTCATCATCCTCATCGAGGTCAAGACCAGGAGGAGCGCGAACAATCTTCAGAGTGGAGCGGGAAGGCTTGCTTGAGTCCTGGTCATCCTCGAACTCTGGGGCCTCATCAGGATCGATAGCGGCCATGCTGATGCGGAACTAGATTCGATGTCAGCATAAGTTATCGGCTAATTGATTACAGTAAGACTGACCGAAGCAGCAGCGTTGGGGACTGCTTGAACCATGGCACCGGGAGGAACCCGGAGCGCATAGACTGCGACAGGCTGAACAGCAGACATTGTGAATAATTAGAATAAATTGATGAAAATGAAAAAAGATCAAGTTTAAAAAGAATGAACCACGTGGAAAAAGATGTGGATGAAGGAAAGAAAAGAGAAGAAAAGAAAAGATGCTACCAAGCAACAGATGCGGCAAAAAATTGGAGAAAAAAAAACTCGATCAATGAGATCAACGAGTCGTTCACCGCTGATGTATTGCCAAAGCTGACCGCTTTCTGTAAAGCTGGATCCCACGTGATGATTACCGAGCTTCGAGCGAGCAACATCCTTCTCTCTTTTGTCTTTATACTCTCTTGTCGGTCATGATGGCCGTTGTAGCCCAAAATGGGCTCCCGTCATGAGATCAACTCTAGTGCAGTACGCAAACGCATTGAAAACCGTACGCTCAGTCCAAATCTCAGTCTCCGCTCTTATCTGACCGTGTCTAGATGACTTCAACGATGAAGGAGGAGAGGAGTATGAGGCCTCCAGCTTCGGCGGGTTTGGGGACTACATGCGCCGGAAAAAAATCAAACTGCAGAATCTTGACGCGGACATTCGAGCTTCAGCTAGCGATTGCCCACCAATATTCCGTGGTGTAGTTGCCCATGTCAATGGGTACACTCAACCTTCCCTGCAAGACCTCCACCATCTGATTGTCAGTCATGGAGGTGGCTTCCTTCAATATCTGGATGGCAAAACTGCGGCCACTCATATCATCGCCAGTGCTCTGACTCCCAAGAAGCGGGAAGAGTTCCGCCGCTACCGCATAGTGAAACCTGCGTGGGTGACGGACAGTATCAAAGCAGGACGTCTGCTACCATGGGATGAATTTAGAATAGTAGATGAAGGCCAGGCACAGAAGGTGCTCAAATTTGATGATGGCCGGTTTATCAGCCAGACGAATAGCTCTCGCCTAAGTTACAAAGACCAATCAAGGGCTGGCTGGTATAACTCTCAGCTTCAAGATATGAAAACAACAGAAGAGGGTCTTGGCTCTTCATCAAATCCTGTGACCCCGTCTGCGTGGTCAAAAGCCTCACAGGTGGTTGCATCAACCATCCCGAGCCAGCCATCCCAGTCAGACTATGGCGATTTTCCTGGCTTCACTATGGAAGAAGAGGAGGAAGCTCATGGCCCTCGGGGTCAACAAGAGACATCTGCCAGTGATGTAACACAATCTATAATGTCATATCAAACTCCCAATCCCAATCAAGTGCCCACTTCACCAGATCCACTGGTTGACCTCACATTAACTTCAGTTCTCGACAAAACAAGCTCAAAAAAACCCGCTTTGACTTCCGAGGAGTACAATGCACAGCTCCTTTCCGACCCAAAGATGCAGAAGTCCTCTGTTGTCAATCCAGAGTTTTTGCAGCAATATTATAGGGAGTCTCGCCTCCATCATCTGTCAACCTGGAAGGCGGAGTTGAAAGCCCAATTGCAGGCTGCGACAAAGGAAAATGCACAGTCTCAGATATCGAAAAAGAAACCCGTGCCTGGATCAAGACGGTATATTCTACATGTGGATTTCGACTCGTTCTTTGCAGCTGTCTCACTTCTAAATCACGCCGAACTCCAAGACAAGCCAGTTGCTATCGCCCATGGCTCTGGATCAGGCTCCGAGATTGCTAGTTGTAATTATCCTGCACGTGCTCGAGGCGTTAAGAATGGGATGTGGATGAAAGGTGCTTTACAACTATGCCCCGATCTTAAAGTCATGCCTTATGATTTCCCTGCGTATGAAGATGCGAGTCGCAAGTTCTACACCTCCATACTTGCCATCGATGGTATTGTGCAGAGCGTCAGTATCGACGAGGCTTTGATTGATGTCACAAATTTATGTGTGGAAGCTGGCGGTTCAGATGGAAAGGCTATATCAGAAGGATCGATTTATCGCGAGCAAGCCAAAGCGGACGAAATTGCCCAAAATTTACGCGATTCAATCAAAGAGAAGACTGGATGCGCAGTCTCTGTCGGAATTGGCGGCAATGTCCTGCTTGCGAAAGTGTCTCTTAGAAAAGCCAAGCCTGCTGGGCAGTTTCAATTAAAGCCAGATGCTGTTCTGGACTTTATTGGAGAACTCACTGTTCGTGATCTTCCTGGAGTGGGCAATAGCATGGCAATCAAACTCGAAGAGCTGGGTGTCACGTTTGTCAAAGACATCAGGAATCTCCCGAAAGAGAGACTCATATCTAGCCTGGGACCCAAAACTGGAACTAAATTATGGGAATACACTCGCGGAATCGACCGAACTGAAGTCGGCGACCAAACTATGAGGAAATCCGTTTCGGCTGAGGTCAACTGGGGGATTCGATTCGTCAATCAGGATCAAGCAGACGACTTTTTACGGTCTCTGTGCGAGGAGCTGAATCGAAGACTGATGGAAAATCTGGTGAAGGGGAAACAGCTCACCCTAAAGGTCATGCGTCGATCGATGGACGCCCCACTAGAACCGGTCAAGCATCTTGGTCATGGAAAGTGTGATACATTCAACAAGAGCGTCGCTCTTGGTGTCGCAACCAATTTACCAGAGGTCATTGGGAGAGAAGCAATATCGATGTTGAGAAGTTTCAACTTTTCACCTGGAGACTTGAGAGGTCTGGGTGTGCAAATGACCAAACTTGAATCAATCAAGTCTGGCCCTTCAGGCCCTGAGAGCAGTCAGCGACAACTCAATTTCCAGAAGTCTCCACCTCGCAAAAAGGCCATTCCAGATGTAGATCCTGACGAGTTGGAGAGTCCGCAGAAAGATGACTCTGTTCGTATCCAAGCGGATCCAGTACTCAGCGATAGTGCTCACAAGCCACTCAACATATCGGGGTCCCAGTTTATTATGCCCACTCAAGCAGATCCCAAAGTCCTTGCCGAGCTTCCCATGGATATTAGATCAAGGCTTGTTGCACAAGCTAAGCCGCGCCAGGATTCTCGCTCTGGGTCTCCTTGTCCTCCCCCGCGTGAACCACGACATATTGCCCAAGCAGACCTCCCTCCCCAGTCCCAACTGGACCCAGAGGCATTGGCGGCATTACCTGAAGATGTCCGCAAAGAGGTCTTGGGATATTATAACCATCCAGTCACCAACGCGCCGGTAGTACCAGAGTCGCGCCAATCAACATCTAGCTCTCTCAAGCCGAGAAGGCCAGTTTCACCACCCAAAAAGAGGCGTGGCCGCCCACCCAAGTCGGCAATAATTGCGAACAAGCCTATACCAAAGCCTCTGAATCAATCAACTTTTGGGTTCGTTCTTCCGCGACCAGCGGCCGTATCTGCTGCTTTTGATGAAGAGGGCTTGTCTAGACAAGCATCACCGAACATCGAAGAGCCAGCCGAAGCTTCAGCCGAATTCCTTGCCGCTCTACCCGAAGACATCAGACAAGAACTCCTTGAAGAACAAAAGCGCTTTCGCATTCAACAGCGCTCGCGAGCTACTGAACCTGCACAAAGACCCCCATCCCGGGCACAGGAGGCTCCTCCTTCTGCACCAATTACCATAGAGAAACTCCTACCTCTACCCCCACTCCCCAAGCGTCCCGTATTTACATCACAGCGCCTTTCCCAATTACCAGATTTGCGAGACGCTGTTGGCTCATGGCATGAAATCTTTGCGGCCGGCGGCCCATATTGCGAGGACGTTACTTCGTTATGTAAATATCTATCTAGTGTGGCATTTCAAGAGAAGGATGTGGACAAAGCTGTCTCAGTGGTGCGCTGGTTGATGTGGTTAGTCGATGACCATTCGCAGCATCAAGGGTCTAAAGACCCACAAGCATCCCGGCCCGAGGGAACTATAAGCTGGGAAGAGGCTATAGAGACCATGCAGTACAGTGTCCAGGGGGCTCTGGAACAGAGGGGGCTTCCCCCGGTGGACTTTTCGTAAATGATACCCAAATGTCAAACATTGACTGTATATACCTAAATGTATATCGATGATCTATGACCAGACTATCGAAGTCAATAATCTATGTATGCAAACCTACACTGTATATATGCCTAAATGATACCTATATGCCTTATCTATAACAACTGTGTACTAATTGAGTCACCTGTTTGAGGGAAAAAATAATAAAAAATAAAAAATAGCATGACGCAGAAGAAATAGAAGATCGAGGGGTGAAGATGAGGCAAGATTAAGGTGGAGATATGGTAATGCCTCACATCTATTCTTAATCCCCTATCTTCTACCCCATATCTTTATTAGATAACAAACCTATCATGCCGCATGTCACTAACGGTTAATTCTCCTTCGATGTCGACACATTCTATGTTGTCGCGTCCGGAGGACAGATCCACCGCCGGGCAGCGCCAGCTGAGATAAAAGCCCTTTACGATACCTCGACTACAGACAAGAGCACACCCGACCACCCAGGCCATTGGTATGAAGCACAACTCCTTCACTATGGCCTTCCACCATCAAAAGTTAAGGCGACTGCCAAGATGAGGCCCTTGAAAGCCGTGCAAGATGGCGGACTGAGTGTCCCCAAGGAAAGCCTACAAATTGAGAAGAATCTCAAGAAGGAATGGAAGAAACAGGATTCGGAGGAAAAGCCACAGGCCAACACAAAGACTACAACGACGAAAACTGTTACCATCAAGATTATTACAGTTTCTAAGACTGTTGCGTCCAAAACAACCGGGAGCAAGACTACTGCACCCAAAGTCGCGGCCAAACCTGCAGCTGTTAAAACTGCAGCTACAAAAGCTACTACGCCCAAGAAAGATACCGCACCCAGGACTGTTGCTTCCAAAACCACTGCGGCTAAAACCACTGCGGTCAAACTACCCACGACCAAGGCTGCCCCTAAAGCAGCGGCTAAAGCAGCTGCTAAAGCTGCTACGCCTAAGGTTGCCCCCAAGAAGGCTATAGCAGCCAAGACCACTGCCTCCAAAGCCACCACAGCCAAAAGTGCTACAGCCCAAACTGCCTCGGCCAAGAGAAAGAGGGCCTTGAATGATGAAGAGACACCCAATCAGGCACAAGCTGTCAAACGCCGCGTGTATGGTAAAAAGGCACACGACAACACGAATGTGCCCACAAGCAGCTACCCCGAGCCGAGCGTATGGCCTAGGCAGTCTGAGTACCAGTATGCACCTCCATCGTATGAATTCGCCTGCGGAATGGTAAATAATTTCTCACTTATTCACAACCGAAAAGGTACTTGGCTAACTTGCTTGATCAGGACGGAGGATATCCTTACAATGCTTTAGATGATCAGATGGATATTGACAATGCGAGCGAGGATCTTGGCCACCGTAGCGAGTCCGAAGCATACTCAGATCCACCATCTTCACCCCGAACCCTAAAAAAATCACTGGGTCTACTCAACGGGACCTACAAAGTTTGCTGCCCCTACGTTGAAGATCAATGGCCGCAAGCTATGCCGTCTGAAGGAATCACCTTATCTCTCTGCCTTAATGGAAGGGATATTTGGGGGACATACGAGTTCGGGATGTTTGAGGGTGTACTGTGGATGCTAGAACGACCTATGAAGCCCTCCTTTAACAGAATTCCGTTTTAGTGGCGTGGGCGGGAGACTGGTGAGGGTGAAATGAGCTTTGGAGATGACCAGGAAGGTTGGATTGAGTTTCTGGGCGATGGTGATATTGTTGGGATGATCAGTTGCTGTGGAGAACTCCGTTTCCGAGGGCAGCGCATCGACAGTTCTGTCCGGACAGCCAGTGATCTGCGCGACGAATGGGATGGCTACACCAAAGAAGAATATGAACGAGAGAGAAGGGGTCGGTGGGGTCGGTGGTGAATGGTGGATGCTAGGTAGCTAATGGATAGCTTGATTCAATAATGCTCAGGCCTACTTGACACTAAGGTAATCAGCTAGTATTCCGTAATCCTTCCTGTGCGGTATCTCGTGAATGCTAGGTAATGGATAGCCTGATTTAATATTGCCCAGATGATCTTCTTGACTATAGTTCACAACAATCAGCCAAAATCCTCCCTGGATGACCGAGCGGGTGGGAGACACGAGGCTCGCTAGGAGTTATTTTTTTTTGTTCCTTTTCTATATCACCCCATTCACCATTAGCGTCTCTTCTTAGCTATCCGAAAGTTTATTCTAGTATCATGGAATAACATTGGAATCATATAGCCTTGATTCTTTTCTATTGAACCCGTCTTGGGAACTATACATTCATGGCATTTTCACGAATTTGACACTGGAGGTTACAACCAACTCGCTCTACCAATATCTATATGTATCTCTGCTATATATACGGAGTACTGAAAAGCCGATTATAATAATTTCACTGCACAACGACGATATAATATAGAAGGGCCTACACCCGAAATATGGGCGGGCCAGTTGCGATTTTACCGACGGAAGAATCCGACTGCCCTGTGACAGACCAGATATTCCAGAACAGCTACACCGTGGAGTGTTTAAGCCCAGGCGCCGACGATGCTCATGCAGAAAGCACCCAAAAATACCAGGATGCAGGCATAAACCCTTCTTTTCCCACGGAGAATACGCCAGCTCTCGTCACTGAGAAAGTCTTCCGACATCAACTCCACGAGCGAGGCAAAGATCAGAAGCCCAGCTGACATCGCATTCATGACACCAACAACGAGTAGACCAACCTCTGAGTCGGGACTGTAAAGTTTATGGGTTGCGAGGCCAATAGCTTGGCCGATTGGGGTTCTAGACATTTGTCAATACCGTTGAGTCCGGAGTGAGTAGGGCATTAACTTACGTGCATCCATACGCAAGAGACATGATCCAAGGCTGGATTTGCTTTTCTGACCAGGGAAGTGAGGCAATACGGGATCCAAGTGCCAGGCCTTCAAATGTTTCTGTAGTTGACTTAGTCAAATGCACTGCTCCGACCAAGCAGACGGATATGGAAAACTCACGATGGAATACAATGGCAATCAGCAGAATCACAAATTCATTGCCAACCGATACACTGAGGGACATGCCGATAAACACGCTGTGGAAAAGAATGCCCATCTCAAGAAGGTAGACTTGCATGGTCTCTTTCTTTTGCTTTTGCTCAGCGCTTAAGCCGAAGGAATCGTCATGACGCTCCACGTCTGTCTGGATAGTCCCGTTGTCCTTCTCGTGATGAGTTTGAAAATCGGGCGCAGATGCAACGCGAACGGCATCTTCAGTGCCTTCTTCGCCCATGCGATTGATAGCTCGGCTGATGCTCGCGGACCTCCCAATCAGCGGACCCATATCTCGTAAATGGGACCGGCCATCCATCACAGTGGAGTGTGAGCTGGGTGCTCTAATGTGGTCAGGATGCCCGGGGAGATCATGTACTGAAATTGGAGGTGTCCTCGCATCCGGAGGGCAGGAAGCTGGTCTTTCGGCTGGGACCTGGTTTCCTCCACGACAGATACTCTGGGCTGGACTGAATACCATTTCGATGACTGTAACGAGGAATATACCACCCAAGGCAATGGCGCCTGGCATGGCTGGGTAATCATTTGTCCAGAAATGAGATAGACATGGATCTCCCAGCGAAGTAAACGCCGTTGGAAGGAGATGCACAAATGCTGTGGCAATAAGGACACCAGTTCCAAAATGGGTGACGAAAAAGAGGAACGCAGGTGGGATGTGCATCCGTGGGAATCGAGTTGCAAGGATCGGGAATGCGCACGCAATGCTCGAGGTGGCTAAGATGATGAAAAGGGCCGCAACATGTAGAGATAGGTCGTATGGGCCGCGGGTACCTCCCTGAGCACAACTTGATCGTTTGACTGGCTCGGTATACTGTTGTACAATAGGTTCTTCTAGTATGAGATGTTTTCTAGATGGGAAATACCCCCTCAAATTGTCGAAAGAAATGATCGCCGAGACAATAAGCACGGAGAGGAACCACAAGGCCCAACTCCTGATAGTCTGATATGATGGGAAAACATCATTGTTTGAATCCAGCCCTTTGTGGCCGATTCCAATATTAGTATTTTGGGGAGCGAGGCGTCCTGTTCAATCGTTAGACGGTTATCACTTAACGTAGGCTGGCCACGTGCTCATACCTGACATTGTCAGGGACGCCTCGCGCCCCGCGCTAAGGTGATTCCCTGCAACTTTTTCCTCTAGCTGAGGAATTCCTTTCCAATTAGAACTTCCCCGCAAAATGCCTGGACCAGACTCATCGTCTTTATTCTCGCGGGTGTTTGAGATGCCATTGAGATCTTGGCGGGTAGTTAGGTCAGGAGAAAGAAAGCGCGGGTTCTGATTCCACCCATCGTGCAGCAATGTGTCGTCGGTCCGAGATGGGCAATTCATGATGTTACGATGTTAGACCGTTCCTCTAATCTGACTATCTGGACTGTGAAAATTGTAACCAATTCGCCCCAATGAGTAATATGGCAGCACCGATCCCGAGGGCTTGGCATGGCGTGGACTCCGGCCCGATTTCCCTTGGCATTAGACCATCAATTATCGCCGTGATTCGCCTATACAACTTATTTGGTCCGGTAATGGCCGAACCACGAATTCTGGAGGTGACATACTTGCAAATCTGTGATATTGAGCCGAGGCTACTATGTAGGTAACGTATCTACATTTTCGGACAAAGAGTCTCGACATAAGTCTGGCGCCAGATCTCATTTTTCTGGTCTCTGATAATGTGCTACTATGACCGGGTGATAGTTCTCAGCTAGTACTTGAATCGATTTGCGTGCTATTTCGTCTTTGGCTACCAAGTGAAGCCCATGCGACAAGCCTGTAAGGAAAAAAAGCACATAAAACCGGACCAGATGTAGCTAGGAGAGGGGACGACAAGAGCCCATATGCAAAAATCCGAGAAAGAGGACGCCTGGACGAGGTTTATACGAGATTGATAATGCATTGGTAGAAGAAAAAGCACCCTGGATCAACTTTGGATTGATGAGTACCCACAATCGATACAGGAACTGTTACAAGAGCGCAGCATTGTACATTTGTATTTGTATTACTTTGTATTCATCATCATTTCGCCCAAGGAGCCTTGGTACGCACATCGGCGTCTCCATCTTGTGAAGGCGAAGGCCGAGCCTGAGTGGGTGCTCTAGTAGGTGCCATCGGGCCTGGAGGCATTCTTGAAGTATCTGGGAGAGCAGAGGAAACTCTGGCCGCACCCCTGGGCATAGAGACTGGGAGCCCCTCTCTTCTCACCCCAGCCCACGGGGCTGTTGTCGACCCCACAGGAGGAATAGCCTGCGTTCCTGCCCCGGGATTAGCCCACGGAGCCTGGGTGCCAGCTCCAGGCATAGGACGAGTAGCGGCAACAGAAGGGAGACCAGAATCCGGCGCAACGGGGCGTGCCTGAGGACCAGATGTGGCATGAACTGTGGAAGATGGCAGAGGCGCATTTGGATCGCGGTCCCAACTGAACAGAGAACCGAAAGGGAAGTGCTGTACCACGGGGAATTTTGAAAGAACTTCGGCGTTGTACATTTTGATCATTCCCTAGTGTAAACAGTCAGCGCACACACCCCCACTGATTATCAAGATTGCAAACCTTATTAATCTTGCCCCAGCCAGCTGGAATGCCAGAAATATCGAACAAGATGCGGCTGTGCTCCCAGAATGGGCCTCTCTTCACATCATAAATGAACCCGATAGCGGAGAAATATAAATTAGTTTGGCGTTCCCTTTCAACGATATTTGCCTTAGCAACCCCACCCGGGTCAGGTGCATCGGGCAGTGAGCCTTCTTCGGGAGTTAGGTCAGTATCTTTGACTGCAGGTGAGAATTGCGCAGATCCAAAGATGTAAGGTGCGAAGGAATGATCATCAAGACCCCAGACGCCGTGAGAGCCAGCGGGTTCAAGGTTGTACGTCTTAATGAGTAATCTGATAAGCTCCAGATATCTAGGTTATGACAGTCAGTAAAGGATGAAGTATATCCGGCGTGGCAAATTCTTGGTGGACGCACGGATGGATCACCCCGACCACGATAGCTCGTTCCTCCACGCCTGGGTCGGCTTTGGGAAACCCATTCAGCTTCCATATTCCACCCAAGAAAGCGAGGAAGCTCAGTTCATGACCAGTACCATAGTCCAATCGCTGGCCACTTCCCCAGCTACCTAAGAAATATGATTTCAACTCTGTCTCCGCCGTTGCGCCGTCATCCGATGATCCTCTATGCAAGAGATCGGCCGGTAGACATTGACTCAACAGGTCAGATGCCCGACTTTCGACCACCTCACACCATCTCCGAAAGCTTATATTTCCAAACCTCCGCGGACCGGTATCTGGTGGAACCTCCTGTATGATATCTTCGAGTTTCGAGAGAAGTCGCTGCAATTGTCGGACCGGAGCAGAATATTGTATCGCATCGCTGTTGAGAGGCCATGTTTGTATAGTTTCATCGGCCATCTTTAGCGGAAACATAGATCGGTTAAGTTGTAGTATCCACGTCATGATATCAGTATAAGCTTTTGAGGTTAGGAAAGTCGATACATCTTGCGACTCGTAGATCTTCTTGCTCGGTTCGATAAAGGTGTGCGGTGTAGATGAGTCCAAAATGGGTAACACACGAATAACCTGGTAGTTAGACATGTTTGCTGAAATCTTGAGAAAATCAAAGGTTGGGGTGAGATGAGAGAGAGAAGGGTTGGAGGGGAAGCGGGATGTGATTTGCGGGCTCCACCAGAGCTTCCTTACCGCGTTTTGCCTCCTTTTTCCCCCCACGCGTTTCCGAAGATGGCGCCAAAAAGATCCAACAATCGATTTACCGACTATAGTCTTGGGCTCTTGAATAATATCAATGCCCTCGGGCGCGATGCCGCGGATATACGGGACCCCAAAAGGCGCCGCGCCACACATGCCGATATTTTTGAAATTCCCATCTCCCACTCCCCGATCAGATCTCCAAAGATCCCTCAAACCGAACCAAAAAATACAAACCGGTTGAGTTTGAGAAGTCGCAGAGTGCTTAGAGCCGTGCAACCGGATTCGTCCCCTAGCGTTTCCGACAATGAAGAAGACAAGAGCCCTAGCAACGGCGAATCTGGGTCAGGCGATAGCGAGTCTGAATCAATTCAATCTGGGCCTAGCGGCAGCGGAGAGAAGGAAGTGGATGAGGGGGTGGATGAAGAGGTGGATGATAACCTCACCGAGCTACAGCGCGAGGCTGAGCATGATCCGTTCCCTGAACCAGTCGATCTGTTCCCAGCCGAGGACGAGGATCAAGCTGATGATCAGGATGGATACGAAGCCAGAGGTGCACAAGGCAATGAATCTGGAGACAAATCCGAATATGGAGATAAAGAACAGGGAGGTGACCAAGCTGCAGAGGAAGCTAGAGATGCACAAGATAATAATACATCTGAAGACGGATCCGAATATGAAGATGAAGAAGAGGCAGATGATTATTCTCCAGCCGAATTCCAGAATCATACAACACCAACTCAGCAGATTGCAAACGCAAATACCCCTGCGATGCAAATCTTGGAGAGTATACCAAGAAACAAAACAGATGACACACACATAAATCGCATGTCAGCAAATGCTCAGGAGTCTAAGAATGTCTCGTCACAGCTGCAGGGAGTACCGGAGACACCATCAATCCAGTCACCTCGTCCAAATCATGACCATCGAAGCGCTCGCTCCAATATCTTCACATGGCTGACCGAGGCCACTAAAGAATCTGGGTTTAAGGATACATGGGAAGCAATACGCAAAACAAGAAAAACTCTAAAGACTCACGCTGATCCCTCTACGAAAGAGCATTTCAGGGGTATCATAAAGCTCATTGAGCGGCTACGAGACCTTTTTGAAACAATGACCAATGATCCTGCTTCAGCTTCTTCCTTGAAAAACAAGTGTAGCCTCATCGCCAACGGTGTCTTCAAAGAGACTCAGTGGATCATTTACACCGAAGCCCCAGAGGATGAAGAGAATGGTGCATACCTGGTCAATCAACTCGAAGCCCATATTGTTCCCCGACTGATTGACCTAATCATACTCGGATTTAAGATCTACAAGACTATACATGATCGGGGATCGCGACATTTTCGCATTATCCTCGATTTGCTTTGGGGGTCTTGTGATAGGATATCTTCTCTCGCCCAGATGCATTATGATATCAGCAGGAACGTGATGGCTTATTCTAAAAGGGTGTTGCCACACGTCAAGGCCCTCAAGGATGCACTTAAAGACGGCCGGCTACGTGAGACACCTAATTCCATCCCCCGCCGCTCTCTTCCTTACAAGCACTTTGAGTTGGAAGAGGTCGACAGCCATATCTCTTGTGGACGGTGGACCCATGGCGAGAAGATTGCACTCCGCGATGGCTTACAATTATATGAGGGTAAGACTGTTCATTTCTCATGATATATGCTATTCTGACAATATCAGCAGGAGACGATCGATATATTGATATCAAGTGTGACAATACAATCGGCGGTCAACTCTCCGAGCGCATCCTGCAAGATATCCAGGGCCAAGCCATCAACATCGGGTTGGACGATCCACGAACCAATCAACGAGTTCGGGAGAGAAATGATGGTGAAATGAGTGGGAATATTGGCATTTTGTAGTAGACTTTGACTTTAAATACCCTTTTTGCGAGAATGGAGTTCATACGAACGACTTGGAATAATTCAGTACAGCTAAAGTACTTATGTACATATATACTACCTATAGTCTACCCCGTATAGAAAAAAAAATCCATGTGGGGACCAGTCCGCGAACCACAAACTGCGAACCACAGGCATTGTTTCGAATATCCACGGATGTCAACTATATATCAACTAATGTCTATGTCAACAATGCCTCGGCTGAAAGCCATACTGTATTAGAAGTGGCGTAGATATCTTGATAAAGGTTTGTGAATAGATTATTGATGAGTTCTTTAGGCTAGTTATAGTTAGGCTGATTATAACATTCAGAGGAATTCATCCTTAGGCTCCTGATTCTGTTTCCGAGACATCTTGGGTACCTACCAACGTATGCATGTACATATTTAGGACATTGTGAGCTATTCTAATGGATAGATACAAAGCTGTAAAGCAAATAATGAACATACAAGACTAAGACTGATCTTCAATTCAGTCAAAGTTGACATATATGGTTGAAAATACCTGAAAATAAAAACAGTGCTCCTTTGTAAGACAATGTAAGGAGATACCTAGGTACATACCTAGGTACCCCAGATGCACCCCATTTTAGGGGGTTGTCTATAGAGAAAGCCTATAAGTATAGAGCAGCGGCGATCCCCCCCCTCCTAAATCGACACCGCTTTCTCTTTTCCCGCTTTCCCCTTTTCTTTCCCCAAAGCATCTTGACACCATTTGCTTTTGTCAGTTTATTTGCTTTTTCCTTTACAATTGTGGTCTGGACTTCCTTTGGTCTGGAGATCAGTTTTCGAGTAATTGTGAAGAAGTCCCATTGGAACGGTGGTGCGGCGCGTGAGTACATTCTTCTCTTTTTTGCATGTTTGTTTATAGACGGGAGCTTCGGTTGAGCTGGACAATGGCACTCAATTCTGCCATAGGCACAATTGGAATATCTTACACGAGTGGGACAAGGAGATTTTAGCTTGTACTCAGAATGCTACAAGTTTCTGACGAGCTCACTGGAGTTGCATGGATTTGAGAGCTAGAAGCTGGGGTTGAGAGCATACCGGCTGGACAATCATGTGTTTAGGGGGTTGAATTTGCTCAACTAAAGCTGACAACACTTTTCGCAGACAGCTCACTCGTACACACTATCTGGACCTTACTACGAAGCTTACCCTCTTTAATAAATTAATCCCGAACAATCTACCGATATGTCATCAAACGACGAACCGGTCGTCGCCTCTGCTCCTGTGGAGGTCGATGAGAATGAGCCCCCGGTTACCCCGATAGAGGCGAGTGTTCTCTCTGGAGACGAAGATTTGGTTAAGCCCAGCCCCGAGGTATCCAAGGAAAGCCCCGCGGCTTCTCTGGCCAAAGCTAGCCCGGGTACACCTGGCACCGTGAAACGTCCTGTATCTGGAACAACTACCACCAAACGGCCAACCTCGTCCTCCGCATCGAAACCCACGACGGGTACAACCCGCACGGCCACCACCAGTACGCTGAATAAACCCCCCACTCGTCCCTCGACCATAACAGCGACCCGGAAGCCACTGAGCACTTCGACTGTCTCGTCCCACCGGTCTCGCATGTCAGTCAGCAGCTCTGCGGACGAGAAGCCTCGGTCTGTGGCTAGCTCGGGAGATGAGAGGCGGGGAATCTCTGGCACTGCGAAGCGCATGTCCATGGCCGGTAGCACCTCCGCCCGTCCTCCTCTAAAACCCACATCATCTTCCATTGATCGTAGATTGAGTGTTGCTGGTACCACCGCCGAGAGGAAGCCCGCTACCACAACAGCGCGCACCGCGACCTCGACGAGCAAGCCTGTGGGCAGGCTGACCTCATCCACGATACCTGCAAGCCGGACTGCCACTTCCACCTCTACCACTAGACCTGCTACTGCTCGGCCAACTTCGACTACGAGCACTGTCAGATCTGCCACTGCGACAGACCCTAAGAAGCGGTTAAGTACGGTTCCTGGTTCGATTTCTCGAGCTGGGGATTCCGAAAAGCTGCAGGCCCTTCAGACTAAGCTCACAGAGAGTGAGGAGACCGTGGCTAGTCTGAAGACTGAGTTGGAGGCTGTCAATGAGAAGCTCAGCCAACTTTCTATCTCGGCCGAAGAGCCCTTGGATGATGCTGGTGTTACTGAGGCCATTCGTGCTGGCCACGCCGCAGAGATTGAGAATTTGACATTAGCCCATATTGAGGAACTCCAGGCTTTGCAAGCACGACTAGACGAAGCAGAATCCCAACGGAAAGAGCTGCAGGAGAGCTCGCAAAAGGAACTTGAGGAAGCTAGACAATCAGCCGCGGCGCAAGGGGATGACAGGACAGTCGCCCTTCTTGACGAGCTCAAGTCAACACACCAAACTCAACTTGAGGCCATTGAAAAAGAGCTGGCAGAGCACAAATCTGCAGCCACTCACTTTGAGGAGCAGATAAGCGCTTTGAAGAAGGAACTTGAGTTCCAGAAGCTTACCTTGGAGGAAGAAAAAGCCCTAGAGCTCGAACATTTTGACCGAGAACTCAAAGGCCGTGATCAGGTTATGGAGAACCTTAATATGGAGATTGTTAAGCTGAATACGCTTAAGGAGCAGGAGGTTCGTTCTGCCGAGGAGTCTGCTCAGGAGAGCATCTCCAGTCTCCAAGAGCAAGTAACCTCCCTTGAGGCGAAGCTTGCTGCGGCCGAGTCTGTTACCCGGGAAAGCTCTGAGCAGAATACTTTGATTGCAGAGAAAGATGACGAAATCACTGAACTTAAGCAGGCTCTTGAGAAGATCCAAATTGAGCTCCAGGAGGCACGCGATGCCGCGGCCACTAAATTGTCACCCAAGATCGAGGAGTTGGAGACTGCTAATGAGGCTGCTATCGCAAGCCTTAAGGCTGAACACCAAATTGCTATCAGTGATATTTCAGCTTCCCACGCAGAGAAGCTCACGGCCGCCATAGCGGCGGCGGAATTGAGCGAGACAGAACACACCACGCAACTCCAGGAACTCCGTGATGCCCTCGAGGCGTCTAAGGCCATTGCCCAGCAGGCACAAGAAGATGCTGTTGCTGAGCTCAAGACAGCGCATGAAGTAGAACTTAAATCGCTGCAAGAAAAGCTGGTGGCTTCTGATAATGCCCTCAGCGAGTCCCGCCGTGCACTGGATGAGGGTAACGCTTCTGCACAAGACCTTGCTATCCAGGAGATTGACACCCTTCGACACAAGTGTGAGTCGTTGGAATCGCAGCTGTCCACTGGCACTGGGAAAATCAATGCACTACTCGAAGAGATGCAGAGCAAGCAAGCCGAAGCTGAAGCCATCCACCGCACTCTACGGGACGTCGAAGATCACTCCAAACAGGAGGGCGTTCAGAAGGACAACAAGATGAAGGCTTTGGAGCAGAAGGCTGTAGAAGCCGTATTACTTCTCGAACAACACACCTTGGAGGCTGCCAGTGTGTCTGAAAAGCACGCACAGGCTCTGGAAGAGTTGAAGGCTGAGAATGCTGCTCAGCTCGCATCCGAATTGGAGCGGGCCAAGGAGGCATCGAGCTCCCATGACAGCGCTCTGGGTGATCTTCAGACGAAGCATGATGAGTTGCTTGCCACAAACAAGGCATTGGAATCTACCCACACCACTCGGGTCCAGTCCCTTGAGGCTGAATTGAAGGCGGCACTTGAAAACCACGCTCGTGAGATTGCTATCCATACCGAAGGTCGTGAAAAGGAGACCGCTGAACTCCAGAATCAATTCGAAGAGACACAGGCAAAGTTGCAAGCTGAGCTCTCCGCTTTGCAGAGTTCTAGCAAAGCCGGTGCCGAGCTTCATGAGCAGAAAATCGCCGAACTGAAAAAGGACTTTGAAGAGACGAAAGCCCAGCTGCAAGCCGAGATTGAGGCTGCCCAAATCTCCAAGGCTGCTGACTTTGATGCTGAGCACAGCAAGGCAATTGCTGAATTGCAGCAGGGATTTGAAGAGAGTAAAGCCAAGCTGCAGGCTGATATTGAGGCTGTGCAAGCCTCCAAGGCTGCAGAGATTGATGCCGAGCACGGGAAGGCAATTGAGCAGCTATTGACTATGAACGAGGCCAAGCTGTCTGGTCTCAGGGACGAACTCCAAGTTTCTAACAAGACCAAGACTGAAGATCTCCAGAAGGCCCACGATGCAGCCCTGGCCAGTGTTAACGAGCAGTTGTCTCAGGCCAAGGCTGCTGCCCAAGACACCTCCGCTCTGGATGACTTGAGGGCTACAGTTGCTGATCTGCAGGCCAAGCTTGCCGACTCTGCGAAGGCCCACCTGGCAGCACAGGAATCTGCCACCACTGCTTCCAAGGAAATCGAGGATCGTTACTCGGCCGAGCTTGCCAAGACTCAGGCTGAACATGTTGCGCTTGGAGAGAAGTACCAAGCCGCTGTCACCAAGGTGGGTGAGCTCGAGAAGCTTGCCAAGGAATCGGACAGCCAGAAGTCGCACCTTGAGTCGATTATGAAGCAGCTCTCTGAATCCCGCGATCAACTGCTTAAGGTCAAGGCCGATAACGCTACCATCTCCGACTCGCTCGTTGATTGCAAGAACCAAAATAAGACCTTGTCCGAGAAACTTGAAGCTGGGGAACGTGACCTGAATGATCAGATTGACAAGAACATGGGGCTCCTCAACCAGCTTGGCGATGTTGATTCCGACATCTCAGCTAGCCGGCGACGGGTTCGCGAACTCGAAACTGAGCTCGCAGTTCTGAAGGCGGACAATGGTGAGAAGAGCAGCTCTTCAGGCTTGGAGGCTAGCCGGTGGGCGACAGCTGATGAGGGTAGCGAGAACGCTGAAGATGGGGGTCCAGCCACAACGCAAGGTGAGGACCTAGGCCCATCCATTGAGGGAACGGTGGGAGATCCCCGATTGAAGAAATCTTCCTACTCATCAGATCTTCCCGCATTCCACCCATTCACATGATTATGAAGACTGTATTAGCGTAAGCAGGGACTAATTCATTTAATAGATGGCAAGCATCCAGGAACAGCTTAAGCATATCCGAACAGCCAACGATGATTGGTATGGCGAGCATCACAGGTCAGTTAAATATATGCTAGTCTTGATCAAAAATCATGCTTATCTCTCTCCAGACTCATTGGCGAACTTGCACATCTCTCCCGGCAAGCATCCACTGAGACTCCCAGCCCCTCGACCACACCCAATTTGGAAGTTCCACCAGCTCCTGGGCCAGAACCTGCTCGCACCCGCGCAGCAACAGTCTCCTTTTTCGGTAAACGCGGAATTTCGCGTTGATTTGGCACCTTTCTGAGCTCTTAGTCGTGATGCAGCATGACTTTCTTTTGTTGAATCCTGTTTCACTCTCTGCTCTTGTGATTCTACTGTATGTAATAATAACGCAGGATACCCTGTCTTACTATGCCGGGGTTTTCCCACTATTCTTGTTTCAATATCTTTATCTTACACATACAACTTGTTTGAGTTGAAGTTCGTACCATCTGTTTTGCATTACTACGATGGCCATATTGGCCGGTTCTTAAGTAGCAAGAGATGTGTAATTGGTTTGATGTGGTTTGATGCCCAATACAAACATGCCAGGATGGATGATAATTCAAGTGCAATGCTGTGGTCGAAAGTAGAACACACTGGGTATCTCAATAACGCAATAAAGTTCAAAGAACGCCTTCCCCGATGTCGCAAACTAATCCATCCACAAAAGTGGATTGGAAATCACTCCGAGTCGGAAGGGTAGTTGACCAGCACTGGTGTTGGTGTTGGTGCCACGGCAGTGGAATCATTTTCCATGCCACTGGGATCTTCACGTCGAGATCGAGTCGAAGAAGCGATGGGCTTCCTCTTCTTGATGATAGGTTTCCATGCATTTGGAGAATTTGCATCATTCACCAAGAACGGGTCGATAGTAGCACGAGTATTCCCAGCCAGCTCACGGCGGAGAGAATCTTTCCGCGCCGCAACCAGATCATCCTTCCGAGACCGCTTCGAAGAACGAGATTTCTTGTCTTCTGGGCCCGTCTTTCGTGCAGGCTTTTCCGGCTGCTGCTCAAACATAGGCCGAAGACGAGTCACGCGGGCAGCATGCGAGGCAACATCATCGATGTTTTCACCAAACTCCACCATGCTCGCTCTCTGCCGATCCGCCTCGGTCTCATCCAGGAGCTCAATCCCAAGACTCATTTTGTCCTTGAGGGCCTCAGTCTTCGCCTGAGCCTTCTCGAGTCCCTTCCTCTCCTGTCGAAACGTCCTCCGCAATCGCATAGACTTCGCATACGGGTCCTCCCAATCACGATTCTGTCGTTCCTGAATCTCAAGAATGCGAGCTGCCTCGGTCTTTGCACGAATCTTATCCTCGATCTTCCCCTCGATCTTCGAAAACGGATCTTTCTCCGCGGGATCCATCTCTCGTGCGTAGGGCTTGATAGCAATTTCTCCAGGTTGTAGCTCCTTGTCTTCGCCCGTATCGCGTTTGCGTCCACCTTCGGTAACAACGTAGGCTGTGTTCTGGGGATCGGTCCTGATCTCGATGGTTCCGCCGCAGACAGTGTGTTTCATGCGGAAGCTGTAGATCGGTGTTGAGTAATAGTTGCCTACTTTTTTCTTTTCCGCGTTGAATCGCACGCCTTGACCGATTATTACGGGGTGCGGTTTGCAAGTCTCGCACCATACTGCGAATGGCATCTCGAAGCGCACAATTAGTGCGCCTGTTGTGTGCAGGTGCCGCGCGCGCGCGCCGAGCGCGTGCTTCCCCGCGAGTTTGTTTCCGGTTGTCAGCCCTTCTTGGTCCGGTGGGACATACCTATTGAAGATGTTAGTTAAGCATTATGTGGAGACTTAGATATTTTGCTAACCGTCCCATATCTATCGAGATTGCATGTTAGTTGACTATTTCGCATGTTTTCTAAGGTGAGATCGAGACTTACTAAAGCCCTGCATCTTGGGCGAGTTGGGAAGATGTCCCCAGTTCGGTGTGGTTAGACAGGTGTGTATCGGGTAAGTTGGAGAGTTACTAGCTGTGCTTGATGTCGAAGTCATCGGCCTTCGGAACTTACTTTAGCCGGAGATAACGGAATTAAGCCGGGTGACTAATAATTGCTTTTTTAAGGGTCCTACGGCAGCCGAAATGGGCCACTTTGGCAATGGGGTTTCTGTCAAGCATAAAGTTCTAAGGTTGGCAATCGCCGCTGACCCATACGATACTAGATATGTAATGAAAAGAGCATCAGGGATGAAGAAAAACAACAAAGTAGGATTTATTCTACCTATTTGACAAAGTATATCGAAAAAGAAATAGTGGGATAATACTACCAACTTACGATGCTTGATAGCCTGGTACATACATCGACCTCATCCTTACAGCACGAATCACCTACTTCGTCATACACTCGCTCAAGTAGAGACATGCTTTCTTCAAACAAGACTCTTTTTCACGGGGATGGTCTCTAGGCTAGTCAGGTTTACATATTTATTTTCTACTCTGCTTTCTACGAGATCTACTTTCTAAGTGACACTAAGCGGCGAGCGCGCTTGGATCGTTCGATAGCATTCTTCGTAAAATGGACCAAGATTCGCCCGAGGACACACAGTCACTACTCTTGCAGCTGCTGCTAGACGATGTGAACGACAAGATTGACAGGTTCGAAGCCTGCTGCTGCTGAATGATACAAATCAATCAACCAGCACGCCAGAAGAAACAGAGCCCGACTGGGGTGTGGCACTTCGTATATGGAAGTCTGAAATCACAGAACAAAGAGCTCTATTTGATGGCTTTCAGATGGCCACAGTTTCCTCGCTAGGAAGGGAAGCAAAAGAGACACCATCGCCCAAGGAAATGAGGATACACACATTATTTATTTTTACTGCTATCAAGAAGCTAGTTCATTCTGTCAAAAACGCCATGAATTTTATCAAAGCCCTGATTTCGACCGACTCCTCCCAGCCCGAGGCCTGCAGCTCTTGTAGAGAAGTCTACAGCGAAATTTTCAAACCACGGTGCTCCCACTTCTATTGCAAGAGATGCTTAATCCGCATGGTCACGAAATCTTTGCAAGATGAATCGTCCTCCCCTCTTAAATGCTGCCGCAAGCCAATCGAAGGCCCCGGCTTGGATAAGATGATAGGATCTGCATTGCTTCAAGAAAAAAAGAGGAGGGAAACCGAGCTCAGTGATCTAGACCGAACTTGTTGTTCAGATTTGAAATGCTCCCGATATATCCTGCCAGGAAAGAAATTTTGGCCAGGTTTTACTTTTACAACGGTTTGTACCTGCAAGTGTGGCGTACGCACGTGCAGGAAGTGCAAGAAAAGTGCCCATGGGGGCAGGTGTCTATATCAGCTAGACCAGTCGTTGGAGAAATTGATGAAGGAAAAAAGATGGAAACAGTGTAACAAATGCAGCCGTGTAATCGAGCGCAACAAGGGCTGTTCTCATATCACGTAAGTGCTTTTTTTACTCCTTCAAGCCCCTCTAAACCATCTAATAAGCCTTTTACCGACACCTGATAGTTGTTTATGCAGAGCCCAATGGTGCTACTACTGCGGGAAGAAGTGGAAAACATGCGACTGTTAGAGGAAGTGGACTGAATGGGATCTGAACCAGCAATTTTCATAATTCCAAGGGCGTCGAAACAAACTGTGTGGGTCATAAACTGGGAGTATCCTGAATGAACTGGTTTGAAGAGCAAAGTATGGGGCTTTAGTACACTTGGCTTGGCAAAATATAGTATTCTAGCTGTCAGATGTCTGAAATAGCTTAAGGAAAACAAACTGATACTTCTATATTGCTATATAAATGATACATTGAGGACGATAAAATGGTGGGTGGTATAGGAGGGACTTTCTGGGTCCACTCTTATCCCCATACGAACAAAACAAAAATTTTAAACATCCCCGAGACATGATGCTGTAATAATACGTCTTTGTGTAGGTATTATTTGTGCTGCATTGAGGCCTTGATTTCCAGGCATTTACATAGATATAACTACGTAGTATCAACCTCACCACCAACCTATTTTCTCCTTTCCCTCTTTCCAGAAGCTCCAAGATATTTTACAGGACTTCTAACACCTCTTCCATTAAGCGATATCCAAGAAACCACCTGAATCACATGGACTATGATACGGACCAAGATACGAAGTCTCTAGTCTTACAGCTATTCCTGGTGAACATAAGTGAGGAGACCAACAGACCGCAAAAAGAAAATACAACCAACACAAGGCCCTAGCGCTGTTATAGGAGACTGGAAGACATACGGTCAGCATGAGTGATGTCAACATGGGTACAGCTATGTCAATGGGACTAGAGACAGAAAATGACTTGTCTAAGTACGAGAAAAAAAGATCTTCCAAATCCCTCCCTACCGCCATCCAGCAACTTGGTGACTCACTTGAGAATGCCATCAACTTGATTGACTCCCCTAAATCCGAGATTTGGCGCGAGTGTGTCTCCTGTCGGGACGATCAACTCCAAAGTGAAATGCTCAAAACGAAGTGCTCACACTTCTATTGCAAGGTTTGCTTGGTCCGTCTGTTCACGGATTCTTTGCGTGATGAATCCTTGTTTCCTCCACAATGCTGCCACAGATCAATTACGGCCTCAGAGAAGATGATCGGATCCACATTGGTTCAAAAGCACAAGGAGAAAGCGATCGAGCTCGGAGATCCCGATAGGACATATTGCAGTGATTCGAAGTGCGCTCAATATCTCCCAAGAAACGCCACACGAAATGGGGTTTGCAAATGCACGAGCTGTGGAGCACGCACATGCAGGAAGTGTAAAAAGCGCGCCCACGAGGGAAAATGTGTATATAAGCTTGATGCGCTTCTGGAGGATTTGGCGAAGTGCAATAAATGGCAACGTTGCTCTAATTGCAGTCGTCTGATTGAGCTCAGCACAGGCTGTAATCACATCACGTAAGGGAAATTTCATTTTGCATTTGATTATCCTCTTGATCTTTGACAGTGCAAGCTTTTGGACTCACATCTATCAGGTGCTTTTGCAAGTTCGAATTTTGTTATTTTTGCGGAAAACAATGGAAAACTTGCGAGTGTATCTATGCAGAGGAAGAGAATCTTTACGAACGAGCCGCCTGAAGAAGCCAATTTAAGTGAGTGCCCCAGACTTGCCTTGAAATTGATAGGGTATGATACGACTGGTCATCTGGGAGATCAGTATGAATGCAATTGAAGTGTAGTTGGAATGGAAGGGCAAAGAATGTGGTCTACACAGTTGCCCTTGAGTCAATCTCATTTATCTCTCAAGGAACAACCTAAGTTGCTCAATATCTTATTATTTAGTCAAGAAATGGTTCATCAATTGGTAGTTCTATGTTGCTTTTTAATATGTACATATTCAGCATTTGAATGATAGCAGTAGATCCTAGATGATTAACGACATATGTTATCACAATTACATGTAGAGACCATGATTTTCTGTAAATACGTTACAAATCCTTATCTCACAGAATCTACTAGTAATGGTATACTCCTGATTATGACTTCACTTAAAAAGGGAGACTTTGCAAACATATAGCCAAACTTTTTGATCTTTCAAAGGCTATTCTACCTTACTCTGCAAGACCATGTAAAATTTTGTCCATCAATGGACTATGATATGGACTTAGGTTAGAATGAGGATATCGACCAAGCATTAGTACAGCTGGGAAAACTCAGGATTGAGATTGACTCAGAGCAACCTTGGGGAACTCGAAGGACGCAGCCCTGTCACGGGAAAACATGGCTGAACATATTATCTCAAATGATAGCGATGAAGACTTACTTGATGAAAGCTCGAATGATGATGCCGGTGAAACCAACGAAGAAACCGAAACTCGACACGAGTGTGTATCTTGTACGCAAGAATATCCACTGTCCGATATTATTCAAACTAAATGTTCTCACATTTATTGTCGAGAATGTATTGTGCAACTTTTTGAAAATGCCCTTGCGAAAGAAGCCTCGTTCCCTCCTCGATGTTGCCGCACGCCGATTTGCGCCTCTACCGCCGTTGAGGATATGTTAGGCATTGAGGCGATGAAGAGATACAAGGAACGGAAGATCGAAGTCAGCGACTCTGATAGAACTTACTGTTCAAATCAAAACTGCTCTCGCTATATCCTGCCACAAAACATCCGTCGTGGGGTGGGAATCTGTCTGGTTTGCACTTCTCGAACTTGCACCGTTTGCAAAAAGCAGGGACACCGAGGTAATTGCAACTTTGTAAAGGAAAATAACTATAGTGAGGATCACTGCGATGATTTGTTGGAAAAACTAGCAAAGAAGAAGAAGTGGCAACGATGCTCAAATTGCTCTAGAATCATAGAGCGTGTGTCTGGCTGCTCGCACATACGGTAGGCCGAATATTATCCCCGTCAACCTCGGAACCTTGGAAAAGCTGACCACGTCGTTTAGCTGTGCGTGTGGGATGGATATCTGCTATGTATGCGGGAAAAAGATGAGGACCTGCAAATGTTCTTCAGGCACACAATCAAGACTTCACCCAAGAAGGGGTTGAAACTTCGAAGACTACCCTACCCTCTCACAGTAGAGCAACTGAATCTTGACATCAAAATACAAGAGTATGAGAGATTGAACAATGATACGGTTTATTTTTTTGCCTTAATATGTTGTGCCGATGGCTTGGGCTTACATGGCTTAATTTGTGTTTGATGACCTTTATGGAAACCATGATAGCTAAAATTACAGTGAATTAAAAAGCATATGAGCACCGAGTGCCATCCAGACTACCATAAAACAGGAATAAGTGAAATTCCTAAAAGGCATCTGCCTTCTCTTGAGAATTCGTCGAAAATCGAAAGGTGGCCATAGACCATGTTATTTATATGTGTGTATAGAAGCTGCGACTAGTTAAATCGGAAGGAGCATTCAGTGGGGAATAAGACCACGAATTTCTTCCTTGGACAGAGTCTTCAGGCCAAACAAATCGTTAGAAAGCTTCTCAGAATCGAAAAGACCACCATGTCCTTCACCAAAGATACCCCGCAGAATAAATTTCGGGGCAAAGACTGCCGGGTTGGGGGCTGGCTTGGCCAGTTCTGTAAAAGCCTCCTGTTCCAGGTCTGTGGTTTGCACAATATTTGTCTCGAGGCTCTTGCCGGACAATTCCAGCAGCTCATTCTGTGTGACCCTAGCCTCATTGATATAAATTGTGGAGTTCTTAGTGGCTTCAAGGTTGTTGATAATTCCAACGACTCCCTTGCCAATGCCAGCGAGAGTAGTTGAGCTAAAAGGGCGATCACCGCCATCATATAGTGTAGCCGGGCCAGCAAGATTCAGCACGAAGCCTTTTTCAAGACCCCAGTCGAGGAAGGGGCCAGTAATGAGCAGCGAGTAGCTGAGACCCGATTGCTGAGTGACGTTCTTGAGATGTTCTTGAACGCTGATCTTATCGCCAAAGACAGGTAATGTGGAAGCGAGAGGATTCGTGGTGTCGCAGCCGTATTCCGAAGGAATGAATCGCTTCACGCCAGTCGCCACTGCTGCATCAACCAAGCGCAGATGGATGGACTTGGGAACGGCGCCGACATTTAAAGTGCTGACTACAACATCTTGACCGGACAAAGCGGCCTTAAGCGAGTCGAGAGACTCATAATCTACCTCTGCAACATGGGCACGGGAGTCAAAGGTATTGCTATTGCCTTGTCTGGTGAGAACAGTCACGTCAAAGCCTGCAGCAAGCAGCTCCTTGAGCACAGCAGGACCGAGATTGCCGGTAGCCTGAGCCAAATGTTAGAAAATGAAAAAGTATAGTAATTGGGCTAACATACTCCGACAAGGGCAACCTTGATGCTCGTCATATTGAAGTGAAGATATGAATGCGTGAAGTTAATAGTAGAGTTGTAGGGTTGAATAAAGTATTTAGAGGAATGAACAGAGTGTAAGTGTTGGATATCCAGTCCAAAGCCCCTAGATGGAGGATTTATGCCCCTTTATATTAGTATCAACCCCGTGATGCCATGGGATATTCGCGATGGAATATTCGCAATACTGGTACATATTGGGTGATTACAGAGCCATTATACTGATGTGTTGATCGATTTCAAAGCCATCGCACAATTGCGGAATTCACAACATCGTGGAATTCACCCACACCGAAAGGGGGTCAACATGATCCTAATGGCTTTCCAAGGAAGGTTGTGTATTTGATTTGTAAGGTATCAGTTTATTCCTGTGGAGGTGGGTAAATCCCACCGATAGACTGTCCAGGTGTGGTTGTAGACTTACCTAAGGTCGGAATTAAAGCCGCTTATGTGAGACTTACGAATCCAATCTTAGAACCATGGAACCTTGGCGACTCTATGGTTCATCGTACTCCAGTGGCAATGAGGACCGTAGCACCTACAGCCTTGGAGGTATATACCACAATCTTCTTTGCACTTGCTTCAAGTTTTCCATTTAAAAATATCTATGGTTTGACTTGAGAATAAATACTTGATCTTGATTCTTGAATAAACCCCACGCTTAGAATAGGTAATCTCCTTGTATAACCCACGAGCCCTTCCACAGATCTTTCTCGCACCCCCTCAATCAGAACCTATGCATTCGGCAGTTATTGCAGGCTTGGAGTCCACAATCCCTACATTCGAGAATAAAATCAGGCATCCAGTCACCACATTCCTCACATTCAGCGGAGATCATGAGCCTTTTCCACACCACATCATGATAGCAATCATGCCGTGCGATTAGAAATTGAGCTGCTTGTTCAAAATTTTGTGGTGTAGGAGGAGCGGGCTGGTTCCGAGCCGCAATCCGCTCTGCTCGCTCTTGGAGCCTGGCTTCGTCCCAATGGGCGCATTCACACTGCTTCCATGGAGTTGAACACACATAGTAGAATTCATGATGGCAACGGCATCTAGAAAAATGATTGTGTATTAGTATAAATAGACATAAAGTGAAGGAGTTTTCATCATTGGATGTCGACGAGAGAGAATTTACGTGATATGATTGCAGCCGCTACGAAGCTCAACAAGATGACGGCAATTCGAGCATTGTTGCCATCCTTGTGCTCTTGCAAATTCCAGGACCTCTGCACGGTAATCAACAGATTCTCCAAGATGAATGATATTCTAACAGATGGTACAGGTTTGTCTGTTGCATGAGCTACAAGTTCCGGTTGTGCCACGGACATACACTGGCAGAATGTAGCGAGAGCAAGCCGGACCCGAGCAATACGTGCGAGATTGATCTCCATTTTCAATTGCATTTTTCTCGAATCTCGCCCATAGTCCATCATCGATGATGCCACGCGCAGCTTTTAATGGCAAGGTTTGACGGCAACAACGAGGAGGAAACAAACTTTCATCGGCCAGAGAGCTTTGAAGAAGGCGGATAAAACACCCTTGGCAATATACATGTGAGCAGCTGTTCTGGATCATGTTAAGCTCCGGATGACTTTCCGAGCAAGCAACGCACTCTCGCAAGATACCCGGAGGCACAGTCAAAGTAGTCGTGACATCTGCTTGCTTGTGGGCTACAGCCTTGGCATCTGGGTTGGGAGTCAGGCCTGAGGCGCCACGGGGTGCTTGTAGTGGAGGATGTACCTGTTGTTGAAGAAGTGCTTGGGGTTGAGGAGGTGCGCGAGCTGCTGGAGCTTCATTCACCCCATGATTGTGGATATCTTGAAGAATGGCGGCCTGATCGAACCGCGATTGTCTTGATATCTAGATGGCCGCTCGAAGGTCCTGTTGAGCCCTCATTCGCCCTCGAAGCTCGGCGCGCCATTGCAAAAGAGCAAAATTTTGATCACCAACCCGCGCTCCCCCATCGTTTGCATCACGATTCAATGACGTCAAAAATTCCTCAACCTCTTGCAGTGCAGTTTGTAAAACAAGATCCGCTGTGTCAAGGTCCGTTATGTCGAGATCCATGGTGAAGCTGTTTCATGCTAGAACCATAGCAAGAGACGGGGTTCTTAATTTTGTAGTTTAAGTATAATGTTCAGTCAGATGTAACGAGAGAGTTGCATCCCAAGGCCTGATGACTGAGGGAAAGGTTACATAGGTGGAGTTTGAGAGCATTGAAAAAAGGGGAGTGGGAAGAAACAGTCACGAGTCTGGGAGTATAGTAAATTTTGGGAAGGAGCGAGGGAACCGTCAGAAAGGGAAGACACCATGGGCAATGCCTGGGAAAAAAAAACTTGGGAGGGGAAAATTGCGTCTTACAATACCTAGATATGTGAATGAGACCCCAAGAATGATTGATATATACATAATTAATAACCATGTTCTAGCGCCATACTGATTCCAACACTAGGAACAATATGTAAAATCGTGATGTGAAGCCAACAGAATCCATGTTGACATTATTGGTTTGCTTGGTATAATGTCACAATCACTTAACTGCAAGTGGATAATGTACTTAGTAGGTAGAAATGGGTTCTTTATTATTAGGATCTCTTGGAAGGTATCCCAGTTCAATATTCAAGTGTTTGTTTAATTGCGTCGTAGATTCCTAGAGTAAGGCCGTCGGTTAGTGATAGCAAAACGAAATAAAAAACATTGCACACTCACTTGCAACATCAGGCAGAATGAATTGCTCATAGCTCAACCCAGTATGTGTGCTCCACCCAGCCACTCGCTTGACGGGGGCTTCAAGACGTAAGAATGCATTCTCCTGTATCGTGGATGCAACCTCTGCGCCCACACCATAGTTGATCATACTCTCATGTACGACAATGGCTCGGCCCGTCTTCTTGACGCTGTTGATGACAGTTTGTCTATCCCAGGGATATATGGTTCGCAGATCAATAAGTTCCACACTAACACCAGGCATGGTCTTCTCAATGGCGGAAATAGCAGAAGAGCACATGTAAAGAGGCTGTCCATATGAAATAATGGTCAAATCCTTGCCAGGCTTGATAACCTCAGCCTTGCTGAGAGGAATGGTGTAGTATTCATTCGGAACATATTCCACCGCTGCACGGTAGAGGATCTTGGGCTCCATAAAGATCACCGGGTCATTGTGCTCGAAGATGGAAGACAGGAGGAGTCCCTTTGCTTGAGCAGGGGATCGTGGCATGACTACTCGCAAACCGGGGATATGTGCAAAAAGTGACTCTGGGGATTGAGAATGGTACCTATTCGATCAGTCAATTAGCATACCGATTTGCTTGGCACTCGGATACAACATAACATACAGAGCACCGTGTCCAACCGCACCACACGGCATGCGGATGACGAGACCGCCAACATTGATGCCTGTTGCACCTTCTCGATACCGGAACTTGGCTGCCTCATTCACAATCTGATCGAACGCTGGAAATACGTAGTCGGCGAATTGGATCTCAGCTATAGGTTTCATCCCTTCCGCTGCCGCCCCAATTGCAAAACCCGCAATGCCTTGTTCTGTCAACGGCGTGTTGAACACTCGATCGGACCCGAATTCTGTTTGGAGATCCATCGAACATCGGAAAACACCCCCAAATCCAACATCCTCTCCAAATACGATAGTTCGATCGGATTTGGATAGTGCGGTCCGTAGTGCTGAGTTGATCGCTTGGTAGAGGTTGAGACGTTTACTCGTGGCACCTGCTGGGTACTCTGATGTATTTGACAAGGAAGCTGAGGTGTGGTGTAAAATTGGTGTGGTTTTGTAGTCAATAGGTAGGTTCAGCTTTGCTGCCGCAGTGGGAGCTCCAGAGTAGAACCGCCGAGGAGTTTGGGCGAGAGACCGAAAAGAAGTTCTTAAGGAAGCCATCTCTGGCTGAAATAGTGGGATATCAACAAAATGGAAATATTACATAGGTTTTATTCTTTTGTAGGGATATTTCCCTTTAAATTATGTAGCTCCTTGTTCATTGTCTGGGGCATTGCGCGGGGAAACCGCCGCGGATAACCGAGATAATGCAAATTGGGCAAACCAGCCAAACGAGTCAAACTTGGCCTATGACGAAGTGTGATGGGTCAACGTAGTAAATAATTGCCCCGGGGAAATTTTACATGCAATATATACGGAATATATATCTAGGTAGAACATGAAATCATGGAGCTATATAAGTTATCCATGAACATGAGCTATATGCTAATGATGCACTCTCTTCCCATGGATCGAACTCGATCATTCCGCGATATAATCAATATATCCGTACCCAAATAAATGAAGCAACAGCATAGGAAACAATAATAAACCCTGGACTTGAATATTGATAGTGAGTTCCACCAGTTTATATACGCCATTGAACTTATAAATGTCTTCTATAAGCTATAACTGGTATCGGATTTGATTCGGGACTTGGAGGGGCAATGATCGATCTTATCAGGGCTATCACTTCGGACCCGTGACTTGTTCCCCGGCCCGCACCAAAATTGCCTTTTTTTTCCCAATGACTCAATCTTCCTTTTGCTTTATACTCCACGTCTATAAGTCCTTTTGATTTTTATTCAATTCACAATGGCACAGGGAAAGGTATGAAATATTGTTTTCGCCAATTCTCTTCCCAATTCCCCAACTTCAATTCTCAATTCTATTCCACACCGCCACCCACTCCACACTTTCTCTGACAGTTCGATCGCACAGGTTTGCCTCGCCTACTCCGGCGGTCTCGATACCAGCTGCATCTGTATGAAAACTATCAATTGATTCACCAATCGTGGATACTAATGCCGAAGTACAGTGAAGTACCTCATCGAAGAAGGCTATGAGGTCGTTTGTTTCAGTAAGTCGCGATCCGAGACCATGTCAATCAAGATCAAGTACTAATATAAACATAGTGGCCGATGTTGGCCAGGAAGGTAATTCAATTCCGTCGATATCTCATCCAATACCGGTCTAATAACCATGCGCAGAGGACTTCGAGGCTGCCCGCGAGAAGGCCCTGAAGATTGGTGCCCTCAAGTGCGAGATTGCCGACATCCGCCGCGAGTTCATCGAGGAGCTTTGCTTCCCCGCCATTGCTTGCAATGCCGTTTACGAGAACGTCTACCTTCTCGGTACCTCCCTGGCTCGCCCCGTCATTGCCCGTGCCCAGATCGAGGTCGCCCAGGTACGCTTTACTTCTCCGCCAGCAGAAAGATGTCATACTGACCCAAACCTAGCGCGAGGGCTGCTTCGCTGTCTCCCACGGCTGCACTGGAAAGGGTAACGATCAGGTCCGCTTCGAGCTTGCATTCTACGCCCTTCAGCCTGACATCAAGGTCATTGCCCCGTGGCGCGAACCCGTCTTCTACGAGCGCTTCAAGGGTCGTCAGGACCTGCTCGACTACGCCCAGGAGAAGGGTATTCCAGTCACCTCCACTAAGTCTAAGCCCTGGTCTATGGATGAGAACCTTGCCCACTGCTCTTACGAGGCCGGTATTCTGGAGGATCCCGATACCACTCCTCCCGCCGACATGTGGAAGCTGACCCAGGACCCCCTGACCGCCCCCGACCAGCCCGAGGACTTCACTCTCTACTTCGAGAAGGGTGTCCCCGTCAAGATGGAGTACACCGAGGCTGGCAAGCAGAAGGTTGCCACCGACTCCGTCGAGCTCTTCCTCACTGCTAACGCCATTGCCCGCCGTCACGGTGTTGGTCGTATCGATATCGTCGAGAACCGTTTCATCGGTATCAAGTCCCGCGGCTGCTACGAGACCCCCGGTCTTACCTGCCTGCGCTCTGCTCACCTGTGAGTAATTCTGTTGCGAAATTTTTATGGCATAACTAACTTGTGTCCAGTGACCTTGAGGGTCTTGTCATGGACCGTGAGGTCCGTGCTCTGCGCGATTCTTTCGTCACTTACAACTACTCCAAGGTAAGCGCGATATTTCCAGTATTCGATTATCTGATCTAACATATCCAGCTCCTGTACAACGGAATGTACTTCTCCCCGGAGCGCGAGTTCCTCGAGGCCTCTATCACCGCTTCCCAGAAGTCCGTCAACGGCAAGGTCCGCTGCCGCGCCTACAAGGGCACCGTTTCCATTCTCGGACGCTCCTCCGAGACCGAGAAGCTCTACGACATGAGCGAGTCCTCCATGGATGAGATCGGTGACTTCTCCCCCGCCGAGACCACTGGCTTCATCAACGTGTCTGCCATCCGTCTCAAGAAGTACGGTCAGATGAAGGCCGCCGCCGGCGAGAAGTTGTAAATTGTGTCACCAGAAATATGACATATCCTCTTCAATTTTGAATGATTGGAATGCCAAATGTTGACCGTCCCTGGCTTCCTCAGGCCAACATGTCAAGTCTCCTTGTCCAATGTTCCACCGATTTATGCTGGATGGTATTGGGCTTGAATGACTGTATAATGAACTAGAGAAAATATTAGCACTATGGGAATTGGTATTAAAAATGCAATGTCTTGGATGAATTGAACGATCCCATCTTCATTACTGTATGTCTACGTAAATAGGTGCTTCCAATGAAGTATTTATATTTCTAAAGATATGTACTATAATTCGAGTCGCTAGATGGTAACAAAACCGAGATACATATGAACAGGTGCTGTATCGTATCGACAGTGCCTACAGATTCGCATTGACCTTGAACGGTGGTTGATTTTCTGCCCACAAGTTAGCATATGACTACTAGACCTCGGGAGACATAAACGGAACATACCATTCCAAGTATCCAACGCCGCCTTCTCTGCGTCCCAAGCCCAAAGGAACTCTTGTGTCTTACGATCCGACCACTTATCGGGGTTATTTCCGCTAGCCGAAGCCTTGAACTGCTCGTCTCGGGCAATTTGCTCAGGTCCATCTGGCAAATGTAACGTGATACGATTCTCCGATCCAGACTGCTGCACCGTCTCAGCACGCTTCTTCCGAGACCTTTCATAAACACTCAAGGCATGTGGAATCTCCTTGCGCGAGGAGATGGCCGACAACACGACACCGAGTGCAGCCGCGTCTTCAACAGCCTGAGCAGCACCTTGGGCAAGATATGGACTAGACCAGCGAGCGTTAGTTTTAAAGTCAATCAGCCAAATTTCATGAGCACATACAGCATGGGATGACATGCGTCACCGATCAGAGCGACGGACCCCCGGACCCATGTCTTCAGCGGACGATGCAGACACAACTTCCACTCCAGAACTTCATTGTCATCAACCAGGTCAATAAGTTTCCGTACCGTGCTATCCCATCCATCATAGTTGTCAGCCATAGCCTGCTTGGAACCTGTGGTTGTCCAAGACTCCTCAACACCATGGCCGTCTGGATGAAGCAGGACAACATTGTACAGCTCATGCTTGCGCACAGGGTACGCGATAATATGGCGCGAAGGACCAAGCCAACGAGTCGCCAACGGCTCGTCAATCAGCTTCTTCAATTCAGGATCCTGCTCCATGATGTGCCGGGGCAGCATGATGCGGTACGCCGCGTCACCAGTGGCGACTGCTTTAATACTCGAGTCTTCGAGCAGGTAATTGCGGATGGTGGACTTGATCCCATCCGCACCAATTACTACATCACCGCGGATGATTTCGCCGTTGGCTAGAGTAACATTTGCTGGGCTGAACTGCACGTCTGTGACAAATGAATTCTCGCGAAGCTCAACGTTGGGCAGGGCTAAGGCCCTGTCGATGATGGCATTGTGCAGATCTGCACGATGAATAACAACTTGTTGGCCGAACGTCTTATTCACTGGCATTGTGGCGAGGATCTTGCCGTTGTCCCATCTTCGAACCTCGAGGTGTTCTAGGGCTACATCTTGGGCGTGAATTAGGTCCGCAACGCCCCATCCTGATATCGGTTAGCATGGGTATTTTATTCGCAGCAAGCAGACTCACGGTCGAATAAACGCATCATGTTTGGGGACACCTGAATGCCAGCTCCCACTTCCATGATCTACCACAAGTGGTTAGGTTTGCCTGAGATACCACGAATTTTCGACGACACATACCTTTGGCGCAGCTTCAAGGACAATGACACGGTGCCCTCGCAGACCTAATGTGAGGGCTGCCGCCATACCGCCGATGCCTTCACTTATTGTTAATGCAACCCTTTTCTCGAGCCAATGCAGCTTTTTCATTCAGAAAGAACATACCAGCACTACAGAAAATCAGCATAACGATCCATCATCTTGAACCACGCACAATGGAAAACATACCCGACAACGATCACCTCTAAGGGCACATTTGCTCTTGGGATCTCCATTCTGAAACCTTAGGTCGTTATCAGGAGGATGGGAGTAGTATGTGATAGAAATAAAGACTTCGAAATGACTAGCTTTTAGCTGGAAAAGCCAGGCCTTGAAGTACTCCAGAAATTACCACCCCAAGTCTATTCGTCTAAGGGCTTGCCGTTCCACCCGCTCCACCTACGCTAGGTACTTCGGGAAAGGGGAAGATGAAATTGACTAAAAGCCGAAGAAAAATCATGCAATTTCTTAGTCCGAGCTGATTTAGCGCCTGAATCCACAGCTTACCCCCTCTTCTTATCTCCAGATCGGAGAAATTGGGATGAAGAAACGTCTTTTTTTTTATATATGCAGCATCTGGATTCTTCGTGGCAACTGCGGGGCCAACGGAGTTCCCCCTAGCATTGCTTAAGTACTGAACTTGCAGATTGAAAGCAGTGTCTTTCTTGTTTATGTTGTGCTCTTCGACATCATTGTGCAACCCGGCTCAATGATTACAAGAAAACACACACACCCATACTAATAATATCTACGAGGCTTTGTGGCGTGTCTTGAAGCCCTCGCCTTTTTCCTGCCGACTGTTCGGGAACGGCCCCGGGGGCCCCGGGGTGAGCCGGGATTAGCCAATGAGGCATTGCTATGCTGAACTTCCGGCTGTTTGGGAACCCTCCATCTGCCGACGACGCTAGATCATCCATCTCTTGCAGCAATCCCGTGAAACTGGGTTTCGTGACTTCAATCCTTGCCAGAGCTGTTTTGGTCCGTGATACATGTTCCATCTTGATGAGCCTCACGGCAGATATTTGTATTGGGCATTGCCGATCAGTCATTGTTTTTGATTGACCGGTTCGAGTATCTTACTGATTTATCAAGTAGACCACCTGGGCAATCAAAGCTCATGAAACTAATACTGCCCGTAATCCGATCAACTGTCGTTCCAGAAGAATGCTCATCATTCTGCGCGCTGTGGGAGTGAATTGCAACGTTGTACATTCGCATTCTTCGGTGGTGATTTGTTAACAAAATCCCCAAAACTACATTTTTGATAGGCTACATACAACATAGCTTCGCCTCAAATGTACACAATGCATATGGATGTCTATTTCCGAGTTCTACAATATGCATAAAATATAGAGTGCTACACGCTAACCTTGTGCAAGTATCCACTGAGGTGTTTACGCTGGGGCCGATCATCGGCTTTCTTTGGGCCTCTTATTTGCCGGACAGGATTATGCAGGATTTAATTTGAATGAGCATTAGCTTGAAGCAACTAGCTACCTTGCCTTAACACTACGAAAGAATTACTCGGCACTACTGCCCCTTACACACAGAGACCTCCAAGGCTCGGAATCGTTGATATGACACATGTCTATCCCATTTAGCCCCGAGCTTAGTGTATATAGTACTTAGTAGTCTGTCTCCCTACTACAGACAACTAGATCAAAGCGTATCATTCTTCATCTCAATGACGCGGACTTTCTGCGAGTGATATCTAAACATTTAATCGGAGTGGGTCTTATAGGGCTCATTGCTAACATGCACGGGACCGTCCCCGAAGTCAATTCACCAACAACCAAGAAGGTCAACGATACGATATCCCTGAAGGTACATATACATGCATGTGGAATGTGGAATGTGAGAATGAAGATGAATTTTGAAGACGCAAGAAGACAAACTGGAGCTAGAACCAAGAAATTTAACGTTCATACATCTATTCATATTTACATATGTAGTATCCATTAACATTTACTCGGCTACACACGCACGACTACAGGGGTAACACAGGCATTAGCAGAACTAGAGGCCGATCGTCAATATACCCAGGATTGCACCATTACAGTATATCTGTGTGCTTGGTCAGGTAGTATGCGTCTATGGCCTTAATGACATACTACATCAGTTGACTGGCAATTGATCATGGCAAGGCAAGGAGAGATGGTTATAGCTCTTGTTGCATCGTGCTCACTACATCTGAGGTAGATATCAATAGAGAAGGAAACCTAGCAGGTATGTATGATAGAAGGGCTCTGTTTTCAAAATATGCAATGTATGTAATTTTTCCTAGTTGGGTGTATAGTACAGCCGATGTTGCCAACGAACGCCAAAATATGCTTGCGTGAAGGGATTGCATTGCTGAAAGTAGTTGGAGAAAGAAGAAGGATAGAAAAGCACACGGTAATCTTATCCAAAAGAAATATTGCATGGGAGGAAGTGACGCGTAAGTCATGGATCGTCGTAAGAACAGTCAGGTGGATCGAAGTGGCTGCATGAAACGTAGGAAGTGCATAGTATCCACCCAATAATGACATCAGGAAAGGGTAGATATATGTATGTACAAATTATGATTCTGTCGGGTGGCGAGGGTTGCAGGGTCAAGAGGAAGAGGTGAACATAAGTCGTAGCCGGCTGGGGCCTTTCTTTTTTTCCTTGGGCCGTTTCTCGATTTCGGAGACATGGGTGTTATGTTTAGATGGGGTGCGACTAGGGGCGTGACTGGGAGCACGACTGGGGGCGTGACTGGGAGCACGACTGGGGACGTGACTGGGGACGTGACTGGGAGCTCGACTGGGGGCGTGACTAGGAGCTCTGCTTGGTGCTCTGCTGGGGGCTCTGCTGGGGGCCTTTGATGGCGCTTTGGACCTGGAGGAACTTCGTCCGAAGAAACTACTCGGTGCCTCTGAAGGGGCCTTTGATCTCCGCTCGTGCTGCTCTGACGGTGCATGTGTCGAAGCCCGGGTGGTGCGTGAACGACGGGAGCGACGAGACGAAGCGACGGAGATATCTTCATCAAATTTGAAACGAGGATCCCGTCGTGCGCGAGCAGTAGTCACATCTATGCCCGACATGGCCGCTGCGATGGGTGTGATGAATTCACCATCCACTGATGTTCCAACGCTGTGGACTTGCTCGTCGGCGACGCCACGTCTCCACATCTCAACAGAGCTGAGATCTTCCGTGTTGAACTCCATCATCTCTTCCATTTCGGTTTCGATTTCGGCGGGCTTTCCTTCTTCCCCAATAGCGCTGGCTTTGATTCTTTGGATAATCTTATATCCTCCAAACATGACAACCGTCACGCCTAGACCGACTCCCGCAGCGATGAGGAATTGAGGACTGGAAAGAAGAGCGAAGACAGCTGGTGAGGCTGACTTGAGTGCGGTTAATGCGGCGGGCGCCATCGTGCGCCCCAAGTCGCTGATCTCCGCTAGAGTCAAGGCGACGGCGGCCATAGCATCTGGGTTCTTTTGGAGATGGGCCATGGTCGCGGTAGCGCCATGTTGCACACAGTGTGCTTCTTCAAGAAGCCACTGTGCCCGGTTGACCAGACCATCAAGCTGTTGTTGATCGGTTTTGGGCTCCGGGGGGTTATATCGGGATAAGGCTGCATGAGAGGCGTCCCCATATGCGAGATCCATGTCAATATGCGCATCAGATCTGGATCGGGCAGTTGATGGGCGAGGGGCGTCTCGGACCGCGACCTCGTGATGCGTGTGACGCCGGGCGATTGTCTGCGAAGGCTCGTAATGAGAGTCGCGCCGCGATACAACTGTCTGTCCATCATCATAGTGGGACGAAGCACGATGGCTGCGGCCGCTGTGATGCCTTGACCTGCTCCCATGGCTTCGTCTAGAGGGGGCTATCGACGGTGAGTCATCGATCTGATAGTTGGCGAGTCCTTCGAGTGCTTGTTGCTCCGCAATTTTTGCGTTGCGTTCTGATTGGAAGGCAGACTTGCGCTCCCGATAGGCGTTTTTGGCATGGCTGAAAACACCGAATAGATGCTTACTCTAATACATGTCAGAACTCGGGAATGCGGGGTCTGGTTTCCGCTAGAGATCGAACTTACCGTGCTTACAACTTTGCCAGACTTGTCGATCACAGCGACTGTTTGACCAAAAGGTGACATGGCAGATAGTAAGTCGTGGCAACTACCTTATTGAAGATCAGTCATCAGATGGTCGAGATCGATGGTCGACAGACAAGCGGTGTAGGGTAAAAAAAAATATGGTTAAAAGAAATGCCCGGAGTATAGATCACAAATAAAGTATCGAAGAACTAGGCAGGGTATAAAAGAATAAGCCAGGCACGACCCTGGATGGTTCTGACAGTTAATAAGGCAGTTGGGTTCTTGACCTCAGGCCTTAATCAGCGCAAAAGGTCCGATCGGAGGCGTTCCAACGAGGTTTTAAGGCGTGGGAGAAGTGATGCGGAGCAGGGAGGCTGGGATCAAGCGCATCCACGTTGGGCTGAGCAGCGAACAGGGCCAGGCTGCAGGAACTATAAGGCCGAGTTGTTGGGTGTCATTTTAGGAGGCAGACACGTATTAAAGGCTCCGCAGGTACAATGAGATCACATCACATATCACACTCAAAGGCTGTTGGGCGCCAAAGTTGATCCTTGCGGTATAGCTGCATGTGCCGGGATCCGGAAGAGAATTCCCAAGGGAAATGGAGATCACATTATTACATATGTATATTTAGAAGTATTGAAGGGGAAAAAAAGAAAAGAAATAATCCAGACTCTTTGGCATACAAAGTAATGTGCTTTGACAGTTGATCAGCTGTTATGGAGTAGACCACGGAGTACACCGTATGAAAGAAGGGGGTGCAAAGAGCGGTGACATTTGGCATTTGATTGGCTGCCGGGGTCACCGTCACTGTGGCTGGTGTGAGGCAATGTCAGCCATTTCAGCTCATATGTGGCGGTGCTGATGCTTTTAACATGTGAGAACGGCTTGATGGCTTCGGAGACTTATTCCTTTTTTTCCCTTCCAGGGATATATATTTTGTATCTACGGAGTACTTATTGGAGGTATATTCCCGCAATGATGATTTCAAGACCAGAATGGCGCCATTAGTGCTGTATCACTCGATTCCGAGTTATTCCCAAGGGGTTTCTAAGGCCCTGTGCACATTAATCACAGGCACCTGCAGGCCGATGTTTCTAGTCCAGAATTCAAGAATGAAAGCCATCAGGGGTTGTACCCAGTAGGTATCGGGCAGAGCCTAGTCTTACCTACGGAGTACCTCCATTAGGTATATCTGTCTGTCTCCCTTATCAATAATAAAGAGCCTGGAAGATTTCAAGATCAGAGCGCAGATCAACATCGGTGTAATCCGTACACTTCATTGTCTTCTCCATATTGGAACATTCTCTTTGATACTTCGAACTCACTCAACCTGGATATATCCTGAGTTTGTCCTAGTTCTATCTTATCCTAAACCCCTATATCATGATCGCTCGTCGCCCCAGTATCCCTTTAGCACGGCTATTGTGGGAGCCAAGGTGCGTCTTATAGTTATGATTTCCAAGAATATTCAAATCCAATGGACATGCGACCGTGATATAGACAAGCTAAACCAAATTAATCCAACTGATTTTGGCTGTATAGAAGGACTTGTTGCCGGAATCAAAGGGATGCTAGGGATGGTGAGTCAAATATTTTATCGATGGTGCAATATCTTCTTATTGTTATTGATTTTTTTTTTTCTTTTTCCGTACAACCTCGATGATTCATATTCTTTAATCTTCCCTTTGTTATTTAAAAGAACACTTCAACTTCGAAAAAAAAAAAACAGAATGGAGTGAATTCGGGATATTTCCAGTGTTCTGTTTGGTTGATTTTTGAAGCGGAGAGAATCCGACCCAACATCACTTCACTCTCCGCCCATTGCAAGCCATTGCGAACCATTGCAAAGCATATTGGACTAATCATGGATTTAGTCGAATCAGAGAGCCCTTCTGAAGAGGACCAGAAAACCTGGGAGTCTGATTCTCATACTCAAAGTGATGCCAGTGCCCTTCCCAATAGTGACTGCGGCATCGGCCATCGCGTGCTCGCCAGTCGCTCCGTTCTCGCTCTAGCCGTTGATGAACACTGTGTTTTTGCTGGTCTACAAGGAGGAGACATTGTTGTAAGTTAATTACGTTAGATCATTTCAAAACGTCTACGGCAAAGGTTCTTGTACTGCCAAGACTCGAGGCTGATCTTTTTATCAGGCGTGGTCTCTGGAAACTTATGATCTTGTGGTATCCGTCCACGCACACAAAGAGAGCGTGCTAGGGCTCTATCTCTCTGAAGATGGAAATTTACTATTTTCAAGCGGCGGCGACTCTGTGGTCAACGTGAGTCATGCAATTGAAGAATGTCGCGAACCGGGATTAATGACGTGGACAGGTGTGGTCCACGCGAACATTTGAACGTCTCTACTCGATCTATTCACACCACGATGTGGGCGATATATTTACAGTAGTATATTCATCGAATAACCAAACTCTTTACTGTGGTGCACAAAACACAAGCATACAGGTAGCTAATCCTTGTCTACATCCCTATCAAAGAACATTCTAACTCGGACAGTGGTGTGATCTCTCCGAGGAAGGGTCAACATTAAACCAAGCATCATCCGCTCACCCATCTAAGCGGACGCATCGTTTCTTTGATTCCCGAGGACCGGACGGTACTCGCGCTTCAGGGTCATCAGAGGGTGCCCTCTCTGACGGTGGTCGTGTGTTGAGCTTCAAGCGGGACCATCATAAGCTCTTCGCGCACCATGGCTACGTCTACTCCATGCTTCTAGTCAAAGGTCTAGTCGAGACCGCTCCTTCCGAGGAGGTTCTTTTGACTGGTGCAGGCGATGGTGTGGTGAAGATGTGGCGCCTAGGTCAGGATCCTGGCGCGGCTCCATCCCAAATCGCCAAGCTGCAAAATGGAGATCCTGTGTTGACTGTTGCCGTTGAGGGATCACTACTCTACTGTGGTTTGGCTGGCGGTGCCCTTAACATTTGGAATTTAGACTCTCACCAGCTCGTTAAGCGGATCACTAGACATACTGGAGATCTGTGGGCTGTGCATGTAATCCAGGGTATCGCTATTTGTGGTGACTCTAGTGGAACAGTTAAGGTATGCACTGATCTAGATTTCTCTCCCCTTCGAATCGATTTCCGCTGACCATTGGTAGAAATTCAACTCCCGGTTCGAAGAGGTCGGTGGCTGGATTGCTCATGAGGGCACCATGCTTGCCTCGGCTGCTGGACGGTTCAAGGATCGCCAGATCTATGCCACTGGTGGAAATGATAATTCAGTAGGAATCTGGGATTTAACTGAATTCTTTATGACCCAGGAAGAGCTGCCTCCGATCAGCAACGGTACGTCCCATACAGGCTATTCACGTCGAACACCCGCTAAATTTCACCCAGACGAAATGGTCAACAGTCTTGCAAAGTTCGTTTCTTTCAAGACCATTTCAGCAAGTCCCAAATTCGCTGGAGAATGCAACCAAGGTGCTGCTTTCCTTCGACGGCACTGCAACTACCTCGGTGCCAAGACTAAGCTCCTGACTACTGGCCAGGATACCAACCCTATTGTTTTTGCTAGATTTAACGCTACCTCGCCTGAAAAGGTAGACAAGACTATCCTCTTCTATGGCCACTATGACGTTGTAGGCGCAGAGACGAACCGACCCAAGTGGAGAACAGATCCTTATCAGCTGACTTCCATTAACGGATTTCTGTACGGCCGTGGTGTGTCTGATAACAAGGGACCCATCCTGGCATCACTGTATGCCGCAGCTGATCTTGCCCGGACGAAGACCTTGCGATGCAACGTCATTTTCCTCATTGAAGGCGAGGAAGAGTCCGGGTCCCAAGGTTTCCACGAAACGGTTCGCGAGCACAAGGCTCAGATCGGACCCGTGGACTGGGTTCTTCTAGCAAATAGTTACTGGCTTGACGACTTCAACCCGTGCTTAACATACGGGCTACGCGGTGTTGTGCACGCCAACTTGGTAATTACAAGCGACCATCCTGATCTTCACAGTGGTATCGACGGCAGTACATTGCTAGATGAACCGGTCAAGGATATTGCTATGCTTCTGTCCACAATTGTGGGACGCAAGGGAAAAATCAATCTGCCCGGCTTCCATGATGCTGTCAGGCCTCTCACAGATGCCGAACAGAAGCGGTTCGAGGCTATTGCCGATGTATTGCTTCTGCAGCACCCAGAGATCCCCGACAGTCAAGCGCTGATCAAGTCGCTGATGCATCGCTGGCGTGAACCCGCTTTGACCGTCCACTCGGTAGAAGTCCCTGGAACCAAGAGCGCAACGACCATCGCGCGCCGAGCCAAAGCAAGCCTATCAATCCGTATCGTACCGGATCAGCACGCCGACGAAGTCGCAGCCAACCTCACCGCCTATGCGCAAGAGCAATTCGCGTTGCTCGATTCACAAAACGACCTCACAGTCGAAATCACCGGCAAATCCGACGCCTGGCTCGGGGACCCAGATAACGAAATCTTCGCCACGCTGTCAGAGGCGATAACCGCAGCATGGACCCCATCACAAGAGGACCCGAAACGCCAATACCCGCCCATCCCACAATCTACAAACACTCACCCAGCGATCGAGCCCAAACCCAGCGCGGGTCCAATCCCCGAACTTCGCCGTAAAGACTCATCCGACAGTCTGGCCTCGCACGCTGAGCGGGTAATCACATCGACAACGACCTCATCAGCGGGCAAGGAAGCCGCGCGCAAACGGTCCTTGCAAACAGCCGCCACAGTCCCAACGTCCTCCACCCTCACACAAGCCACACCAACTTCAACTGAGGAGTCAGTTGCATTGCCAATCCGAACTAATTCTGCTCCGGATACCATAACCCCGACCAGAAATGGACCAGCTGCTGCCTCTGGCGTAGCTAAAGTGAAACCAATGTTCATCCGTGAGGGCGGATCCATCCCAACCATTCGGTTCCTAGAAAAGGAGTTCTCAGCCCCGGCAGCTAACTTGCCTTGTGGACAGGCGAGTGACAACGCCCACTTGGATAACGAGCGCATGCGAGTGGAGAATTTGTATAAGAGCCGGGAGATTTTCCGGTATGTGTTTGCTAATTTGGTGGATAAGTCTTGAGTGCCTTATCTCTTTTTTTGGGTCTCATTTTGTAAAAAATATAACTCTTTTCACTTTTTTTTTTTTTTTTACATGGCATTACATCTAGCATCCCCCAGACCGATAGTCTGTAGGCCCAATGGGTTATGGTGATCATTATCCATACATTCCGGACCAGCAATCTCCCGATCGACGTTGAGAATACAGGTCCCATCGACATTCAACGCCGTAACGGAGAGGACAGTGCCCCGAATCGGATCATCTCATCTTTTTCCCTAATCCACCGCTCCATATTTCCCAGGTTTCTCGCACCAACCCATGCGCCCCGCATGGAGATCTGTCTGGCCCCTGGAGTGAAGCCGCTAAGCCACTAAGCGGCTCGGCCATTGAGCTGTTGTACGTAGTACACGCTCTCTTCCCATGTGCGACATCGCCTGTAGAGTGTTCTATTCCCAATCCATAATCCCAATATCCACAAATGTCTCATAGAAACACAGTCCCTCCACAGCAAGCTCAATCCTGTCTAGGCATTGGCCGATTCAAGATTTGATACTAGGATTTGGCTAGGATATAGCCTGAAAGAAACTCGGTTCTAGTCAGGATAGGGAGTTCCATGCATGGCGCTCGCTTTGTTCGACTGGGTATTAGATCGATCCCCATCAATCTTCGGTACCACTTAAGATCTAAGAAACAGATTGGATAGGTCAATTTCAAGATTATATACCGGGGGACTTAACATTTTGTGGTTCTTGGCGTAGAGGATTGGGACTAGGTGGGTTTCTTTTCTTTGTGTGCTGGCATGGATAGGAGAGTTGGATATTTTCTAGCTTTCCACCTTTCTAGCATTCCAATCTTTGGAAGCTTCCACTAGGCTCGTGGGCAAAGGTTAGAGAATATTTTATCAAGACTAGGAGATATATGGACATCATGTAGCTATAAGAAGAGGAAGGTGCCCAGGTATTGATCAACAGTGACCCATTGTGTTTTCTACTTTCTTTACCTTTGTATTCCCAAAATGAATTCTCTTCCATTTCAAACCGTTCTTTCGAATTTGTCTAGGCCATTTCAGAGCTTGGTCAATATGGGGAGTACATCTCGTCCTGTCTATCTTCTCGATCGAGATGAGGCGGAGACTACACGGTATGTGTTTCCTTTTGGCTTTCTTCTGTCACTTCAAATTTCCTTGAATTTTTCAAATCAAAGATATTCTAGATATCTATTTGAAGTATCTCCAAAGATCTGAAATATCCAAGATGTCTATATTTTAAAGATCTGACAATATTCCCCTTTCCTTGCATGGGGGACCCGACAGTTTGGTAACCGGCATTTTGGCATTTTGCTGATACGCCAAGTACATTAGTCTCAATAATCAGCATCACTTTCTGGTTGAACTTTCCAACCTCATTCATCCGTCTATTCCAAAAGATGGTATTACAGCTGTCGCCGACTTGGGCACTGGCACAGGGTATGTTGAGTTGCTTTTCTTTTTTTTTGAAGATAAAAGTCATTGTCACACAGAAGCTAACCCACCACAGCGTATGGCTCGAAGATGTCGCCAACTTGCTTCCAAATAAGTCGGTCTACCTCCACGGCTTTGATATCTCTTCAGTTCAATTCCCGCGAGGCCACAAGATCCAACGACCTGGTCAAAATCCAATCCCATTAAGCGTCCACAACGCACTGATCCCATTCCCAGAAGAGCACCGTGGTCGATACGACCTTGTGCACATCCGACTCCTAACAGCAGGCCTGAAACAGGTCGATTACATTCGGGTGCTTGAAAACGCACGAGCTCTACTAAGCATGTCCTCCCATCCCTCCCTTTCTCTTCGCTCCCCTCTCTTTTATCCAAGAATACATATTCCCACCATGGAGCTTCTAACTAACAACCACAGAAATAAACGGCTGGATCCAATGGGAAGAAGTCGACCACACGGCCTTCTGCACAGATGCTGTCCCAGAGCTAGCAGCGATAACCCAGCTGCGGGAATCAGTGATCAAGGCCATGCTCAAACTAGGCCTATGCCCATTCGCTCCACAGCGCGTGTTTGGCGAGATCTCTGTGTACGGGTTCGCCGACATCGTCCGTGAGACTTACACTACTGCTGGGAAGGACAACTTGCAGCCTTTTGCGAAGAAATGGGTTGCTGGTGTGATGCGTGCGCTGGCGCCGAATTCTTTGGTTATTACGGGCCAAGCTCAAGGTATGAAGGATGCGCGTGGGATGATTGAAAAGCTGATTCTTGAGTTTGAGGCTCATTGTGAATCTGCGTCAGCGCTGGTTAACTTGGGTGTTACAGTTGGTCGGAAAGTGAGGTAATTTTCCGGTTTAGACTGGGTTGGGTGTTTTTGTAGTTATGATTTTATTGGCAGGCTTTTTGTTCTAAAAAAAGAAAATTGTGTTGGCGTTGGATCAGCATGTGTGTACCTAACGCTTTCACAAATGAAACTATGTGTCGGGTTCATTCAAACACTTTCGTGACACTCGATCTCGCCCTCGTTCAAGATAAGTATCATCTATACATATGTACGTATCATTCAAAAATATCAGTGTCCGTTTCCCTGGTGGTTCCTAACCGTTCCAGAGCTTCCAGAGCCCCAGTGCCCCACAAAACTAATCCGGGGAGAAAATATTTTCAATTCTTCACATTCAAAAAAAAAAAAAAACTGGACCCTTAAAATTCCAGATCTAACCAGCAATGGCAGAATCAATGGAAATCCAGGAAGCCTCGCCCAAAGGGCGAAGCAAAGTTCAAGTTACCGCAATTATGGTAGCGCTTTCAGTAAGACGCGAAAACCGAAAACCCATACGTTGAATTCGTCTACTAATTCCACTAGTTAGCGATGTTTATCGCCGCGCTAGATCAAACGATCATGGCTACAGCGATTCCAACAATTGCCGCGTATTTCCACTCCTCTGCTGGGTATACGTGGATTGGTGGAGCATACCTTCTCAGCTCCGCCGCCAGCGCATGTATCTGGGCCAAGCTTTCTGATATTTGGGGACGAAAACCTATTTTGCTTTTGGCTGTTGCGTGGTTCTTCCTCAGCTCTATTCTTTGCGCTGCTGCTACTAGCATGGAGATGTTGATTGCGGGCCGAGCGCTGCAGGGTGTCGCTGGTGGCGGTTTGCTCCAGCTAGTTACGATTATTATTTCTGATTTGTTCAGTGTCAGGTAAGATATCTTAACTGCTTTCTGTTGGCTGTTCTATATTTGCCAGTCTGTACTTATCATGGAGGCCTTTACTAACTGTCATCACAGACACCGCAGTTTATACCTCGGCCTGATGGAGGTCATGTGGGCTTTTGCTGGTGGCGTTGGACCATTGCTCGGCGGTGCATTCAGTCAGTATGTCACTTGGAGATGGACTTACTGGATCAATCTACCGATTTCGGGGGTGACATTTGTGCTCCTTTTCTTTTTCCTGGATGTGCACAACCCCCAGACGAAAATCATGGATGGCGTCCAGGCCATTGACTGGTTTGGCAGTCTCTCTATTCTAGGCCTTACTCTCATGCTTCTATTGGGATTGGACTTCGGCGGCGAGACATTTGCCTGGGACTCGCCACAAGTGATCTGTCTGATTGTCTTTGGATCTCTATGTTCCTTGCTGTTCGTCTACAGCGAGAAGAAACTAGCAAAGTATCCCTTGATGCCTATGGATATCTTCGCTCGGTTCTCTAACATCGCTACTTTGCTAGTAGCATTTGCGCATGGTTTTGTTAGTATCTTCACATTTCATTGATCAATTTTCAGCCACTAACAAACCTATAGGTCTTCATCGCAGGGGAGTACTATATCCCACTCTACCTACAATCCGTGCACGGCTCCTCACCAATGGGCTCTGGTGTCCTCATTCTCCCACTTGTCGTGATGGAAGCATTCTCCGGCATGTTCACTGGTGCAATCATCCACCGCACCGGTCGATACCTGGAACTCATCTGGATCGGCCTGGTGCTGATGACCATCGGAAACGGGCTGTACATCAACCTCGGTGTGGGATCATCCGTCGGCGAGATAGTCGGGTACCAGATCCTCAGCGGATTTGGCGCTGGATTCCTCTTCCAAACACCCATCATCGCCATCCAAGCCATGGTCTCCCAGGAGGATACTGCCACCGCCACGGCAACAATTGGCTTCATTCGCAACATGGCAACCGCGGCTTCTATTGTGATTGGCGGTGTTGTCTTCCAGAATAGTATGGGCCAGAAGCAGTCCAGCTTGTTGAATTCCGGTATGTCGAGTAGCATGGCGGCTCAGATGTCTGGGGATTCGGCTGCTGCGAGTATCGAGTCGATTAAATTCATCACCGATCCAGCACAATTGCTTGCCGTTAAGGAAGCTTTTGCTTGGAGTCTGAGGAATATGTGGATTCTTTACACGTGCATGTCTGCTGTTGGTGTCTTCTTTTCGGTCTTTATTCTCAAGACTAAGCTGAATAAGGAACATGTTGAGACCAAGACGGGACTGAATATCGAGAAGACGCCTGTTGTTGAGAATGTTAGCCTATAGATTCTTGGCAGTATATTCATCTCTTTATTCCTGTACATCTCATATGAAGCATAGAGTTTGATAGTAAATGGGACGCTAAATTAAGGTTAAATGCACAAAACTATCAGGCGACCCACCTCACTGTTGGATTATCTTGCTATGTCAGATTGGAGAACAGCACAAAACTCAAGACTCAATTCAATTAAAGCAACCAGAAGAACCAATATTATCCACATGAATGTATGCGACGGGTAACAATATATGCAAAACCGAGTAAAGGAGACAAACTAAGAAGCCAATATAGACAAGCAAAACAAGTGAATAGTTCATCACAAAGCATCAGCGCTTCCTTATTGTGTCGAACACTTTCCTCCAACCACACAGAGGACAGGCAGATCTGCAACACTATTCCCAACCCAGAGCTTAATGCCCTGTCCATTGACAGGAGCCTTCCAATCCTGCATCACAACATCCCAAACACTAATATCCTTCCGAGTAATATGCAACGTAACTGTCTCACTCTGACCAGGCGCAAGTTCCTTTGTCTTCTCAAACTGCCGGAGCTGCAAGGCTGGCGTATCCAGCCCCAAACTAGACGGAAGCTCAACATATAGCTGGGCGACAGCCTTGCCGGTTCGTTTACCTGTATTCCGGACCTCCAACTGGACCGAAAATACAGTCTCGAAGAGAGCGGGATTTCCTCCCTCACCACCTCCGGCCCGAGGGACTGCGTGTGGCTCGGTGCTGTAGCCATCCGGGTAGGAGTATTTCTTCGTCGCAGTGATCGACTGCGGCTTTTTCAGGTAGGGGTAGAGGTAGCGCGAGATGCGGGTGAAGTTGGTAGAGGACCAGGCGACTTCTGACGCGTCCGGGATGCTGGTGTTGTAGGAGGGAGTTGACAGCTTAGTGGGTCGTGCAGCTGGGTAGGCCGAGTCTAGCGGAGTTCCTGTTGACAGCGAAGGCTGGGAGAAGTTGAAGGTGGTGTAGGAGAGACCGTGGCCGAATGGATACCGAGGTGTGATATTGGCCTTGATAAAGTGCCGGTAGTCGATATATAGCCCCTCGGTATATGTGTCCTGGATCTGGCCAAATGGTTGATTGATCAAGTCCACGCTATCCGGGTAATCGTCTTCGCTGCGGGGAATAGTGTATGGCATGTGGCCACTTGGACTATAGTCACCAAAGAGGACATCGGTAAGGGAGTTGCCAGCTTCTTGTCCAGGAAGATGTGCCACAACCACTGCTTTCACGGACTTGAGTTCAACCCACTCTTCCATCAGAATCGGCCCGACGGTGTGGACAATCACGACTACGTTGGAAAACTTCTCTGCGGCTGCTTTAACAAGATCATCACCATTGTGCCAAGCATTGAGTCCCGCTTGAGTTCGATCTCCCGGGTTCCCTTCCACTGTAATAAAGTTTTCGCCCGAATCGGCGTTGATGAAAACAAGAGCGATATCGTTGGCATTGGCGGTGACATCTGAGGGGAACTTGTCGGTGATGTGGAACTCGGAATTTTTAGCAATATTAGAAATTGCCTCTTGGGGTGTGATGAGATAGGGTAGCCTGGCTGTGCCACTGCCCCAACCCATGGTCAAAACGCCTTTGTCGCATCCTTGGTCACTGCATGAGTTGAGACCACCTGGATTCCCACCCGCATCTGTGCCGAATATCTTGAGAGAATCATTGCTGCGCAGAGGAAGAATGTCCATGTCGTTCTTGAGTAAGGTAATTGCTTCCCGTGCGACGGCTCTTGCGGTGATATTGTGATTGCCCCTCACGTCAACGAACTGGTTAACGACACCATATGGAGAAACTACAGCCCCAGGGTAAATCAGACCCTTCTCGTTTTGGGTGTTGGTCGAGAAGTTTGGCAAAGGATAATCTTTATCCTGCCCGTATTTATACCAAGTAGCAACGATACGTTGAACCTAGACCAGTATATTAGACATGAGGGAAATCCCTACATAAAGAACCACGTACCATATCGTTGAGACGGTTCACAGGCACACTGCCGTTCAAGATCGAACGTGACAGCTCAGCACCCCAGTATGAATCTCCGAACAAGGGAACTGCTCCATCGCCAGGCATGGACATATCCAAACCAGCTATGGCAGACGCAACGCCGGAATAATGACCCAGCCAATCCGTCATCACAAATCCTTGGAAGCCAAGCTCATCCTTGAGAATATCGTTGAGCAACTTGCTGTTCTGAGAGCACGAAGAGCTATTGACCTATCAGATGTCAGCAACATACACAAAAAATGGGATTGGGATCGAAGGAGACTCACATCGGAATAGGCTGTCATTAAGGACCCTACACCCGCACGAACACCCTCAGCAAAAGGCCATAGGTACAGCTCATGCAATGTGCGATCGTCAATATTGGACGAATAACCCTGAGTGACAACACTGCTCATGCGATGCATTTCCTGCTCATTACCAATGTAATGCTTGATGGCTGCGATAGCGCCAGTGCTCTGCATGCCTTTTATAGTCTGGGCGCCTCCAAAACCCTGCAGAGTGGGATCAGCACCAAAGCCTTCCCAGTTCCGTCCACCGCGTGGCTTACGGCCAAGTGGTCCCACGGATGGTCCCAGGAGTACGTTAACTCCCTTTCCGCGAGCCTCTTCGCCAAGCCCAACTCCTCGTTCATACATGAGGTCTTTGTTGAAGGTCGCGCCAACCGTAATACCAGGCGGGAAGGCAGTATTGTGGTCTGAGTTGCGGACTCCTAGAGGACTGTCTTGGAGACATAGATTGGGAACACCCAGGCGAGGCACGCTCCCTGTCTGCCCTACACAGGGTCCCATGAAGAAGCCAGTACCTGTCGTCAGATTGACCTTCTCGGCCAGTGTCATATTGCTGACAAGATGATACGCCTTAGAGTAGGCTTCACTCCAGTCGGTAATCCAGCCTCCCGGGGGAGTGGGATAGTATGGAGGCGACTCATAGCCTTCTTCTGCTCTTTCGTGCAGGTGTGTGGTAGAGTCGGATTCGTCTGGCACTGGGGAGGCCAGGAGAAGCGGGGTTAGAAGAGAGACTAGAGCTAGATGTGCCCAAGGAGCCATGGCGATGGATTCGCAATGAACAAAATGAAAAAAAAAACAGACAATAAAAGATCGTAGTTGGGCCAGTTAAGAGAACGAGTGTATTATTTCTTCCAGTTTCGAATCTGCAGGATTGCAAGCAGGGTCCTCGGGGGACTATAAGAAAACAGCGCACGAGGGACTAGTACGTTCAAGGAACAGGGAAGGAGCAAAGCCCGCGTGCACATCTCGGAGAAATGCATATCCTTGCTAGATTCGAGGAGGATCGTCATAGGATATATCCTATTGGCACTGTACCTAGCAGCTTGTCGCAATTGTTCAAGGATCGACTCGTGGTTGTGTACTAGCGAATTTGCTTGCATAGCCGAGGGCTACCGGACAATACACCACAATGCTGACAGGCTGTGACATATAGCATAAGTACCTAGATGCTACTCTGTAGGTACTTTCTAATTAGCTGCCAGACTATCCTTGCCCTAAAGAGACATAGTGTCAGGGGTTTCAATAATTAAATATGCAACTCCGTCACGCCCCCTTTTCCCGAGCAACTCACGATCCGAGGCCATTCCGTTATTACTCTGTAGTTCATCGAGAGCTTACTGAAGATAAAATACACGACACCGGCCCGTTTGATCGAAATCAAAATGGTGTTCAATTTTGATCCATTGGTATACATGTCCACTCCACGTCTTTAGATCTTGGTATAGCGCAGGTAAGGCTTGACCTCGCGAACTTCACCGAACTTCTTCTGGGCATCCGAAGTACTGACAGAGGGAGGCACGATGACATCATCGCCAACCTGCCAGTCGATCGGGGTAGTTACACCATTCTTATCACCGGTCTGCAGGGAGTCGATAACCTGCAGGACCTCCGCAGAGTTTCGACCCGTGGAGGCAGGGTACATCATGGTTAGGCGGATCTTCTTGCTCGGGTCAATAATAAAAACGGAGCGAATAGTAAATGCAATAGCCTCCTGCCCGATGCTATCCTGGTCGATCATGTCGTAGAGGAAGGCAACTTTGCGGTCGGCATCGGCGATGATTGGGAATTTGACTTGTGTCGAGCCAACTTCGTTGATATCCTTGATCCACTCGTCGTGGGAACCGAGCCCGTTGGCACTCTGGAGAGAAGGGGCGCATCAGCTAAGGCTCTGTAGGGGTTGCAAATGGCGGGGACTCACCAATCCGATCATCTTGACTCCGCGTGCGTCAAACTCATGTTGAAGCCGGGCGAAAGCGCCCAATTCAGTTGTACAGACCTAACTGCATATTAGTTCAGTGTCTTCATAGAGTATATTGGTGAGAAATACAGGTGTGAAGTCGGCAGGGTGCGAAAAGAGGATGGTCCACTTATCACCGATGAACTCGTGGAAGTCAATTTCGCCCTGGGTGGTGAGCGCCTTGAAGTTTGGCGCTATCTTGTGTTAGCATGGTATCTAGGCAAGTCAAATGCAATTCTGTTCGAGACTGTACCAATTGATCCCAGGCGCAGACGCGGCTGTTCCATCTGGGCCGAGAAGAACCGGCGGAAAGCTGGCGCACGAGGCAGCTGTGCAGACCACGAGGCCCGTGGAGCAGCTCTGAAAGCACCGAAAATCTGAGGGACGATTCTGGAAGCCATGATTGTTAAGAGTGTAATTCCAAGCTCCAAAATGTCAAGTCGGGACTTCAAGGGACCCCTGCGGACCTGAGCTTGAGACGTCATCAAATCTGACTAATCACCAATTTACCTGGGCCTTCCAATGTTTGCCCAGGTCCAGGTGCTCGTATTGAATGCTTTTGTCACTTGGATTTGTCTACTCCGTACACACATACGTATATATATATATATCCCATTGTTCTCATGATCGTCATAACGTTGAATCTAAACCTTACATCCTACATATGTAAAGATCTTGCATGTGCCATACAACGGTAAAAGGGGACCTGCAGATTTATGCAAAATGCTATTAATAATTTTAAGATCACCTGACTTGCATAAGTAGGTATATCCCAATATTAGTTACATACCTACTCTGTACAAACCTTGGAAGTAATCGTCTTCCCAGCCCCATCCTTTTCTCGGGTTGGGTCTGTTGCGGCTTACACAACTTTCTCTTGCATTAATCAACTTCGAATATCAATAACTCGATGTCCCTATACTATCAATATACCGATTTCCTCCAGTAGTATTTTTAGCCATTAAACTAGCTATCCTTGCATTTTCAGCTTCATCCCTCGCCAATTGGGCCTGTTGTTCAGCTTCTAAATCCTTGGTATATTTTGCCTGTAGCCGCATGATTTTTCTTGCATCGGTATCCAATCTCTGCTCAATCTTCCTACTAGCAAGCGCAGGAGAGAGAGCAATTTGATTAGCTCCAAGAATCGACCGCCGATTTTTTGGAGCCTCCCGCTGAGCTTTGTGGGCGCGAGCCTTAGTTAAAGCTCGCTCACTATGGGCCAGCTTCTGGGCTATAAGCGCACTTCTATCTATACAACGCTGGATATACTTTCGGAGGCGTACGGAATTTTTATCTAGAGCCTGTAGGTCCTCTATAAGCTTAGAATTAAGCTTATTGATCCTCTCAATGGTATATAGAGGAGAATTAACCGGTGAACTAGGAAGCTCCGGGGGAGGGGGGGGGGGGGGGGGGGGACGGCGTATTGATAATACGTATATCACCAATATTATTGAGAAATTGATCCCGTAAAGGTTGAAGCAATACCTCTAGATCTAAAGGCTAAATACCCCTAGATAATTTGATAACTCTAGAGGTAAAGGCCTTTCGTTGTATATTCCCGATTATATAGAAAAAGTCCCGTTGTTTCGAGGTATTTCCACCCTATATAACAGTATTATTATCCGCTGTACGAAAATAATGTTTTAGGTATTGGAAAGCCTCGCCATCCAGCGGTTGAGTAAAGTGAGTTATATAGGGTAAAAACCAGATTGGGATAATAAAATACTGGGTGTAAAAGGTGATAAATTCGATAGTTATATAAGAACTATAGTTATCTATTATCAAAATACGCGGCCGGCCTTCGTCAATACGAGAGATAGTTACTTTATAAAAAGAGCAAAGCTATTCAAAGGTAGTAGTATTATCAATCCAGCTATTGGGGGTAGGCTTGATACGAAAATCAGGGATATCAATATCAGTAAACCACTCCTCTATCTGTTTTCCACCCTTAGTTAAGAACTAGGGTAGTATTACCCAGCTATCGGCAGCAATATATTCAATACCAGTAATTGATTCAGTATATCCCCCAGTAGCAATAGGATTATACGTACGAGAAGAGACCACTTTTTGTTTCTTTCCCTGGCCTAATTGATAGCCGGTTTTATCCCAATTGTAGATCTTATATAGCTCGATATTATACCTCTTAAGAACCTAGGAGAAATTACGAAACTAAATAGTAAGATTGTCAATATCTCCACTATCGATTCTCGCTTTTGCTATAGGTTTTAGGTGATAATACTTGAGGTATAGAGGTAATCTGTCGATATACCGGTACGGCCAGTTCGGACCGACAGTTTTTTCCTCGCTAGACTGGGCTAAAAGCCAATTTGCAGCCGATTTAATTGATATTGGCGTAGGTGTGGTCTTGATAGTATCTAGCGCTTCAACCCAGCTAAGCAATGCTTTTTCCTGAAGAAGATTGAGAGCTTTGGTAGAGTCGGCGCGGCCTGAACTGTTTTTGCGACCGTGAATCCGTGTATAGAACCTGTTATACGGAACCCCGAATTCTCGTGACAACGGTTTGATTTTTGGCTTTTTTTCTTTGATGGTAGGCTTCAATAGCCTTTGATATTTCATACTCGAAAGTCTGGACTTTTTTCGGCGTTTTTTTGGTGGTAAAAAATCGAGTACAAAGTGGTTGTGTGGAAGAAAAATTGTGTATTATGAAAAATAGTGTAAGCCGCAACAGACCCAACCCGAGAAAAGGGTGGGGCTGGGAAGACGATTAGTGCATCCACCATAGAGTCGACAAATGAGAATATATATTATCTGAGACATTCCGATGTACAAAGTAGGAAATTTGACACACATGGTTGAACTGAACTTCGGTATGATTGGACCAATGAGAGAGGCCCTATCTGAGACCCTTTAACACCGCCACAATGCTGTCAGCCAATGCCCCCCCCTTCGAATACGGAGAGTAATTTTTTAAAAATTTTAGTAGCTGTAATGATTTCTGTGAGATGATAAACCTGTGCGTTTTACTTGAAAACAAAAGGGGGAAATTCAGATTTAGCTTCGTTATGAGTTATAGAATGAAAGTCTTGCAAAACCATACTGATATCGACCTGAACTAACAACACAAAACTACAAAAAAAAAAAAAAAGAAAGAAAGCCAAGCTTTTGTGGGCCTTAGATCTCGCAAAAAGACACGATAAAGAAATATGGAGTACTGTTTCCTTAACAAGTCGGCGGATCCCTTTTCGAAAGACTCCATCTTCGTTCCTATATTCTCCCTCGAAAGGGCCTGTCACCTTCAAGATGGGACGGTTTCACTACCTACTTGGTTTCTTGCTACTTTTCATTTGTTCATCTCTTTGGATTGCATCGAGCTTGGGAAAACAACCATCAAGCATTGCTATTACTCATGGATCGTGCGTCTGCAGCGAAGACAACAATGTTACCATCGCCTTGGATGCCAGTATCGTTCCCTCGAACCGATCGGAACCTACCATTAATGATATGAAACCACCATCAGAACCCAAAATACCAAGCTATCTTCCAATCGCAAATTCCCATGATTATCACGCGCAGTTGTCAATCCCATCCAAGCTGTGGCAAAAGGCCGGTTCGATGAAAATCAACGACGACCGCGAGAAAGACATCCGCAGTTGGCTAGATGTGAACCCACGTCTACGACACGAGATTCTCACAGACGGCAGTGCAGACGAGTACGTTCGTGAGCATTTTGCCGATTATCCAGACGTCCTTGAGCTCTACCTCTCTCTACCAGTCCCGATCCTAAAAGCCGATCTTCTTCGCCAATTAATCCTGTACGCCGATGGAGGAATTTGGAGCGATCTTGACGTGACATGCCACCAACCAATTCATACCTGGATCCCGGAACAATACCAGAACAGAACAAATGTCGTCGTCGGTTTGGAATTCGATGGGACCCAGTTCGCGAGTTGGACGGTTATGTCGAAACCTAAGACAAGTCATATCGTGGCGGTCATCAAATATGTCATCGATGGACTGAAGGCATCTGCTGCAAATCACAATGTGACCACTGCCCAGCTTAACATGACAATGATCAGCGATGTGGTGGATGTTACGGGTCCACAGGCGATGACTGTTGCCATATTGAAAAACCTGCAAAAAGAAATGGGCGTTCCTTTTGGCCAAGCAAATATAACTAGTATCAAAGAACCCACCCTATTTCAGGATGTTCTCGTGCTGCCTAATGCCGCCTTTGCCTCTACTCAGGCTGGCTTCCCAGAGGACCGAGGGCCTTATCTTGTTGAACATCGTTACGCTGGCTCTTGGAAGAATGAAAATGGCGGGGAGACACAATCATGACATATCCAGAACTTTGTATTGGCGTTGCACGACCTGAAGCATATATGACAAGACGGACTTAGACAAGAGCATAAAATATAATCTGATTCTTGCATTCAGGTTTTAGTTGACTCTTGGGGGACTGTCTGTTGCTAGAAGAATAACCGCATGTAATTCCAACCTTGTGGCCGAAAATTTGGCGTCAAGAGAGACATGTTGTCCACAGATTCCCTCTTGGGTCTTTCAGTGCTCTAGAGCAAAGCTCTTCCCAGCTAGTCGGGCTGCGGTTGACTTTCGGTCTGGGATAAGGATTCTGGCAGGCTGGAAAGTCATTTCCAGCCCTAAGGCGATAGAGCCATTGTAGAAGTAATGCGACAGAGCTGACCAACCAATTCCCCGAACTGGACCTTTTGTGGTTCGTCGGTTCGCCTAGAATTTCCAACCTCCATCTAGACCACATGTTCTCTCTGTCATCCATCTCCCCGAATGCCAGAATTCCATACCAAGAAATCGCCGAAATCGCCAGTGCGTTGACTGCAATCCATTCCCCCAAGCCAACTGTATGCGATCCGAATCGAAGGTGCAACGGTCGCATGCGCTTTGAAACACGAGACGGGCCTTGCTAGGTGAAGCGAGAGAGCAAGATTCGCCTCCGCACAGGGCTGGAGGCTACTAAAAGTTCTCGATATGGCGAAAACGATCTCTTCCCCTACCGTGATTGGACGTGACTCATTGATTCCACGGCCATCTGAGCTTCATATCCTCGTTGTTTCCATCTTCCCAACTTTCATCAGCGCAACAAGCATAACGGAAATTGGGTTATGGGGTTCCGTGGGCAAGACAAAGGCCAACAAATCTGCAAGCTGCTTATCAGTACCGCTCTCTTTCAGATGGAGGTTCATGTGGAAGTCTCATCTCTTTTTTGGTTGGGTGACACCGTCCTCCTCAATTCTGCCGTAGCAGCCAGCCAAGGCCGCGATACCAGAGTCGCAGCAGCACCTTGATTTGGGCTTTGGTACCTTCATGGCCAGGATTCATGGGAGACTGGAGGGGTATCATCGGAGGCGCCAGTGAGGATCGTGCCATTTTTAGGGGTGTTGCTTGTTGTGGAAGATTCCAAAACACCGTTTGAAGACAACACAGGCGCTTTTGCCCCCTTTGCTGTGGCTTGGGGTCAAAAGAGAATGGGATAGGAATCGGCTTTGCGGTAGAATGACTAAGGGCGATGTTGACATCCTTCAGCTAAACCTCATCATTTGTGGGGGACTTACTGCTCTTTTACGAGGTGACCAAGGAGATTGGAAAGAAAGTACTACAGAAAGGATGTCCAACACCTAGATGCTTGACTGACGGCTGTCTCCCGAGGTATCAAGGAATCTATGCAAGCAAAGAACTAGATCATCGTCAAGTGCTGCCAGTGGCAGCACCAGCTTCCAAGAGCCTAATCCCAAAGAACCAATGTTACAGCTTTCCCTCGATGTTTTACAGTAGTCGGAATGAGCTGCTTGTTCAAAAGATTGATGATTCGGGCGGATATCTGCATTTACTTGAAGCACTAGGCCTAGGGACGACTGTTGATACGTAAATTCTATGGAGGATCAATTGTTCAATCAATACAGTCCTTGTTGGTACCTAGGTAGGTGTACATACTTCTAAGGTTGGAACCTGGAAGCATTGTGACGTCAGCCCGATAGCTCGGTTCATGTACCCCACACGGGCCGCAAAGCTTAATCTATTGATCTACATACATACTACATCCATTGTCTATACACAATGTAAAATGTTTCCTATTGTCCCAGAAGGCCATTGATATGTAGTATTCTAATTCTTCATTTGGAGACGGATGCCTGAAGGCTGCCTTGAGTTGCTAGGAGGCGGTTGGAATAGGGCAGTCTCAATGGGCAGTCTCAATGGGCAGTCTCAATGGGCAGTCTCAATGGGCAGTCTCAATGGGCAGTCTCAATGGGCAGTCTCAATGGGCAGTCTCAATGGGCAGTCTCAATGGGCAGTCTCAATGGGCAATCTCAATAGGCAGTCGCGATGGGCAGTCGCTCAGTTTAGGAAGGAGCACGTAGGACAGCTCTATGAAAACCCCCATCTGCTTTTTTTTTTCTTCTCTCTTTCTTCTCTCTTCTCTCTTCCCATTTTTCATTTCATTTTTTTTTTTACAACATCATCAAGATGTTTCAACCAGCGTTTGTGTTCCTGTTTTTCCTCGCAGCAGCGGCTGCCCACTGGCAGCACGACCTGTTCCGAATTGTCGGAACAGTTGTTGTCGCTGTTCTTGTTCTTGTTGCCGGGGTGTGCTGCGTCGACAGGTAAGCTTAAAGAATTTCATCCTTCATGTCCCCCATCCCAAGTCACATCCCAAGTCACATCCCAAGTCCCATCCCATGTCATGTCCCAAGTCATGTCCCCAATACCCATCCAGATACCCATCCAGATACCCATCCATCCAAATATTGTGACTAACCTTGAGTAGCCCCCGATTGTTTCTATTTGGTCTGCTGCAATCAGCTGCAGACTTGGTGGCTCGGCCACCACCAGTGTTTATCCGTGCCGAGGCCCCCGGGGCCGAGGCCAAGAAGATTGAGAGCCAGAGAGGCCAGATGAGCGGATTGGAGGAGCAACTCTGTCGCACGGAGGCACGAGTTCGTGTTTCCGAGACAACCCGGGAGAAGGAGAAGAAACGCCACGGGAAGGAGGTCCAGTACCTGGACGCTCAGCTGGCGGACCTATCCCGGGGGATCAAGGAAGCCCTGTTCGCGAAGGATCAGGTCATCGTCGAGTGCCGCCAGTGGCGGCGCAAGTTCGAGAACTTGGAAGACCTACAGCAACAGGCCCTGGAATTCCCCCCTCGTGGGGTGCAGGGACGTCCTCGTTGGGCCCCTGCGACGAAAAACGGAGTTGTGAAGGGGGGACGTATTCGACCGGCTAAAAAATTCACTGCCATTGCGCAGGTGGGACTTGTCAATGCGGCGTGGGAGTCTAAGCTGGCCAGTTACGAGAACGAGGCCCGAGACTATGTGGCCCGCATAACTGACCAGCTTGGATCTCTTACCGCCGCCGCCACCGCGCTCAGCGTGGAGAACACTTACCTCCACCAGCAGATCCAGGCCCGCCCCGATGCCCTGCAGAAGCTGGCCCAGCAGCAACTGCAGGATGCCGTGGGACGCACGGAGGCCTTGGCGAATCAACTGCATGGGGAGCGTGTCGCCGCGCTGCAGCAGACTCACCTCGAGGAGCTGATGGCAGTCAAGGTCGAGTACGAGAAGAAGTTGGTGAAGGCGACGGCGGAAATCAAGGCCGAGGGGTCCGCAGTGACCCAGCAGCGTCAGGTGGCTGAAAGCGCAGCTCAGGAGGTCAACTCCTTGAAGCTTGCGCTCGCTGCTAAAGAAGCGCAGCTGGTTGATCTGCAGGCCTCGAACGCCAAGATTGCTGGTGACCTACAGGTCACGAAGGAAGAAACTGCCAAGCTTGGCCAGATATTGGCTGAGGAAACCGCCGAGGTGGCCAAGCTTGTGCAGGAGAGCGACGGTCTTAAAACGGCCGGTAAGAGTCTAAGACTGAAGTACGATCAGCTAAAGTCTGAGAAAAAGACTCTTGCGAGGGAAAAGGAGCGCCTGCAGATGGATGTTAGGGACCTAGAGAATGCACTGGACGACCTCGCCGGTGAGAAAGAGAAGTTGGAGGAAGATATAGACCAACTAGAAGGCGAGGTCGAAAAAAGGGAGGGCGACAACCAAGTCCTGCTGGAGCACAACGAAGAGCTGTTTTTAAACTCCGTTGCTGCGAATATCGAGCACCAGCAGGCTCGGGACAGAGTGGGTAACCTAGAGCGCCAGGTGGCGGACCTCGAGACGTCTGATATCACCCAGGCTGTGGTGGGTATGCAGTTTGGTGCTGATTAAGCACCATCCCAGCTGCCACCCGCCTGACAACTCTCGAGCTCCACCATCGTGCTGCCTGCTCGGTTGCTCACTCTGTTGCTCACTCTGTTGTTGTCCTTCTTCCGGTGTTTTCTTAGGTTTCCTTGCCATCGAAAGGTGCTCCCCCCTCTCGTTCATTCCTTCCTGTTGTCTTTGTCGATTTCCTCATTCCCCCTGCCCCATCCCCATCTGCCTCTCCCGCCGCGACCGACGGTCATTACTCATTACATCACAGTATGTTCCGTTGGTCATTCACGCTCCCCCTATGAATCCTTCACCATACCGCTCGTTTGCCGCTCGGCCATTGATGCTGAGTCTGGCCAAACTCCTGCTCGTCGCTGTTTTACAAGTTCCTTTCACAACCGCTGCACCTCTTTTCTCACCTCTTTTCCTGTCATCCCGTGACACAGAACCAGGAAAGGAACCGAGCGATCCGAGTTTATGGATTTATTTAGGGTTTTCAGCTGCTCTTGTGTTGAGCGGTGGAGCATTTGCGGGTCTTACAATTGCCTTGATGGGACAGGTCAGCTCTTTCCAACGCAGCTAAAAATTCCCTGATGAACCAGACTGACATCCTGATTGCTTCCTCGTAAAGGATGAAGTTTATCTCCAAGTCATCAAGACATCCGGCGAAGAGCATGAAAGGAAAAATGCTGCTAGCGTTCTCAACCTCTTGAACCACGGAAAACACTGGGTCCTTGTCACCCTCCTCCTCAGCAATGTTATCACAAATGAAACTTTACCTATCGTCCTTGACCGAACACTTGGTGGTGGTTGGCCGGCGGTGCTAGGAAGCACTGCTTTGATTGTCATTTTCGGCGAGATTGTTCCGCAGTCCATTTGCGTTCGTTATGGTCTTCCCATTGGTGCCTGGATGGCACCTTGCGTCTTGGTCTTGATGTACATCATGTCCCCCGTGGCCTGGCCAATTGCAAAATTGCTAGATAGACTACTTGGAGAGGATCATGGTACCATCTACAAAAAGGCCGGGTTGAAAACGCTCGTCACCCTCCACAAAACCTTGGGAGAAGCTGGAGAGCAACTCAACTCCGATGAAGTGACCATCATCAGTGCAGTTCTCGACCTCAAAGAGAAGTCAGTGGGCAGCATTATGACACCAATGGATGATGTCTTCACTATGTCTGCTGACACTGTCTTGGACGAACGCACAATGGACCACATTCTTTCCCAAGGATATTCTCGTATCCCCATCCACTCCCCTGACAATCCAATGAATTTTGTTGGTATGCTCCTTGTCAAAATGCTCATTACCTACGACCCGGAAGACTGCAAACGTGTCCGCGAGTTTGCTTTGGCTACACTTCCTGAAACACGCCCTGAAACAAGTTGTCTGGATATTGTGAATTTCTTCCAAGAGGGCAAGTCCCACATGGTTCTTGTCTCTGAATATCCTAGTGAAGATCGTGGCGCTCTTGGTGTTGTCACCCTAGAAGATGTCATCGAAGAACTGATCGGAGAAGAAATCATCGACGAATCTGATGTCTTCATTGATGTCCACAAAGCCATCCGACGAATGACACCTGCACCTAAATCTCGTGTCGCCAAAGGCAAGATCGTCGAGGAGCCTCCTTTGAACGCCTCGGTTGTCACCGATGGCGACTTGGTCGACGTGGATTCCACACGACCCTCATCTCTCCCCAAGCCTTCCGACTTGATTCGACGCCGCAGTTCCGTGGAATCACCCCTTTCCCGCTTTCAACTTCGCAAAACTAATACCGACATCAATCCAGACTCAGCAAATGAATGGGTCACACAAGTCGGCACCACAGAGGAGATTCGAGAACATCTCAAACATCTTGGTCCCTCTAACCTGGCCAGTAGGCCGCGCCAAACTCGTTATCATGCCGTCAAGATCAAGCGCAATAGCAACTCTCCGTCCCGGTCCGCACAAACCGATTTTGAGTCTGGACAAAGCACCTCTGACTCCCAAAAACTTATCCCTTCTTTTACCGCATACCAAGGTGGCATAGGCGCGGGCTTGCTCAACTCTGCTGGACCAGATGCCAAAGATGGTGCGCATGCTCTCAAAATTGGCTACGGCACCATGTCTTCGCATGACAGTGTGAGCAAAGGCACCGGTGCTCAGCAATACAAAGACCTCCCACAAGTCTCCATTCCCGAGGCTGTCCGCGAGGAACATGAAGACCAACCGCGTTCTGGGTCGACGCGGAAGGCTAGTAGTGACGAAGGCAGTGTTGAATCGTCGGATACACCAGGCTTTATATACCATCACCGCGGACCGGCGCGAAGTGGAAGCATCACAGAACAAATCGTGGATGTCAATGGTATCCGCAAAGTTGTCCTTCATGCAAATTGTTCGAGTTCTTCAGAAGGGGAATCCCATCCGCCGGGTCGGCATCGCGACCAGCACCATGCCGAGGGTGCGGTCCTTGACACCGATGATGGGAAGTCAGAAAACCCGGACAGTGGACATACGAAGTCCAAAAAGAAGCGCCGCCGCAAGAAGCATGGAAAGGGGTCAAAGGCTGATGATGGGGGTCCATCAGAGGACCAGCCTCTACTCAAATGAGGCATCACAATGTATGTAGTAGTTGAATGAAACCTGTCAAACCTATTTTCCTACCACCACAGTATTTTATGAAATGTACGAAGTAGAAGCACCCGTATTTGCATTGCTTTGTAAGTGTAATCCTTAAACCTTTTCGTGTGGGAATTTGATATACCATGTATACTTTGGCAGTACTTAGATTCTACTAGTTACAGAGCTTCAAAGTACTATACATATTAGCTTACCTTGGAAAGCAATGGTCCATTTAGATACAACGGCAGAGAGATCAATCCCAGAATAGGCTTACATGCAGCTGATCACATCTACAATTATAACGAAATCACTCAATACCCAGATATTGTGCATATTTGCTTTGAATTTCTCAGACTAGATACATGAATGTTTCCAAAAGAATCCTCCAGATAGCAGGAAGTGATGACGACACAATGACAGCCGTAACAAAAGGTATATGCAACATGTAATCGCTATCCATAACGTCCGTCATAAAGTTGTCCAATGTTTGGCGAGGCCTCGTTAAAACCGACCAGGTTGAAAAACTCATTCGAGAAAATGGCCCAGCTCGGAAAGAGTACCTCACTTGGTTGTTTCGTTGCTGACTCGAAAGGCCTGCAGAAGCCCATGGGTTGCCAAAAATCGAACAGTCTTGATGCACGGGAGTAACGAGCGTGCAAGTTGAAGAGCTGCGGTGGTTGTCGATGTATTGCGAGTATTGGCGAATGTTTCGTTGGTGGCGTCCAAAAGACGATGGTCGTAAATGAAACCGGTCGATTGATGTGATTCCCCGTTGGTGCTGTGATGAAGCGATCATTGCAGAAGGGGATCCTAGTGAAGAAGTTAGTATTGCAAAATAAAAGAGAGTACAGTTCCAACATACCCGGAAGTGCTTCTGGTGATTGTTTGCCCGTTGTACTCGGGCAACATAGCGGTTCTCTTGGCGAAGGGCACGAGTTCTCTCGCGGCGCTCGGAAGTGAGAGCGGCTTCCTTTTGTTCTTCAGTGACTCCAATCATGCCCATGCCGCCGTTGGCACGAGTGATAACAGCACGGTGGTGGTTGGTGCGGACACGGGGTTCCTCCTCGATTTCTCCATTCGCGATGGCAAGCTGGCGGGCAGCTCGTTCAGCAGCTGAGGGATATTTGTGCAGATTTTGCCTGTAGTATTTAGCAAGCGAACGATGACCGACACTCTTTCCAGAAGGAAGGTGGAGCTCGTAGTCTGCCTCGTAGGCGCCTGATGCGTTTCGATATGAGTCAAGGTCGTCCTCGTCGACGGAGGATGCGGAGCTGTCGGTTTCCCAACCTTGGTCCTCTCCATCGCCGTTCACCTTGACACCACCGCTTTCAGCAGTGGATTCATCCTCATCTTCGGAGTAGGTGCTCCGGAAATCGTAGTATTGGCCGATTTCAACTTGCTCTTCTTCAGATTCGAAGGCAATCATACAGTGGCTCTTGTCGCGCATGTGGGTTTGGATGGCTTGTGCGTCGTTTTTGATGGCGTGGCAGTAAAGACATTCGAAGTTTTCGTTGATCTTTCGGTAGAGATAGTTCACGAGGCCATCGAGATCAGCCAAGTATTTTTGTTCAGGGATGAACATGCCGTGGTCTTTGCGCATATGGTCCACATTGGTGTGAATATCAGTTGAATCGGTTTTGCAGAAGAGACAGCGAGATGCCAAGAATTCGTCCTTTTTGACATCAGTTTCCATATCCTCGTCTTCTTCTTCATCAATGGTGGCAGTCTTGAGGTCCTCGGTGACCTTGCTGACGTCATTGTCGGACTTAGTCACGGGTTCGCCGAGAGAGAAAGCGGAACTCTGGACGGAGGCAGCGTCGCCATCCTTACGTAGGCTAGCCGCACGTTGCTTATGCTTCGAGCTGTTGATGTGGTTTTGGTACGAGTTCTCGCTGTAAAATGCCTTGTTGCATGTGTGGCAGGTCTTTTCGTACGAAGCCTTAGCGGCAGCTTCGTTGGATGTAGCTTTGGCGGCGAGAACTTTTTCGTTGAAAGTTTCGAGAGTGACGGGTGGCAGGGAAGCGATACGACGCTTCATGTTGTATAAACTAAGGGACATTAGCTGAAGTCGCAAAAAAAAAAATCTTTTCTTGAACGGAATTTAAACACTTACTGCCAGTCTTTACGCATGTGATCTCTCTGGGCATCGCTGCGTTGGAAGGCAACAAGACAGGTGTTGCAAGTATATTGCAGCGAGGCTGTATCTTGGTTGGTCGACGACATATCAGCGGTTTTTTGAGAGTCGTGGGTGGTTGAAAGGGCGGGTTTTCCCTGTGGATTGTGGGATGAATATTTGTTGTAGGCGGGGTACATATGAAGGCTCTGCCTTGACCCGATTTCAGTGATTTTTTGATGATCTGAGTGTAAATTGATGATCAAAATAGATGAAAGTGATGGGACCCAAATGGATGTAAAGGAGAGGAATCTTTGAATTCCTGTGAGTGAGTCTTTATGCACTCAACAGACCGTTGCCCAGGGTTGATCTGCGTCTGAAATTATGTTTCTTATCGACTAAACCCCTCTTGAATGCTACTAGTACTATCTGGGTTAGCGTGATCCATGGAGAATCATAAAATGGCTTAGTAATCCGCCCAAAAGGCTGGCGAACGTGAGCAACCAAAGTCCGCCGGACTAATTTGACTTCCGACAGCTCCGATACCAAGAATGGATAAATTATGCCTGAGGCATCATAGTCTTACTACCTAGGTACGGTATCAGGTGAGCTGGGGTGTCTTGGTTGCATTTATTCAACGCGTGAAGCCAAACAATTCACTAGCGCTTTTCCTTGCATACAGCTATCCTCAAACCATCAGATATGCCACTTTGTTGAAAATGACAAGGCTCCGCGGAGGTTCTATCGATGACCTAGACATCGCGCGATCCCCCGGCCACGGGCGAACTCATAGTTATCGATCAAAACTCCCACCAAACGCACCGGATACGCTCATCCAGAATACCATCGAGGTATCTGATCCCTCAAGTGTGTTGCCACGGTATCGCGATGACCGAAGACGAAAATTCAATGGCCTGGTGCGCAGGTGAGTGGAACTCCAACTTCCCAACTCCGCATGACACTAATTGATTTGTCGCAAAAGATACAAAGCTCAACTGCTTCACGGCTGCGATGATCCCGGATGTCAAACCTCTACATGTGCCAGCCATCGCCGAAGACTTAGTGAAGGTCCATATCGTCGATACACGGAACTAAGTGCGAGGACGCTGGCATGCTACCTCGCTAGCTTGGATGACGCGGAAACTGGTCTATGTCTGAACGTGCCTAAACCTCCGCCGAAATTGACAGCGGAAGATTACCATCGGATTTCCCTGCGCCGAACTCGTACACTTGAAGCACAGACGGCAGCGGCTAACAGATCACCAAAATCGGATCAGAATGATGAAGATTACTCAGGCCGTGACGTGCCCAGGCCTGCGCAAATTAGACGAGCTATGTCAAAGGGGAAAGAAGAGGGTCTTTCGCCTCAAATCCGCACTGGTAGCAGCTATATTCGAGACCTCGACCATACCGCCGAGCAACAACTAAAAGACCCCAAGTCTTTTACGCAAAACCTCTTTGATACAATCTCGCTCCGTATGGTCGAATGGCTTCCACTTCGCCGTGCTCCAGATGTGTTGGAGACAACGTCCAAATCACCCGCACCGGGAGCCGCAATCCATTCATCATCTACTGCTGAGAATCACCACTGCCATGCCGACAAAGTTGCAGGCAGAGATCTCAAAATCGCAGGCAGTTCCCCACCTGCAAACCAGCCCAGCCCTCAACCTCGTACTCCTTCATCGCGAACATCGGGATCTCAGCCCTCCGCGGTCGAGCTCAAGTTTCAGAACCAGCATGTCAAACGACTATCAGTCTCCGAGGTTGACCATTGGCACCATAGTCCACGTTCAAATCTTGACGATAAAAGGAAACCAGAATTCAACAAGAAGCTCCCAGTGGCTTCTTCTGATGAATTTGTCAGCCTACCCTCACCGCCAGCGTTAAAGCACCGTCCGCAAAAGCATCGCGGGAGAATTGGAGACGTTGACTCAGTTCCTCTGAAGGAACAACGCAAAACTCAACGGCGTGTCTCCTGGGACAGCCAGAAGCTGCTAGATGAGGTATCTCCTATCAATAGTACGGCGAGCACGGAGCTCATGCCTCCTCCTCGTCCTCTTCCTCCTTCTGTTCCCCAATCTCCCAGTGAGCGCAAGCTAAAACAAGCTCCTGTCGAGAACTCACTAGACACGATCCCATTGGCTCAGACACTCACCCATCTTACCCCAGAGATCATCGATGGTCTGTCGCAAGTCATGATTGAATCTGCGGAAGATGCCGATTGCTGGGAGGAAGAGCTTGATCGTATCCAGTGCTTTGGCAGCTTTGAGCAGCCGGATTGGCGTTTTGCAACTCTGCGTCAGCGTGAAGTATTCCCGTTCGTTGCTCAAAGTACGTTTTTCGTGTTCAGCAGCCCCAGTCAGATCTTGCGCTCCTTTGGTAGCGAGTCAACGGATATGATCGGGGCTACTTTTAGTCATCTTGATGTTCCCCGTCTGCGCCTATCACTGCAGCGCCTGTTTATGATTTGCCCATGGGATATTGCACTACATGGCCTATGGAGCTCTCTGGACAAGCTCTTTATTCCCCCGCGGGGATTTACCTCTTCTGGACGACCGTCCCGCCGATCGTCCCGCAGTTCGACTATGACAGGACCTGCGCCCCCTCCGGTCGTTCCCCGTCGAATGTCTGAATCTGCCAATGAAGATCATCTGTCGGACCCTGATGCCGCCTACATTGCGACGATTGCCTTCTTCACTTTGGTCAGTTTTGTGCCTAATATTGACTTGGGGACTTGGAAAGCAGTGGTTCGGATGCGTGCCGCTGGGTCTGTTGCTTCACTATCGGACATGCGCAAGCTGCCTTCCAAGAATGCTCAACAGGCCATCGAGGTGACAGACAGACTCGAGCACGAGTTAGGCCTCCGCCTCATTAATCGTCTTGTACGGGCTCTCACTGCACGACTGGCATACCATGAAATCTCCAAGGCCCGCCAAGTGTACAGTCTAGACCTACCAAAACAACGCAGACTCAGCGTGCTGGACCGCGTAGTTGACTATCTTAGTGAGCACCACATCTCTCATACTGCTGGCAGTAATGAACTCACTGAGTCCATTGGCTCAGCCTCCCTCATTGTTGAATGGCTTCGGACTCTTTTCCTGCGTGAATGGGACGGCAACCCTGAAATGGCTCGTAGCAGCCCAGCCGGTGGTGCTGTTCAGATTTTAGCCTCAATGTACAAGGAACGAAACCGGTTAGGTCTTTTACCTGAAGACTTTCATACACCTCTTCTCACAGAGCGGTTGGATCCTTTGGATATGCCCGTGGCATGGGTTGGAGGCCTACCGAACAACCGGACCATGCATCTTCTATCGTACCCCTTCCTTTTTCCTCCGTCGGCTCTCGTTATCTACTTCCGTGCTTTGAACTATTCCGCCATGACCAAGTCCTACGAAGCTGCTATGACTACCACGAGACATGTCACTCAGACTGCATTTGGTGCTATTCGAATTTCCGATGATCCTCGACTTCTCACCCGCATGAAAACATCCATGTCCACTTACCTTGTTCTCGTTGTCCGCCGAGACAATATTCTCTCTGATGCGTTGAGCCAATTATGGCGGCGTGAAAAGCGAGAACTAATGCGACCGTTGAAGGTGCAAATGGGCATGGATGAAGGAGAAGAAGGGCTTGATCATGGTGGTGTTCAACAAGAGTTCTTCCGTTTGCTGATGGGTCAAGCCTTTGACCCATCGTATGGCGTGTTCACAATTGATACTCGACACCGTATGTCTTGGTTCCAACCATGCTCATTGGAACCTCTCTACAAGTTCGAACTTATCGGTCTGTTGATGTCTATTGCTATTTACAATGGCCTGACCCTCCCCGTGAACCTCCCCACTGCTTTCTACCGCAAAGTGCTGGGCCTGAAGGTGAAGCATCTGGACCACATTCGAGATGGGTGGCCGGAGCTTAGTCAAGGGCTCGACACATTATTGGCATGGAAAGATGGTGATGTTGGCGATATCTTCACACGAACTTACGAGTTCAGCTTCGAAGCCTTCGGGAGCATAAAGACCATTGATATGCAAAGGGTTGATCGTGATGCGGCGTGGCCTCTTGCTAGCAAAATCACTGGACCGGCTCCGACTCCAGCTCCTATCGCGGGCTCTAGCGCCTGGATGGATGTGCCATACTACGACCCTGCGATATTGAGATCACCAACCTCGATGGCAGCTGAGGAGGCTACTGACGTCACATTCTTTGAGCCTGCCTCAGACACAACCGTTAAATCAGTGTCTGAGTCCATATCACCTCAATCCCCTCCACCCCCAGCTGAAGAGGCCGCTCTTGTGACCAATCAAAATCGACACCAGTTTGTCAAGGATTACATCTTCTGGCTCACAGATAAATCCATTCGGCCACAGTTTGAAGCCTTCCAGAGGGGGTTCAACACGTGCCTGGATCGATCCGCTCTGTCCATTTTTTCACCGGAAGCCCTGAAAACCGTGGTAGAAGGCATCCAATCGATTGACGTGTCGGAGCTCAAGGACCATACACGGTACGAAGGTGGATTTGGTCCTGATCATCGTGTCATCCGTGATTTCTGGGATATTATCCAAGAATACTCCAATGAAAAGAGGGCCCAGCTACTCGAATTTGTCACTGCTAGTGACCGAGTTCCCGTCAATGGGATCTCAAGCATTATGTTTGTGATCCAGAAAAATGGTGTCGGAGATTTGGTAGGTTTTGCCACTTTCAATCTGCATAATATATGGAATGTCATACTGACTGTTCTTCTAGCGTCTTCCTACCAGCCTAACATGCTTCGGACGCTTGCTTTTGCCAGAGTACTCATCGAGGGAGACCCTAGTGAAGAAACTTGACAAGGCTCTCGAAAACGCCCAAGGATTTGGCGTTGCATAAATGGTTGTCGGATTTCATTGTTTACCTATATGTACATACCCATTTGTTCTATATTGCATTGATGTGGTATTGGCATTCTATCTCATATGGTGCAAATAACATATTTTCATGGAGTACTCGGCCTTTCACTAGACGTCTAAAGAGGATCTCTCATAAATATAGACAAATCACAGTTTATAGATCTCCATCGGACTCCATACAGAGCTGTGGTTCGCTTGACGATGTGGCGCTACGCAAAATTATATCAAATCGGACTTCAGAGGTCCGGGAGGACTTTATGACTCTTAATATTCAACTTTACCTGAATTATATATCTCTGTTTCTCACAAATATCTCTTAGTTGCATTGGCATTCTTTTTGACCCAAATACTCTGTAAGGCGCTCTCACACGTACCCCTTGTTCAAGCCCCCGCCATGTTCCGCGATAAGATCTCACTTTCAGGGTCTTCAATATCTGCAAGTTTCTAACGTCAAATTTACCAGCCTACCTGAGACACTCTGAACATTGAACATGGCCCCAATTATTCACTGCGTTCGCCATGCCCAAGTATGTCCATATCGCGATAATGATCGCAGAGACCCGACTCCCCGAATCTACACGATTGAGTCGCAAGCTTGCAACATGGCTCTTCACTGTTCAGTCAAGCTAACAGATAATAACAGGGTCTGCACAACCTTTGCACTGAAAACCACGTCATCCAAGACCCTTTACTCACTGACCTTGGGCATGAGCAATGCCAAACGCTTCGCGAGAATTTCCCCCGCCATGCCAATATCGACCTGGTGACAGCCTCGCCCCTCCGTCGCACCCTCTATACTGCGCTTGAGAGTTTTGCGCCAGTTTTTGAGTCAAAGCCGGACTTGAAGATCATTGCCCTGCCTGATATTCAGGAGATCTCGGATGTGGCATGTGATACTGGCAGCGAACCTTCTGTTCTGAAGGAGGAATTCAAAACAGGAGTTGATCTGGATCTCGTGGAAGAGGGGTGGAATAACAAGGTATGTGTCCTACTTGCCTACAGCTCGGAGATTGCCTCAAAATTATCCATCACGTGGTGTACTCACATTTGTCTGTCACAAAGGTATCCGGTCGCTACGCCCCAGCCAACCAAGCCCTCAAGCAACGTGCTCGTGCAGCCCGTCGCTGGCTGAAAGCCCGCCCAGAGAAGGAAATTGTCATGGTCACGCACGGTGGCTTCTTGCACTATTTCACTGAAGACTGGGAAGATAACAGTCAGTTCCAGGGTATGTGACGTGACACAAGGGCTACGATTGCAGGGAATTATACTAACACTGTTTTTAATTCTTATAGGCACTGGCTGGTCTAACACAGAGTACCGCACTTTCTCTTTCACCGAGGAAAAACACACAGACGATCTGGAGGGATACCCACTGGATGGCGATAATGCCTCACTTGAGGAGACAAGTGACTCACGGCTGCGCCGGGGTAAGACTGGGCCTGTGCCTAGCCGGGAAGAACAGAAGATGCTATATAAGAAGGGCATCCAGGGCTGGGGTGACCAGGGATTGCAAATGAGCATTGCTGAGCGGGAGGCGGCTAAGGCCACTGGAGGTGAGGAAGTCAATGGGGTCCGGGTATGAAATGGGCAGTGAACAAAATTGTGCTTTGATGAACATTGCATTGTAATTTTTGCCTCAGATTGGGTTAAAAACAAAGAGCCAATATACACATAGATCTGATATAGACCAAAAATAATTCCTTAGATGTTCAGAGCTTTTTATTCCATTGTCCTTAAGCCCTTTGGGCTAATTTTAGCATTCGAAGGTGGCTGTTTCAGCAAACAATAGAACAAAGCTGATAAGCGTGCATTATATCAAGCAAGGCCTTCATTGTCGAGTCTTTTACTTGCTCTAAATCTTCTTTATCTTCGATTGTCAACAATGACCTTCTTTGGCCTCGGAAACACGATGAAACACTCTGCCATAGCCTCGACAAGCATACCGACAAAGGGCTTGTGTAGAACAATTATGAACCGGGTGGCCTTTTGTCTTGGGTATGATTGTCTATATAATGGCCTTCGGGCCCGTCGCTTTTGACCCCATCATCAGGAGCCTTCCAGCTCAAGACAGAGCTCAACACCAGTGTCTTCCACCTACTATATAACTATGGACTGCGAATTTTCACTAAGTACCCTTTCCATCATTTCGCGAGATATATACTGACATTTCTACCTAGGAACATTTACATACCACGCTACCATATCTTCTTATACCGCAGGTGGGAGGCCTCCTGCAGGATGATCATTGCTAACATATCGCATAACAAAATAGGGCCCCGTGGCATTCGACGACGAGTGAGAATCCTTTATTACCTACATACGGCTAAGTCTTTTGATACCCTTTATCCCCGCGCCTTTACCTCCCGTACTAACGAAATCCAGAGATTCAAAACATATACCATTCCAGCACATTCGAGTATGCTGTCTTGAATACCATATCACATGCGGTATGTCATTCCCGATGCGCAGAGATATACTAACAGACTGAGTTAGGTCCCATGCGAGAATATTCTACCCAACAGGAATCCACATAGCGCCCAACCCAATGCTTTGAGTTCTTTATTCCCTTCTTGACAATGTAACATCAGTACTAACAGAGCATAGGCCCGTCGAGATGCATTGTTTGGACATAGGTCCTCTATTAAGTAGGTAAGTCATTCTCCACTCTCCTGTCACTGACCGTAATTTTGTAGATACATCTCAACAACATGTTCACAATATACTGCGGCTAGCTATCAGCTGTGTGGTGAGATTTACTACTGTCCTCTCCTATGATTTAGATTCTGTACTAACAAAGCTAGACCCGACTTGATTCTTTGTCCAAAAGATTGCTGTAGTCTTTTTTTTCGAGCAGCTAGGTCATTCCCCGGGGTCCATTTTTGACTAATTTTGATTTCATAGGCAGTCATACATGAGGTCAGTAGACCATCGGCACTCGCTTGATTAATTTAATGTTGGGTGGCCTACTATCTTGCTTCCTAACTCTTTCAAGCATTATATGCCTGTCAAGCAGCTAAGTGATTCCCTTCAACCCCTGTCATGACTGACTTGGGTGATACAGTTATCCATAAAATCTTCCCGATGTCTAGGTCCAGTGTGACCAGCTCAATTAATTAATACGCGCTAACTGATTATATTACTTTATGTATTTGTACTAATGAAATCTAGCATACCATGATTGTTTGTTCGCCAACTACTTATAGATCATTTCAAGAGGCATTGCGGGCACAGCTAAGTCAATCCCTCGACCTTCTGTGCTAACATGGATTTTAGAAGCCCTGCCTCGATGAGCTAATATGAACGTCTCTTGATGAGTTTATGGCTAAGTGCACCCATATAAGACTTTCCTATGGATTCAGACTCAGTACTAATTGAATCTGTAATATAGAAATTCTCTCTGACTTCCTCTATAAGTTACCCAAGCAGCTAAGTCAGTCCTTCCTTATTACAATTAACATGGATGATAGGCGATAAACAACAGTCACAGTTTGAATGCATAGTCCAAACATACTATGTAAAGTTAAGCGATATGTATTTTACCTAGTCCTTCTCCTAAATTTGGGGTGGCTAATTTGATATAACTAGGGTGTAGTCAGGGCTTGATTTATCCCACGGAATATACAGAGTACTTTAGATATAAAACGAGTTTTTGTACAAATTTACCAGGCAGCGTACGTGTCTAAACAAGATTCTATAGGCTGAGTATTGCCGAACCATGCTACCCATCTCGGATCAACGTCACGATCCGCTTGGTGGAGGCGCTGTTCGGGCAATAAAAACGGGTGGCCTAGCTCCAAAAAAGCAAGGTAAGCTGCTGATTTGACCTTAAAATATACGACAATGGAGAATATTGTTATCAAGTGCATTTTAACCCTAGGGAATATTGCAGACATAGGATGTTCATTGTAGTGATAGCATGTCGATCTATACTTTCGATTAGGTATACCTGTTTTGTATGTAGATCAGAGCTAATAGAAGCAATAATTTATAAGCTTGAATGTCATGCATAGAATGTCGGTGCCTACATTTCTTCAACTTTCAAGGTTGATCCTAAACTTCCGAAGTGCTTTGAACGTTGGTGCCTTCAACGTACGAATCAGCGGGGACAGCCCTTCTATTTTTAGGTGCCGATCACGAAGTCCCGTGGCGCAGACTTCAACACCCGAGCTCTCAATATAACACCTCCACAAAACCACTTGGGTCTCTTACTAAATTGTACATTCAAACCCCAGATGACAATATGATCGATGAAAACTTACCCAGTACGTTGTAAGGACTAATGCAGCCTCGTCTCTTATCGCCGGCTACGTCATCCCCAGCCGGCTTCAAGTTTATCGTACTGACCGCAGAACAGCGTTCTTCCTCAAGAACAACTCAAAACAAGCTCAGATCAGCACAATATACCTTCGTCAGCATGGCAATGATCCCGAACCTGCTTACTCCTTACGCGCCCTTGATCCCGCTGCTCCGACATCACAAAACCGTTACGGAGTCGCGTTGTATGACCCCTATGTGACAGACGTTGTCTACGGGGAGGTCGCCGTGGCTCCAGATTGGACACAACCGAGTCTCTCAGCAGATACAATACGAGCAAATGGCGGCGTTGCGCCGCCCCCAGAACCCATTCTCCCTACCGAGTTCACCATCCAGCTCTATAGCCCCGACCAAAAGATCACAGTGAAATATCATACCAAATCGTGGAACAAACCCGCACGGTGGGAATTTGAGATGCCGCAAACTACATTCCGGGTTCCTTCTGCTTCGGCACTAGACCAGACTCAGATCGATCCATCTCTTGCAGACATTACTCCGAAGGTGAGGTTCAGCTGGCGCAAGGATGGGAAGCTGTCGAAGGATTTAACATGTCTATTGCATGGCAAAACTTCAACGATTCCTGACACGCGCACAAAGAGCCGCGAGCCAGATATTACAGTCGCTCTATTTCAAGGGCTCAAGGAACTTACTCTTTATGAGCCCAATCTTTACCGTGTTGAGATGGAAGATACGAAGGGATTAGAAGTCGTGCTACTCTTGGCTGCTGTTGCGATTCGCGATATTTTCTTTGGGCCTGCCAAGGAGGCTTTTCATATCACCCCCGGTGGGCCGAACCAAGCCCGCAAGCAAGCAGTAGGGCCAACTGCAACTGCGGCGACGGCCGCACCAGTTGGTGATCCCAGGCTCGACCGCAATAACCCACAGGCTCGACCTCATGGACCAGCAGTGGGTGAAACCCCATTAACGCCTCGACCCAGCATCCCGAATTCCTCACCTCCGGGCCCACAAGAGAGGAGGCGACAAGACGAACGCGCAAGACAGGAAGAAGAGCGACGAACCCAGGAGGTTCTCGCCGCAGAACAAAAAGCACAACGTCAGCGCGAGGCAGAAGTTGAGGAAGAAACCAAACGCCTGCAGCAGTTATACGGGAAAGAAGAAGAGCAAGCACGAAAGCAACAGCATGCTCCAGCTCCGTCTTCTAGGCCCCACCTCCCACCCCGACATACCGGACCCTCTCAACCTTACTCCCATCAATACCTTCAATCGTCAGTCCATCCTCCCTCCCAATCTGCAGCCCGCCCATCCCACCATCCTCGCCACCAAAATTCCCACGGTATACCAGTCTCTACCTTCAACAGCCCATACCTCCACGCACCGGGGCGCATGGATCCCCGAGCCCAATCCTCCACCCACCTGATGCAATCTCGACCACAGTCTGCCGTTGGGTTCCATCCACAGCCTCTCAGTAGTGGTGCTCTCATAGCGGCGCCGAGGCCGACGCCTCAAGTACAGCCGAAAAAGAGCACTTTCTTTGGTTTCCGGCGTAACAAGGAGGAAAACACTACTACCAAGCTTGAAAAAAAGCGGAGTTCTATGTTTTGATCATCTATACCCTGGCGTTCTCTTTTCTTTTTCTTTCAGGCATCATAGTCAACATTTTGTCGTGGTTATATTTTACCACGGCTATCTCATTGCAGTTGCACAGCGGTTAGATTTTCATTGCAGACACGTACATGGCATCTGCTGTTCCAAAAATCTGAATTTGAGACTTCGTAAGTGGGTAGTGGTATACTACTAGCGAACCAAATCTTAGGCTCAGCCGATGTCTTATTGGGAATCCTGGAAAAGCAACAAACACATGCACAATGTACAACCATCCTGCAATACGATCTCCTAACCTATGAAAAGGTCAACATAGCAGGGGAGAAGATCGAAACCATCATAATCAGTGTTGTGTAATATCCAGGAAATTATGCCTAATCAGCACCAAAACCCATACCCTCAACAGTCTTCATGATTTCAGCCGCCTCCGCCGTCTGGAAATCCGCCACCTGGCGCTCGAGGTTGCTCACTCTGTCCCGAGTCTGCTGTTGTTCAATAGATAGAACCACGGGTTGGCACAGCAGCTCTTCATTGTGCTACATCAGGACTTGGTTGTCGCCCTCCTTTTTATCAATACCCCCAACTCTCGTACCTCAAGCTCCAACTCTTCTCCACGGTTGGTAAGGCCATCCAGTGCTTCATTAGTACTTCGATATGCTTCTCAAGGTCCCCCTTACCCCTCGAAAGATCTTTGTTCTCAGACTGCAGCTCGGTGTGTATATCGCTGAAACAGCCTCTTGCTGGCTCTTAGGTAACCGTCCTTCTTCTACACATATTTGACTACCCTAGTAGTTTCTACTTCAAGCTTGTCAAGTTTTTCAGGTGCTTCCATTTGGCTTTTATTAGCTCAACAGCAATATTGCCATTAGAGGTACACGTGCATGCAAACTACATACCCACCACAGCCTGGGTGATATCAGACGTCTCGAGCTCTGCCACCTGGCGCTCCAGGTTACCCACTCTGTCCCGAGCCTACTGGTGCTCGATATTTGCAGAAACGGAGTGGTAAAACAGCTCTTCGTTCTGCTCCAACAGGACTTAGTTGTCGCCCTTCTTTTTTTCGACCCCGCCTTCTAGTTGATCTATATCTTCCTCCAACTTCTCTTTCTCGCCGGCGAGGTCGTCCAGTGTAGTCTCTAGGTCCCTAACATCCATCTGCAGGCGCTCCTTTTCCCTCGCAAGAGTCTTTTTCTCAGACTTCAGCTTATCGTACTTCAGTCTTAGACTCTTACCGGCCGTTTCAAGACCGTCGCTCTTATATATAAGCTTAGCAACCTCGGCGGTGTCCTCAGCCAACACCTTACTAAGCTTAGTATTTTGTTCCTTCGTGACCTATAGGTCACCAGCAATCTTGGTATTTGAGGCCTATAGCTTAACCAGCTATACGTTCTGCGCAGCGAGCTTAAGCTTCAAGGAGTTAACCTCCTGAGCTACGCTTTGAGCCACCTGACGCTGCTGGGTCACTGCGGTCCCCTCGGCCTTGATTTCTGCCGTAGCCTTCGCCAACTTCTCCTCGTACTCGACCTTGACTGCCATCAGCTCCTCGAGGTGAGTCTGCTGCAGCGCGGCGACACGCTCCCCATGCAGTTGATTCGCCAAGGCCTCCGTGCGCTGCTGGGTCACTGCGGTTCCCTCTGCCTTGATTTCTGCTGTAGCCTTCATTGACTACCTCTTTAGCCAAAGCCTTGCGAGGCTTGACCTTTTCTTCACCAGTGGTTCGTAGGTCGCTAGCAATCTTAGCATTCGAGGGTCGCAGCTCATCTAGCTGCGTTTCCTTTGTAGCGAGCTCGCGCTTCAAGGAGTTTATTTCCTCGTTTATTTGGGTTTGGGCCTCTCTCTAGCCTTTTTTGTAAGCTTCGAATCAGCTACTAGCTCAGGCAAAATCACTGTTAAGGTCCGACTCAAAGAGTATGTAAGAAGGGGGGAGTGAGGGGAAGATCAAGAAAGGCTAAAGTAGACATGAATCAACAAATATATTCCACTCAAAGGCCGGTCTCAATATTTATGTTGTTGAATTCGATATAATCACGATCAATGAAAGATTGTTAGACTTGAGGGGAAAAGGAGATGTAGATGAAGGAACAACTAAGAGAGAGAGAGAGAGAGAAGAGGCGAAGGAAAGGGTATAAATACCTCGAGAAAAGTATAGGAACAGACAAGTGAGGGCAAGGAGTTCAGATAGAAGGATCAAGAGAGTGAAGACCTGAGGAGAGGGGGATAGATACCTTAGGAGATAGATACCTCAGAAGATAGAGGGAGGGAGGTTTGAAAGAGGGAAGAAGTGGAAGGACAAAGTGAGTAGATATTTATATATAATGTTGTTAAGAAGACCTCAAAGGAAAGAAGTGAGGGAAGGGGATATGATTATCTTTAAAAAAAAATATAGAGGAGAGTAGGCCCAGAAGGGACAAGTGAGGTCCAGAGGGCAGAGGAAGGATTTGAAGGATTTGAAGGGAGAAGAAGCGCGGGAAGAAAATATATAAATACAGAAAAGTAAGTCAGAAGAATCTTGTGATAGGTGGAGGAAGAAGAATCATTAGATGAGGATATAAAAAGTCCTCGGCTTGCATAATGTATACCATATACGAGATAGAACCGTTCATTCAAACCTAAGGGTAACAATAATACAAATAGGGGACGAAGCTGAGCAGAAATAAAATGAAGGGGCCCTTGGGAAATATAGACAAAGAAAGGGTCGAATGAGAGAAAAACGGAGTGATATAAAGAGGATGGGCTTATAATTGATAGAGAAAGGAGAGAGGATAAAAGTTATCAAGAGAGTGTGGGAAAGAAAGGGGGGTTTATACTCTTACTGGTAGGTGTCAGGCTTTCCTACATTGGTAGATTCCCAATTTTGATAGTAATTCATATAGAATGTAACTAGATAGCTTAGAAGATGTGCATGCTGGACTATTCAAAGGTACTAGGTACCATAAACTCTGGGCTTGATCGCTGTGCAAGTAAAATTGATTCATGTTTTCCTGACGCTGCGTCTCGTATAGCGATTGACGAAATGACAAAATGACGAAAGTGTAGAGATTGAAGATCTGCCATGGCTGAAAGACAATTCCTGAGTAAGTGTATGCACTCTCAATTTGATCATGCCAAGTCAAGCCCATTCGACTTCAACGGGTCCATTCTCCTGTCTTGCCATACTTACGCCTCCTTCTCCATATTCTCCTAAACATCAGCGCCATCGTTTGATTGGGGCCAGATCATGCCCCATTCATAAATTGCCGTGTTTCCAATTGCTTACCGCTGGGAAGACACCATTTCTAGGAACGGATAGCCGTTTGCAGTATCATCAACCCTCGAATAGCAAGTGCCTTGAATCCTCTTCCAGGCCCCCTTTGGCTCCTGACGGTCAATGAAGAAATCAATATCGAACCCGGAGATACCAATTTGCCTGCTTCCACGTTAATCATCAGAGAGGGCGCAGGAAAGCCTCGCATCCCGGATATAAGTTATAGGCAAGACCTGCAAGACAGCACCAGCATTTCAAGGTTCCCCTTGGTGGAAGCTATTTCTAAGCGACCTCCATAATTACTATTGGTGCGAGCCTATAATGCCAAATACACTAACTATGTGACTGCTCGAAGTGCCCATAAAAGAGGCATGTTGCCATCCCGCGTTCTTGATCCATGACCCATTAGATGACCTAGCGAAGGCTTTTCTAACAAGTCGGCCATCAGCATTGAGCCTAGTGATAGTTAGATATTGCTCCCATAGCTGCGGGGGATTTGCAATTTATAAATAGGGGCGTACATAATGTTGGGAATAGTATTCTGGGGCCAAACCTCGGTATCTATATTTGCTTACTTGGGTGAGGTGAGCCCCCTTAATATCCGGCTTGAATAGTCCTAAAAGGAGAGCAGGAGTAATTTAGTTTAGGACTTGAACTTGAACCGAAGGACCAATGACGGAAATAGGTGAAAATGATGTGTACAAAATATATCTACAAAGTTGATTTTTGGTGGATAAAAATGTGAAACGGTTTTTCCCCGCAGGCCCTTTTCGACCAGAACACCGGTCGCTTGGCAAAATGTTCCCAACGGTAACAACATCCTAGGGCTGATGGTCTTCTTTTCCCCCTCGAATCAATTTAAGCTCTACTCAGGTTCATAAAAAGTGCGGAAAATGGGCACATAAACACACTTCCAAGCTTCTGCCGCGTGATGACATCTTTTCGGTCATATTGACACCATGGTGGGAGTTCCGCACAGTACAGGCTGTGCCCTATGTCGCGAGCGACGGATTAAGGTCAATTCACATCTAAGTAAGATCGAACTCTCGGGCTAATAAAGTCCATAGTGCGATGAGGTAGTCCCAGAGTGCAGCCAGTGCCAGAAATATGGTCGCACCTGTCCGGGCTACAGGAGAATCTTTCGATTTCAAGACGAAGGCCCCAATCTCGCACGGCGACATCGCTCCAACACGCGACGGAAGGGGGGAGGCACATTGTCAGACCCACCTGCGTCTGCTACATCTTCAACGCCTGACCCACTGCCCCCTGCACACGAGGAGTCCGCTGCCGCTGCAGATGTAGTGCGCGGCAATGCGATTGCCCTTATGCGGCGACACTCCTCCTTAAGTGGCTGGGATGAAAAAGTATCGCCGTCGCTGGTGCGCAAGTCCTTCCGTGCCGCGCAGCCACAATTATTCCTCGATTTTATCGGCACGTCATTTCCAACTCTCTATTACCATAATCGGTTTCGCTCTGGCGATGCGCCCGGGTTCGCCGAATATATTGTCATGAATTTTGGCAAAGATGCTTACCTCGACTCCGCAGTTTGCTGCTTAAGCTCTGTCTATTTAGCACACTTGACTCAAGATCAAGCTCTTCTCAAAGCAAGTCGACAAATGTACTCCAAGTCGCTGGGTGCGGTTATCCGGTCCATCCCGAAAGCCCACCACGCTAAGTCCAACAATATGCTATGCACGACCCTCATCCTCAGCGTATTCGAGATGTACGCACAGACCACACCCGACGCCTGGGTCATACACTCTGACGGCGTCAAGCGGCTGATGATAAGCCGAGGCCCAGAAGCGCACGAGTCCGGGTTCGGAAGATACTGCTGGATTGCATTCCGTGGCTTCCTCATTGCTACCGCAGTCTACGAAGGCAAACCCTGCTTTCTAGACCAAGAAGAATGGCAATCCTACGCGGGGAAAGTCAGGACCGAAGACTGCCAGAAGCCCGGCGAGTGGTCTGCATACGCAGAAATATCCGACCTAGCTTTCATGGAACTCGCCAAATGCCCGCGATATATCAGCGAGACCCGCGATCTCCTTTCAGCTCCGACCGAGTCAGACTCGAATTCCCTCACAAATCTCACCAAACGCATAGATAACACTTCCCGTCGGCTGCGCTCGCTCGCCGCGGAGCTCCGGTCCTGTATCAACGCGCACAGTGAGCGCCAGCAAGGTATCGTCCAGCGACCCGGATCCTTCGTGGGCCCCGTACCAGAGATCTTCCCCGACACTGGTCCGTCGATACTCCTCAACGGAGCAGAAAATATGCTAGAGACGCTACAGCAGCTCTCTGACCGTCTTGAAGACCGATTGCGCTTTACGCTCGTTGAGGATCATTCGCCGGAGTCGTCTGTCATCACGCCACCCAGCGGTGGTAGTGAATACTCCACATCTCCGGTCTCTGCGACGTCGAAGAACTTCACCGTCCCCTTTCGCATTCATTCAGAGCTTGGACAGGGTCCGTCTAGGACTTCTGATCCACAAGACCCACGTGCAGTGATCTGGTTGGACCGCATAGCGTCGTCGATGGGTGTCCTCGGCGCAAAGGTCCTTCCAGGTGATGATTCCTCGGGTGTTTCAGTACATATGGACCACCTAACCCAATTATTGGAGGCGCAATAGTCAACGATGATTCTTGCATTGGCATGAAATGTAATTCGAAAAGCTATCTGCTCCTAGCTGGCCTAGGATAAATTTCCTCCTGTCACACAACATTACACTGTACTATCCCCCATATGAACAAAGAAATAACCTAAATATCCAATTTTGATGCATTTATTTCCCTAATAATCCAAAGACTGCTCTAGCAAACTCCTCAACTCACCCCTCTCGGCCTCCAACTCCTTGCTCAAGCTCGGCGCAAGCATAAGCACCCGCTGTTGCGGAATAGTCCCATCAACCAGGCCCTCCAAATCCGCAGCCTTGAAGCCTAGATCCTTCAATCCACGCGGCTGATCACCAAGCGTAACAAGGAACTCCGCAATCGCATTCCCAAGTACTTCACCCGCACTCTCACGCTTGACATTCGAGATATCCACACCAAACGCCTCCGCTGCTGCAAGATGGCGATCAGGGTTCGACGCCGCGGTAAAGCGGAAGACAGCGGGCGCGGTGACAGCCACAGAAACACCGTGCGGGATAATGTTGTGATCGACCTCATAGCCAGCATGCTTGTAGCCAGGGTTCTGGCTGGAGATGGGGTAGCTCATACCGTGGCAGAGGTGAACGCCTGCATTTCCGAAGCCGACGCCAGCAAGCGTAGCCGCGAGCAGCATCTCTGACTGTGCTTCGTGGTCGTCTGGATCGCGGACTGCGCGGGGCAGGTACTTGACTGTTGAGCGTAGGGCGGCGAGGGAGAAGATGTCGGAGATAGGGTTTGCGCCCTGGTAGGCGGGCCGGTTGATGGGGTTTGTTGGGCGTGGTGTACGCTCGTTGTATGGGATTGCGGTCCAGGATTCGAGGGAGTGGCAGAGAACATCGAGGCCGGAGGCGGCGGCCACGGCTGAAGGCATGGTGCGGGTGTTGAGCGGGTCGCAGATTCCGAGGGTTGGCTTCAGGTTCCGGTGGGCGATACCTGTTTTGGCTTTCTTGGAGACCAGGTCGAAAATTGCTGTGCCTGTTGTCTCCGAGCCTGTACCTGCTGTTGTTGGGACAGCAACGAGCGGGCGGAGGGGCCTGTCTACCGGGAGGCCTTTGCCCAAGGGTGCGTTGACAAAATCGAGAAAGTCTGCTTCGGGGAAGACGGTGTACAGATTCATCAGTTTGGCGGTGTCGATTACAGAGCCGCCGCCTGTTTTGGTGTTAGTTTGTGTATACCGGGGAGCTAAGGGGAATAGGAGACGTACCAACAGCCAGGAAAGCATCAGGGTTATAGGGCTTAGCGAAAGCGATGGCCTCTTTTATACTTGATTCAAGAACAGGTCAGCATCTATACAACATCTGCGCTTGAAGCTTGGGGTTGACCTACGAGCTATCCTTGGGCTCAGTGCGAACTTTGTCAAAAATAGTGAACTCAATACCCTCACGGGTAAGACCCTCAACAGCTTGCTTCATCGCATCAAGCTTGGCCACATTGGAATCGGTGACGATGCACACGCGCTTAGCGCCGAGATTGGTAAAGTCCATTCCGACCTCCTTGGTTGCGCCGGGCCCAAAGCGAATGCTAGATGCCGCCATCTCGAATGCATACTCCTTCTCGCGCGAGCGGTCCATGGGTGTGGACATGTTGCGCTTCACATGATTAAGCAGAGACGGGGTTTGCTTGTGGTTATGGTGATGGCTGGGGTTTTTGTGGCATGGGCAATTGGGTGGGTGGGTGTATTGTACTGTGCGTAGTAAGTTCAGGGCACGATTTGCCGCCGATGGGGCGACTCTGATTGCTGGAGAAACCATTGCTGTATGTAGTTCTCTAAGTAAGATGAGAAGAGCGAATATTGGAAGGTAAATTTGAAGGAAAGAAGGTCAAATAAAGTAAAGAAGGTAAAGAAGGAGATGTGGGACAAATTGGAGAAATGCGGGGAACTTCCCCCGGACTTCTGGCCGAGGTTGCTCACGAGATCTACATTGCCCATACAATTAATTATTCACCTCTTTGATCCTTTGGGGGTTCTCCATTTCGGAGAAGAGTCCACTTTATTCTCTATATCCTACACCCGAGGCTGAAATATGAAAAGTTGATTCAATTGACCACTAACATATCCACCTGTAGCTTTTACTTTCTCATCCCTACCCCCCGAGACCACTCCCAAACTAAATTCCTTCTCAACAAAGCGACAAGACCAAATCTGTCGAAGAATCAACAGCTCTCACCTGACTTCCTGCAGGTGGAACCCCATCCTTCCAACAGATCGACGGCTCAGCAGGCATAAGATTCACCGGGTAACCCACAAACGGGTCCCCAAAGACATCGGAGAGATCATACCACACTTTATCCTGTCTCTGGCCCCGCTCTGTTGCAGAGGCAAGGTTATACGCAAATATCATCTGGGGAGCACTGGTATACAACCCATCACGGTTGGTGGTGATCTTAATTGCGATGCCACCAGTGTCTGCATTTTCACGGAAGAGCTCCCTGTACTCGTCGTTTGGTAGAATGATTCGTTTGGGCTCGACCATAGAGGCCACGGACCAGATGTAGATGGGGAAATTGCAGTTATTGTGCACTATCGCATGACCCAAATTTCGGTATACGGGTGATGGCGTGCTGGTTGGTATAAGTTCGCCATTGCTCGAGGAGGGAGGGAAGGCGCCATAGGGGCAGTCCCTTAGGCTCAGATTGTTGTGGATTGTTGGGTTCGAGAAGGCGACGGTGGTAAGCGAGAGGAGGGGGAGAATAGTTGAGAAAAACATCTTGATTGTAGAACTGTTTGAGATATTCTTTATGTCAGTTCGCATCAGGAATTGGGTCAGCTTTATATAAGCGTTTCGGTTCCTACATCTAGTATCATTCCCCTTGTCACTGTGTTGCGCTGTGAGCCTGGGCCATTCGCTGTGTCCGATTCCTCACGGCAAGATGCTTCCAAGCATTTGCTAGGAACCTTGGCTCAGGGGTAATTGCACGCCAAGTTATGCTGTGCAATGTACATGTGACGCAAATGAAGGGGTGAGAGTACAATGTAGTAATCAAATTGGATACTCATCCGATTGTACAACAGAAGCATATGAAGAATGTCATCATTTCCCTATGTATGTAATGTCCATGTTGAGATTGTACCCCTATTGGTTTCTGGGATTCTAAAGTTAAAGCGAGGTATGTACAGGACTTTAGTTTCTATATTTGTATGTCTAGGATAGAATGAGAAGAACCAAACCATCAGATATTATACCCGTATCGAATCGAAGATATCAAAGAATGAGAACTGATTGGCCCGGCTAAGCTGAAGGATTATGCTTCTTCAACAACCTTTATAGTCAGTTACACATCATGGCACGCGCTACACAAGCAGCTACTACCATCTGAAAGTCTGGACTTAATCAAAATATGCAATCAAACCTGAAAACCCCGTGGCTAGGGCAACTGTGACGTTCTGGGCCTTCATTTTTTCTGAAGAATGTGAGATCTTTTATAGCGGAGATTATACAGGCAATTCGTTTGAGTTTGAAACCATCAAGGAATGTGAGACAGACAGCTTCATGGGCAGATAGATAATGGAGATGTAAATCCTCCCTTTCCCCTGCCTCCTGAAAGGCTCTGCTACAAAAAGCCAAGCTAAGTAACAAGCTCATGGTGGTTCATGTGGTACACCGAACAGCTCCGTTGCTCATTTGTGACGTCCTCGACGTCACTTCCAATATCCATTTAAGAACATAGTGGGACAAACCTAATGCCTCTGTGCGGCATACGCAAAGTTTGCTAGATGTAACCGCCCACTGTGATCCAGACCGGAGGCCTAGGTATATCGCCTACCTCGGCTCTTCAACAGCTCAACGTTTCCATGGCTAGAATTGATCTAGATCTAATCAAATGTGATCACTCTAACTAGGTTACAGGCTTCCAGCTCTTTGAAAATTTGCTTGAGATCAAGATATGTTAAGAATACAATTTTACATCCAAAAGATGATTTCAAATATGTACAGAAAGAAAGCAATGACATGATATGTATGACCAAACCACCATGTATACCAAATGGGGAGTTATCATATAGAGGATTTATGAAGGAGAGGGTCTTCAGACTATCGGTCTCGTAAAATTGGCTATTCAGCATCCAGTCGGAGGAGTTACCGTTGATGGAAGTTATATGGTTCTGAGTGACATTGTAGGTGGTGCAAGTGAGAGTATTGCGGGGAGTCATTGGCTCTCGTTCAAGTCACAGTATGAGTCCTTGGTTGAGTCTTTGGGGGTGACGAACTCGCCGGTCAGTTAGACAGCGTACATCTCCTTGTGGAGGTCGTTACGGATTTTCACAGCTCCATAACCACCCACAGGTGTGGTGGCCTATGGACATCATGTCTCTGGCCCGGAAGGTAATAGCATCCTTGCCGAGGAGCTTTTGCGTCATGAAGATGGCAGATACCTATTCTTAGCCTTCATACACTAGACTACCCCCATCTTCGAAAATGAGTGCAGCGGGGCCAGTATACTGGATATCTATGCGAGGGCTGAGAAAAATGTAGCCAGGATCGGTAGTTTCAGTCTTGTTGACCTCGAGCTTCGGTGGATCTTCTCGTACTTGGGTATAGTAATGAAGAGGCAGGTTTAGAGAATTGATGCAGTGTGCATATGCAGGATCTGGGAACCTGGAAATATCGATTGCATTGAGGAAAGAGGGGAACTATCTATGAGTTTGTGGGAGCAGAGACCGCCTAGCCTCTCAACGGGCAGTTCTAACACAGCAAATGTAGTAAAAAGAGCATCAGTCAAACAATTTCCAACATCCTATAGGCTCAAACCACGTTAGGAATGTGGATACTAGTTACTGGTTCCCATCTTCCCAGCTCAACACGTACAAAACCCACATATATTCAGGGAACCTAAAATTTGATAGGAAACGGCCTACTTCATACTCCAGACTAACCCCAACATTAATTTCCTTCATTCCCGTGCTAACGTCTCCACGCCACTTCATGTGTGGGTCGATTCTTCCTTCCAGGATCTAGAAGTCCTCTTGCATCGCTACGACGCATTCATAAAAGCTGGGTAGTCGACCCGACCTTGATAACAAGCATCAAATCACTTCGCGAGACAATGACACACCAAGGTCAGTAGACTACTTTGTACATTTAACTTCCCTCGTGCCGTTTGCCAATACACTCCCCAACTGAGTCCTCGCCAGTTGAACCCCAATCGCCTAGAGCGGCACAAGAACGCACCCCATCCCCAGCCGCCCAAGCTAAACCTCAAGAAGCGAACCCGGCCACTAGCTCGAGTACGTCGGTTACAGACACGCAACCTACTCCGCCAATGCTCACCCTGAACGCCCCTCCCCCCAAGGCCAAGAACCGACCATTACACCCCAACTATTACATCGTCCAAGGCTTGGGGGAAGACCTCGAAGCCGGACCATCAGATAACTACTGCTCCGGGGATCATCTACCTAATTCTCCACAAGTCACAGACAACAACGCAATATGCCTGGAGAGGAGCAACTTTGCCGCAGTATTCATGTTGCCAGCCGTGAAGGATTGGCTAGTGGCAAATAAGCCTTCATTATTCTAAGGGTCATTTTTCTTCTGTGCCAACCTCGTATAGAGCTTTAGTTTCACCGGGGACGCTGCTAGTCCGAAATACTCCACCTCTGACAAAACGCCTCTTCTTGTGGCTTTAATATGTTTGAGGGGATGCTACGGAGTACACAATGATGTATTTTTCTGGGGTGAAAGACTAGTGCATTTACTATAGAACAGAAGAGAGGAGAAAGAGGGCAGGAAAGAGCTAGCTGGATGATCATCGGCCTGAGGCCCCCAAACGATTTTTCAGCAAGTTTGCTTTTCTCGTATATTTTCTCTCGTATATCAAACAGGTATAGAGTCCACGGGTAGTCGCAGCACTAGAGCATCGATACAGCAACAACGTTTATCCCGGTATATTCGGCTGAAATGTCGAATAAATTCACGTTCGACTACGTGTTTCCAAATTGTTCTTCGTATGAGGCTTGAGGGTTATATATTGCACATGTGGAATTATTCTGTCTCGTCTGATTAGGCCTAGCACATTAAAGAGTGAGACTTTATTAGGCCTACAATTCCTAATTTACACTGTTTCTGGGACATGGATTGTCAACAATATTGCGCACTGGCTAGCGCTAAAAGGAAAGTCAGAGAGCCGTGAAATTTGTGACTGGGTTCTTTGACATATGGTGTGGTCGATGGCTTCACGCTGTTGTCTTCCCCACGTGATCACCCAGTATTAAATGCATGTAAGATGCATATTGACCACATTTAATTATTCACGATCTAAAATGATTTTAATAAGGAAGGCATATCCGGTAAACGGCTAGCAAATACCCCGGACTTCACAGTCAACATGAACATGTGGAGCTAGTGAAGCACAGGGATAGTATTCGGATAAATTTCTCCCAGAACCTCGTCATTTATAGTTCAAATATATAATATAATGTGAAACAAGTCCGTCGAATGACAGTCCATTGCCAAGTGAATCCTGACCGAGAGACAAGACGGAGAAATAGCGGAAAAGCCAAGACCTGACTATTAGACTTCCTTTGTGTTTTTTGATTCTTCATGATTCTTTGTCTTTATATCTTTCTTTATTTGAAAACATTAGATCTTTTGTAAAGACTATGCCATTATATTAGCCTCAAAATAAAAATCAAACAAGTAAAAGCAAAAAGGAGAAACAAAAACACCGTGCAGTACTTTGTAGCTTAGTTCGAATCTCCTATGAACGCCACCTCCATTTCTCCGCAGGCACGGACATCCGATTCATGGCGGGGGATAACCCAGGGGGCTTTCTGGGGGATGGGCTTTCTGGGGATTTCTTACACATGAAAGACCATTAGCTTGGATAGGAATAAAGAGATATAATGTGACATTGACGATGTTGCGCGTCGAGTTCCCGAGTCCCCTATTCCCCACAGCCCTGTAGAGCCAACGACTAACTTAGTGGCGTCGCAAATTACTTTTTTTTACGGGTTGAATTAACCAAATAAGACAAGGAATATCTTACGGTAGCCGTGCAATTTATAATTTATAAATCTCTTCCCTCTTCGCTTTAAACAGTAATATCGCGTTTGTGCGAGGGCGCATTTTGTGAATCCAATGCCTTCATGAAGATTGCCATTTCTTTCTGTGGCAAACCCATCCTCTCACTTAAACCGCCTTAATCCCTGACTCACCACAATACCTTCCCCAACCGCCCACGATTGACATGAATACAGCCCACCATGGCTACCGATCACATTTCGAAGCCTACTGAGGCCGATGCCCTGATCCTCGAAGCCTGGGGTCAGGGTCTGATGGTCGGAAGTCTACTCATTATGGCCGCTATCACTGTCGCCAACATGAAGTCACGTATTCTCTTGCATAAGCTGATTTTCGCCGAGGTAAGCCGCAAAAAGATTGAACTGGCGCAGTCATATATGGGCTCAACAGAACTTCGGTTAATCTTTGGCTTGATTATAGCTCATCCTGGCGATGGCCCATGGTACTTTTATCTTCCCTCATGAGCCAGTCTATGGTTGGTATTTATCCGCGACTGCGATCGGTCTCAATATCTCCTGGGCACTACATAATGTTATCGCCTGGATGAAGAACCGCCCGTTCCTATCGCGAAAGGTCTCGATCATCTACATTACTACTGTTATTCTCTGCTGGCCCTATTGGGGACTGGAAATCTATGCGAACTTCACATACTTCAACAATATCAATAAGATTTTCTTGACGACGAGGCCAATGGAGCCATTATTTCGGTTCGTCATTCCCTATCCGTCGAATATTTGAATCCCTTTCGCCCTAACATCGTCTATCCACAGCGACCCATGGTGGATCTTCACGACGGCCAGTCTGTTCTGGACGATCAAGCGCGAATACAACTTCGGATTATGGGAGCTAGTAGTCGTCAGCCCACGCTTCGGAATCATGCTGGCGGCAATGTGCCTGTCGATTATCTTCATGATTGTGGATACCTGCAGCGTGCTAAACGCATTTTCCAGCCTGCTCCCAACAGGTGTCGAGCCATTCTGGAAAGTTAGTCCCCCCTTTCATCTGATTTCTATTTTCTCACAAAGCTAACTATCCCAGTTATCCTTCATCTTCAAATGCCTCTGTGACACAGTCATTCTCGACGACTTCAAGACCGCCCTCGATCATTTGCGCGTACACTGGATGCGTAAGAAGAACGGCGAGTTGTTCGTCAGTCCGCTCACCACTCCGAGCTCCAGCCCTCGCGCCCAGAGGGTACGCAGGGATATTGAAACGGGCGATTTACCTCCCACCCCTACGAAGGGTTCTTACGCCCGCGCGGTACATATGGACGATGTTTAAATGTTTAATGAAATACCCGATATTCCTTGGCGGACGGCGCCTGGCTAGTTGGATTACGATTCTTCCCTACTAGCTAGGGCTTTCGGCTTCACATTGTACATAAGTCAGGAATGGTGTTCGGGGATTTGAGTCTGGTTTCTTGACCTCGGCGTTTTCGGTGAGGTTATGGCGTATCTGGACTGACTGGAATTATTGCGATTGTACATACATACATCGATTTGCTTGAAGATGGTGATTTGAGAATTTTCAAGAAAAGAAAAAAAAAAGAGAGAGGGCCTCACCTAGGTCAGATAGTTAATTGAACATACAGATCCTCTTATTTTCTATTTGTTGACACATTCATGAGAAGATCTGCAATGCACCCCCTCGCGGAGAATTAACTCGGGGAATTAGCATTCCTTCATGCAGTGTGACATCTGTGAAGTTCTTTTTCCTAATTTGACTACCAATGATGAACGAGTACTTACAGTACGTTTGGTGTACTCCATTTATCCGAGTATATCTTGATATCCGCATCTACACAAAGGCTGTAGGCAACGCTGTCTATCTCCACCTCACCTTACGAGAATACCACATGATTGCCCAGCTATATATGGTATTTGGTCTGGATTGGAGAACAGACTAGCAATGCGGAACAACTTTCCCTAGTCGAAGATCCCGCGCATCAGAAGATTAACATGATTCATCGATGACACGACATCCCACGATTCGTCCTGGGTATCACAATGTAGACCCAAGTTTGAATATAGATATAGTCACTTCGTCCGTCGTATAGCACCCAGAATCCAGTCTCTTCTAACACACTCCATATCCTATCCAATATCTCAGCAAGTTACCATCGAACTAACGATGATTTCTCTCAACATTGCACAAACTCAAACAGTCGCTCTCGTCCGTTCACTGGGTGGCCAAGTCGAGTTCAAAATAGACTGCCTTGTGCCAATCCCGGGACGCAACGAAGTCCTCGCCAAAGTGCTCTACATCGGTAAGAAGACAGCAAGCCAATAGTGAGTGCCTCCTGCCAGAGAATAGTCCAAAGAGCTTTACGAGGTCTAGTGCACATACAAAGAAAAAGACACCAGAGCGCTTCTAGGATCTAGATTTGCTCCGTGGCTGTCACAAGTTGCACGCATTCGCAGCCAAGCTTGAGCCATTGTGGTGCTATCCACTATCTAGGAGTCACCTACGAAGAGATCAATATGCAACTGAGCGAGGCACAGAGGGCCAAGAGCCGCTGCATTTCACTTTGCGGGAGATACAAGTATCGCAGGCTCTTTTAGGGGGCATTTGGACCTAAGTTATTGAAAGCGTCATGAAGAAAGATGTCGGAAAGTGGAGACATTGGAGTTCGTCAAGGAGGGGTATACATAGATAATCGGCAAGACCGATACATCTCGGAATATTTGCGTGATCTATACATACGTGCATATATAGTCTGATAGAATCCAAGAATGGTAGAGATTGTGGTATCAAGCCTTGCCGAGATACAATTCAAAGCAATTAAAGTCTAGATCTCGGCGACGTCACCGATGCGGCCAGAGGAAGGTCCACCCCCTACATCCCCACTACATAGAAATACTAGTTGATCCCCAAAATAATAATTGCTCTCAACTTTTCTTTGCCATCTATCTACCTAGATACCAAATTCAACCTCAAACGATATCAATCATGGCTCTTTCCGCACCCAGCACAGACGTGAGTACCCCCATACTCAAGTCGAAAGCTTGAAAGCTAACCAAGAAACAGCCGCGAGTCTTAATCGCGCAAGAAACAAGCACAGACCAAATCTTCCACACTTTCACAGCAGACACCGCTTGGCAACTAGGCAATGCGCTAAGGGACCGAATCCTCCGCCTCCCGAACGGACAGCGCAAACCGGCCCTGATCTCTATTGCGCTCACCGGCGGAGTCCCGCTCCACGTGGTGTTTCAATCTGTAACGGAGAGCGGCACAATCCCGGACAACGAAAACTGGGTGCGACGGAAGCGCAACACCGTGCTTCGCTGGGGTGTCTCGAGCTGGGCTATGAGACAAAAGACGGTTAGTGGGCTCGCGGCTGGTGCCTCGGCGGACCAGGTTGAGGCTGCTTTTGTTAAGAAATATGCTATTCCGAGTACCAATGGGGGTGCTGTTGCGGATGAGTATGCCATCCATGGTGGTGGCTACCCGATTCGCGTGCATGGTGTTGATGGGGTCATTGGTGTTGTTGTTGTTAGTGGGTTGAAGCAGGAGGATGATCATCAGGTTGTTGCGGAGACTATTCAGGCGTTTGTGGCTCAACAAGCAAAATAGATGTCGGTGTTTACTCCCAGTATAAGAGCGTTTAGAGGAGAAGGAGAACAGTCTACTGCATGATTATGAGACAATAAACCGAAAGCGGACACAATGGACCCTTCAGATAGGAACCACATACTTCATGTTGCATGCATTGAAGTGTGTTAGTACAATGTATCTAGTTTGATCAAAACGGCGTATATATGCTTGCCAATTACTGCTAGACTACAAAAGATTTCCTTAATACAGAATGCAAGGTATCATTGTATTGTATTCTTAGTCGGCGTTCAACAACCGGGCCTAAAAGTTGGGTGGGACACAAACAGTGCCCCGTGTAGATTCGAACACAAAAAAGTGACTCAAGCAAAAGGGGAAAAAAATTGAAACTCCATGAATAATGCCTCAAAGATAATTTTACAGTTCGTCGTGGTCAAGGGGCTCGTCATCATCCTCAGGGGGAGAGGCGGAGCCGTACAGCTTGCTGGTGATGGGGTAAGCCACACCGGAAAGCTGCTCCTTCTGCTCCTCAAAGTCCTCCATGGTAGCGGTGGCGGCATTGTCCTCGAGCCAGTCGTTGACCTCCTTAACAGCGTCGAGGATAGCCTGCTTGTCATCCTCGTCGATCTGGCCACCCAGACCGTTCTCATCGTTAACCTGGTTCTTCAGGCTGAAGGCATAGTTCTCAAGGCCGTTACGGGCCTCGATCTTGCCCTTGATGGCCTTATCCTCCTCAGCGTATTGCTCGGCCTCCTGGACCATGCGGTCGATCTCCTCCTGGGACAGACGACCCTTGTCGTTGGTGATGGTGATAGACTCAGCCTTGCCAGTGCCCTTGTCGGAGGCGCTGACCTTGAGGATTCCATTAGCATCGAGGTCGAAGGCGACCTCAATCTGGGGAACACCGCGAGGAGCGGGAGGGATGTTGGTCAACTCGAACTTGCCGAGCATGTTGTTATCCTTGGTCATCGAGCGCTCACCCTCGAACACCTGGATCAAGACGGTAGGCTGGTTGTCGGCGGCAGTCGAGAAGATCTGCGACTTACGGGTAGGAATGACGGTGTTACGGGGAATGAGCTTGGTCATGACACCTCCAGTGGTCTCGATACCGAGGGTGAGGGGGTTGACATCCATAAGAACCATGTCGACCATGGAGTCATCACCGGAGAGAATACCACCCTGGACGGCGGCACCGAAGGCAACGGCCTCATCAGGGTTGATACCCTTGCTGGCCTTCTTGCCAGCGAAGAACTCCTCGAGAAGAGCCTGGACCTTGGGGATACGGGTAGAACCACCAACAAGAACGATATCATCAACCTCGGACTTCTTGACCTTGGCGTCCTTCAGAACCTGCTCGACAGGCTTGAGGGTCTTCTTGAACAGATCAATGTTGATCTCCTCGAACTTAGCGCGGGTGAGAGTCTCAGAGAAATCCTCGCCATTGTGGAAGGCCTCGATTTCAATACGAGTGGACATCTGGGAAGACAGAGTGCGCTTGGCCTTCTCAACCTCGCGCTTGAGCTTACCCATAGCCTTGAGATCCTTCTTAACGTCGGTGTTGTTCTTCTTGTTGTACTGCTTGACAAAGTACTCCATGACACGGTGATCGAAATCCTCACCACCAAGGTGAGTGTCACCAGCGGTAGCCAGGACCTCGAAAACACCGTTGTCAATAGACAGAAGAGACACATCGAAGGTACCACCACCAAGATCGTAAACAATAACCTGGCGCTCGTCACCAGTCTTATCAAGACCGTAGGCGATAGCGGCGGCGGTGGGCTCGTTGACAACACGGAGGACGTTGAGACCGGCGATAGTACCGGCATCCTTGGTAGCCTGACGCTGGGCGTCGTTGAAGTAGGCGGGAACGGTAACAACGGCGTGGGTGACAGTCTTGCCCAAGAAGCTCTCGGCAATCTCCTTCATCTTTCCGAGGATCATGGCGGAAATCTCCTCGGGAGTGAAGGTCTTGGCGGACTGGTTAACGTCGACCTTGACCTGGGGCTTGCCATCCTTCTTGACGACCTTGAAGGGGTAGTTCTTAATGTCCTTCTGAATGTCCTTGTCATCAAATTTGCGACCAATCATACGCCTGTGGTGGGTTAGTGCTAAATTCAGTTTGGTATAGATGTGGCGGAAGCTTACTTGATATCGAAGACGGTGCGCTCGGGGTTAGCGGCGTACTGGTTCTTGGCGGCGTCACCAACGAGGCGCTCCTCATCGGTGAAAGCAACGTAGGACGGGGTAATACGGTTTCCTTGGTCGTTGACGAGAATTTCGACCTTGCCGTTCTGCATCACACCAACACAACTGTATTGGAAATTAGCAAGCTGTCTCATTTCAACATCAATGTTTTTCGAGGCTTCAAGTAACGTACGAGTAAGTGGTTCCCAAATCAATACCAATAACATTGCCGTAGTTCTCAGGGGAGTTATCCTCCTGGGCGTGGGCGGTGTTTCCAAACAAGGCCAAAGGCGCGACAAGGACGAAGAGGAGGTAGAAGATGGTGGTCCAGGCGAAGGGCTTGGACGCGCCATCGCGTGCGGATAGGCGAGCCATTGTGAAGGGTGTATGTATAAGTATGTGGATCGAAGTCCTTTTTTTTTCAACACAAAGACAAAGAAGCTGTCGTTATGGAAGCTTCGCGCGTGCCGATCTAAACAGCTGCGCAGACGAGTAAACACAAGACGTGTTTGACTCTCTATGAACCCTTATGTTAGTCGATGATATGCGGGAAAGGGACCCGGGGCGAAGTGAGGAAATTGAAGAATGGATTGGAGAGGAATCGAAGAAAGAGGACTTCTTGTACACGGATGTGGCCCAGCGGCCATGCTGGCCTTTTCCCAGTTCAGGTCACTTCTCGTGCGTTGATTGGCTGGCTTTCATTCGGCAGTGGCTGACTCAGATAGAGCCCTGCAGCCACACCGCCTTCTTCACCTGGTAGTGTTCTTCTTAAAGTAGTCTAGCGGCAGGGGTATATCCACGGACTACTCAAGGCTTCCACCAATCAACGATTGCCAAATTGATCGAACTTGCTAGAAGAGACCAAGTGGTTGCCCCTTCGGGGAATTCGCGTGATACTATGGAGTCTCTCAAAATGGAGTACTCCGTGTGGAATACGGAGTGGTTGACTCATATCCTTGCTACTGACCACGTGTTGCTATATGGGCACTATGGGCTCTATGCTACTACATTGTGTCTAATTAAATGTCGTTGGATCATGACAAGTGGCATCTTGAGTATCCTGTATACTGCGGGCCTAGATTTGGGAGGATCTCCCAGGGGGCGTGAGAGCGGGTGCTCTGTGCCCTGGGGAATTTAGTATACAGCTTATGATCTCAACTCTAATGGCACTACTCCATACAATCCAATAATTCGTTCAATAATTCGTTCAATAATCGAACTTGGTAAAGTCTTTCTCAAATAATATCTAAAATCATATATCAAAAAACAAAAAAAAACAAAAAAAACTCACTGTGTCTGCTCAATGAATTGAATACAATTATAAGATATATATCTTGACAATTCTATGACCGAAAAATTCTACTTCGTACATGATACCAAATAACGACAAGAGATCGTGGCAAATCATGATTGAAACAGATTTTTGACCGAGGAAGCTCATTCTAATAAACCAGCAGCTACTGTGGAGCCTCCTGCGCGTAGGACAATCCTGGTCGGTGCCTCCAAAGGAACAGCTTGATCCATTTCAACCACAACACGCACCACAACACCTGGACCCACGATTTTAGGACGTTTCTTGATAGCCGCTCCTGATGCTTTGTCCAGAGAAGCAACCAGCTTGCTGATGCGACCAGGTACATGTAGACGACCACGGTGTACATCCACTTGCATGGGCATCAGGTGTTCGAAGGCCAGAACCTTGGCGGTAAAAGATGTGATGGTAGGGATGGGAGATGAAGGACGGCAGACAACGTCACCGGAACGAAGGTGAATAGGGTCGATATTGGCGATGTGTAAAATGACGTTTTGACCTGCCACAGCCCAGTCACTTGGCTCGTTGTCCACCTCCAAACTGCGCACTATTGCTGTTTCACCGCTAGGCATGGTCAGGATATGGTCGCCCATTTGCAAGCTGCCTGCGTCGATACGGCCAGAGATGGAAAGCGGATTTTGCACACCACCTCGGAAGACATCGCCAATCGTCATACGTAAAGGCTTTTCAAGGGCATGTGTATATGGCTCCGACGTTTCCAGTTCTTCAATCAATGTGCGACCCGTGTACCAGGATGCATGGGGGTCATTGGTCCGCCGAGAAATGTTGTCGCCCAGAACGCCCGAGCATGGCACAAACGAAATGTTGCTGCCCTGGAAACCAGCAGTTGTCAAGAAAGCAGAGATCTGCTGTTCAATCTCCTCAAATCGTTCATGATCCCATTGCACAGTATCCATCTTATTCACAGCGACCACAATCTTTTGAACGCCCATGCTACGCACCAGCAGAGCATGCTCCTTAGTCTGGCCTTTCAAACCCGACTCGAAATTTCCCACACTGGAATCGATCACCAGAACAGCAAAGTCTGCCTGGCTGGCACCAGCGATCATGTTCGGGACGAAATCACGATGACCTGGTGCATCAACAATGGTAAAGGCTGTCTTGTCGGTCTCAAACTGATTGGTGGCGATATCTATCGTCACACCTCGCGCTCTTTCCTCCGATCCTTGATCCAAGACCCAGGCTAGCGCGAATGAGCCCTTGCCTATCTTCTCGGCCTCTCGCCGATACCTATCTAAAGTCCGTTGGTCGATAGCACCTTGATCTGCCAACAACCGTCCCATGAGAGTGCTCTTTCCAGCATCAACATGACCTACAAGATATATGAATCAGTCTGGGTCCGCATCATTTTGCCAGTGGACATCGACATACCAATAACCACAAAATTTGCGGATCGCTTGCGGGTGGACTTCTTGTACTCTGATATAACATCAAGATTCTTGCTTTTGACAGTCACTTTGTCTTCCACAGATAGATCCTTCATACCACCTGCCAGATCAGACTGGCCTTTCTTCGCCGCTGCCGATTTCGATGCGGCTGATTTCGACTTCATACCTACATATTATTAGGCAAGTGCCTTTAAACCTTCCTGCGGATCGCCAAACCTTTCGCTGTGTTCTGTGCATTGAGAACGACATCGTCGGGGCTGGGGGCTGCAAAATCAAAAGGTTCAGCATGATCCTGTCCATAGATCCTCAACAGATCTGAGCTGTTGGAGTGTAAGTGGCTGGGCTCAGCCGCTGTCGGGCCCGTTGCTGCGCCAACGATAGTGCTGGCAAATGTCGAGGGCGAGGCCCGAATGGTAAGCACTCTTTGCTGGAGTTCTGGTTCTTCTTTCGCTTCAAGCACCACCTTTTGCATTGATTCAGAAACCTCAGACACCGATGGTTTTCTGGTCCCAGATGTAGGCTGTTCTGGGATCGGAGGTGAGGAGCTTGGATTTGCTAAACGGCGGAGAGACCCAGAACCCTCTGAAGCCTTTGGTGTGGACCTCCCGCTAGCCGCAAGTCTGTCACGAAGGGAGCGCGATGTACCCGGAAGATCAAGCGAGGTGATCTTTGATTGTTCAAATTTAGGAGTTGGTGGAGTCGAAGCCTCCGGTAGAGATGGTGCCTTCTCGCCCTCTCTCTTCTTCCGGGCTGCAGCTAGGGCGGCCAATTTGGAAAGCTTTCCCCCACTCTCCGGTGCACCGCCCAAGAGCCCCAAACGTGGATAAAGCGGCTCAATCAGGATATCCGCTTTCCGATGAGAGGGAACGTTGAGCCAGGGACAATCGCGAAAGAAATCGGCAGACGAGAAATGTGCCGTAGAAGGAGGAGCAGGATATGCTGGCACTGAAAGACCTGTTAGAACATTGTTCAAACTTCTATGGCATCAGTCTCGAGTCTCTAGAGATCAAATGGGGTGGATTTGTGCCAGATGTACACACATTTTCGTTTGCAAGGAACAGTATTCATGATCGAGGCGCGCAGAATAACTTGTGCCCCAGACACCGAGCCCAACGATGACACTTCAGGATGAAAATTCGCCCATAAACACTGCTTACCTGATTGAATCTTTGATTTCTGTAGCTTCGTAGCCTCCTTCTCCCTCTTGCCTACACGCAGAGCTTCGGTTAGCTAAGTTTCATAACAAACGCGGAGCCCTGCAATAGGCAATACGATGTAATGTGGCGCATCTGCACGAATTGAACATACCTCTCAAATAATTGACCGACTTCTCGATATCATTGTAGTAATGCCATAATGCGTCTTGGACTTCTTGTTTCGTGGCGGTCACTGACGGTTGCCCCGCACTGAGCTGGTGCAAAACAGCGGTAGTACACTGTTGCAAGAATTCCTGTTCTTCGGGATCGGCTGGCGCGTCGTCATCGTCGTAGAAATCATCCTCATCGTAGTCGACATCCTTGATACGGTGTCGAGACATCACGGCGTAAGGAGGCAGGGCAATGAACGAGGGGTTCGTAATAGGGTGACGAAGAAGCCCCTCGAGGAACCGGTAATTTACGTAGGCCGAGCAAGGTCAATTGAGCCGACCGCCTTTTCCACCGCCTTCTCATTTCGATACCATATATTTGTAATATGACCTCACAGAAATCATGATGGATGCCTTTAATTGGCTGTGTGAAATCATCCCCAACTGGCGGACCGCGTAAACTTGGCGGAAATTGCAACCCTGATGCTAAAGATTTGAAGTTTAGACTATCCTATCTTTGAGTCTACAATCTTTGAGTAGGATACATCTCCTCCCTCCAGCTTCTTGTACATATGTACCAAGTCAAGCGCCCATCTAGCTTCGGGACCTCCAGTGCAGCCATATAACAGGCAGGGCACTGATGACCACTAGCGCAGACAGAAGCCCAGCACAGTTTGTAATGCCCACAGTTTCAAACATGGCAGGGAACCAGAAAGGCCCGATGAAGGACCACGTCTGGCGAATGAAACCTAAGAAGATTGATGCATTGGCGGCATTATCTGAATGAATGTGCATGATATCTAAATGAGTTGAATTGTCAGCTTCCACTTCAGCACCTCACATAACCACAATCAAACCTACAGTTAATCAAAAAGTTGGAGACTAATTGGTTTCCGAATCCTGCAACACCAATGCCAATGATCGGGGACACCTTGTAGTGCATAGGCAGTGTGTTGCCCAATAGAACACAGAAGACAACCAACCCAACAATCATGGAGACGAAGCCCAAATAACTTGCAATCAGGTAATTCCTGGGATTCACAGCGTGCGGTTGCTTTTCCACCGTTCGTCTGTTCATCAAGCTGAGGACCACAACATTGAACGCTTCACCAAGGATGGTGCCGACGATGATACCAAGGAATTGGATACCAGTTTGCTCTGGGCCAAGCTCAAAGCGAGTGGCAAACAGCTGAGGGATCTCCATTGTCAACATTGCAGCTGAGAGACAGAAGATCATACTGTGCGAAAGCACAGGCAGCAGGATGGTCATTCGCTTCCCCATTGAGAAAGGCCGGATGATTTCGGACATGGAGAAAGGGGTGGGATCAATGCGTGAGAATGTGATCAACTTCATCAAGCTAGACGTGCTGGTTGACTTCTCCCGTTGAATATATCTTGTCTCAGGGCTGAATAAAAAGTATAAGACAAACTGTGCGCCGCTGATGAGAGTGAAGATCCAATAGATCCACTGCCATCCAAGTCGCTCGGAAACGAAACCCATGACAAATGGACCGGTCAGAGGGCCAAGTGTGACAAAAACACTGCGAGAATGATGTGTAAGTAATTAATATACCGTATGACCCTTCGCAAGTAGCTGGTCAAGTGGAAGAATCAGGTAATACTTACGACCATGTTCCCAATGCGATGCCACGGTCCTGCTCTGCAAATAATTCCATCACAACGGGAGGCCCAAGAGCGATAGGAGCACCCAACATGAGAGAACCTAAGATACGACAGACCAACATCGGTGCATAACTTTGGCTCTCTGCGCACCCAACATTACAGACTGCTGTGAATAGCGTGGAGACAAGCCATACCGGCCGGCGGCCAAATCTGGTGGAAAGAGGGACTAGAAAGAAAGGTGTAAGGCCGGTACACAGAATCTTTGGGGCAATTAGCTTTCGTGACTCAGTGTTGATGGAAGATTGTGTGACTAACATGTATCGAGGTCAAGTAGCTAACATCCTGAATCTCAACGCCGAACTTCTCGGCAAGGGTAGAATATACGGGAATAATCCCAGCACCAACAAAATTGGTCATAAAGGCGTGGAACGAAATCAAGCCCAAGTTGATATTTCTCTTTAGACAAGTCAGTTTGGAGTCCAAGGTTTCACTAATCAGGAACTTGACCTTATACCGGGGCCAGTTGACTGGGTAGTCAGGATCATCACCTATGACGGTCGATTGATCTTTTTGGCTTGGATGCTCTATAGGAAGAGTGGCATGTTCAACATGGTCGTGCATTGCACTGAAGGGAGCCTCTTCATTTTTTGACTGAGTATAATGGTTTAGATCAGCTAGCTGGACACTCATATCGTGAAAGGATTCTAGTCGAACTGAATGACTTCGAAAGAAAATATATAAGATGGTCGATCTTAGTACAGGGAATCACCCTGGCATCTATACACCCCGGAATTAGACTTTCACTCTTGCGGGGTGAAATTTTGCGGGGTGAACTGGGGAGTTCTCCAGTGAGATCAAGCCTGGCGGGAGAACTAGATTTGCCTGCAACATAACATTAATATCTATCATCCATGGGTGTCAGGCAGGCCCCTTGGAGATCTTCGTACCTCTTGCAGCCATTGCATACTTGCAATGCACTTCAGCTTTGAACTGGCGCTTGTGGAGCAGTCGCAGTGTCTGAAGATGGAGCTCATGGTCAAACATTCGTTTAATTGAAATAGTACTGAATCAATCCCATTACATCCCCCCGCGGGACATCTTCGGCTCTACATACCTAGCATACTCCGCTAGACTGCCCCCGGATTCCTTGGCCAATCAAATGGTTTGTGTCGACAAGGGGGCTGCCGAGGGAATACCCCAGCATTTCAGGTACATATGTATAGATTGTCGCATTTCTCTGAATGTATAGTCAAGCTCTTTAAATGAGCGGTCACTTGAATAATGCAGATGAAAAAAATCAAGTGTCAGGTAGCCAATATTGACCTCTACAAAGTTGCCTAGTTGCAAGAATGAGACTTGGATTGGTATGAGAGAAAAATACCAACAGGCGAGAGATCTTGTGGGGAGGTCGATTGAAAAAAGGACCTTGAGAACCGCGGGGGGATGGGGGGTGGTGGAGAAGACGTGAGATTTGAGATTTGTTAGGGCAACCTAGTTCTTTCTCATTCCCAACAGTTTATATTTTATAGAGATTCCGAGGACTCTAGTCCAAAACAGCGGTGTACTATCTAAATGAGAATCTGCATAATTGTTATACCAATTCACAATCTGAGGTCACTTCTAACTTTTTGAGAGTATATATATAATACGTTTTTGCGACACGCGTGGTGTCGACAGCCAAGTGAAAAAAAGGTAAGAATGTTCATTTATCGAAGTGGGCTACCTCCAAAGAAATCGCCGGTACCAGGTCCAGAAAAGCTCCCGTTACTCGGGGTCAAGGCAATTGATCGCCTGAAAGCCTGGCGGGGGGTGGTAGGGACACTAGGGGGTCCAGCCATGGGAGTGGCTGATGTTGGGGCGACTGGCACCACAGCCCGTGTGTCCGGGGTGCTAGGAGTGTTGCGACCGCTGTCATTCTGCATGGTGACAGCAGTGCCAGGTCGGGAGAGAACAGTGATAGTGCCTCCACTTTTAGGAGGTGGGCGGAAACCTAGCTTAGAGCCTTCGCGGAAGATCTCTTCGAGCATTTGCGTCACAATGCCTGCATCCTCGTATTCCTGGAATTTTTTCCAGAGACGCAAAGCCATACGAGCATCCTCGATCGAATCATGACCTTGTACGGCGTCGGGTGCGGGTTCCTCTTGGATATGCTCCTTAAAGACGGCCCAGGCCAGGTACCTGAGACTGAGACGGCGGTTTTTCCCGGGGTGGAAGAAGAGGTACTGCGTGTCCACAGTTTGTGCCTTGGGCACTTGGATGTTGATTTTGCGGAAATCAGAGGCTAGACCGTGACCAACAAATACACAGCCGAGGTTTAGAAGAACCCAAAGCTTCTTGTAGGCAACCTTGAGTGGGACAAGATTGTGTTCACTAGTTCGCGGATCCAGGTCGCCAGGCTTGATGCCAGAATACTGGGTCACATAGTCCACAATTGGCTCGCGGATGGTGATATAGTCATCAATAAAGGGAACTCCTTCTTGAACACCTACACCGCGCAAGACGGAAACACGGGCCAGCCCGCTCTTATTGGGACGTACCATTTCCTGTGATCCATCTGCCTTGACATCAATTTCGGCTTTTTCTAGATCAACAAACTCGGTATCCAATGCAACAGGTGTCCCAGGCTGTGGCTGTTCCTCTTCGGTGAGATTTTGGCATGACTCAACCTGACGGCCGCCACTACAAGAAGTCAACTGTTAGTATTTCTATTCAAGCACCAACTTTAATTGTGTTCAGAAACTCACTTCAAAGACCACTCGCGGAACAGCAGGGTTTTATCGAGGACGTTCTTCCAAGAGTCATCGACGACATGGCGTGGGTCTCTCACTTGGTAAGCTAGCACACAAGGTTGTTTCCAAGGCTGCGTAAATCGGAGTGCTTCATCTCTGTCGACCTCCGTGACCAAAAAATCATTAAATAGGTGCCATTTGCCTTGTTCTTCGGACTCAGCCCCTGAAATGGAGACATTAACGAAAGACACCAAATGGGGCTTTTGATGTTCCGGAATGTCAATCTCCGCAACCAACCCAACCAGATCATATACTGCAAGCCCAGGTGTTTGATTTTGGATTCGGATGAGAAGATCATCGCCCTCAAAGCACATCACCTGTCCATTAGGATCAACGAGAATGCCAACAGCGTCGGGCAACCAGCCTGGAATTGCCCAAAGCCGACGGCAGAGAGGGTTGGTCAAGGCGGCATTGAGCACGAGAATCAAAGGCATGCGGTGAATGGTCTTGCGAATCGTCACTTGCTGGTAGCGACGACAATAATTGCACCATCCTCGGTTTTGTGTCTCTCGTTCGATACTTGCACGTAGAATATTGGAGAACCGGAATAGTGGGTTGCGTCGTGCATGTTTAATGTCAATATTCGGGTAAATCAGTTCATTAGCGAGTGAATTGCCAGGGCGCACAATTTCGTTCTGGCAAAACATGCACCGAATAGACTCAGACGCAATGGTGGCTAAGCGTTGATCGAGCTCTTCGGAACTAGGCTGAATCATCCGGAAGTCTTGAGCTATTTGGGTCAGGAAGAAACGATTGACTGCTTGAATCGCAGTCGAGAGAGATTTGTTGGTAAGATTCTCTTCCAAGAGACCCAGGTTTGAGGCTTCTCGGAAGCTGCTGAATGTCTTGAGGAGGTTGGTGGCCTGACAATTTTGCCCGTTTGCCTTTTCAAGCATGTCGAACAAATAGCCTAGTTCACACAAAAGACAGTGTTCAAATATGCACGACCCGGCTGCATGATTCAGGGCGAGATTTCGGAAAAGTGGGATGAATTTGAAAAGTTGAAGAAGGGAATTGGTAAAAGAGTTGGAAATGTGAGTTTCAAGTCCGGAGAATGAGGTTTTGTTGTAGAATCTATAGAAAACGTGAGCAAACGGCAGCAAATGAATTGAAAGGGAATGACGTACCGGAAATCAAAGTCATCTACACCGAATCGGCTGTATTTGATCTCTACATTGCTGTATTTAAGTAGTGGGTCATCATCGCTCTCTCCATTGATCTTTGCTCCTGCCAGTGCCTCTGCAGCATCGCCAACCAAGCCGTCTGAATTGCTGTAGTCTCGAGCCTTTTCACTTAAAAACTTTGGTGCAATCAGAGCCGGCTCTGCTGTGGTTAGGGCGCGAGTGTTTTCTATTTGGTATCGACGAGTTTTTCTCGGATTTGGAGCATGGTGTCCCATCTCTGCGGGCCGTAAATATGGCAACATTGATTGATCCAACGGAGCCGGCGGACTGCCAACTTCGAAAAGCAAATGGCTTGGCCACGCCGAAAAGAGACGTTCGTGGTAATAAGGCATCCCAGCCATGCTCAACGGAGATTCAGGAGACCAATCTACCTGAGGAGGTCGTGTGGGAACGTCGGCAAATTCTGTCTCCTTGCTCAATTCATTGAAATGAACCTTGCTCGGTGAGCCCCATAGGTGAATGGAGCATTCGGCATCGTTAATGACCAATGCTTCTCCTGATGCTGACAGGTCAATACCAAGCACAAGCGATACATTGGCTTGTCTTAAATTGACCGAATTGGGATTCATGAGATCTATCACTTGGAGTTGACCTGTTTGTGAAGCCACGAAGCTGGTGGTGTGAAGTTTTGGATGCATACGCACGTATGCTGCTCCAGCATGGAACGGGATCGGAGGCAACGGTGTCAAGGTCTTCAAGTCATAAACATTGGCTAGAGGGTCCACAATTGGGGATCCGAGGTGGCGGACTGAGAAGCCACAGGTGACCAGTAGGTCATTCCGCGCATCCATGTCATTAACACCTGTTCCATGGGCTTTCCATGACTTTACAACACTAAAATCCGAGAGACTGAGGGCATTGACTGATCCAGTATCTGTTGCAGCACAGAGATATCGACTTTTTTTCATCAACGTATAGCCGTACTCGGTGGGCAGCTTCTCGACGATTGTGCCCTTGTCAATGTCTACCGTGAACATCACGCGCTGGGAACCTGCAACGAGGATTCGATTGGTCTGGGCTGTGAAGCTCATGCAGCGGAGGTCGACCATTTCATCGTGAGTAAGGTGCCACTGTGTCAAGCCCCGTCGGGTAATCATGTGCACACTCTTTGATGATAGCGAAATCACACCTCTTTCGTGGAAGATTATTTGCCGTACTGAACCCTCAGAAACTGGATGGGCTCGAACAGAGGTATAACGTTGCAGCTCCGGCCCGTAAAAGGAAGAGACCCTACCCTAGCGAATCGAACGCTCATCAGCGTCCCGCCTCGAAATCTCCAGATAGTAGCACTCACATATTCATTGCCTGTCCATAAAAGTTCCATCATATCGTCAAATGCCGTCGCCGTTGCCACAGTAGGCATAGCATGTGGACTCGGCGGCGGCATTGGGATACGCGACAGCTCATCCCAGTCGGCCTCCATGTTTGCAGTAGCCTCTGCAGTCCAACTCCAATGCCAGGATTATATTTTGCGCGCACTTTTTTTCGATGTGCCGGCCTGATAAGGCCTGGTGTAAACTACTGTCTTCACCCACGTGGGAACACAGCGAGTGTGGGCATCGTTCAGCGCGAGGGACGCGATTGCGGGGAAGCTATCTGACGATTTGGCGATGGGATTTTAGCACAATGAGAGGTCTGGAGTCGAAAGGGCACCGAACGGGAGAGTCTAAGCTCGGCTCGAAATGCCTGGCGCGACGAAATAAGAACGGTCGGACTCCAACTTCAGTGCATGCTGCCGGCGAGGGACAGGAACGGTGAGATGTTGGTATGATCACGTGATAATAGACACCCTCGGATCGCCAAGTCCACGGGGACCAATACAGGGGAAGTTTGGCGTGAGGATCACCTAGAGTAATGAGATATATATAGGAGGATGACTTCCTTGTTTTTAAACAGCAGAAGCGTATCAATATAATCATAAGTTGGCCTTTATTAGAAGAGAAAGACCGCTATATATCTAGAGTCATGGAGATGCTTATGTGCAAATATATGGCGACTAGCCTAAGTTTACCGATAAAGAATCATATTCAATGTTGCATAACACAAAGAGCTTTTCTCTCCTTGAATGAGAATATCAAGAATGAAACCAATGTGGTTGCTTATAAAATTGGATGTGGCTTTGAAACCTGATCTATAACGGCTATAACAGTGGCCACGGGTAAAAAGCCTGCTATACAAACAAGCTCCCTCCCCAAGTGGACAAGCGAACAACAGAAGCCAGATAAAGTTATCCCTATAGGAGGGCATTTTTTTTTTAAATTCTCCCATCAAATTCCGCACATTTATGAAAATTTGAATATTTGGCGCTGTAGTAAAATCAATAAATGGGGGGCGATAAATTCCCTGATGGCCCAACGTTGTCCATTTTGTTAACTCCACGATATGTTCTGGTATCTAAGTAGTCATATCACATATTTGTGGTCATTTTGGGAAGGTAGGATCAGAATATGATATCTTGGTCGCGCGGGAGGCATTCTGTTCTATCCACTATGGACCGTTAAATACTTTCTCGATCTCCAACCAGTCGATGTAGTCAACCCCGGTCAGTGGCAATGTCGGATTGTGAAAACTGGAATAAATTCCTTCTGCTTCTCCAGAAAGGTCTAGATTCCAGGCTCCCTGCATATCAAACATTGTGTCTGGAACATCCATATTAGGCCATGGATCAAGTAATCTGATCTCATCCTGATGATTGCCCCGACTACTTGAGGCGATAGCCATATATGGTGAAGAATCCGAGGAAGTCAACAACAGATCCTGTCTTTGGGCTGAGCTTGCTGCAGATATATGGGTCCTATCTTGGGAGGTTGCATCGCTGTGTGAGGCATTTGCATTGAAAACATGGTTCGGCCAAACGTGCGAATAAGATTGTGCAATATCCTGCAGGCGTCGCTCGGCAGCCAGATTTCCAGACTGGGATAGAAACTGGAGGACTCTGGATGCTTGATCAAGCGCTGAGGGAGGTTGGCTTTGTGATTTATCCAGGAAGCCTACCATGACCAGAACAAATGCAGCAGAAAAGGTTGCATCCAGATCAAAAAAGCCATACCGAGCTTAGAGTAATGCGTTAGCTCTTGTGTTTGATAAACATGTGAGACGTAATCTGGAGGCAAGGATCCGTTGACTAGACTACTGGAAAGACTCACGGATGGTTTGCTGGCGACGAAGTGATTCAAGTATTGCGAGACTTCTGGTGGCTGCCTCATTACACGTATCACAGAGGCGCAGCAGCATACTCGGCGCTAGATCGGGTGGCTGCGACTGTTGTTGGCTCTGGGCTTCAAGCCGAGCTCCTTGAAGTAATATTGGTCGTGTACATAGGATGATAGCCTGATAGCAAATTAGTAACAAAAGTTAATCGTTCTGCCTGGGGACAGTCTCACCTGAAAAAGCATTAGGTATAATGATGCACCTGTACGAGTTACTAATTGCAAAGGTCGACTGAAGTCCAACATTAAAGATTTGGGAAATGATCGGCCGGTGTCATGCAGTTCTTGGAGAATTTGCTGGATCTTTTGGACCAATTCCAATTGGGTAATTGACTTATTGCCATACAAAGCTGTTGAAGATATGTTAGCCCGACGCTAAGAGCTCAGCAGTGTACATCGTACTTGACATTATATCATCAGTGACACGCGCGATACGAACATTGATGGCAAGGGCAATTGGGGACTGGAACCCCATCGCGTTCCGCGGGAGTTCAGTGCATAGCTGTCGTTCATCCGCCCCTGCAGCCAGTCCAAGGCCAGAAGAGAGGCGCCTGAGAATGTAAGTTGAGTTTCAAACCCCTCAAGTTGTCAAAATGACATACCTGTCGAGCATGTATACTGTCCACCATAGTCGTAATCTGTGGGCACTCTGGGAAGGGAGACAGCGTTGGTCGATTTCGCGTAGGTTGCACCCAAGAGCAATAGCAAGTCGCAGTGCAAGTCCAATCTACTACGTGTCAATGACACTGCGCAAGAACATTGGGGACCTTGTATAACGTACATAGAGATATGCATCATGTTTGCGGTCACACCACTGCAGATATGTAGCAACTAGTGTCAATATCTCGACAGCAACAACGCCTTCCCCGCCCATATGATGCAACGGAGAAAGACGCTTCAACGCTTCAGCAAACAAGTCCGTTCCAGGCGTCTGTGATGTCGGATTTTTTACGTCCATGAGCTTTGCCATGGCCATGACTAAGAGATATTCTGTGAACCAAGGAGAGTTTATCTGCTGTTGCCTTGTATCTGGGCTCTGAAATAGCAACATAAGATCATCCGAGAAAGAGCGGGGGTCAAAAAAGTGCTGGCTCACGCCAAGATAAAAAAGGAATTGATCAAGCAAGTGCTGTGATTCCTCCAAAGACGGGAAAGATACTCCGGCAACATTGTCAACAAGCCCTCTGACTGATGTCCACTGAGGTAATTGATCAGCTCGATATTGAAAATTTGAAGTAGACCCATGAAAGTTGCGGTCACTGGAATGCGACCTATCAAGAAGCGATCTGACTTGAGATTCGAATGCAGGCCCAGAGGTCAGGTCCGTTGCTTCACGTAGAGTCAGTCCATGTTCACAAGCAGACCGGGAAGAAGAAAGCGCTGTCAAATTACCCGGACTTATAGCAGGATCATTATCGGGATATAATAGCTCATCTTGGCTCTGGTTGGGGGGCTCTTTATTCCCAGGTGTTGAAGAACTTCGTTGCGCAGATTGGTGGTTTAAGGTCTCATTCAGTGGTACCGGAGAAGGCAATGAAGAGACTGTATCCTCAACAGACCGAGAGCCAAGCTGTTCCTCATAGGTTCGAATTTTTTCCAAGAGATGTTTCACTTGGCTAGTTGATAGTCAGCAAGACTGGCCAGAGCCCACGACGCGCATGAACCTACGCCTCAGAAAACCGTCTGCGGCCGGAATGGCTAAAAGAGCATTCCCAATTATGTTTGATACAAGCGCGACAAGGCTTATCACCGGAACATTTTACTTTGCGTCTTCGACATGTTTCACATCTGTTCAGTTGCTGTTACTACGCATGACCCCACAGTTGGAGATGCAGACAATGCGGTTGCCCACTTACGCGTTGGTAGATCGTGGGTTGGAGCCCGCCATGATTGCAGAAAGACTGCGTATAGCTGATAGCTGATATTGATATTGATTTGATAGTCACGTTTCCGTCACGAGTCTGAAAACAACTGTATGGATCGGGTGTTCACCCGAGGCTGCGGAGACTTCGGACTGAACCTCCGATGGCCCCGCAATGAAAGAGAATCAAAACACTTCCAGCGACAATGCGATCAACATGAGGATGGATTGAAAGCTACGCTCAAATTCTGGTCTTCCCCCGCGAAAAACAAAAGGACCGCCTCCGCCGCTATCTTGGAGTCGTCATCATCCTCTTCGCCAAGCACCACAGAGCGCCTGATGTTTTGCAGATGAGAGGCAAGCAAATCTGCAGGCCAGTTGAAGTTATTGGCAAATTTATGACAGAGCTCAGCAGTGGCGAACGCATCGAATTCAAAATGACCTTGTAATGTGAGAACGTGGCCGGGCTTGTAGAGGCCCTGAATTGGACATTTAAGGGTGCTTCCGATATTTAGCCATGGTTCAGGCAACATAGTCCTCTTTCCCTCAAAAACTAGTGTGTCTTCTGGTGAAGATATCACGGCATCGCCGTGGATGATCTGGATATGGAACGGCCGTTCGGAGGTAAACCGTGCCAGAGGTGGGAAGTTGGAGACGAAAGCCGGGTTCAAGATGATAGGGTGCATGCCAATTTCGTGGCCATCAGATGAAGGTTCAACGGATATCTTAAATGAAGACCCTTGAGACGTGTAGCTTTTGTCACTTGCGAGGAGGGCTTGAGCTATAAGTTGATGTCCAAAGCAAGATCCGAAAATTTTGACCATAGGATAATTGGAATACACCCTCTCGATAAAAGACTGCAATCCTGCAATCCAGTGCAACCTTTCATATACTGCTGCTGCAGCTCCAGTGACCAAAATCGCATCGACCGGACCTGGGAAGCCAGGGGGTCCGTTTTCCGCCGGCGACCAAGAGCTGACTCGTAAGGACTCGAGATGTGGAAATGAGCCCCCGACAACATCGAATGCAGTAATGTGAACACAAAGAGGCCTTCTGTGCTGATGGTATTTGCTTGCATTGATGCGATTCGCGGCGGCAGTGAGAAGAGCGTTGAATTGTGAGCTGTACAATCCTCGTTTAGCGTAGACAGGGTAGCAAGGAATATCATTGTCAAGAACAGCGATGTGTATAGGACGGACAGACATGTTGAACAGACTGCATATAGTTCCAAACAAATAAATGGAGAGATAATGTACAAATGAAGTAAACAAACGATTTTCCTTTTGTTATTGTGTCGGATGAGATCCGAAATTCTCGGGCCAGATGGCCGATAGATCGAATAGCATATTAATATTTCTTGGTGCTTCATTCAAATCTGTTTATAATAGTAGTGAATTGTTGAATATTCTGATCAGAAGGTTAGATATGGTAGCATTTTATCTACAGCAGTAGGTTACTGCGATTGATATTTACCTTGCACAGGAGTCTCGAGTACTTCAAGACTACCCCTCCGGGGAGAAATCTAACCAATTTATCTGTTTTTGAAGTTGACCTAGGTTGTAGATACAGAACAATGGCTTGCAAAAGCTGAGTCTAATACATCTGTCAAATTTGCTCTATTCGGTGGTTATTGACCTCGTTTCCTTTCTACGAGAATTGGCCCCAAAGCTAAGCCTCATTGGCATCCACAACCCGGAATCATCCTAATATAACGCAAATTAAGACAATAATAATGAGGCTAGTTATTATCTCCAGTATGAGGTAAAATCTTGATAGTATAGAGTGCGCGAATTAAACTAAATGTCCAAGCACTTTTGAAGTCACATTGGGCGTTAACGCCCTGCCACAAAGTACTAGAACGTAAGACGTGAAACGCTCCAGAGATAAAAGCCCACTACATCGCACAAAAATGACCCCCAAAAAGCTTTAATCCATCCAGAATCATGTCTGGAGCCACATACACCAATGCACGAATGAACCGTGCGATCACATCCAAAAGCTCTACACCACGCTATGCCTTGAAAGCACCAGAGCGACAAGTTGCCTTTCGGCTGGAACATATTGTGACGGAGAGAACAATGCTACTATTGAAGCCGCATGGCGACGCCCAGTCGGATCACGCATACAAGATCTCGGACGAAGAGGGCTCTCCCGCATTCACAGCAACTGGTCGAAAGTACAATGATCGATCATGTCGAGAACTCCGCGACTCATCCGGGTTACCTTTATTCGATATCCACACAAAGCCGATCTCAAATCCTTTGGGTTGGGTTGTTACCTTGCCTGGGAGCAAAATCAACGACGCGACAATAGCGAAGGCGACACCGAAGTTGGCATGGAATAGCATCAACTTGATCTTCTCGTTTCGGAATGGTGCGGCTGAAGACAGAAGCGAGGAAGATAAGCAGGTCACACTAACTGTTAAGAAACATGGGGAGGCGTTGGCCTTCTTTGATATCGTGGATGGGGATAGAAGGATTGCTGAATTGCGCGAAAGTATCACTCACAATGAGAGGCTGGCTTTGAGAAAGATGAAGCGCGGAGGTGGCCATCGCCCTGCGTTGGATCTCATTGTGAGTCCTGGTGTGGATATTTCGCTGGTAAGTTGAGACCGAAGCCTTCCAAGGTTACGTGTGAGATATTGGCTAACCCATAGCAGGTGTCGGTTATTGCGGTCATTGTATCTGACTGGTTCTTCGGATCTGGTTAATAGGCGGCAGAAGATGGTTGATTTTGTAAACACACCAGTGGCTTTTGATTATAGATCCTATAAACATCCATATACTGCTAGACGTACAACAAACAAATCCATGCTCATCTCTCCGTACATAGGCACAAAATGAATCATTGATCAAATACTGGCTGGTCCAACCACGCACTGATCTTAGCTAAAGCAGAAACATCATGCTCCTTTTTCGATGTATTGTGGTCCTTGATTTCTCCATCTATCCACCCACGGGTCCCTCTAATATGCTTCAAATAGGTTCCAATAGGCTGACATCCGGCAAAATCAATCAAAATAGGCATGCCTTCTATGCTAACTAAAATGTTGTAGGGAGTCAGGTCATTATGGGCCAATCCAAGTGTATGAAGATGGCGGAGAGATGAGTTGAGGGCAGCAATGAAAGGCCGTTTATCAATTGTCCCAACTCTGTGCTTGAGATAAGTGTACAGATCGTGTGGATGCTTGTCGATGACAATTCCGATAAAGTACCCACGGAGAACCCGACAGCCATAGTAGCGGGTTATATTCGGGTGCGGGTGTTGGGATAGGGACTCTAGAACTTCAGCCTCTGCTAGCAAGCCTGCTGAGAGCTGGGATAATGCATTGTGTTCCTTCATCACTTCATACATCTGTGGATCTGGTCGCTTGACGTAGAAATCCTCGGTAAGTGTCGCTGGGGCTTGCATCAACTCGACCCCGGGATCCAGCCACGGGGTGAATATTTCTTCATCTGGAACACTCTTGAGGGTGTCGATGACCTGGTCAAAAGTAATATTGGCTTTGGGGATTTCCAGCATGCCGTAGTGGAAGCTTTCATTGCTGTCGAACAAGGCGAAAGATGTTCGCTGGATTTTCCCCATTTCATCATCGCTTTGCTCCCATACTTCAGTGAGATCATCCCAGCTGGTTATTTGTGGTTTCATGATAATAATGAGTGTGTAGATTTGTAAGAAGAGTTGGTTGGAACGATTGATATTGGATACGGAAAATATGTGACGTGAAGCCAACCGGCTTTTGAGCTACCCGGTCTTAGGCCAATCTAATGTGTCCAGCAGAAGGGTTGAGTGACTGAGATATTACTAACAATGTGACCAAAGGCAGAAGAGAAGTGAGGTCTCAAAAGAGGGGGAACAGCAGTTACTTTGTGAGGCCTGAGGCTACCAATAAAGAATCCCTGCATCTCTGCCTACAAACGCATTTGATTAATCCAGTGGACCTCAAACACTGACAAGATACATATGTATGTATTGTAGAGAAACTTAAATCAGCCGAGAGAACCGCGGCATTGCTGATCTGAGATATAGTAGGACCTACCTACCTAACCTTGTGCACATGTGAGTAGCTATCAGTCTCGATAGTTACTTCAAGATCAAGTATTAGACAATAACTACCCAGGGAATCGATACAAGAGTGTCAAGACGAAATAAACACCTGATTAGACGAATAATGTGCCTTTGTCATATCACCGAGTGGGTTAAGGCAGAAGGCTAATCATTTAATGCATGGTGAGAGCTAGGATCTTGTGTCAAGACACCTGCACAGGAATAGAGAGGTGGAAGAACATTGGTATTTCCATCTCAACTGTTCCCATATTCTGACTAGATTATCCACCCTTATATAGATGTATAGTATACCACAGTCATCATGGATGATGTGTATTGCTCATAGGTACCAAGATTAGTTCACCGTGATACAGTTGTGGTCGCCCCCAGATAGCGGACCCCTAGTCAGAATGACAACCATGTCGCTTGTGGAGTGCTCATATCTGGGGCCAGGCCATTCATGCGCGACTTAAGCTTTGCAGCATAGTTGCGTTGCATCACGTATGAAGAGTCCACGGGTCCCTTGCTAACAACTTTCTTGTATAATGGACGCAAGAGAGGAGCCGACGCGGAAATATGGAGAAGAACAGCCGCTACCCTGACAGGTTAGCAGTATAACAAGTAATCAGGTGCCCTTTTTACATAGCCCAAGTGAATAGCCCAAAAGGATGCCAAAGGAAATAGTTAACACCTCTCATACTTCTTCGTCTTGCCTCCCGTCTCCTTGGGCATTGATTGTTCATTCTCCCTTGCTTTCAGGTGAATGACGAGCCTGCTTTGTGTGCAGCCGAGGACTGCTAAGAGAGGAACCCTGTTATCAACAGGGCATTCATTCGAATGTCTTCGATTAAATCTACATATAGGGTGTATGAACGACATTGACAAAAGATTATAGCACTAAGGTATGGAAGTATGGAGATCAAAGCCCATATGTACTAACATACAATTGACGACATATTCAAACCTGAGGCTAGATACATGATATAGAGGCTTCTAGCAAAGGAGGGGCAACGAAACGAAGAATATTGCTTGAAAGGCGACAATGTAAAGCCAACATTAAACACATTCAAGGTATTTATTCCTATTAACCGAATGAGGGCGGCCGTCACTAGCTATCAATTACCGATAAAAGGAACTTGGGTTGGAACCAGCTGCTCCACCCTGTGTAGGCTGGTATGCCTGGTACTCGCCCGTGCTTGTGGCGGGAGGTGCCGGGCTGTAGGAGGTATATTGTGGCTGCTGCGCTGCCCCTGGTACCGGCGGAGGCTGGTGCGATGGAGGAGGCTGATGGGCACCGGGAGAGTTGGGGTACGGGGGTTGTTGTTGCTGTTGTTGCTGGAACTGGTGCGGGACTTGGGGCATAGTGGAGGCAGGTGGGTTCTGAGGTGTCTCATCAGCGGAGTAGACCGAGGACGAGTAGTCTTGCTGCTGCTGCTGTTGCTGTTGGAATTGCTGATGGCTAGCAGGCGGCGCTTGACCAGTTGGAGGGTACTGCATGCGTTGCCCAGGAGTAGTAGCAGGGTGATCGACAGGTGAATCATAGACTGAGGTCCCTAATTCTTGGGGGTTGTCATATGTAGATTGCGGACGGTGGTTAACAGGCTGGTAAGGGTCAGCGTGAGATGGCTGCTGCGGTGCGCCAGCCTGAGCCTGATTGCGAGGATCAGGGGAGTGAGAAGCTGGGCGGTACGGCATAGTCTGCTCGTTGACAGGGTAGGGTGCGTATGCATTCGCCTGGGTTGGTGTGGTTTCTAGATAAGTCAAGTTAGGACTGGGAAATAGTGGGTAGGTTCTAGAGTTTACCAACCTTGGGGCCGGGGAGTGAAATATCGAGGATCCGCCTGAGGAGCAGAGGGGTATCCAGCAGGTGCGGCACTAGGATAACCGTACTGTTGCTGAGCAGGTCGTCCATATTGAGGTTGTGCTGGATGGGCTAGCGATGCCTCAAGGAGGGACTCATAGTCGCGACGAGCTTTGATAAACTTTTCATTGAGCTGGGTGAACTCATCTGGGTACATGTAAGCTTGAGATCAACGGTAAAACAAACGATTAGCTGGTTACCTTTCTTTTGCGAATATTTCCCAATCAATTCGATGAGTTTTGGACGAATCGCAAGCGTAGCTTGGTAGAGTGTAGTAATCTCTTCATTTTCTTGAACATTGAGGTCTGGATTGCGGGTGCTCAGTAGAGTCAGTAGCTTCTCGACACTCTTGATCTGGCCAAAGACATCCGCCTCCATTTGAGCCTCCCGCTGCAGCTCATCGACAGTGGGGTCTGGAAGTTTCTCCACATAGTTGAGAGGGAAAATGCCGGTCTGGCCTCTCAAGGAGCCCTTCCACCAATCCTTGTAAACAGACTCTAGGACTGCAATGGTATCGCCCTTGCGGAATTGAAGCTCTCCTGGCTCAGACGGTTGGAAGTCGAACAACGCTCTCACACGCGACACAGTAGCTACCGATGTACCTGAAAGAGCAGGTTGAGCCTCGGCGGGCTCCCCTTGATTTGTGGAAGCCGATACGGATCCAACAGCAGCAGACGAAGCCTCAGTTCGAGGCGCTGCAGCAGCCGCCGGGGTTGCTTTATCCTTAATCGAGAGGGCTAGGGCCATCTGCAATTCCTCTTCCTCCATTTGACGATCAACATCGGTGATCTCACGCTTTCCGGGTTTCGAGGGTGGCTGCAGATTCGGGTCTAGCATATCATCAGCCGAGTCCGATATCTGGGGTGTCAGACAAATCCTTACTCGTGGTTTTTAATTTCATGTATGCCTGTTCCATGATGCCAAAATCTGGGTTGGATGAGAACATCTCAGTCCATTCTTCCATGCGCTCCAGAATCTTAGACTTGACTTGTTGATGCGTATTCTAAACAAATTCGTGATTAAAATTTGCAATTCGGGAAAATCGAAGGTCCTAGATCTGCTTACACGATCGTTGGCTAACCGTAGTAGCGCATCGGTAAAGCTTCTCGAAGCCAACTCACGATGGATCTTCAGGCCGCAGTTTTGTGACAACGAATTTCCAAGCTAGAATCCATAGTCAGCCATAGTCATAAAGCAGTAAAGTTTTCGCGCTTCCAGGAACGCAGGTATCCGGCCACGAACCTCTAAAGTATAGAGCTGGACATTGGCATTTCGGTGAGCCAGTCTTTTGATCATCGCAGCCACGGCCTCCTTCGCACTATATCACGGCAAATCGCAATCAGCAAGAGGTCTTTAAGTGGGCTTAGAGCCTGTAATTCGAAACTAGCCACATACCCTGATTCCTCTGAACCAACTTTGTCACAGACATCCTAAAACACAAAAGCCGAATCAGTTCTCATGTCGCAAGGCTGTGGTGATTGTGGCAATATTCTTGGTTTCAAGCAACGCACCAGAATATATTCCCAGTTCTCGGATGTCAAATTCTCGTCCGTCGCCTTGGCTATACAGAAACAAATATCGTCAGTAAACACATCGCACAAGCAGATTAAAGGTGTTCCCGGGAGCCTCCCTCCAAACCAGCCAGCTCCAGGGATACCCAGTGCATTTGACGGAGTATGGAACTGGTATAACTTACCAACGGCATCATCGAAGTGGTTCTGCTGCGCGCGAAACATCGCGAATGTATGTCCTCTAACTGTCGCAGGTAATCACCGGATGGTATATCGGATAGCACTGCTCAGCTTGTGACAAGCGGCTTCTCTTGTTCTCACGTCGCAAAAGTTCACCGACAGATTCCAATTAGACTTGGGTATCGAAGACCACGTTCTCTTTCAAAACAGGCTGTGTAGCTCGTAGCGATAGCCCTCCAGTACTGAATGCGGGGAGTCGACGACAGTAAAGGATGCCGCTAGGCTGCGGGTTGGTGCGGGCGGTGTGGATGTCACAGAGACAGGGCCTTGGCAAGGAATGGTATAGCAAGCAACTGGTATTGCAGCGCTGAATATCTGTTAATCAGGTCTTTGGGAATGATCAGGGACAGTGTTGGGGTACTGTGTACGGGGCGGAACTCGTCACCTGAGTCAGCAAATGACGATGGTGCCCAGCCTACCTACTTGGTACCTATTAGCTTGGATTGTACTCCGTAGAAATTGAACGGATTTTTCTACAATATGTCTGCCTGGGGATTAATATTCTAGTTTTCCTTTTCTTTTCTACATGGTTTTTTTTTCCCTCACTTTCATTAGGACTTCGCCCTACTCAACTATGTAGGCTGCTGCGTTTCCTGAGGTCCTCTTCCCACATTTGCTTATCGGGCGGTGGCTGAACATCCCATGTACACTTAGGCATACTTCCTAACGAATTGCCGAGAAGAAAAATAAATGCAGGGTCCAAAGCTCATTGACTGCGTGTAATCATCATAAGCTAACAACAAGAGAATAGGGAAATAAAACTACAACAAATTACATAGACAAGACCAATATAAAGACAGTGAGCGGCAAAGCAGATATCATAGGCAACGTGCTCATGAAATAGAGTCATTTTCATCGACAATCGATGTAAAGAAGTAAATAGAGGAGTAAACTGGGTACATAAATGGATTCCAGCAACGTACTGTAGTGCACGTCGGGATCTAGAAGAAACATCGGGAGTGACGGGGTATCTGAGCAAGACGTCAAGA